CCGTGATCGCCGGATTTGGTGAGGAAATCACGGACACCGACTTCGGAAGCTGTTTCGCGGACGTACTTGAGGAATGCGCGGTGAGGTTTGGGTCGATACTCTCTGAACTCGATGAGGATGTCTGTGAGCGGGTTCTTGGGCATGGGGATCTCGCAGATGTGATCCAGAAGAGGAATGATGGCATCATTGGCACCTGATTCTCCACGGAAGAATTGAGGCTTGTCGTCGTATTGACCCTCGTAGACAACACCATCAGGGAACATGGACTGCTTGGTGATGCCATAGATGAATGTTCGGTAGGTCATGTAGTCCTTGGGGAGGGATTGACTCCACATGCCCTCCATGTTTGTCTCAATGATCTGCATAGCATTGAGGATGAGTTCCAAGCTAGCCTTGGCTTCGGCAATCTTGGCGGTGCTGTTGTCCTTCTCAACAGCAGCAAGAAGATCAACAGCGCCTTCAATCAGGCCGCCAGTTTGAGCGACCATGTGAATGTGAGTGAGGATGAAGCCGGCTTCAGAAGACTTGGGATCAAGACCCTTTTCGAAAGCACGGACGAGACGGATGTTATCGTAGTCATCGTGCCCTTGCTCAGGATGAACGAGCCAGTAGTTGTAGAGGGCATAAGAAGCGGCATAAGACATGAAGGCAGGGATGTCAAGACTAAAGGGTCAGTGAAAGTAATTCGAAGGCGACGGAAACGTACATCTCGGCACACTTGACAAGAGGTCCAGCAATACACTTGGGAAGTGTTTGACGTCCAAGTCCATAACCGCCATCATCACTCTTGCTATAAGTCTCCCAACAAGGTTCAAGAAGATAAGAAGAAGCAATGAAGCTATAATCTCTAAAGGCAGCGGTGATAGCAGCCATATCTCGCTTGTTTGTCCCGGGAACAACGAGATTATCAATCTCAGAGGTCAAATCAGGAAGAGCCCCATTGTCAATAAGAGGTCCAAGGTCAAAAGTCGCCAACAATCCTGGTGTACCATCTTCCTTAAGAATAGGAATGTCGTTGAGAAGGTTTGAAACAGGATCGAATTGAGAAGGGAGTTTCTTAAAAGGAAGTGAAAATGGAAGATATCCTGTTCGAGTGGTGATGGTGAAAGGGTCTTCACCCTCTGGTAGCTCAGAGGGGTCCTTTCGAAGGTATGGGAAGAGGGTGTTTGCAGCAGACATTTTGGTGTGATGATAATGAACTGGACTGATTGATGATGAGTCTGGCAGCCATCACGTCTATATACACTGAGGCCGGAATTACTATCGTGGCCGGAAGACTTCCGGCCTTCGCCCTTTGTGAACAATGACAAGCAACCGATGATACCCTAACCGGTCGTTAGCCCGATGGCTTGATAACTGCCAATCTAAGAGATAGTATTATCAATGGTTTCGTGGGGATTCTGAACTAACGGTACGTCCGGAGTTGGGTCCGTGTTGAATCCACATACCCCGCGAAATCATCTATCTAGATCTCCCTTCCAGAACTCTTGACTACGATTCACGACTCGTACAGTTCCATGTTCACCGCAACTTGAAGCTATCTCTTACACAATAACAACCCAATCCCCCATTCAAAGAATTCCAATAGATCACGAGATCAGTGTAACATGTTCATATGATCAAAAATAGTTTCCATCCAAAGTCTCGGCAATCAAAGGTAGTGGATGTGTGGAGAACCGCCTTGTCGTGACATCCGCCCTAGATTGACAAGCTAGTCAACGCCTTAATCTGACAAGCTGGGGTAACACGGGAGATAGTCGAGTGATTGACGTTCTATTGATAACATTCCGTACAGTGTTTGAACTATCAAGGTGCGCCTTATTTTGACATTTAGATATAAGCGATTTCGGGATTGTGTTTATTGGTCAATTGGAGTGTTATCTTGAACCACGGGTGCCGATGGTTCGGAGACTTTGCTGGGATAGCGGCTTCCGAAGTGCGGTTGCCAGAATGGGTTGACTGCATCCCTTGAGTACGCGGGATCTTGTGAGTGTTGGGATCTCCCTTCAACTCAAGGAGTGAACCGAATCCATACACAATGATGGGAGAAATAGACTGAAAGAAGGCGAGGCCTGGATTATAGTGCAATTGAATGAAGTTGACCAAGGCAAACCCTAAAAACTGCAATTGACTACTGAGTAATACGCTCAACTGGCATCTCTACGAGGAGCCTCTTCAAAAACCTTTCTCAATCTCTCATCTAACCATTTCACATCCTCCATATTCCCAGGCGGTCCACCAGCCCAATGTCCCCAAATAGAAGGATAAACATCCAGACTCGCATTGTCCCCCATACACTTGACCTCATATTCCGAATCCTCAGGTCTGCAATCATTAGCACCTATCAACTCAAACACAAGAGATAACTTACGGAAAGTAAAGATCGGTCTTGCTAGGAAGAACCAAGATCCTCGCCTTGATACCCTTCATCGCCTTCTCAAAATCCCCATTATACGGCTCCTGCTTACTCACATCTCCAGCCTGCCACGTCTGAAGCATAACAAGCAGATTCTCAGGGTCTTTGCTAAGCGCCCATTTCTCCCAGAAATCCTTCATAAACGCCTCAAGATCAGCTGCGCCGTAGTGTTTCTTAAACAATTCATGTCGGTAAAACGCTTGAGAGAAACCCCAGCCTGCATATCCTCTTCCAAAAGCTTTCAAACCAACTTCTTTCTCTTTGCCAGTCCATTCTGTGTCTGTTGTTTCAACACGTCCTTGGATACTCCCAGCAGACGTGCATCCCTTTGCTGCGAGGAGCGCTGACTTGACGCCCTCGAGAAACACCTGATTGTGAAGAGATGTCTTGGCTGATCCGCAGAATGGAACGCAAATGTCCATAAAGTCAGGGTACTGCGTAGCCCATTGAAATGTCTGCGCCGCACCCATCGACCAACCCAAAACAGCCCTGAGATGCTTCACCCCAAGATGACCCATCAACTGATGCTGAGCTTTGACATTGTCGTAGAAAGAAACATCAGGGAATGGACTGATATCCGAGTTTGACGGACTCGTAGATTGTCCATTCCCAAAAAGAGCCGTTATGATAATGAAATACCGCTCCGGATTGAGAGTCTTGTCATGTCCAACAAGCCATTCATTATCGGATATCGCACCCGAGAACCAAGAAGGATAAAGAACAGCAGGGAGCGAAGCCTCTCCAAAAGTTTTGTAAGCAATCACCGCATTTGGCAAAACCTTGCCATTCTGAAGCTCAAAGTCTCCGAGAGAAAAAGTCTTGACGTCCATGGTTGCTGAGGGCCTCAGTCTGCCGAGGACACCCTCATCTCATATACTAATCTCGATACGGGCTGCAGTGTATCACGGGTACAGTGTTTAGACTGTACCAACGTCGCCTAATCGCGGGGTTTCGCCCTTGGGTGACAATGCAGCCACCTGCTTTATCAGGAATGTCACAAGACAAGCTTATCATTCTTATCTCGTGCGGAGATGCGGAGGAGTGCGGCGAGATAGCATCTTATCTATCATCACTATCACCATACTATATTATAAGAAGAGACAACTAAGGCAATCCTGATACTTTGTCTCATCAATAATAATTACAATGCCTGGCAAGATCCGTACAGCTCAATCCGTGTCTTTCGACAAACCCGCCTCTGAGCAACCCCATCTCCACAACCGGTGGCATCCAGATGGTATGTCCCCCTCCAATTCACAACATCGCTAATTTTGTAGTTCCAAGCATTGCAACCGTTGAACCCGGTGAAACAGTCAAGATCGAATGTCTCGACTGGACAGGCGGTCAAATCGGCAACAATGATAGCGCAGATGACGTCCGAGACGTTGATCTTACAAAGATCCACTATCTGACCGGTCCATTCGACATCAAAGGTAGTCAGCCCGGCGATTTGCTCGTTGTCAACATAACCGACGTCCAACCCTTTGATCATTCACCCTGGGGTTTCACCGGAATATTCGCCAAGAACAACGGCGGAGGATTTCTAGACGAACACTACCCCACCGCCGCAAAAGCAATCTGGGACTTTGACGGCGTGTACTGTTCAAGCCGTCATATTCCCGGTGTAAGATTCCCAGGCTTAATCCACCCTGGAATTCTAGGCTGTGCCCCATCTGCTGAGATTCTAGCAGAGTGGAATCGTCGTGAAGCAGAACTTGTTTCTTCAATGGCTGATTCTAGCAAGATTGTAGCCCAACCACCGAATGAGATTAATGCACATGGTGGAAAAGCTACAGGTGATGTTTTAGCAAAGATTGCGAGGGAGGGAGCGAGGACTATACCTGGACGACCTGAACATGGAGGAAATTGTGACATTAACAATATTTCTCGCGGATCAACGACGTATCTTCCTGTTCATGTTGAAGGAGCCAAGTTTTCTGTTGGGGATCTCCATTTTAGTCAGGGTGATGGAGAGATTAGCTTCTGCGGTGCTATTGAGATGGTAAGTCTCCTGGCACATTGACTATTGATACTGACGTTTTAGGCTGGTATCATCACGATCAAGTTTGATCTCATCAAAGGCGGCATGAAATCCCGAGGTCTCAAGAGTCCAGTTTATAGACCAGGCGACATGGGACCTACCTTTAGTCCTTCACGATATCTAATCTTTGAAGGATTCTCCGTCGATGAGAATGGAAAGCAACACTTTATGGATGCAACCATTGCTTATAGACAATCATGTCTTAGAGCAATCGAATACCTCAAACAATTCGGTAAGTAAACCCTCTTCGCACCGGCACCACTAACGATTTAGGCTACTCTGGAGAACAAATCTACCTTTTACTCTCCTGCGCACCAATCCGAGGGGCCATCGCAGGAATAGTCGACATTCCCAACGCCTGCACAACTCTAGGAATACCGATGGACATTTTTGACTTTGACATTTCTATTGAAAGCGAGCCTGTTGCTCGAAATCTGGGTGCTTGTCCTATTTCTAAGTAGGAAGTCCAACGTCTCTCTTAAACTCTTGTAACCACTCTGCGTTGTCAACGGGTGTTTGGTTCCAAGGATCGTCGCTATTCTGTTAGTCAATGAACTTTACGTATTGGGGAACGTACTCGTCGTATAATATCCATCGTGCTTGATACTTGAGTTCATCATCGCTTGGGATATGACGGTTTGGATTGTTGGGAGACATTGTCGTCATGACGAATCGTGATAACTCCCGCTTCAATCGACGATAACTGTTATTATCGTTGATAAAGAATGGTGTTGCTGTTCGTACTTTATCTCGTATCAGTGCCCTTGATTCTGACGTGCTGTGCATTGAAATCGCTGGTATTTCCGGTACTCCTTCTGGAGACAGAGATCGATTCTCGACCCAAGGCTGCAACATATCCAGCTCCATTGAAGCATCCAAAGGCACGGCAGTATCTGTCTGACCCCATAGAAAATACGAATCATTAACAGACTCATTCGCCAAAGCCACAAGAGTTTCGGCCCTCTGTCGGAAGGGTTCCAACCAAAGCGTCGAACTCCAAACAAGCCTCATCAAAAAGTCCAAAAACCTCCTGGACGGATTCGGCGAAGAAGTCTCTGTCCGATTCAAAACATTACACGCCTCTTGCTGTAGTTCGGAATCCGTTGGGAAATGCCCCATAGAAGTATGAGCAGTCATATACTGTTGCAGCGCCGCCTCCAGCTCACAATTCTCAAAGATATTTCCCTTTCCGTTGATCTTTAACTGACTTAGACGTCCCTCTGCTAATTGCTTCGTTGGTCGAAGTCTAGCGTGGTTGGCGATTTCAGCAGCTGACATGAAGATGTCCCATAACCACGAGGGAGATAACGATGCTGGGTTTGGGGATGATATTTCTGCTCCGAGAATTACTGAACATGCTTCAAAGTGAAGTTCAGGATCTGGTGGCATTATGTGTTGATGCCGATTTCGCATGTAATACTCTAGTTCAAGTTTGATGAGTTCGTATGCACTTGTTGGTGTATCTGCAGGACCTTTTGTGGCTGCAAATGGAAGAGGAGAGTTTCGTTCGTGGTGAATGAGGTCTGAATGCACAGTCAGCAAAGCAAATCTCAACCCGATTCCATTGACTTACAAGGAGGCATTGCGTTGTCAATCCTCTCAATGACCTTCCCCTCAAACCCCCAATCGCCCTTCCAATGCTCCATGGTACTCCCAGCTTTGAAATGATCCGCCAAATGATCGACTCTGCTAGCCCAAGTCGTAAGATTAATGCCACAAAATCCACATTTTGATTTGACCTCCTGCGTCATGACTTTCCAATCATCCATCGGCCACTTGAGAAACTTGGACATGTGAACTAATCTCAAATGTTGCTGTAGGTGGTCTTTTCGATGATATGTTCGTTCTTCAATGGGTCTTTCGATACAGGCACTCTGATTATGTCCATCCAGATGCGTTTTGTCGGGATTCTTGACGCCACAGAATACACAAAGAAGCCCCTCTTCTGGATGTATCGCCGTAGGTCCTTTTGGTGAACAAACCCAGTTTTCCAGCGATAAATGAAGAGACTTTTCGTGACGCTGCCAATCGTACTTTGTTTTAAAGGTCTCCGTGCAGAAAGTACACTGATATGTATTCTGCGCTTGGAGGAGATTTGTCCTGACTTCTTTTCTCATCTTTGTTCGTCGTCTTCGACTGTGCCGTTTGAAAATGTCAAATGACGTCGATGATTGTCTTGAATGGGCAGAACTGTAAGAACCAGAGTCATGACTTGACACTGAAGTCCCTCTACTGCTTATTGAAGACCCATGGCTTCGTGATCTTCCCTGTCGAGTTGAGAAAGCAGCAACAGCTCTAGAGATGTCATCAACAGTTGCAGCCTCATGTTCTGGTGGTGAATTCGCCCATCGCTGAAGCGGATTCATATGTTCGAATGGCGCAGGGGTCGCACGTCGACGAGGTGTATCAATTGGCGTATGATGGCCTGAAGAGTTCCCCGAATCATCATTCCGAAACATTGGCGAAGTCGGTCGTGATAAGTGAACCTTTGCTCTTCGTCTCGCATTCGCAAACCAATTTGTGACCTGCTGTCGATTCAGACTAGTCTGCTCTTGAAGATCCTGAACATCTTGGATGGTAGGATACGGATGCCTTTCATGCGCGGCGAACCAATTCCTCAAGATCTTGACAGACTCGGAAGAAAAGCGATTACCGATTTTTGGAGGGGCAGTTGATGTCTGCAGAATGCCCGGAGAGATTGTTTCAGACTCTGCAACATTTTGAAAGTCTGCAAAGTCGATGTCCCCTACAAAAAGATCGCCGCGCGGTTCTTGCATGTTGGTGTTTGATGGAATTTGGAGGTCATGGGGCTACGATGAGTTTACGGCGAAGTCTCGGACATGTCCAGAAAGGGCGGATCCACATCTTAGTCTGATTGATGAGTCAGGATTGGTAGGCCCATTTAAAGTGAAGGATCCAAGGTGAAAGTTCATGATTTGCGAATTGGGAATAGTGAGACTAGGTTGTTGTCGTTGATGCGTAAAGTAGCTAGTGTAAATCGGATGCAAGACAAATAGAAACGATAGAAATGATCTGCTGGCAGGGTTCATGAGATCAGTCCCAAAAGAGCCTCGTCCTGGTCTCAGTCCGTGCGGAGGTACGGCACCGTGAACCGGTGGGGTTACGTCTCTGCGACAGACTCGAACTTGAAGCAATGCAGAATACGAGAACATGTTTTGTTCAAATGAGAGACAGAGGGCTCTTATATGTCCACTTCCCACTTCCCACTCCCGTGTCTATTTGCCTCACTCAGTTAGTGAGACCGATTCCGCCGAGTGGATCAGCGATGGTGTGCTTTGATCCGAAATCACGTCTACGATAACAACGATATCGGAGATTTAAATAGATAATCAAATTAAATCTTTCACAATCATTCCCTCAAGTGAAGCGCGTCAAGATGACCGGAATCAACGCGACAGAGACAACTCCTCTTCTGCCCGAGATACCCGAGGTCTCGGATGTCGAGAGAAACAGTACCGACGAGCCGAAAACGTTCAGCCATGCATTTATCGCGAGAGTAGTTCTCGCGTTGCTAATCGGTAAGTCCACCAATTCTCAAAGTACAAAGCTAAGAGCGCAGGCATCTTCACATCCAACGCCGATGGCTCATTGGTACTGGCAACTCATCCTGTAATTGCATCCGAGTTTGGCAAGCTTCAAGATTCAAGTTGGCTGTTCATCAGCTTCATGTTGGCCAGCGCGGCATCGCAGACGATTGTAAGTGAGATGACATTATGGGCGAATTCATCTAACCGAATAGTACGGAAAACTGAGTGATATCTTTGGACGCAAGACGGTATTGATCTTCTGTTATGGACTGTTTGCTATTGGATGGTGAGTCCATCTGATCTCTACTCGAATCGAGCTAACAATTGAAGTGCCCTCGTGTAAGTCACCGGTAACTCATGTGAGATTATTCTTACAAGTTTCAGAGGCGCCGGCCAGTCAATGTGGCAAGTCATCTTAGGCCGTGTCATCTCTGGCTCTGGAGGTGCAGGAATGACTACAATGGCGTCAGTAATCATCACTGGTACGACTCCCATTGATCCATCATTCCAAGCTGACCATTAGAACTCGCACCTCTTCGAGAAGTCGCCTCATGGCAAAGCTACATGAATGTAATCGCCACCGTCGGTCGTAGCATCGGTGGTCCGCTTGGAGGCTTTCTCGCTGATACAATCGGCTGGAGATGGTGAGTCTATCGCCCATTCAACAGCTCATACTGACAGGATAGGTCATTCCTTGGACAATCGCCAATCTTCGCTGTGTCCATGATCATCGCCGCCATCCTTCTCCCCTCTACAACACAAACCGAGGATGCAACACTCGAGCGCATCAAGAGGATCGACGCCCTTGGAGCTCTGCTATTGGGTGGTTCTGTTCTCGCTTTCATGGTTCCTCTCGAAATTGGTGGCCAGAAGATTCCATGGAGTCATCCCCTCGTCCCAACTCTTGCTGCTGCTGGTGTGATTCTTTCAGTTGCTTTCGTACTCGTCGAATCACGCTGGGCTAAGGAACCGATATTTCCTCTGCGTCTACTCAGAAGTGGCGATGTTACAAAGACGTATCTCACTGCGTTTGGTCAAGCAGCTGCACAGCTTGGAGTATGTCACCCTCCACCGTGAACTTCATAAACTAACCGATCAGATGATGTATACCGTCCCCATTTACTTCCAGGTTACCCAGCGTGTCTCTAGCACTGTCGCAGGCGCTCATTTGTTCCCCGCTGTCATTGGAAATACAGTTGGAGGAATAGCAACCGGTTTAATAATCAAGAGAACAGGCCGGTACAGAGCGCTCATCATCTTCTCTGCTGTTTCATCCATCACAAGTTACACTCTGATGCTGCTACGGTGGCATGGTCAGACTAATTGGCTGGAGTCACTCTACGTGTTCCCAGGGTAAGTGTTCTTCTTTGTCTTGACTCCTCAAACTAACCCTTCAGGGGCCTGGGAATGGGTATCGCCCAAAGTGCAGCCTTCATCGCTCTCCAAGCTTCCATCGACCCCAAAGACAAGGCGGCAGCTTCTTCGGGCATCTTCCTCTCCGTGACTCTAGGTTCAGTTGTTGGCATGGCTGGTACAAGTGCAGCCATTCAGGGCCTCCTCAGACATGACATCCAGCAGAACCTCAGCGATCTCGGAAAGTCTCAACATGTGATCGACGAGGTTAGTCATTCTCCACTTTCATGACGTCTGCTAAGTTTTCAGGTCATTCGAAAAGCTGCAGAGAGTGTCTCCTACATCGATGAAGCTTCCGAGCCTATCAGAAAGGTACTGATCGAAGGTTATATCAAGGGTATTGAGTATGGTCACGGTAAGTATGTGTCCACTTGTCAGGAGTTGACTAACAAATCAGGACTCTCTATACTCTTCTCCGGGATAACACTCATCACTGCCATACTCCTCAAGGAGCGTAAACTTTGATGAGAGTTTGTGATCGCCCCTAGAGCAGCACGTGGCAGGCAAGGCGCGAAACGGCTTAACTGTAATTATGAGATGAAAGATGATGGCTTTCATTGGTGCACGGAAGTGAAAGGATGAAAAGAGTTTCGTATCCAGTTGTCAAACCTTACAAGCTTCTCACGAGGGGATGAATTCCACTGTACCCTCATAATTAAGAGTTTATGCATTATCCTTATTTAACTTCCTTAATTCCGCGGCCTATTTCGTGAGTCGTGACGATGTTTAGTCTGATTTGCTGAAATTGTGAAGCTAAAAGCTTATCAAACCTGAGTCAAGTGCCTAGCGATGAACTCGATCGTAACATAGAGTGGAAAGCTAGTTCTGTTCTCACACGGCTTAGACTTTCTGAACGAACCAGTAAAAGGTATCGGCAGAACAACTAACTACCTTGGGCATGTATCTGATGAACACTACACGCTTCTGCCTCATGACATTGAGCCACTTACTGAAACTCATGAATGACCTGCCACTGTGAACAAGAAGTTAAAGATGTTGGCCCGACTAACTAAGGGACAATTCCTACCTATAAATAGAGCGCGTCTCCCATCTTCAGCTGGAGTTATTTCTTTCCTCTAAACATCTCCCCAGACCCTCTGCACTCTGCACTATTACTCTTCACTCTTCATTCTCTACACTCTACACTTTACACTCGACACCTACACTCTACACCTTGTATTAGACCTCAATCATACCAGCACAGACCAAGGTCATAGACATACGTCGACTGATTGATCATCAAAGCTTACGATATCGCATCGAGATAGTGAAGAACCTTCTATCCCCCCTTATCCTTTAGTCGGCAAGCACAAGATATTCGTCTTGCATCTACTATTACCTGTTACGCACTACAACCTCCAGAAGATACGCCTAGACACTTCCTCTCTAAGACGACTTCAGGACAAGCACAAAAGCTTCGTATACTAGCTTGCAACACTCAGCAGACAATCAGTCGTACCCTACTACTCTGAACAAACAAGATGTCTCAGGAACAGACTAGTCTCATGGCTTCCAACTCCCAGCAGACAAAACAATCACAAACTCCACAACCCCAAGCAAACATGACCCCCGAGCAAGAGCACAACACTCGCGTCATGGCTTGCGACATTCAACGCTTCTACGACTTTGTCCGACGATACAAACGTGTCTCCCGAAGATGGTTCACCCACTACGAGATCAACCTCGCTAGATTTCTCGAGCCTCATTGCACCTTGTTCGAGAATGAACGAAAGTGGCCTGAAACCTGGTTAGAGAACGAGCATGATCTCATCAATGACTTGAAGGTTTTCCGACCCAAGGCAAAGCAGCTCTTACAGCAGTGGACACGAGCTGTAGCTGTCCAGATTCTCGGTGTCCAAAACACTGCCCTCAGCAAAATCTTCACACCTGAGGACGTTGCTCTCGCGGCCAAACTTGAGCCTACCCCCTCGCTGGGCCACAAGGTTGGCCCCCTGGATTGGACGCAGCGAGAACGCGACTTTGATCGGAGTCTGTCCAAATTCCGATTTCTAGCAAATGATATGTTGCAGGAATTAAAAGGTGGACCAACCTTGGAGAGGCCTGGTCATCCCTGGACGAGAATGAAGGGATTTGATGTTTTGAACTTTATGATTAAGGATGCAGAAGAGCCTCAGTATGAGAATGAGGAGGAAGATATGTGGGATGATGAAATTGTACCATTTTATGGGTTTTACTAGGGGCGAGCAGAGTTATTTGGGTTGCATGGCGGCGTTGGTGTTTGAATTGTTATGTTCAGGGCCGAATTGTTTCCTCTCACAATTTGATGAAGATCTGCTTTCTTGAAAGACTTGACAGATTTATTGCACTCAATTATACATCCATGATCTCAATTCTTTTACATAATTTAATTCATAAATGAACTGACAGTCTTAGAGGTTGATGGTAGTATACATAACGAGACGAAGGAGTTACTTGAGTAATCTTTTCCTCTATAAATAGACAGGATATCATCTGGGGGTAATGTATCTCAAGACTCTCATTCCTCCAACTGAATAAATGCAATCACTCATTCAAGGTACTATAGCATCTCTATTAAAGCCTTGCAGAGTTCAGACACAATGTTCTGAGTAAGAAGAGCTTAAGTGAAAGGTTACAAAACAAGCATAATCCATGTCAGCAAATCACCAGGCTGGCAAATCAGGCAGAATCTCCACATTTCAAGGCTGACGGGAGGCACGTGACTGTCTTGCGGAGTCTGAAAGGCTGCCTAAGATGGCCGTGAGACAATCAAGATTGGAGTCGTAGCACAAAGAGCAAGACTCATAAATATCTCAGCTTCTCTCCATTTCATCACAGTTAGATCAATACCAACCAATCTTGAACCTTCTCTATCCAGCCCGCGCCGCTGCATCTGACATCATGTCAGCTGCATCTCTAGAACATTTCACCCTCTTTCACAAGTTCCCCCCAGAGCTCAAACTCGAGATCCTGAACCTCTGCTCCAGAAACGATCTAATATGTCTCTCATTAACCGGTCCTGATATGCGAAATCTCGTAACACCACTCATCCCCAGCAAACCTAATCTCACCTGGGTCGATCAACTTGGTCCAACACCAGACGTCCCTTCAGAATGTCGAGATCCGTATCACAACAACATTCCCCGCCGCTCAGATTGCGGCGGCGCAAGAGAACAGGAAGTCATCTACTTCCCAACCAGTCATCGCTTCAGACGCCATGAATACAGAGGCTGCAAGATCTGCTACAGATGTCGAACGTACCCAACAGATCACCCAGTCTGCAACGTTCCGTACTGCAAGAAGCATTGCGCATGCATTTCATGTCCTTTGTTCATGAGATTGCGGGGTTGGATGGGTGATCGAAAGTACTGTGCGGAGTGCAATCAGTTTACTTGTCGAACAAAGAGAAACAACGGAAGATGTACGTACCTAATACTCGACTCGAACAACATCTAATTGTAGAACAGGCACTCATGGACGGAAAAAGGTCCGAAAAACACCAAACAACCACTGGAGTCATAGTAAAGGACGATCCTATGGAAACCGATGGTGGAGAAAATGGGGCACACATGGAATTGATCACGAGGCATACCAGCCCGAAGGTAGTGGAAGACGAAACGCAAGGGTTGTTTAACCGCTTTCATTCACTTCAGGCGAATCCCTATAATAACACATTCTACGCTTTTGATACCAAGACGCTAGGCTCCTCAAACCGGGATGCTACGTTGGCGCATGGGGTAACCTCCACCATTTGAGCGGCTTGTTCGGGACATTCGGCATAGCCAAGAAAGGATCATGGCACCAGCGGAATCTAATTGGACAGCGGAAATTTTATAATTTCCTGCTTATTGCCATTATCTGCTGTAGTGGTTTGAATGTGCTGACGCCAAGTAGTAAACCGTCACTGTATCGGTCGCCAAGACATGCGGAGATTTATTCCTGCTGTGGCAAGATCAAAAAGATGTGATGGTTATTATATATGAGTGATTTCTCCTTGGTTCTCTGCAGTATTTGTTTTGCTTTCTGTTCGCACCGAAATGAATACTCTACGACAGATGCTTCCCCAGACATGGCGGCCTCAAGGCTACAAACGGGTTGACTCCAGCAGCAGTCTTGAAGATGGTCTTGTCCCCGAGGAGAGTGGACGAAGCTTCCAGCTCTTCGCGAAACGCCTTCTTCGTCTTCCCCTCAAGACAATGACAATCCTCATCGCCGCTCTGCTCGTTTTCCCCGGCCTACTGGCACTCACCCCCTCAAGGTAAGATGAGAAAACAGCCCCCATCGCCAATGCTGATAATGTAACCAGGGACGGGCATTCTTGGCAGGCCAAGTCGCGACTGGCCAAGCATATGAAACCTATCCTCAGCAGGACATTGCCAAGCTTCCTTCAAAGGACCGGCGGCTTAGTATAGTCCTCCTGCCAATAACCCAGACCACGATTTATGCAAAGTCATAATGAGTGCGTCGGCGTTGGGGTACCCAGCTCCAGTTATTGTGAACTGGGGTAAGACATACGACAAGTCTAAGGGCTGGAAGGGAGGATCTCACCTTGCAAAGATCACTGGTACTTTGGATTACCTCGATAGCGTCTCAACGGCCGACACTCCCGACGAGAATAGACTCGAGGAAAACGATATCGTTGTTCTGACGGATTCGTATGACGTTTGGTTCCAACTCCCTCCAGATGTTCTCCTCAAGCGATATCACGAAGCAAACCGCCAAGCACCCAACGTCTAGCTTCACAATGGAACGGCCGCGGAAAACCTCCAATGGAACAAACCATCATCATATCGGCCCAAAGGAATGCTTCCCTCCCCCCTCATCAGGCTCCGTCCTCCACTGCGATCAACTCCCCGAAAGTCCAGCTCGAAAAGACCTCTACGGAGCGAAAACGGATAGAGAACCCAACATCTTCCACGACGTACGACCGAAATACCTCAATAGTGGGAGTGTGATTGGCCCTGTTGGAGATATGAGGGAGTACTTTCGTCGTGTGCATGAGCGAATGCAGAGAGGGCTGGTCAATGGAAAGACTTATACAGCAATCAGGGAATATTCGGCGAGATCTTTGCAGAACGGGAAATTTGGCGTCGTTGGCTGCGAAAGAATATCGTTTCTCGGAAGGATAAGAGCTTCGATGTGATGCATAGCGATTTCGAGTATCATGTCGGACTGGACTATACGCAGAATCTGTTTATTCCGACTGTCTTTGGAGCAGGATGGCGAGATCATCGCGTTGAATAACGAAACCGGTATTGCTGAAAGTCAGAGTCTCTTGACATCGAGCCAAAATTAGGTGGCGTACCAGAAGATATTCAATCTTCCACTCAACCAACACATTCTTCAAGATCCTGCAGACTGGGGAGACATGCCCGTGTACGCCGATTTCTACTCAACTTCTGTTCCCGTCGTCGTTCATCACAATGCTCATAAAGATGGAGCAAAGAAACGTCGATATCTCTGGTGGGACCGCATCTGGTTCTTTCCGTACCTTCGCCAACTCATCATCGCTTAACTAAGATTGCCAACCCTGAGCCATTACTAGAAAATGCCGCCGATGGGGAACCATTGGTGTACTGGGTCGCGGTCGAATGTCACTCAAAAGAAGCCGAGAACGTTCATAGTCGATCGTGAGTTCGGTTTGTTTGTCGTGCAAAGACGGATGAGGCAGAAGCGGAGAAGCCGTGGCACGATGAAGTGTTTCGGGATGGAAATGGAGCGCTGTAGATGTCGGCCATGCTTGCGGGCAGTGACCCAATTGAGCGTATTGATTGTACGTTTCAGTCAAGATTGAGTTGTCGTTTCGTTAAGTGAATCTGGATGTCGATGTATTCGTCGATTCGAAATGCTTCATGAAGCCAAGTGACCACAGTAATAAAAACACAACTTCTCATAGCACCATAAGTATGGCGGGTCACCCATGATTGAACAGCGTCAAGGAAGGGAGACTGGGGGAACAAGTCGAGTTTAAATAGCCTCTCGCGAGTCACTAGTTTTGGACCTAAGATAGTATGGATGGGCTTAAGGTTCGCCGAAACGCCTGACTAGCCATTGCATTACACGTAGATGACGAGCTCAAGGAACTATTTCTAGCTGAAGGCTTACCAAACGTTAGTAAGAATGAAGACGCCTCAAATTGCTAGTGGCATTCCTGTCTATACCGTACTATCTTTACAAGTGACCTCTACACGTGTCGTCTATAGTTTAGCAGACCCCCCCTCATGAGCCTGCACCCAAAGCTTGATCGTCTTGACCAATCCCTCCACTTGTGCAATGGTGTTCCCTGCATGTACACATATCCGAACTCTTTCGCTGCCTTTTGGTACTGTCGGCGCCACAATCGGACGCACCGTGAACCCTTGTTCTTGACAGAATTGGGCCAAGCTTCGTGGCTGCGACGTAAACAATGGAATAATTGGCGATTTAGGCGCTTCGTCAACACGAATCGACTGACTTGAAGGGCATGCTTCAGCGAGTAGCTTGTGCGTATAGCTTACTAGACTCCAAAGATGCTTCAACCTCGCATCAGCCCTCCCACTCTGCAAATACTGGTAAGAGATGCCAATACTCGCAAGACAGGAAAAGGGCATTGCAGTCGTGTAAATGAGAGTTCGTGCGTAGTTTATGAGATACTCCCTCGTGGTGGATGAGCACAAAACAATAGCTGCATTGTTAGCTTCGTTCTGAATGAGCGGTTTTACTCACCTCCAAAAGAACTCATTGCTTTGCCAAATGTATGCAGTCGTGCGAATATTTCCTTCTCCAAACCCAACTCGCATACGAGACCGCGTCCTTGATGTCCGAAAATGCCGGTAGAATGTGCTTCATCGACGATAATGTAGCCGTTGCTTGGGAGTCGAGTTTTAACGCATTCGACAATCTCTTTGAGAGGAGCGACATCGCCATCCATGCTGTAAACACCTTCAACGAGAATAAATACGGACTTCTCGCCCCCAATCCCTTTCAAAACACCATCAAGTCCACCATCCCCATGCACACAATTATGCTTAAACGATACCCTCCGTCCCGCGCGACTCAACCTCATCCCATCATGAGCACTCGCATGAATAAGTTCGTCATAAACAACGACATCCCCCGGCTGCGGCAAACAGCTCACAAGACCAACATTAGCATCGAATCCCGAATTAAACAACAATCCAGCATCTGCATTATGAAATGCCGCAATGTCTCTCTCAAGATTCTCCGCGAGGGCTGAATTGCCGTCCAACAGCCGTGAACCACCGGACCCTAACAACGGAGGCGGCGCTGCATGATTCTCAAGAAGGGAGTGATAGGCGCTTCGAATTTCAGGGACCGACGAGAGAGACAAATATGCATTGGAAGAAAAATCAACATTGTCAGCCGGAAAAGTCGTCAATCGTCGTAATTGAGATCGTTTCTCACGATCCAATAATCGCGCTTTCAACTGCTCCTCCAATTTCGACATTGTTACAGCAAGTTAAAACAACTCAACTCAATTGGTAAATTACGCGGAATTTGTTGGGTTTAGTACATGTTGAGTCCAGCCCCGCCCGGAGTTGTTTGCCGTGCCGATCTAGGCCCTCGATTATAAACCGCGGCATTCCACCTCAACCCTTTTGTCCTTTTACCAAATCACAAAATGGCGCCGGTCCCGGCTCTTCTCTGGCGATCGCTTCGAGCGCATCAGGTTTACGGTGCGAATACTGATGTTGGAAAGACGATTTTCAGTACGATTCTGTGTAATTCTGCGGTCAAGCGGGGTGATAAGACGTGGTTTTTGAAGCCGGTTTCTACTGGGGCTGCGAATGAGGCTGATGGATGGTGTAAGTTTGAGCTGCAGCGAAAGAATTGAGCTAATTAGAGTAGATGTACGATGATTCTAGGAGAAATTGTCTAACGAGTCAGTTATATTCAACGATATGCTCCGTCGACGAACCATGAGACGCTCTTTCAATACGACATTCCCTGCAGTCCTCATATCGCTGCAAAAGCATCTGGCAAGGTATGAAGTCAATTGATTGATGAATGAAGCTTACAGAGTAGCCAATCCCATCCGATGAAGATGTTCTCGCCAAGATCTACGACACCACCTCTCGATACGCGTCGGAAGGTTCAGGATGGCTGTTCCTAGAGACTGCTGGCGGCGTCCACTCACCCGGTCCATCTGGAACGCCGCAAGCTGATCTCTACGCTCCATTGCGTGCGCCAGTCATTCTCGTGGGCGATTCAAAGCTCGGTGGCATCTCACAGACCATTTCAGCATATGAGTCTTTGCGAATGCGCGGTCACGACATTGAGTCAATTCTTCTGTTCCAGGATATGAAATACGAAAACTACCAATACCTTCGGGATTACTTTGGAAAGCTGGGCGGCATTTCAGTCGACACAGTTCCTGAACCGCCTTCTCGACTCGACAATGAACAGGAAGACATTGAGCAGATGAAAGAGTACTACGCCTCAAACAGCAACGTTGACCACGTCCTCGAAGCTCTCGACAAACGAGGAAAAGAACGCATCTCCCGTCTCGAATCAATGAGCCAAAAAGCAAGCAAATCAATCTGGTACCCCTTCACCCAGCAAAAACTCGTCACAGCAAATACAATCTCAGCCATCGACTCAGCCCACGGCGATTATTTCCAAGTCCTCAACAAAAACTCCCCCAATCTTCTCCAACCCGCCTTCGACGGCTCAGCATCATGGTGGTCCCAAGGTCTAGGCCACGCCAACTCCCGCCTCACCCTCGCAGCAGCCTATGCAGCCGGTCGATACGGACACGTAATGTTTGCCGAGGCAATCCACGAACCTGCATTAGCGCTTGCGGAGATGCTCCTCAAAGGAGCCAACAATCCACGATTTTCACGTGTTTTCTACTCTGATAATGGGAGTACTGGGTGTGAAGTAGCTGTCAAGATGGCGCTTCGTGCGGCGAGGCTTCGTTACGGTTGGGGGCCTAATGATAATGTTCATATTCTTGGACTCAAGGGAAGTTATCATGGAGATACTATTGGTGCTATGGATTGTGCTGAGCCTTGTGTTTACAATGAAAAGATTGAATGGTATGAAGGTAAGGGGTATTGGTTTGACTATCCTACCATTCAATGCGTCAAAGGTAAATGGGTTGTTCAGGTTCCAGAGGGTCTCCGGGATGATTTGGGGCAAGATTCTCATCTCAGATCGATCTCGGAGGTTTTTGATCTCGAATCCCGGTTCGATACCGAGCAGTACCGAAAGTATGAACGCTATATCGAGAGCGTTCTCTCGAAACTGCAAGCTTCTGGTCGCAAATTCGGCGCTCTCATGATGGAACCGATAATTCTCGGCGCAGGAGGCATGATCTTTGTGTAAGTCTCCCATCTTATCCACAACTCCTCTAACAATCCAGTGATCCCCTCTTCCAAAGAGCTCTAGTGGATGTCGTCCGTCGATCCCCTCATCTCTTGGGCAATGGTTCCAGCCCACAAGACCCACTCTCGTGGTCTGGACTCCCGGTAATTTTCGACGAAGTTTTTACCGGGCTATACCGCCTCGGTCGGTTTACGGCGGCGTCATTCCTCGGCACCGATGCCGATATTTCTGTCAACGCTAAACTACTTACGGGAGGCCTTGTACCGCTCTGCACGACCATGGCGTCCGAGAGTATTTTTGATGCGTTTGTTAGTGATGATAAGAGCGATGCTTTGTTGCATGGACATAGTTATACGGCGCATGCTGTTGGATGTCAAGTTGCAGTTGAGTCTGTGAAGGAAATGCAGGATATGGAGAAGAGGGGGGAATGGGAATGGGCGGAGAGTGATTGGGAGAAAGATACTCAAGCTTGGTCTGTTTGGTCTCGAGAGTTTGTGAACAATGTCTCGCATAACCAGCAGGTTTTGGGTGTCTGGGCTCTTGGAAGTGTTTTGGCGATTAGTTTGCGGGATGATGATGGTGTTGGATACAAGAGTTTGGCTGCCAAGAAGCTTCAAACTCATTTGAGAGAGGGAACTGGGACTTGGAATGCTCATAGTCGAGTTCTGGGAAATGTCTTCTATGTCATGGCCAGTCAAAAGACGAGTCGACAGAGCCTTCAAGAGTTGCAGGGATTGTTATTGGGGGCTTTGAGTAAATAGTCGAGCTACGTCATCATGATTGCTCTGAGTTACAAGAGATGCCTTGACTTTTATGTGTCGTCGGCAACAACCATGTTTGCTATCCTTGATGACCAGTTACGTTCAATTGCTTCACTCCAATCCTGTCTTGGGAACACCCCGTCAGTGCGATTGATGCTGGTATGCAATTATCTGGGGCGATCGGCATTCCCCTGCATGATTGAAGTGTCGGAGGGGTCATACGTCAATCCTTCATCACGAAATCTCAGATTTACTCATCAACACATCAAGGCAGACATCGAAATGAGTTCAAAGAAACTGTACGAAAAGACAAGAGAGCAGTCAATCTCGGACTTTGAAGCGCAAACCAAGGATCTCCAAAAAGAGCACCCTGATGTGGACTTTAAAGCAGTCGTCATTGAACCAACCATGAATCTCATGTTTGACATCAAGGTGCGTTTGTTGATCCTATATAGGGCGCACTGACATTTGCAGGAAAACCTCACGGAAGACGAGCGAAAGAAACATGAAGAATTGATCACTCGAATGCTTCAAAATACCAGCAATCCATCCAAGGCGGAGAAATACCTCTGGCAGGCCAGAGACTACCTCAAACCATACCCTGACGTCCTCAAACAATTTGATGATATCTACATCAACCAGAGACCTATCCCCGTCATGTTATCTCAACTCCACGAAACATTTCATCAAGCAAATAGACATCCATAGTCATATCCAGAATATTCAGAATTAGTGCAGTTCCCCGCTCACATGACGCCCCATCAATAGGGCGTGATGACAAGGTTTCCCTTCCACCAACCAATCAGAAACCACCAGACAGTGCCGCCACTTGATAACCTTTGCTGAAGGGATCACACCTCTCTTCTTCACCTTTACAGTGACTTGCATGCATTGACCCCTACCGTCACCATTCACCATGAATTTCAATAACCCCAATCTCTTCACAGACGTCGATCTATTGGACGGCTTCATCAGCGACGATTTAACCCCCTACATGTCCGATTCAGCCCCTCCAACAGACATATCAAATGGAATGGCAAATCTTGCTCCAACTCACGGTGCGCCGCAAAATACCTTCACTCCCCCTGTCAATGCGCTTGATCCTCTGTCACTGCATGGATACACTCAGCAAGCGACACCAACGCCGCCTGCAAAGGTTGGTGGGAGATTTACGAGGGAGTCGGTGAGGATATTGAAGAATTGGCTTGCGACGCATCAGAACCACCCGTATCCTCGAGAACCTGAACGACGAATGCTTCAAGAGGAGACTGGGCTTACAAAGACACAAATATCTAATTGGCTAGCTAATGCTAGACGGCGAGGAAAGATTCCATCGAGTGCTTCTTCGCCTAGACATAGTGATACGAAAGCGATGGATATACCGCCTAGACCTGGGACGCCTGCTGTGAGGAATACGTCTGATATGGATCCTTTGCAGAGATGGGTTGATTCACCGCCTGAAGATGAACCTGCTGCTGTTACTGCGATTGCAAGAGCTGTAGCCTCAGTGCGGCCTCAGTCAGGTGAGTTGGGCGAAGCGTGAGTGAGTGAGGCTAACAGGATAGGCTCTTCGAGTCCATATACGAGACTATCTCGTACTCCGTCAGTTAGAAGTGTCGGTACATCACGGTCCAGTTCAATCAGTTCAGTCAATTCACATACCAGTCGCTCATCATTCGGTCTCAACGAACTCTTTAGTCGGGGAAGTTCTCGCCGCAGACGACGTGCATATAAAGAAGAACGAAGATCACTGGCTGCTCCACGAAAAGCATTCCAATGCACATTCTGTACCGAGACATTCCGAGCAAAACACGATTGGCAGCGCCATGAGAATTCGCTGCATTTGCCTCTGGAACGATGGGTCTGCAGTCCAGAGGGACCCCGTGGACAAAAAGTCGATGATCCCGAAATCCGCTGCGTTTTCTGCGGACATGTCGATCCTGACGATGCACACATCGAAACACACAATTACTCAGCCTGCAAGAATCGCCCGGTTCAAGAACGCACGTTTAATCGAAAAGACCATCTCAATCAGCATCTCAAACTGGTCCACAACGCCAAGTTCGCCGAGTGGCCTATGAGACAGTGGAAAGCTCCCCCGCCTGCAATTCATTCCCGATGCGGTTTCTGCAATCTCGTTATGGAAACGTGGATCGACCGTGTACACCATCTAGCTGATCATTTCAAGACGGGCAAGACTATGGCTGATTGGAAGGGTGATTGGGGATTTGAACCGCATATTCTAGAACTTGTTGAGAACTCAATCCCTCCATGTGAGTTGTTTCCAAATAATGGTTGAGAGGTTACTGACATGCCAGACTTTATCGAAACTGAACGAAATAGTCCTTTCCCTTTCGAAGGAAGTCGTGCACTCGTTGAAACGCCCCGAACGGCTTATGAACTACTCAAATTGGAGCTGGCGTATTTCATGCAGAATCACTTTTACAAACATGCGCGTATGCCGACCGGAGACGAAATGCAACTCGAAGCGTGCCGAATATTATTTGCCTCTGAACCTCTATCTCATGCCGATTTAGTCTGTCCATCCTGGCTTCGAGACCTTGTCTTCTCCAACGTTGGAATCTCCCAGCAAGCTCAATTCGGACCCATGCGATCAAACGCCGAGAGCCGACTTTCTTCGTTGGAAATTAGTGGAAAGAACAATATTTTCGAAGGATGTCCTTTTGAGACTCAGCTGCAAGAGTTTGTGCAAGCGAAACAACTCTTGGGGCTGAGTATTAGGGATGATGAGCTGCGGGAAGAATGCTGTAGGATTGTCGGTCGATTGGAGGAAGTTTCGGCAACACCGTCTGATTTCATCGCCAATTGGCTTATTAAAATCATTCATTTACCTGGAGATTGGCTGCTACCGTTTCGACAACGTACAGGAATTGAATTGATTGGGTTATCCGAGGGAATGAACTTGAACGCGATGATTCAAGACTACACCCGTCTGGAGCAGGAACTGGGTGCTTATCTCGACTTGCAACGTGTCATTGGTCTTGAACCGACAGACGACGACCTTCGCCGACAAGCGCGCGTTATCATCCACGGCTCAGACTCGAATCTGAATCATACAGCAGCAGATGACGATTACTGGCTAGCCGCATTCCGACAACGACATTCCACGACGACGGAGAACCCCGAGGCTTGGAACACGCCACTACGACCAGATCCCCATCTCCTCGCAGCACGAGGTCTCGTTCTCAAAACAAGTACAGCTTTTCTGAACGATCATAATTACTGGCGATGGTTCACACAGGAACTACGACGATGGGTATCTGCGATAATGTCCCCTCATAATCCCGCGAGTCGTGTTCCCTCAGATGAAGAGATCCAACATTACGCGCGATGGATCAGCTACAATGAGTACGTTTCCCTTTTAAACTTTAGCTCTGCTAACGATTTAGTGACGACCCATTTAATCAAACTATCGCAGAGAATAAAGATTGGCTTGAAGCGTTTAAACGGGATGTCGGTATTACAGAGGCGCTGACTGGTGGCGTATCATAGTCAGATATGACGATCAACAAGAACGTTACACTTATTAAACTCTAACGGGAACTCTAACTTAACAAGTTTAATATTGGCCGATGAATTAACCTTTTACTCTTATCTCCTGCCAAGTGAAACTGCCGATGTTTTTGATTCATCCGAAACTCGGGTCAGGCTTTGCCGAGACTTTTAACGTGGATAAGCTTTTGTGGATCGACCAATTGTAAAGTCCCGCAGAATAGGAGGATCTACAAGCGTAGCTTGGGATGAAAAAGGCAATTCAAGTCGTTTGACGCTGTATGATTCTAATTATCAAGATTATCGCTATCAATCCGCCTAGCAAAGTTCAGCTCGCACTAACCTTCTCAAACCGGCTATTCATTCTTCATCCCCAGACGTCAGCTGTTAGTTCGTAGGGCTGATCTCAACATGGTCGGTTTTTGAATAGCCGAAACGGGACAATGTCAACTGGTTTCAAGGCATGGCTGTGGGGTTTGAACCACGCTACACGTCACCATAAGATCGTCAGCTTAGCCCCAAGGTCTCCGACAGTTTGGGGGCTAAAGATAGGACCTTACGATTGGTTGAGGATGGGGCGGAGGACCTTGCTATCAGCATGGGTAGCTTGTGAGCCAAGATGCATAGGCTTGGCGAGCAATTAATATAAACCATCCCCTTCGCTGGTAAGATTAACGGACAGCAGTTATTAAAATGTCATTTTCTACCCTGGTACTGGGTATTTTCTACCTTGCAGGTGTGTGTGCCTCCTCTGTCTCTAGGCAAATACAGCTTGGCGATCATGAATACTTTGTTCCTCCAAGCCCAGCATGGAAATTGGATTCTTGGAATGCTTCGGCTGACCATGCTGACGAGTTTACGCCTTTGACGGTTGTCAAGTTGAACCAGACGGCAAATGCTGAGCATGTTGCGTCTGCTCTTGGGGAGTATGAGAAGGATGATGTCTGGACCAAGGAGTTTACCCAGGGTGAGTTTTGCGGCGGCCAACTCGACTTGTCTGACCGTCGCAGCTTTGTACATCAATTCTGATGAAGAATTGACCTACAAGTCTTCCAAGTACAACGTTTCAGCAGTGTATACCGGCAAAGAGTCTGTGCCTGCGGGCCCATACTTTGTGCATCGCTACACTGGCAATGTCTTCCAAGCATATCGCCTTCATGTTGATACCAACCAGGCCTTCATCCAAGTATGTTCCCCGCTTATGCATTCAACATCGCTGACAGTAATAGTCCACATACCAAGATCCCTCCGGAACCCACCATCCTCTGCGAGCCGCCACCCTCTCCGCTGGAGGTCTCACGATCGCGGTACCCTCTCGTTTGTACTTCACTCCCACGAAAGAGAAGCCATTAGCTGGCCTTCGCCTCGCTGTTAAGGACCTCTACGATCTCAAAGGTGCCAAGACAAGTGGAGGAAACAGAGCTCTGTATGAAATGAGCAAGGTCAAGACCAAGACTGCCTTCAGCGTACAGAAGCTCATCGATGCTGGCGCTGTTGTCATTGGCAAGAACAAAATGTCCGAGTTCGCATTTGCTGGTCCATACGTCACAGAGCACATTGACTACCTTCTCCCCTTCAACCCTCGTGGAGATGGTTATAACTCGCCTGGTGATAGCTCCGGTGGCTCTGCTGCATCCGTCGCTTCGTATGACTGGCTTGATGCTAGCATGGGGAGTGATACAGGCGGTAGCATCCGTGGCCCTGCACTCCAGAATGCTGTCCATGGCAATCGTCCTACCCAAGATGCCGTCAATCTCACAGGAGCCCTTCCTCTGTCATCGGCCATGGATACCTCGGGCATCATTGCTAGAGATCCTGTCATTTTGTCCAAGTTTACCAGATCTCTATACGCTGGCACGATCAAAGAGTATTCTAGGCTGCCGTCCGAAGTCCTGTTTGACAGCAGTAGTGAACAGTTTCTCCTTGACCTAGAAAATGACTCTCCCAAGGCCGCAAAAGCAGTGGGAGACTTTTTGAACAGCCTTGCAAGTCTATTGTCAGCCAATGGCACAGTCTTCTCAATTGATTCGGCCTGGACAAACTCTACACCAAAGGCATTCGGAGACTTGGCTCTCTCAAACATCGTTGGTAATGTCTATTCAAATCTTACAAGTTACGAGCAGTGGAACGAGTTTGGTAAAGACTATGTTGAAGAGTATATGAGTCTTCACGATGGTGCATTCCCTCATATGGTGCCTGAGATTCGACAAGGCTGGTTAAACGCCAATAAAACAATGACCGAGTCAACCCATGAAGATGACTTGGCTTCCAAGAAGGGAGTCGAGGAATGGGTAGCCAGCGAGTTTCTGACAGCTGATAACAGCAGTTGCTCAAATGCTGTCTATGTTTATCTATCGGCCAGCTATCCTTTATACAAGCCTGATGTTTCTCAAGAGTATGTTGCCCTGTCGATTCTTTTCATCACTAACAGATTAGTGGCTCAAACCCGTATATCCGAGAGCTTTTGCAAGCCAGTTCAGACCAGCAGACTCTGATCACTCAACTCAACACGACCGTGAACTGTAACTCAACCCTTGGATCTGAAGAAGCTTGTGAGGAATCATTGGAGGCACAAAAGGAAGAGTCCAGAAACCCCGGTACTCAGACCGTATACGCCGGAAGACTAGCCTCTGTCGCTGGTCTCCCAGACTACGCAGTCTCGCTGGGCATGTTTGACCTGGGCTCATTCTCCAATTCGACTCTCCAAAACGAGTCTGTTCCTGTAGGAGTCAACATCATGTCAGCAAAAGGCTGTGACTTTGTAATTCTTGACATCATCGAAGCACTCCACAAAGAAGGCGTTATAAAGACGGCCAAGACTGGTAAAACATCATAAATAGTATAGAGATAGCCAACAATTGAAGTCCCCAATATCACCCCGCAGTTGGAGATCAGCGGACCACATCACCCGGAGGGGAGGTTCGTTTCGTTGTGAATTACCATAAATGGCTTAGTTGCTATGTCATTGAATCAAGCCTGATACGCTGATAACAAGTCGGGGAAGTAATCCGGAAATGGAAAGTTTCTGGGCCACGGCTATCATCGCCAAAGATATTTAAGTTCAACGACATTCTGATCCTGTTTCTCATCACGTCAATCATGTCTTCACTACTCGAATCTTTGGGTCTTCGTCAAGACGTTGTTCTCGTAGCCTTTGCGGCAGTGGGACTATGTCTCTTCGTTGTGTATGAATGGATGCGCAAGGGAAAGACTACTAGTATGTCCTCTAATGCTTGGAGAATTTATCTAACAAGACAGTCAAAACGGACGTTGAATGGAAGACTCCTTCACCCAAGCCTCTTGTCGATTTTGACTTGGATGCTAAGAAACCTGAGCTTTATCGGCCTTGTCGCCATGGACCCAATCACGTCACCATGGGAATTCGAAAGCTTGACTGGAACAATTGGATTGAGATGGACTCCAACTTTCTCTGGTATCACGATCTCAAGGTCTCTGAACTCGAGAAAGATATTGATGCGCATGTTCAATATGTTGACAACGCTGTCACTCGAGATGCTTGTTTTGAGGTTCTGGAGGAACTGACTGCGTATTTGACTGCTCGGTATCCCAAGATCTTTCAACTCAGAAACGGGGTTCTCCACAACACTTTAACTAGGGAAGCATTCAACTACCCAGCTAGTACGTATTCGAGACTCTGCTCTTCGGGGCCCAGCTGACCATCAGGGACTCCCAAAGAAGCAATGGCAACTGCAGCCAAACTCGTCCAAGACGATCTCGTCATCATGGTTGAAGAAGATGGTAAGTTGCCTAATTCACTATGTTACGTAGCTGACATGATAGACGGCCAATATCACCTCGACGCTGGAGCTGTTTGTCTTCCCGGCTTCTGGCGATTGAGTGAAAAGTTCAGAATGTCCCTAGACACGCTACACATTGAAGCCAAGGTCCCCCACTACCAGACAAAGTTGCAAAAGTCTATGAACCGCTTCTTCAAGACGATGCAGCCAGACAAGGCAGTGATTCGAAACAATGTGAGTGCGCCTCTTGACTGCAAGTGCGTGTCTAACCGAGTAGTTCTTCATTCAACTCGACGATGGTCTCCATTGGTCTCATCGAATGGGCGACCAAGACAGCAACGAAGTAGCTTGTAAGTCCATCAGCCCAGTTAGCAAGCCATTCTGACCTTCCAGCCTGGGAAACGGCAAATGACAAGGGTCTCACCATCAACGACCTCTACTTCCGCTCTGAGAGACAGTCACTCCGACGACTTCCCAGATCTAAAGCTCTTCTTTTCACAGTGCGCACATACTTTGAGCCTATCACTACGATTGCACAAGAGCCCCATGTTCCAGGGCGTCTAGCTGAAGCGATTGAGAACTGGGATGAGGCGGCTTCAAAGTACAAGGGCAAGCATCACTGGGCGGATATTCTCTTGCCATATTTGCACGAACAGGATGAATTGCAGAAGAAATTGGGAATTCTAGAGAAAGTTCCAGAGGGAAGCTTCCCGTACTAGACAGGTATAGGTAGAAAGTTGAATTGCCCTTGGACGAACTCGTTATTTCTCATCATTCCTCTTCGCCAATAACGGTCCACGGACTAATATTATTCCTGCGGATTAATGTCAGCATGCTTACGCAGCTGGCACTTGAAAGCGCGGTAAGACTTTGACCAACTTCATTGCAATCCAAATGCAGAGATAAATACCGAGATAACCCTTGCAATGGCTCTTACTGAATTTCATTACTTCTTACAACTACCCTTGGAACTTCGCCAAGAGATCTACAGTTTGGCTACACCACCCCGCTTTGTCCACGTCCAACGGTTTGAGGAGCAAGATTATGACAACTTCGCAGAGCATATACGCACAACACCAAACGCTCTTCAACTAGATGAATCTTTGACGCACTTCTCATTCAACTGGCGGTCTCAAATTCCCTCTCAGACTAAGCAACGTACGCTTGAACACTATGGATTCTCGAGTACCAAGTGGCCGTATCAGCCTTGGAACGTGTCAAAGCTCGCCCCTCAAATCAGCCTTGACTGGCTAAGCGAGCATCCTGAATTTGCATGGCAGTTTTGCAGGGAGGTTTGCATGTATAGCTCTGCTCCAATTCCTGCTCTCTTGCATACGTGCCGTGAATCTCGAGACGACTTGATAAAGAGGGGCTATCAGCTCACCTTTCGCACACGGTCTCATGGGCCCCGAACATGGTTCAATTTTGATCACGATGTCTTATTCATTTCTCTTGGAGATGATTGGGGTACCAAGCATCGGGTGCTCAGTGGCTGTGCGTGGGATATCAGTCAGTTCCATCCCAGTGACATGCAAAAGGTCAAAAGAGTCGCCTTGGACGAATCCACAGGCCCCCTTTATCTTGCACATCCTAGGTTCAATGAAGGCAACTACAAGTTCTCCGACCTTTCATCCGTTTTGCGACTCTTCAGGCGCCTCGAGGAGCTATTTTTGGTGGAATGGACAGATTCTCACGTGGTGGAAATCTGCCCAATAAATGACTCTTACGCCAAGGGGAAGAAACAACACAAATACGACACCCAGTGTCTTTGGAGCTACCAACCCGTCAGTGAGGTTGATGTACTCCCACAACTGTTTCCGCCCAAGAACTCTTGGAGTCCTTTGTTTCTGAAATCAATCGGACCATACGGAGATCTTCTCTACAACCATGAAGGTCTAGAAAGAAACATGTACTTCAATATGATCCAGGACTCCCTACGAGAGAAGCTTGTCGACTATCGAGACTCTGTGGTTTCAAGGCACAAGGGAGAAGCCAATATTTGGTGGGATATCCCGACAATCACGGCCGTTCATGTCATGTCGAATTTGGGACACGAACTTCTTGGCCGTGAACGGTGGAGCGCCTTGAGTCGGGTTTATCGACTTCGAAACATGTGGCTGGCCCATGACAAACGAGTTTCTAGCCCTGGGCCGCAAAGCGAAGAGTATGATTTTGAAGCGGATGAAGAGGCGTATAACCTCGCCTTGGAGATAGATGATCCACACGAGGCGCAGCGAACTTGGTGGATTCGAGAAGGGATAATTCCTTTCATTGATGAATGAGGAACTTAAGAAGAGCTCGGCAAAGGACGATGGATTAGCTAGGGAGGCAAGAAAACTTGAGATGTCTATTCTGGATGACAAAAAAACTTAGGTAAGATTAGTGTAGGTTTAGTGAATCTTGGACTAGTTATTTTTGACACCTTGTCTCTAGGTCAGAAGCTTTCTTGCTCCCTGAGGATTAGTTTAGTGGTCAATTAGATAGCCATTCCTACGTGGCCACAAGAGTTCCCAAATACAGCTAGTCTATTACTGTGGATCGAGTCATCATTACATAGCGTCTCCTCTATAATCCCCTAGTACATCGTCAACTCCGCTTCAGCCTTGGGTCCTGCAACGGCTAATCTGTTAGCTCGGTTATGGATATGGGTCATGCACTTACTCCTTTTTCCCCAGGCAAAGTACCAAACTCCACATAGGACCAAGAACCCCACAAAGACTACTGACGCATAGTTCATCGTCTCGGCTGTAACCGGCAATGCAGACGGCATACTGAAGAGGACTAGTTGGAAGAGGATCCAGCAGACTGAGACTGCATTGGCCACTGTACCGATAGCCCCCAGGTGCCACTTTGCCTTGGCTACTTCGGTTCTCCCAAAGGCTAGACTGATTGCAATTGGGATGAGGTATGCACAAGCGAGGGCAATAACTCCGACTGAAACAAAGGCGGTGAAGGCACTTGTACTACCAAGATTGACGCAGCCAAGACAGATTTCGATGACTGTGACGAGGGCTAAAGCGTAGACTGGCTGATTGAAGAGTGTTCGAGACCAAATTCTAGAAAAGGGTAGCATTCCATCTCTTGACAAAGCCCAGGTGCATCGGGAGGCTGTTGTTGTGATGCTGATGGAGCAGAACAGAGTGACCATGAGGACCATGATCAACAGCGCCAAGCTGAGGGGCTTTGATCCAGTGACGGTATTGATGATGAATGGAAGGGCTTGACCATAAGGGGCAGTGAGAACATTCTCAAGAGGGGGCAAGGTGAAGCAAATTGGGAGAACAAATGCAAGCATTGATACGCCGCCGATGGGAATGCACATGCTGATCGCTCGAGGTACTTCAACCTCTGGCTTTGAACACTCTTCAGTCATCGACATGACCATGCCAATAGCCGAGAGAGCGTACGCAGAAGGCAAGAGTCCGATGAAGAAGGAGAATTCTCCCCAGCCAGAGATACTCGTATCGTAGTGCGTGAGTCCATATGAAGCAGAATGCCGTCCCTCTTTGGCAGTAGAACTGAGAGCGATCAGGATTGCGACAGTGGTTATAACACTCCAGATTGCTGCTGCAGTATCAACCAAAGGCAATGCCTTATCAGCTGTTGCGCACAGGATAAAGATGAGGATGCAAATCCCGAAAAATATGTACAGAGTCTCGTTCGCTGTGGCAGCCCAGTCAGGTTGGTACATTGTAACGGTCGCGACGATGAGGGATGCGAATCCAAAGTTGACAGAGAGGGCGATGGTCCAGTTTCCAATAAGCCATACCCATCCTGTAAAGTAGGCCATGGCGTGTTGATATATTTTGTTCTCGGTGAGTCTGTACGACCAGTAGTAGACTCCTGAAGAAGTTGGGTACCGAGAGGCGAGTTCCCCTAATGATACTGCAACAGCACCTTGGAGGAGAACGACAACCAGGACGCCAATGAACATGGAGAGTTGTCCACCGCCGTAGATGGAAGACATTAACGGACCACCAACTCCATAGGGTACAGCGGTGATGGCGAGTGACATTCCAAGAACTGAGATGAAGGATCGATTCTTTCGTAATTGAGGAGTCGAGACATCTTGGAGAACTCCGGGAGATGAACTCTCAGTTCTGTAGATCTGAGAAGAAGTAGAGTCGCGCTTAGGTGACATTCTGGAGACAACAAAAGGAAATGACAATGAATGAGAGAATACCAACTCATCGATCTGTTTTATAAAAGTGAAGGATCCGGGGTTACTCCCTATCCAGTAACTTAATGGTCCACCTGGTCTTGGAATCTGGGGATGCCAAGACTATTCCCCTTTGAGCAAGTTTTTAGCCCAGTCCCAGTGACCTATTGTGCTGGGACGCGCTTATCTGGCACTAGCTTATGATGGCTGATATAAGATGGCGTTAACAAAACTGACCAGATAGGTCTAGACCCGGGGAAGTGGACGGGGATATGGTTTTTCGGCAATACGCGCTTGTCGTGGGTCATTGACTAGACCTACCCTTGAAATACTTGCTGATATTTACAGGTTCTGCTTTTTGCAGCCTTTGAACACGTAAATAGAACGGTAACCTGATATATATGCTAAGGCAGACTGCCCATGCTAAACTAACATTATGACTCTAGCTGTTACAGTGGGAGTGAATGACTCGACACCTATTTTATGGTTTAAAACATGTACAGATACTCGGCTTTTTAGGCTCACCAACCTACCTTGATACCGAAGCCTGCCCTGGTATCTTCTGCTTCATGCCTCGAAATCTTCGAAGCTCTATTGCTTAAGCCTTTTCGTGCTCCAACGGCTTGTCAATCTCAGGTGTAATCTGGTTGCATCTTCCCCCTCAATCATAAATTAATCAGAGCAATTACTGTTTCTCGAAGCCAACGTTCCTCAACCACCCACCATGAGCGAATCTGGTGCCTTTTCCCTATATGCGACCTTTGATGATGCTGTTGCACCGCTTTTGTGCCACATCCCTTGTCGTTTGATCTTGTCACGGCATTGAAGATAGGGATGGCGACAGCATGCGAGGGCCATAAAGGTGACTTACTCATTGTGAGTGGTACGTTGCACAGGGCGCAGCACATTCAACTCTAAATAAGACAGCAAATCAACAGTACCACTAAGATGAGAGATCATTTTCTTATTGGTGAAGAAGGTGCTGCCGAGCAAAAGTTTGCAGCGCTGGGTACTGGAAAATTGCTAAAACAACCCCTACTGTGTCATGGTTTGGCGCCTCAGTAATACTATTGAATGATCAACTTTACTCCGGCTTATCTGGACCAGGGGATTCATTAGTAAAAATGTCTAAATACGGCCACTGGATAAACTCTAAAGCATGTCTTAGCGTCGGACCTCTTCGCCGTTGTTCCAGCGGTTATCTTGGGATTCTTTCCGTTTCTCGACTGTCCTTGTATGTGTACCCTAACCCATTCCTTTGTAACATCTCAGCTGAAAACAGGCACAGCTGCCGAGCCGAGAATAAATGTGGGAGGCAGAATGAGGCAGAGCATCTGGCGCAGTGCTTCTCGTTCTTTAGCTAATCAGGCCATGGCGCCTCTCCACACAGGAACCCCCAGTTCAAAGGGGTTGGCTCTGATGATACCATGATACAGTAGGCCCTTTGAACAGTCTCTTGGCTATTTAAATTGCCAGCGGCGTATGTACTCTGCCGACACCTGTGGCATAATGATGGCCCGTTGATGTCTGCACCCTCTCTGATGCTTTAAGTGGCTATGGCAAGTAGTTCCAGGCAGAAAGTTGGCCTTGCATGCGAAGAGTGCCGACGCCGTAAATCGAAATGTGATGGTGAAAGGCCTTGCGGATTATGTCTTGATTTTAGAGTGGAATGCGTTTTTGAAGAAAACCGGTCTAAACGAGGGCCTTAAAAGGGTCAGGTGGACGCTTTGAAAGCACGAATAGGTAAGCAGGCTTTCTCAAACTCCGAAGGTGTAATAAGGGATAATAAGCATGAGCTAATCATCTTACTTGATTCAGCCATGCTGGAGCTACAACTGTCCAGCCAGTCACGAGTTGAGTATGTGGATGTCATCAACAGAACCGACACCACAGCTAGGTCACCGGTCAATGCAACAGATTGGAATATGTATTTTGATATGCCACAAGCGGGCTGGAATGAACCATTAGAAAGTGCATCAGAGACGGTTGTTCAAGCTGGATGGCAGATAACGGTATACAGTCACAGTTACAGCAGACACTCATACAATCCGGAGAAGCTACAAATGAGACTTTAGATTCGGCAGGACTGTCTCACCTGATGAGACTAGATCTGTGAGTCTCGATTAAGATCACATAGAAACGAAACTCGAAGCTGATGAATGGTATTACAGTGACCAGCTCTACTTCGATGGAGTGCATCCACTGCTACCTATGATCCATAGACGCTATTACCTTTCATGGACGAATTTTGGCGATGTCCCATTGGCCCAGAAGTGTCTCCGATGGGCTATGAGAGCACTCGCCGCGTCCATGTCATCCCAGTTCCGTTCTCGAAATGAGGAGCTCTATCACAGGGCGAAACAGTGGCAGAGGAATATGAAGCCAGAGATCTCGTACTGCCGTGGCTAAATACATATGTCAGCATAGATAAAGCACAAACATGGCTTCTCCTAGCGCACTATGAGCTCCTAGATCCGAGCAAATATCCGCGAACAACAACTCGACGAGCTTTGCACTCAGTGCATTTGTCGCGTTTACATTGCTCCGATTCAAAGTATCTAGCTTCAGACATTCCCTCTTAGGTTCGGAAACATCTCAATCAGCCCCATCGGGATTCGCATCCGTGGAGGAGAGAAGGAGGACCTTCTGGGTGGCTTTCTGCTTGGATCGCTTCCTGGGCGGATATGAGGAATCTCCAATGACAATCTATGATGAAACTGTGAGTCAGGTATTTTTCTGCCTATATGATAGACTAATCACATATTATAGATATCCGTTCGTCTTCCTTGCCCGGAGTGGAACTTCCAGACCTCTAGCGAAGTTAATATGGGCTTTGCACGCGATGTGCTCAGCGGAACGAGTCCGGCTCCATCATCACTTTTCGCCAAGCTAGTCATTGGAATGGCAATATTCGGACAATGTGTTCTACGGAAATAAATAATTGCCAAATATCCAACTTCCGACCAGGAGAGCCTGGCTTTCTGGGCGCGGCATGAGTGGCTCGCTGCAGCCATAGCCAAGCAGGTTGCACTCGTATCGCCTGATCCAGCAAGCGTAGGCGATGAGCCAATTCAGCACATGACATCAATGGTACATATGGCTCAGCAGTGGCCTTGTCAGACGCCACTAACGTGGTCCCATTGGGGATAGGCAGCCGACAGCACGTTGCCAATGATTATGCCAAGACAGCGTACAAAGCCGCGATTAGCCTGGCAGACTTATCAAAGTCCATGACTGGCTCAACTTTCTTCAAGGTATAGTAAGAGAGTTTCTGGGTACCTCACTATTATTGCTTGGCTTAGACACATATACCTCCCCATGCTACTAGCCAAGGCCTATTTATATCTCGCTGCTCAACCTGAACTTGGCCAGAGTCAGCAGACTGCCAAGGAAAAGTTGATAGCATGGCTGGAGAGCTTGAAAGAGATACATGGCCAAGCGAGGCAGTTTATAGATAGCCTCAAGCTCTGGGATACGGTTGATGATATGAGAGTGGGACGGTGGATCTCATGGCTGACCAAACGGAATGAATCAACTCATAGAAAGCCTCCATCTTTAATAGCCCAAGTATTTGTACACGCTTGGATGTAATAGATGCAATAATAAAGCAATTGATATTAGTCCATGGTACGCAATTCGTTGTGAATACCTGGGATATTAATTCCACATTAACGGAGTAATTATTACCTCTGGCAAGGCAGGTCACATCCCCTTTTATATCAGAGCTCTTGTCTCGACTGCTACTTTGAGTATCCAACTCACCAAAACTGCTACATCTGAAGTCTTGACTGTCTTGGCCGGTACACGATGGCCCCAATCCCACTCGATCACTCGCACGCTATCAATATTGCACCACTGCAGAAATTCTACATACTTGCAAACTAGTGCATCCCTTAATCCATGCACATGAATAGTGGGCAGATACAGTGTCCTTCGCTTTTCTCGATCTCGCTCCTCAGATGCGAACATGTCGCACTCCATCCACATCAGGGGACCAGTATAATATCTTGATTCGGGTACAGCTTGTTCTAGAAGACTATTTCTCAGTATTGAACAGCCATGTCTTGCGTATTGTTTGATGTTATATCATCACTATAAAACACATTAACCGAGAAGATAACCATCAAGCAAAAGGCCACATCTTCTTTCCTTTCAGTCTTATGTTTTAGAAACAAATTGGTGTCCAATTAGTACAGTGGATACAGGGGAGAATACTAATTAGTAATTAGTGGGTTGAATTCAGCTGAAAGCTTGCTCGCCACCTGGCCCCTGGTCGATATTCAGCTTCTCTGGAGTATAATGAACACACGGTAGACCTCTTCTACCTTGTCTGTATTATATGCTATCCATTGGGGCTTTCATTATCCGGACTAGAATAAGGTAGTAACTATAGGGCTCTGAAGGATCATAAACCATCAGTTACTAGGCCAAAATAGTAAGTTTCCGAAGCGTCAAGGTAGTTGGTTGGATCAGGGCAGAAGAAATTAAGAGTAAAGTTATCAACGCCCTTTAGTGTAATAGTTGAGAAGCTAAGTAGACAGCGTTATAAAACTTCAAATAGACATCAACTCCCAGAACATCATGCTGTAATAGCACAGTTACCGACCATTCTAAAGACAGCCCAGTAGTCCACCTCTGGTAAGAACATGATAACATGAGCTACACTCTGGGCCAACTTCACGCCGTTATCAGCCATATACTTCAACGTCCGTAGAATCCAAGCACGCATCACAGAATCTTTTGTATTTCTCGCAGCTGCATATAACGGCGTTAATACACCTGAGCACTCCAGTATCTGTAATGGCGAAAGAGGAAGTGTATTCTGAGACCTGGCCGCCGGAAGTATGAATTGAGGAACAGCGGCGCAGATTGCTTCAGTCACTTCCGTGATGGTCTCAGCAGCTTCGGTGGTAGGGCCAAACGTCTGAATGATATCGCAGACATCAAGACGCATGATACGGTATGCGTTGAAAACCTGAGTCGCGTAGTGGCCGGGATAGACGTCGTAGTAGCGGCCAAAGACAACGGCTTCAGATGTATCTCTCCGGTGTGGCCGCCAAGAGCGCGGTATCTTGCTTTCAGCATGAGAAAATTCATCGTGCAAGTCTCGTGCGCGCCTCACAATATCGCTCGAGTCTAATTTGCCGTTACGCATGTCGGCACGAAGGTTGACAAGAGTGATCAAGAGGCCGATAAAGGTCCACTTGGCGCTCCGTACGTAACAGCCTAGATCATGGTAGAGACCTATCAATGCTTCCGGTATAGGCATCTCTGCGGTACCGCAGCTTAATGTGAGAGCAATCACAGTCCGAGTGGCGAGCTGTTGGATCGTCGGATTCGAAAACTTGTCTCTTGGGCGAGATCGGACTATGGAGAGCGCACCCTGGACATGGCTTAGCCAAGATCCTGGGACCTCTGATAGTTGGTGATGTTGGTAAGCCATTTTCTCATAAAGGTCTAGTAAGAGTACAGTTTGAAGGGTCTCGTCGCTGAGTGGATGGTTGGCTGTAGTACTTTCCGCTTGCAGCGAGGATCGCATGGCCATCCTAAGGCTTCGTATGGCTGCCAAGTAACGTTGGTTTGCAAGAGGTATCAAGTCTTGACGATTCAATTGGAATGCCATGAAGGCCAAGCTGACTGCATCAACAGAGACTTGCAGATGCCCGTTGGGGCCTGAATCCGTCAGGAGGGATTGCAAGGTGTAGAAGCCACGTGAGTAAGCATCAATGTAGAGGGACAGGAATGCATGTCGAGCCGATATATCGGAACTAAATTGAGGTGCGGAGTGTAGCCAACTGGCTGTTCGGCGGGCCAATACCTTTTGCATGGTATTCCGAGTCTCGTCACGGAAGACCAACTCATTGGAGCTGCGGTACCCGTGACAGGTTAGTTTAGCTCTGTGACACTGAGAACAGCCCGTAGAAACTAAGTCGCACTGCGCAGTTCACGTCAGTGCCGTGTCATCAGAAACTCAACATGAGCAACAGTCTAACCAGGGTCCTTACGCGAATCTTCCTCCTTCTACAAGGAGCACAGTCTCTCGATGGGCGGCCGTGGAATACCATATTGCAGGGTTCAACTAGACTCTGGTTTACTGCTATCAACATGTGGTATATTTCTGTTGATTCATGGTGATCGAGGGGTTTGCGGGTGCAATGTTTGCCCATAGCCATTGATCGGCTCTCTCGCGGTGGCTTGCTAATCAATGTCATTGACCAGCGGAATTTTCTCCGGCCTTTCACGGAACGCTAACCTATTAAAGCAAGGTAGCACAACCATGACATCGCTAACGCCGCCTATCCAAGGTTAACTAAAACAATGGGGTCTCGGCCCAATTTTCATCATCTCAGATCAAAGCACAAAGAAACAACATCTCAACCTTAGGCTGGGAGACTCTGTAAACCAAGCTTCTTTTCATATTGCCTAACCTTTCAAAGCAATGGTTCCGTAACAAAAAGTAGACCCGTGAGTCAGAGCTTGGTAAGGTTCCGGCTTTGTAATTCTGATAGTATCAGGATACACCCTTTTTTTAACAGACATCACATGTTACCGCCTGATTGAGACAAATTCAGATCATAAGCTACTTGTATATATAGTAACCTCAAGGTCGCTTGGTACGGTTCTGATCTCTTCGAGAATCTCAATACAAGTATCGCATTGCCTTGCTGCTCTTTGCCTCGGTTCCCAAATCATTAAGCAATGAAGCTGATTGTGACCGGTGCAAGCGGCTACGTCGGCAGCGAAATTATTCGCCAAAGCTTAAAGCTATCTCAAGTTACCAGTGTCATTGCTGTCTCGCGAAAGTTGGTATCTCCCCCAGCTGGTACTATCCCGGCGCGTTTCGAGTCTGTCGTTGTTCAAGACTACGGAAGTTATCCTGATCACGTTCGAGATGCATTCCATGGTGCCGATGCATGCATTTGGTAAGTTCTCTTTCACTATGTCAAGCTTCTCAGTCCAAGAGCTCTCGGCTCAATCATTCCTCTAGGACTGTTGGTATAACGCCTATGATTTATGGGTCACTGGATCCTGCACAAGCACACAAGGTTTGCATTGATGATACAGTGACCGGCCTTCAAAGCATGGTCAATTCCTCACCGACAAAGCCATTTCGCTTTCTGTACATGAGTGGCGCCGATGCGGAGACGGATCAGACCAAGACTCCGACAGTCATGCCTGAATATTTCCTCATGCGGGTGAGTTTCTGATCCAAACATCGACTGGACTTCAACTAATCTGGACACAGGGTGAAGTTGAGAATCAAATCATGAGCTTTGTAAAGCAGCACCCCGGCGAGGTCGTAGCATGTGTAGCGAGACCTGGTTTTATAATTGACGATTCTACGGACGTGCAGGCCTTGAAGTCTCGAATGCATAAGGATGTTCCAATGATCAGGGTTGAGTCTGTTGCGGCTGCACTTTTACAGCAAGCCCTCAATGGATTCGACAAGGAGATTCTCTGGACTGATGACATGAGGTCATTTGACGAGACTGGTTAATTAGGAAAGACTACGAGCATTCACAGTCAATGAATCAGCAGGCTTTATGCTATAGATTGTCTATTACTCTTATTGTTACAGGTGTAGAGCAACAGCGATATGGTATGTCGCCTGAAGTCAGTGTTTAAGAAGGGTAACTTAGAGTTGATACATCTCAAAGCCTCGTTGAGATATCATAAGCAAGGACCATGTAGCTAATGTGAGCTCTTAGAAGACACCTTTAGATGTAAAAGTCCAAATGTCTCAATAGTAACCGGTATGATATGATAAGCGAATTTCTAGTCACGACATGGCCTCAATGTAACCTTATAGTTGATATGGTTGACATCTCTTCGGAAAGGTTACTGTTAGAGTTAACTCGAATGATGTAGGTCACTCAGGATAATTCATTGGCTGTTGTAGCTACCTCTCCACCGTACAAACTCCTGTTATCGATACACTGAGCCAACACACTAACTATACAATGGCACTGACTCTGAGGGCAACTCAGCCGACAATCATCATTCCACCTGTTGTGCAATTGCCGCAATGAGCCCGGAGAATCGCAATTCCAGATCCTCCTTCAATCCCTTCAACCACTCTTCCGGCAGGGGACTCCCCTTTGAGCTCCAAATGAAACGAGTCTTGTTAGGGCTAACGTATTCCAGCGCAGTTGTTCCGAACGCGATCATATCAGGGTAATCAGGTCTTCGCACTCTGAAAGTCATCGAGTAATTCGAAGCGTCGACTTCGGTCATCTCTTCGGAGAACTCGTATCGCTCTCCCTTTTGTGGCCCAGCAGGATACTCATAGCTGAATCTGCGGATGCTGCCGATGCCAAAGCCCTCGAGACTGAGCTTGATGCATCCCGGATACCAGGCCTTCTCTGCCCCAAAGCCTCCCAAGATACCCCAGACTTCGCCGATTGGTGCGTAAATGTCGCGGGTGACAGTATGGTACGGGACGAGCTCTTGAGCTTGAGACATGGTTGTGAAATATGAGAGAAGAGAATTGTGTGGAAATATGATGGTTGGAGTGGTTCTTGATGGAGCGTCACTGTTGATGCTGATGTGTATCAAAGTGACTTATATAGATATTCCTTGGGCTGCAAATTTTCTCCTTTAGTGCCCACTTGGTGGCTTCCTCAAACTTGTCGTATTAAAACTCCATGACCAATATCATTATACTTATGGAAGCCTCCAGAACTAGATGAACCCGTCCACTACATACCAAGATGAATAAAGTTTGCACAGTGAGTTAATTTCAGCTGTCTTGCAAACCATGAGCTTCTCCGGCTCCGCGTATTGCGCCTCTTACAACAATACTGGGGCTATGACGCGAAAAAGAGTAGAATTCACTCCAAGTAGCGAGCAAAGTCAGGAATAAGGGCTCAATTGTTCAACCCAAACTAGCTAGCGTTCCGCTCTCTGTAGATCTGGGGAGTGGCGGACGAATGGAATATCATAAGTGGCGGAGAGTTTCCAGATCTTCCATTTGTCAGCTTCACAGATCGTGGCTTTTCTTGACGGAACGCTAGCTCAGTTTGGACATACGGTACGTTTTACTGATGGATTAGCTGTCAATGCATTAAATCGTACGTCAGATGTTAATCCTAGATATTGAAGCTGCCTGAAGATTAATATTCAAAGCGGAGCTGACAACGTATACACGCTATACATCTATAAGAAGATGACCTGTGAATCAGATAGCAGTTAGTTTGCTACCATCGCATTATATGTCCTTCATCAACCATTCAAACCTTTCACTATGCTTGTTCTAGTCACTGGCGCTACTGGCAATGTTGGCCTGCATCTGATCGACAGCCTTTCCTCTCGTGGGCACAAGGTCAGAGGTCTTGGTCGATCTCCTGATAAGCTCACCGATGAGCAGCGCTCGAATCTCGAGAGCTTCGTCAAGATCCAGAATTACTATGATATTGATGCTTTGGATCGAGCATGCAACGGGGTTGGCGCTGTCATCTGTGCCTATGCAGGAACTCCTGTGATGCACCTGGATGCCCAGCTCCTCCTCCTACGCGCCGCCGAGCGAGCTGGTGTTACTCGCTTTCTCGCTGCCAGCTGGAATTGCGACTGGAGACAGCTTCAGCTTGGCATGCATCAAAGTTACGATGCATGCATTGCCTTTTATCAACAGGTCAAGCTGACCTCAACCATAAAGCCCATCTGGCTCTTGACGGGGGGTTTGACCGAGGTTTATTTCTCTGTTCCTGGTCATGGAAACTTCTCTCCTGCCTATAATGGCCCATGGGATCCAGAGAATAAAACTGTCGACATCTGGGGAACTGGCCATGAGAAGTGGGACTTGACCACGGAGAAGGACGCAGCTGAATTTTCTGTCGCCGTCATTGAGCGTGACGATGCCCCTGAGGGAGGCTTTTGGGAACTGCACTCTGGGGCCTACTCGCCCCGTGAGCTTGCAAAGATCTATAAAGAAGTCAGAGGTATTGAGATAACCTTTAAAGACCGGGGTTCTCTCGACGATCTCAGGAAACTTGCCTACAGTATGAGGGAGCAAAAGCCCTATAACGACTATTATGGCTTCATTGGACTTTTCTACCAGCTGTTTCAGCTCGATGGGACTTATTCACTCAAAAACATTGACAACGATAAACTGAATGTCAAGACTACTTCGATGGAAGAGTTCCTTCGACAGAATCCCGACATCTGAACCCTGAAAGTCAATCTAGAGGCTCAGTATATGGGGTTGTCAATAAAAGGAACTTCAGCCTAGAGGAATAGGTATAGATTTCTGTTGTTCAACAACTCATTTACACGATAGTTGCCTATAGTCAGTTGGGTGAATAAAACATGTATTCCATGCAGGATCTAGATATGTTATCTGCAGTCGAGACTTGTGGCTGAGAGTTTATAGTCACCACAAAGAACTTAGTATCACATGAAGACGAAATAAGGTTGCACTTGTAGCTTGTTTCCTTTAACGCCATCAACTAGTCAAGACACCGAGGCGTGTTTTCTTAGTCGTACAGTAATACACACAAACTCCGCAACTAGATAACTGTCGATATTGTATTGATCACGTCGATTCATGTGATCTCAAACGATGGCACGTAGTCAATGAACGTGAGTACGTGGCACGCGTGTCCGATGCTGAAACTGCTCAGATTCGAGCTGCTCACCTGCCTTGTAACCCTCGAACCTTTTCCCTTACCAAGAATTTTCAGTTTCTATTACCTCTTTTTAATCATTGCCCCACCCATCTTATGCCTTGGAAAAACGAGATAACGGAAAGCTAGCCTTTTGAGGATTGGTGTTGGTCTACCTACTGTACAGCACCTGAGCACATGAAGGTGGCCGGACAAAATTAATGTCCATGATTGCAAACACAACCATTGACGAGCTAGCCTAGACTCTTACATTAGCAATCATTGAGACTAATGCCGACAGTAACTCCGGGCACTCGCCCTTTGTTTTGGACAGGTTTGTCAGCTGTACTCGTAGAGACATGAAGCTCATACCAAGCGAGATCAGCCACATCGCCGACTTATAAAAGTCTAGCAATGGAGTTGCAGTATCTTTTCCACAGTTCCGAAGTCTTTCTCCAAAATAGACAGATCAACCATCACTTGTACTCCCAATTTCATCATGACTCTCAAGCTCTACGGCCATCCAGATTCATTGTGCACCCGCCGAGTTCTGCTCGTCTTGACAGAAAAAGACATCGACTATGAGTCTATAACTATGAACTTCATGGCTGGAGAACAAAAGGTACTTCTTCTCAATAGCTACAGTTCTCTTGACTTCTAACTCGATACTAGCAACCACCTTATCAAGAGATTATGCCGTTTGGCCAGATTCCTGCTCTCGAAGATGGTTCACTCCGTCTCTATGGTACGCACTCACACACTGACCATACAGCCACTGCTAGAATCTAACTCGCTGTAGAGTCCAGAGCCATCTCCCGCTATCTTGCTTCTAAATACCGTGGGCAGGGCAATGACCTTCTTCCAGCCGCTGATGATGTTGAGGGCTGGGCTCTTTTTGAGCAGTTTGCGTCGGTGGAATACTCCCAAGTCTTTGATATCGCGCTTCAAGTTCTATTCCTGAAGCTCTTCAACCCGTATGTTCTAGTGCACTATCAATCATCACTCCGCTAACTTTTGCAGGGCCATGGGTATTCCTTCGGATGAGATTACTACCAAGAGCAGTGTCACGAAGCTTCACGCTAAGCTTGACGTCCTTGAGAAGATTCTTGCTACTCAGGACTATCTTGGCGGCGCTGAGTTTACTATTGTGGATGCATTCTACATGCCGGCTGTACATATGCTTCACCAAGTTGGCGAGGGACCTGCATTTGAGCAGCGTCAAAACATCAGTTCCTGGTGGAACAGAGTCTCTAGCAGGGAATCCTGGAAAAAGGTCAATGGAAACTAGAATTCGTAATAAGCGATAGCTAGCTTTTATTTTTTCCCTCTCTGAACCCTCTACATAACCATTCTACCCTTTTACCACTACGGTCGAGGGAAGTCTGCAAGTTTCAGCCCTGTGATTTCCTTTTCGGCTGCCATTATCAAGGGCCCAATAAGATCCTTCAGGCGATAGTTATGCTTAACAAGAGTTCCAGGCTGTTCTGGGCTTTCTGCCGTTGGAGGATTAGGAACAGCATTGGAACTAGCCTTACCACCAAACAAACCACCAGTTCCAGACTGGGAAGATTCTCGAGGACTAATAATATTCTGAGGCACAGTAGATGTACCAAAGAGATTACCGGAAGAATGAGAGGGGCCACTGAAGTTGAAAGGCGCTCGAGAAGTATTGGTGCTCTGAGGAGCAGTAGGGGCACCAAAAAGACTCCTGGAAGACTGAGGGGGGCCACTCAAGCCGGCAGTACGCTGAGGTGTTGATCCAGAAGCAGTATTGGTCCCAGCTTGTGTAGGTTTGGGCTGACCCTGGACAAGATCAGATTGATACCCACAAAGACCTCCAGCCACGAGGGTCGTAGATGTAGGATCAAGATTCTATCTGCCAGAATAATTGATGACAGGACCTTGGCTTTGCGGTCCGAAATATGCTGGTGACTGCACGTTTGTTAACGACGCGAGAAGAACGTCGAGGGATAGCTCAGGGAATGGCAATGAAGGGCGTGGGTAGATGCCCGACTTCTTCATTCCTTGCAATAAACTCCCCAGTAGCATAGCTCGGCATGCTTCATTGCAGCCCACTTTGGCTTCAAGGATCTTGGTCTGAAGATTCTCCAAAACATCGATAAGACGCTGCAAAATGTCCGTTCTGGTGCTTCCAATTTGGCCTTGATTGTTAGTTGAGGTCATGTATCTTGACTGGCTAACGTACCGGAAACGTCCGCCCGGATTGGCAATTCATATGTCGCTACGACATCTTCGCTGTATCTATAGCCATCTTGGTATAAGTCTCAAAAAGTGCTGCATGCTCAAAAACAAAGGAAGCGAGGAGAAGTTGAGCCAATGCTTTGCCCCTAATCTCTTCACTCCCGTGCAGCCGACCAAAGAGCCAGTTCGTACTGAAAAACGCTACAGCCGCATGACATTCTAGATCGTCAACGATCGTCGCAATGCCGGCTAGTAGATCTAGCTTGCGCGTGGGGTACTCCACGTGTTTTGCCATGGATGATCTTCAAGACAAGCTCAAATGCCTCATCGTTGAAGATGCCTTCGAATTTCCAGTGATAAAGGCCATCTGTCTCTATTGAAGCCTCTTTGAATTAACTGGAGAAGAGCTTTGCTACACGGCGAGATGCAAGGGTCAGGTATTTCTTGGAACAGAGGAAATGCTTCTCAATGGGAGTGTCTGGAGTCTCAGATTGGGAGGAATCCTTCATGATTGGAAGAATGACGAGAGTATCGCCCTCAGGGTCGATCTCAATGCGCTTGTTGGACATGTTGAATAGATTGTGCTGTGAACATTTGTTGGAGTTGAGTTGTCTCAGCTTCTAATCCCTTCCCCACTTCGGGTTGCTAATTTAAGGTCGACCCGCCAACCAGATAAGGACAAGCACCTACTTTACATAAGCCAAATCAATCAAGAGTCGAACTCGATTACTATTATTTCAGTGTTTCTACCATCGTAAGCTACATATTCGTATACTGAACAGTCGTAGTACGCGTCTGCAGTATCCCGTCCTCACTATCATTATCCCCCGTTGGGTTATTTTCCAGAGACTCATCCGATCTACCGCTATAGACGTTGACATCCGTCTTACCCATCCCTTCAGGTCGTAAGCTTACTCTGTTGAAGTGAGTATCATGTTCCAGCTCCACGAGCGTGTCGAACTTGCGTCGTGGACCATTAGAACCGCCAAAGGTATGGAGACCAAAGTTGGCGCTTCCACTCTGTTCTTCACTGCCTTTACGTGTGCTTTTGTCGCCGAGGACTCGAGGGGCGACGTTCTTGAGAAAGACACGCAGTGTTGGGAGGGAGCCGCACATGATGAGAAGGTTGGCTTCGATGATACTGTTTGTGTCAGAGATGTTCTATCGAAGGAGACTGGGGACTTACACCCAGAGACAACCTTCCGCCAATGACCAACTTTGGTCGGGATTTGACAGGCTCGGCAACAGCAGGACCAGCCGGACAATGGACGTGATGAGAGTGATGGAACCGATGGCAAATAGGCCGACGAGACCAAGCTTTTGTCGAGTAGACATTTGTAGACCGATGACAGTTGGAATGGGTAACACCAGCAGCATCACATCAGTGATGCAACCAAAGGCAGCCTGGGTGATGTAGATGGGAGGACGATTGATGCAGGTAGCCCCAACTGACATCCTAACATCCCATCCTGCAGCGATGGGCTTGCATGCAAACAGAACACTGAACCAGATACCCACGAGACTAGCTGTGCAGAGGAATCCGGTGAAATAGACCGAGTATTGATACCATAGAGACGGCGAGAGGCGGTAGTAGAAGAAGCAGAGCGTCAGTTTCGAGAGAATTGTCGTCGGGATGTATGTCAGTGTCGTACACATGACTAGTAGTGCAGACTCGGTGTTGCTGTCGATTGGCATCTCCCATGCATGAACGCCGAGTAGTTTGCGACTGTATGCGTTGAGAAGACATGATTGAGCCGCAATAGAAAGGACCTAAATGATCAGTAAGTGTCTTTGAAGCAGACCGGTTCTCGTACCCAAGCGAAAAGAATTAAATCTGTAAAGAGTTAGGAGGGTTCCATGCAGGCAAGATGGTAAACTTACAGTCGTCAATCAAGAACTTTCGCAAAATCACTGCATTCGTATACATCCGCTGCCCCAAAAACGCCGTCGCTATAGCAAACTCCAGTCCAAAAATCCAATACGCATTCCTCACCATCGACGCATCAGTCTCTGGGTTCTCAAAGTCAACTCTGTACCCATTTGGAGGCGGCACTGCAACCTCAACACCATTGACGACAGGAAACGACATCGTAGCAAGCTTTGAATCGGCCGAGAGTTTATTCTCGCGTAGTGCAACTTAGAACGACATGACGGGGTGAAATGGAAAAGGATGAGGCGCAAAACCGTTAGGTGTCAACTGGGCATCAAGTCTTAAAAATCTCCAAAGTCACATCGTCTACTGATATACAGCTGAACGTGATTTGATGATCACTACGCAAAGGGGTAAATTCGTTATATTTCCTACAAAATTCATGTGTCAATCCGTGAGAAAAGAGACGACAAAAGGTTACTGGGGTTGAACCTTAATTATTGGGGAATCGTCAGGCGAGATTAGAGGAAAAATAAAACGTCAAACTTGACGGGCCGTCCGGGTAGAGAGGATTAGTTATCCCGGCCTTCCGTAACAAGTCTAGGCTTGAGAGAAAAGACAGGCTTTAGCTGGTCTGTTCTCACGGTGATTCCGCTCTGTAACGGGATATGAACAAGGGTCATGACTCGGGATCAAAGGATCGTCATGAATCCCCGCCTTTTACGGTTGAGAACGAACCGTCAGCCCCAACTGCCGATATAACGTTCGGGTAATATCCCCTGAGGGTTGCAGGATGTAGAGTCGTTCGCATGTGCCGCTGATTAAGGGAAGAATGGTTCCCCTGAAAACCTTCGCCTTGAGTTCACCGAGACTTTGGGCTGTATCTATTTAGAGGCTCGTCAATCCACAGTCAACACAGACTTTGAGCTAGCTTTCAGGGCAAAAGCGTGACATCGATTGTGCGTTTAAGCTTGATTTAGCACTAACATCTCGTCAATCTAAGTCGTACTGGAAATAATCTGTTGAGTTGGCTGTGAAGTGATCTAAGCACTGGTGATCAGATAACCTGTACCAACCGACTCCGTCTCGTACATGGTATTTCATACTGTCTGGCTGGATGCCTTACCGTCTTTACCTTGCTCACCTGTAGGATGAACCATGATAATCCCGGGGTCATCGCCGAAAACGACTAAAGATCAGCTATGCAGGATCAACCAACATGCATAATCGAGAATAATGCCATGGATCCCTTACCAAATCCAACCTCCAATCCTTCTGACCAACCAATCGCATCCCTCCTCCCCTCAAGCATTCGACTCCATCTGCGTGATTTTTCCCTATGAACAAGGATCTTGACCCGGAAGTTCCTCAGTCGTATCTGTACAAGACGATCTTGACCATCAACAAAAGGTACCCAAGTTCCCGCACAGACTTGTCCTCTCAGATCTTCTCTCCCAAGGTAACATCATATTCCGTTTCATCGCAATCATGAAGACGAGCACATCAGTCTTGGCTTGGGCATCAGCCCTCCTCGCAGCTTCACCCGCTGTAGCCATGGAGACTTGCGTAAGCTATTTCTGTCGCATTCAGGAGATGTCACTGACCTTTCGCGTTTCAGTGTGCCTCACTTGAGGCAAAGGGTTTGAAGCACGTTTACTACCCCGATAGTAACGGCTACAAGACCCGCACTGAGTCGTACTTTTCTGTGTCGTCGCAGCTGCAGCCTTATTGTATTGTTCAGCCTGAGAGTGCCAAGGATGTATCTACGATTATCAAGACTTTGACATCTGATACAAAGTGTAATTTCGCGATTCGAAGTGGTGGACACACCGTTTGGGCAGCGAATAACAGTGAGTCCAGATGCTCGCTTGATTGAGTTTGTCTAATTGCTTGCAGTTAACGATGGTGTCACTATTGACATGGGTAAGTTTCTTTTGCGATTGGTTTAACACGAAACAGCTAACCATGCATAGGATTGTTGAACAAGACCACGTATGTCAAGAACACAAAGGTTGCTCAGATCCAGGCTGGTTCCATTTGGCGAGATGTCTATGGGGCTCTTGAGCCGTATGGTGCTACTGCTGCTGGCGGTCGCACATCGACTGTCGGTGTCGCTGGCTTCTTGACTGGAGGTGGCAATACCTTTTATACTGCCCGTCGTGGATTCGGCTGTGACCAGGTTGTCAACTTTGAGGTTGTCCTCGGTGACGGGTATGTATCTGCACCCCATAACGACGTATGCTAACGTTTCACAAGACGCATCGTCAATGCCAACAAGGACAACAACCCCGACCTATGGAAGGCTCTCAAAGGCGGCTCAGCCAACTTCGGTATCGTCACCCGCTTCGACGTCCAGGCCTTCGACGCTCCTCTCCTCTGGGGTGGCCTAGTCACCTACTCGGCCGAAGAAACCACCGACGCGCATGTCCAAGCCTACAAAGACTGGACTGATAATATTGTCAACTACCAAGATGGATCTGTTATTCCTTTCTGGAGTTACACTCCTCAGGCTGGAAAGATCGGTATCACGGTGTCATACGAAGATACAACTGGTGCTGTGGCTCCAAAGGCGCTAGACGAGTTCTGGAAGATTCCTTATGAGTCGTCCAACTTGCGCAAGGATACCCACCGCAACATGACGATTGAGCTTGAGCTAGTTGCTGGCTATCGGTAAGTAGCTGTTGACCCTCTTGTTGACCAAGACTGATCCCATTAGCAACGTCTGGTTCGCCATCACCTTCAAGAACGATCTCGCCCTGTACAAGAAAGCTCTGGAGTTGCACAAGCAATTCGTCAGTGATTGGAAGGCTCAATCACCTGACGGCGACTTTATCTGCCACGCCATCTTCCAAGCCATCCCCACCATCTTCTCCAAGCACTCCCTCGAACGAGGCGGCAACGTTGTTGGTCTTGATCGCGAGAAGGATAACGCCGTCATGTTCCAAGTACAGCTGATGATCAATGGCGTCGAGCAAGAGAAGATTGCTCGTGAGCGTATGGTTCGCTTCCGCAAGACTATGAAGCAATACAGTATCGACCAGGGCGCTGCTGTCGATTGGGAGTATCTCAACTACGCCGACTTTACACAAGACCCTCTTTCTACTTATGGTCCTAAGAATGTTGAGTATATTCGCAAGGTTGCCAAGAAGTACGATCCCAAGGGAATATTCCAGACTAGATTGCCTGGTGGATTCAAGATCTCCAAGGTTGCCTAAGGTGCAGCAGTAGAGTCTTTGATAGGAAGTTAAATGCAAATATTAGACACGTCGTTTAATTCATTCGACTCTTGAACCGCATAATTACTGTGCCATCTGTATGCGCCTTGGGTCGGCTCTACGTCACCCACCTAACAGGGGTCCTGACACTAATCATTTACCCGCGTGATGGAGCGATGCAGGGTAAGAGAATACCTGATGGATGATGATCCGCACATGCTGAGACAAGACAAAGTCGTATGGTGTTTAATGTACTGATAGTCATTCTTTATTTGTAAACTTACGTCCTCAACCTGCCAAAGCTTCTGTCTGCTGGATAGGGACATCTAAATCCTGTAGACACTGCTGTCTTTTAAAGTAACATTGAAATAGAATGCATGTTGCATCACAACTCAAAGCACAGCTTCAACGCGTCGGGAATTATTGTACCCAGGCGTGTATTGGCATATAAGCTTGTTTTAACGTTATCCAGACCTCTTATTCGCAGTCTGTAATTGGCGTATCGGTTACATGGAGATATTTGGTTAGTGTCATCGCACAGGCAGATCCACTGCACCATATTCCTAAAAGGGACAAAAGAGCGAGGTGCTGACATGAGATGTCATGATCTGATGATAATCACTTGCATTCTCTACCTCTGAGATTTGCATTCGGGAACCGCGGACAATTGGATATAGCCAAGAGATTTTCCGCGGCCACCGTTCTTGTCATTGAGGCAATGATACAGCTCGCGGATTCATTCCGATGCAGATGGAATCAATGGACGAGATGATCGTTCCAGGTATATATAGAGACAGCCCAGTAAAACATTAAACAAACTCAATCCAACAAGAATTAGAAGACTATTACAATGATTCCTTCTCCCTTTGTTGACGTTATTGTTATAGGCGCTGGTCTCAGTGGCCTCCAAGCAACTGTAGACCTTGACAAAGCCGGTCTCTCATACATCGTTCTTGAAGCCAATGATCGGGTTGGAGGCAAAACTCTCTCTGTCCCAAGCTCTTCGAAAGGCGATGGAATAGTCGATCTAGGCGCTGCATGGATAAATGACAGCAGTCAGAAAGAGATATACGCCTTGGCCCAAGAATTCGGCTTCGACCTTATCGTCCAGAGAACAGAAGGACTGTCACTCGATCAGTCGAATGGAACTACTCGTGCCATTCCCTATGGTCAATTTGGAGATGTAAGTTTACTTGAGCCTTGATGTACTCGACTAACTTTGAAGTTTACGGATGAGCAACTCGCTGAAATTCTGTCAATCATGACGAAGCTGCAAGAATATGTTGATCGATCTAACCTTGAACATCCTCACCTTGGGCCCGATGCTGCAAAGCTTGACTCCATGACTTCCCTGGAGTTTGCTAGTAAAGAATTCGGTGAAGGAATTGCCGAGGTTCTCGTGACAATGTTGGCTCGGGATCTTCTTGGAGTCGAAGCGGATGAGCTCAGTGCTTTGTTTCTCATTGATTATATCAAGAGCGGAACTGGTCTTGCAAACATATCATCCGACAGAAAGGATGGCGGGCAGTACTTGCGTAATCGTCAAGGTGAGTCCAAGGTCTCCATATGAACTCAAGCTAACAGACCAGGCAATGAGAGGTTTGCAACTAAGCTGGCCACTAAGCTCTCCAAGAAGAACATCAGACTCAACTCGCCCGTGGTCAAGGTCATCCAGGATAAGAAGGGATGCACCGTCAAGACGAAGAGCGGCCATAAACACCACTCCAAGAAACTCATCCTTTCGGTCCCGACATCTCTTTATCCCAAGATCGACTTCGAACCTCACCTGCCACCAGCGAAGAAAGAGCTTGGTGACTCTACTGAACTCGGCTACTACTCCAAGTCCATTCTGGTGTTTGACGAGCCCTGGTGGCGTAATGCCAACCTCTCTGGAGTACTGACATCTATGGATGGTCTTGTCTCGTTTACGCGAGATACCTGTGTTCCAGAGGACAAGCAGTACAGCATCGCTTGTTTCCACGTCGGCCAACCCGGACGAAAGTGGTCCCAGCTTTCTGCAAAAGAACGCAAAGATACAGTGCTGAAGCAGTTTAATGACGCTTTCGGTACAGTTGTCGATAACGTCCCCAAGCCAATTAATATCATCGAGAAAGACTGGCTAAAGGATCCTTGGTTTTTGGGAGGACCTGGTCCTGTGATGAAGCCTGGGTTGTTGACTGGCGCTGGAAAGTCTATTCGTGATCCATTCAAGAACATTCACTTCATCGGGACGGAGACCTCTGTTGTCTGGAAAGGTTATATGGAGGGGGCCATTAGATCCGGTATTCGAGGTGCTCGTGAGGTTATCGAGGCACTTGACTGATGGGCTTATCTAACCTTGAGCATCATTGAGAAGGATTGGGCGAAAGATGACATAGACGGCGACTAGAGCTATCGCGTTGCTTCTTTTGCAGATAAACAGAACCTTTACCTTGTTTAACACCCCTTCCTCAAATTCTGTGACCTGGTAAAATTATGCGGCGTACGTGCTGGTACCCAGGACATGGGAATTGAGGGAAATGAGGTCGCAGATGTGTACGCGAAGAAAGGCTGCTCTAAAGAGCCTCTTGATCTCCCTCTAACCCTTGTCTTTATAATAAGACAAGCCATAGCTATGATGCGCGATGAGATTGCGAAGTGGTGGACAAATAGCATGCCTGAGCTATATATACTCCGCGCGTCTGTTCGCTTAGTGAGTAGGTCTGAGTACCTGAGGTAACATACTTAACTCTAGGCCTCTAGTCGGCCTCAGCCCTTCAGAATTGTAGCATTTTTATAGTTTTTTTTATTTTTAGAAAAGATAGAAACCAATGGTAGATCTAGGCCGCTAACTTAGTAGTCTATACAGGATGAAAATAGGCTGCTGGCCCTAGACCCTTTGTCTTTTATGTACTTGCGACTCTTCCTGACAAGACTTCCCTTCTTCCTCTACCGACCATTTCCGCATATCATGACGGCTCGCGTGCATTAGTGTTGAATGTTGAGGGTTCACCCTTCACCCTCAACTTCAGGATTAAAGTTTGAAGTCCCAAACTTAGACCGTAGGACTTTCATCTAGGACTTTCTAGGACTCAAGTCCTAGAAGGAACCGGTTGAAGATAGAAGGTCTCAAAGGTCCTTCATTTGCGAGAGGATCAAGCAATACACACAATTTGACTTCAATGTCTGACAGTTAGGCATCACCACAGCTGTGTGTTACCGCCCAAGCCAGCACATTGGCTGCAAGCTTTTCGCGTCTCACGACCCCGCAGAGGTACGAGCCTCTAGAAATATCAAATCGGACAGGCGTGATTAAGTAATCTAGCATCAGGTCCTTCCATATTTTGTCAGCCCTATCGGACAAGAAACCTTTCCACCAGCAGGCATCCGTATCTCTCCAGGAAGAATGTCTGACACTGACGAGGTCGACGAAGTGATCCGAGACGCGAGAAGAGCGCTAGATCAGATGCCACAGGATCACCATGACAGGGCTGCCTACCTAGATGAGCTCGGAGTCGCACTCGGAGACCGATTCTCGATAACGGGAAACGCAGTCGATCTCGAAGAAGCCATCCAACTTAGCAGGGAAGCTGTCAAAATGACACCAGTGGACTCACCAGACAGGGCCGGGCGCTTGAGTAACTACGGAATCAGACTCGCGGAGAGATATTCCGTGAGGGAAGAAATTACTGACCTCAAAGACGCTATCCATATTATGCGACAAGTCTTAGAGGTGACCCCAAGCGATGATCCTGATAGAGCCATGTACATGAACAATCTCGGTACTGCGCTCGCCGACCAATATGCTCAGACCAGCAGAATGGCTGATCTCGACGAGTCTATCGAAATCACGCAGAAAGCCATTGATGCAGCTGTAGACGACTACTCGGACCGGCCTATGTATCTGAATAGTCTTGCGCTTCGTCTTGGGGATAGATATGCGAGAATAGGGGAGGAAGCCGACCTTGAAAATGCCCTCGGTGTCATACGAGATGCCATCAATTTAACACCAGACGACTCCCCAGATCGGGTCCTATATTTGAATACTCTAGTTATTCAACTAGGGCGCCAATACTCAAGAACAGGAGCAATGGCTGATCTCAAAGAGTCCATCCGAGTCGCGCAGAACGCGGTCGATAAAACGCCACTCCATGACCCAGACCGGCCAATGTATTTAAACAATCTAGGACTGGCACTTGGGGACCTATACTCCGTAACCAACGCAGATTCAGATATTGACAATGCCATTTTAGCCTTGAGGCTAGCCTTTGACCTAACCCCGGAAGACTCGACAAGCCGGGCGATTTACATGCACAACCTTGGCAATCAAGTTGGACGCAAGTACTCGAAAACAGGAGCAACAACTGATCTCGAGGAATGTCTCCGACTTATCCGAAAGGCGATCCAATCGGTAACGACGGACCACCCAGACCGAGCCAGTTGGCTAAACAACCTTGGCGTTCGTCTCAGTGAGGGTTACTTGAGGGCAGACACCACAGCAGACCTTGGAGAAGCCATTCGAGTTACCCAGGAAGCAATCAACACAACACAAACAATAACAGACAAGGTGACATACCTATGTAACTTGGGGAATCGACTTGGGGAAAGATATTCGAGGACAGGATCCACCGCGGACATTGATAACGCCATTGAAGCCATACAGCAGGCGATCAGCATGTCACCGGCCAATTCCGTCACGCAAGCTATGTGCTTGCTCAGCCTTGGAAACCGATTTGGGGACAGATATGACGTGGAAGGGATAATAAGTTATCTGGATGAATCTATCCGCATTCTGCAACAAGCAGTTGATATGATGCCAGAGAACCACTTAGGCAAGGCTGCATTCTTAAATAACCTCGGGGTCCGACTAGCAGCCAGATATACCTCGGTCAACGCGATAGTCGACCTTGAAAGCACCATCCAGATGACAAGGCGAGCGGTTGAGATGACACCGCAGAGCAGCCTAAATAGGGCGCTGTTTTTGCATAATCTTGGAGCCGCCCTTGGCGATATGTACACCCGGATGAACAAAACGGCTGACCTCGAGGAAGCTATCCAAGTCGCACGGGAAGCAGCCGGCATGGCTCCAGGTGGTCACCCTAACAGGGCAATGTATCTGAACGGCCTTGCAATTCGACTAGGCGACAGATACTCTAGGGGGGGCACGGGCTCGATGTCAGATCTCAGCAATATTATCGAAGCGGCCAGTGGAGCAGTTAGTGCAATACCAAGTGTTCACACAAAAAGACCTGTATATCTGAATAACCTGGGGATTTGGCTCTTGGAAAGATACACAAGAGAGAAAGCAAAGACCGATCTTGACGAGGCTATCCGAGTTTTGCAAGAAGCGGTCAACACGACGCCAGAGAGTCACCCCGATAGGGCCAGGTTTCTCATCAATCTCGGCACCGGCCTCGACCACAGGTACGCGATAACAGGCGAATCGGCGGACCACGAAGGGGCCCTCTCTCAGTTCCAATCAGCCCTCCGCGAGCCGAACTATCTCCCCATCGATCGCATAGCAGGTGGTATAGCAGTTCTTCAGATCTGTGCCACCACTTCGGACTGGCAACAAGTATGCGACGCTTTAGAAGTTGCCGTCAGTCTCTTGCCAAAATTGACTGCGCGATCTCTCGAAAACCCCGACAAACAGCATCTGCTCGGCCAGGTCGTCGGCCTAGCTTCCAATGCCGCAGCGGCGGCTTTGAATGCTGGTAGAGGCCCAACTGTTGCGCTGAAATTCCTCGAGCAGGGTCGGGGAGTGCTTGCGACGGCGCTCGAGGAGATGCGGACGGATGTCATAGAGCTACAACATAGTTGCCCCGAACTTGCAAAGCGATTTGTCGACCTTCGAGACGAGCTAGACCCTCCGGTCGCGCGTAACACCTTTCACTCGGACGAACACGGCGGTTCCAGTCAGCAGGCTCGAGCGACTCGGCGCTACGACGCGGGCAACAAACTCGACGAGCTGATTACCGAGATTCAAAGACAGCCCGGGTTTGAGGACTTCTTGGCTGCCCCGAGCGAAGCAGAATTGAAGGCTGCTGCGAGGTGCGGTCCCATCGTCGTCATTAATACCAGCGAGTACCGCTGCGATGCGATACTCGTGGAGCAGCACCAGATACGGTCCGTGCAGTTGCCCAAGGATATGGAGAAAACAGCGCGGGACTGTGACCCTGGGAAGGCCGAAACCCTGGAATGGCTTTGGGACGCGGTCGCCCATCCGATCCTGGACGCCTTGGGCTTCACTCACCGTCACGACCCGTCGCTCGGGAAATGGCCGCGCATATGGTGGGTTGCTACGGGCATCATGACCAAGTTCCCGCTTCATGCCGCCGGGCGCCACAACGATGCGTCCGCCGAATCTGCCAGCGTGCTGGATAGGGTCATGTCGTCATACAGCTCATCTATCAAGACAATCATACAGAGCCGACGGCGTCGTCGTGGAGAAGCTGCATCGCCAGCCCCGTCCCGGGCGCTTCTCGTCGCTATGGAGCATACGCCAGAACAGACCAGTCTTCCTTTCGCAGCCAGAGAGATAGAGATGATCCGTGACTTGGTCAAAACGATGCATCTGGAACCTATTGAGCCAGGACAGCACAAACATGACATCATAACACACTTGCCGCAATGCAAGGTATTTCATTTCGCTGGTCATGGCCATACAGATGGTCACGATCCAATGAGAAGCCGTCTGCTTCTAGAAGATGGAAAGGAAAACCCACTTACAGTAGCTAACCTCCTAGAGATGAACCTCCGTAAGCACTTGCCTTTTCTTGCTTACCTCTCTGCGTGTGGAACCGGCCGGATCAAGGACAAGAGATTCGTCGACGAGAGCATCCATCTGATCAGCGCCTGCCAGTTGGCAGGCTTTCGGCATGTCGTTGGTACCCTATGGGAGGTTAATGATGAACTATGTGTAGACATGGCGAGGATCACGTATGAAGGTATAAGGGATGGATTCATGACAGATGAATCGGTATGTCAGGGGCTGCACAACGCAACTCGACAACTCCGAGATCGTTGGCTCAACATGCCGATAAAATCGGGATTTCCTTTCGCAGAAGACGAGACATGCAGCGGGAGTGCAAGTAACGGAGATCGAAGGCACGACAGATTGCCGAGAGATATTATTGCGTGTGATGACGACGAGACCAGGCCATTACATTGGGTCCCTTATGTTCATTTTGGCGTGTGATTTACTTCTTCAGATCGTGACGTACACCTTGAAAGAAATAGCTCTCATTTGTGATTGGTGCATATCCGAGATTGGCTCAGCATTAACCCCCGAGACTCAGGTCATGATCATTCAAGCAGTATCTTCATACAAAGCATCAATTGACAGTGTCAACTGGTATTCCTATATTCAACTGCATGCTATTGCTGCCCCTGATCGCCCCGGCCATCCGGATTATATGTAGCCAGATTCTGAAACCCTGATTGTTCCCTCCGAAGTGCACTCAACTTCTCCTTCAAGTACTCCCTCTGATTCTGATGAATCCTATCAAAGCTCAAAAGAAACGTGACAAGAAACAAAAAGTCCTCAACTCTCGCTTCAGCATCTTGTTCTTCTCCAGGGCCAATCGGCAACGCCAACACATCAGCCACAGTACTTGTGATCTCAAATAACTTTTGCAGAATCCCTGATCCATGTAGGCCAATACTCTCAACCCTCTCTAATCGAAGAACCACATTCCGAAGTTGAGTCGACAATCGCTGTGCGGGAAAATGCATCGAAAAACCCTCGTGAGAGTTCTGCGGTGGTGCAGATTGCAAAAGACCTTGAGATAATGCAAGCTGCCATACCAGAATTCTCATCCATAACCGGGTAATAAAGAGGTCAACATGCTGAAGCTCCGTCAAACCCCAGCCTTCAGATACCAACGCGTTATCAGTATCCGCAGCATCAATCTCATTCTGGTCAAGTTGAGCTTGTTTATGCTCGATCCATGCAGCAGTCATCTCGGGAGCCGCGGACTGTGGATCCTGTTGAGCTCTCCAGTGAGCCAAAAACGTATCATCCAGGACGTGAAACAGCTCAATCAGCCGATTGAAGCCTTCGTTGACGTGGGGAGGAAGTTCGTGATCTGTTGCGGGAACACTCGGGTTCAATGAGGGAAGAATAGCAGGATGACCGGCGACTACAGTGAGGAAACGTTCGTGGATGGAAATCTCGCAGTATAGACGCTGTCGCGTTGCTAATTCGTGGTCGGTTAGTGAAGCATCCTTGTATCGATCCAAGTCGAGCATTTGAATCATTGCAATAGCTTCCCGAAGAATGACAAAGCTGCGGTCGAATCGCTTGAACGCCATGAGACAGATCTCCAGGAATACACATGTTACAATGCGTTTGACAGTCACTGGTAACCTCCCAAGAATCCCGACTCCCATCTCGGATTGTCTATGCGCTTTGAAGCTCAGATTCATGAGCTCTGTGATTCTGACAGGTGCTTCGCCCTCTGAATCCCATGATGTCTGTGTCAGGTTGATGGTAACAGCAGCGTATGCGTATACAAGCGCAGCATCCTCAAAGCTTTGATCCATCCCCTCAATTGCAGCCACAATTTCTGAAGGCAGAACAATTGGGTTGACTGGAAAAACAACGCGTTCATAGTCGAGTAAGAGGTTGAGAAAAAAGTCTGAAGAATATGCCGATCCAATGCTCGTGGGTATAGAACTATAGGCGACAGGCGAAGGATCATCAGTCTGTGGAGAAGCCGAATTGGATCTTGCATCATCTGGCCTTGTCCCCTCCCGTATCTGCGCTACCAATCGCCCTCGTACAGTTGGTCTTCGCTTGGATGTCGCAGCGGAGTAGACGCATGCCAGGTTGAGATGGCCACATTGTGAACAAGGGACTGAGCCGTTGCATTTGACCTTGCGAACGCGACATGGATCGCAAGCTTTTGAGATTCTTCCGCTCATTGTTGATTGATTGAGGAATGAAGCGATCGAGACGAAATGCGGAGTCGAGAGGCACGAGATTTATCACGCTAATGAAGTTTGTTGGTTATCACCCCACATCGCCACATCCAAGCGAGCTGAAGACTAGAGCCAAGCCTCAACTGGAGTAATTACTGGGGTAGCTCCGGAATTTGATACGTCACAGAATATGGTACAAGGCATATTGAACGATTAATTCATCTGTTATCTCATACTAGCAAACTACCGCTGACCAACACTCCATTGACAATTTCTCATTCCACTGAACCATCTAAGAAGCACCGCTGTTCACCTTCTCAACGTACACAGTAGTAGCCTTTTCCTTTCCAGTCTGAAACTCGGCATCGAGACGCTCAACCTCAGTAGTCTTGAACTGGCGAGCAGGAACTCCACGCTCAAAGAGAACATCGAGCTCACCATAAGTTCGGCCCTTGGGCTCAGGAAGACGGAAATAGGTCCAGACAGCACAAAGGAAGCAGGTTCCAGCCCAAAAGAAACCAGCCTTGGCACCCCAGTTCCAAGCAGAAGGGTTCAACATGCGAGGAGTGATGATGTTGGTCATGATTCCGACAATGTTATATGTGTTTCGGGCGAGGACGACGGTCTTGGTTCGGAGACGAGTGGAGGACAACTCGGCGACGAGAGAGTAGCAGACGGGTCCGACGGTGGAATCATAGGTGAAGGTGTAGATGAGAAGGAGAGACCCGATGGTCCATTGAGCGGCGACGTTGTCACGGCCAGCAAAGGCGACACAGCCGATGGTCAAAAGGAAGACACACATAGCAAGCTGTCCATAGAGGTAGAGGGTTCGACGACCGAACCAACCCATGAGGAACCAGGAAAAGACAGTGCCGACAGCACCAATGGCGTACTGGCCAAGAGACATGGAGAAGCTGTTCTCGACAGCCATGCCGGCCTGCTGGTAGAAGTAGGTGGAGTAACCCATAAAGGTAGCACCGCAGAGAGTCTGAATCATCCAGGTAACACAGACAATCTCAGTTCGGCGAAGACTGACACCCTTGAAGAGATCAAAGTACGAAGTACCGGCCTGAGCTTCCTTTTCCATCTCGTTGGTGTGAACCATCATGGAGATTGTCTCATCGGGCTTGAAGTCGACGTTGCTGTTGCGGACGGTGAGACGCTCGAGGGAGATCTTGGCCTCTTCGATGCGGCCGCGACGGACGAGCCACCAGGGAGACTCGGGAGCGAGGTAGATTCCGATGATGAGAGGAACAGGCCACATCCACTGGAGAGCAAAGGGAATCTTGTATCCCAACTCGTCATTGCGGGTGACCATGGCCCTGAGAACACCAGAGGCAATGAACTGGCCGAGAACCCAGCAGAGGTTGACGTAGGTGGTGAGATAAGCGCGGAGATGAGTAGGGCAGACTTCAGAGGCGTAGGTGGTGGTGAGAGTCTGGAAGACACCCCAGGGAATACCGATGAAGATCTCTCCAATGAGAAGCTGAACCAGAGTCTCGGAGAAGAAGATGATGAAGATGAAACCGATGCAGCCGATAAGAGCACCAATGAGTGTCTTGCGATAACCGAAGCGATCAGCGATGATACCGTTGATGAAGAGACCGATGATTTGACCGCAGAGAGTTCCGTTGGAGAGACCAGATTGCCAAGCAGCTGTCAATTGATAGCTACCATCAGGCTGCTGGACACCAAACTTCTTCTGGAACGGAGGATAGGCGAAGAGGTTGTTGAGAAGGACAACATCGAAACCCTCCATGATGATGCAGAGGGAGAGAAAGATGGACCAGAGACAAGCTTTCTTGTAGAGCTTGAAAGACTCCATCAAGCCCATGTTGTGCTCGGCTTCAGTAGCAGCGGCAGCTTCATGAGCGACGTTCTCGTCAACTGGCACCGCGACAGGGGCGATGCCATTGTCAACCTTGGAATCAGGAGACATGATGAAGATTGAGAGTAGTAGTGCAGAGAAGATGAGATGAGAGTGATGATGATCTGGATGTAGTTTTAGCGAGCGACACGCGACATCTTATAGTTGCAATGGATCAGAGAGTTGAAGCTGTCAAGAAGCGAAAATGATTGGAAAAACAAGATCTCGTTGCAAAGTTTGGACCAACTGCTAGCGCAAAGGGACTGCTTTCGCGGGGTTGGCCGTGATTAGACCGGTGCTAGACCAGAGTGGTCTAGAATCTCGAGGGAAATGAAGCCATGTCGGGCCGGGGGTCAAGCCACATTTGGTGGTTTTCTCCAAGTCTCTATGGGGGAGGAGAAGCAGGACATCGTTCCGCAGTGGAGGTCTATCCCTTGTGTCTCCTCCCCCATGGGGAGACAATCATGTAAATCTGGGGTTCGCTCATCGGACCGAGCATTGGCGTTGGGAGACCAAAGTGGCGGAGATCAGCAGATGCTCTCGAACCATTGAGAGATTAAGATGAGGGATTAGACTTTGAAGTTCTCGTCGGACCGGCCAAGGGCCAATCATCACTCAACAATCTTGTCGGTCCGAGATTGGACCAATGATGTGAGAGTCTAAGACACCCACCATTGACCCTGAGACATGGATGGTTGCATTACAGGCGGAAATATCTCGTCGGGCCGACCGAATGGTGCGGGGAATAGAGAATCACGGTCTGGGGAAGATGATTGCGGGTGAATTACCATCAGATGGTATTTAAATCCATCTCATATCATTCTCAAAAAACCACTAACCAAGTTTCTCAATTTCATTTATTTCATTTCGTCACAATGACTGTCAGCAAACGTTCAAAGCAATGGTGGAAGCAGGCCATCATCTACCAAATCTACCCTGCATCATTCTGCGACTCCAACGGCGATGGCATGGGTGATCTCCAAGGCATCATATCCAAGCTAGACTACATCGCTAGCTTAGGCGTTGATGTTATCTGGGTATGTCCCATGTACGACAGCCCGCAGGTCGATATGGGCTATGATATCTCCAACTACGAAGATGTCTACGCTCCATACGGTACTCTCCAGGACATGGAAGAGTTGATCCGCAAGACGCACGAGAAGGGCATGAAGATTATGCTTGATCTTGTGATTAACCATACCTCAGACAAACATGCTTGGTTTGAAGAGTCAAGACTCAGCAAAGATAGCCCTAAGCGTGATTGGTACATTTGGAGACCTGCCAAGTACTCTCCAGATGGTCAACGTCTCCCCCCGAACAACTGGCGCTCCAATTTCGGTGGCGGTAGTGTTTGGGAGTGGGATGAGACAAGTGGAGAGTATTATTTACATCTGTTTGCAAAGGAACAGCCCGATCTCAATTGGGAGAATCCAGATACCCGTCGAGCCATTTATGCTTCGTCAATGGAGTTTTGGCTCGACAGGGGCGTTGATGGCTTCAGAGTCGATACCGTCAACATGTACTCTAAACTCCAAGACTTCCCCGACGCTCCCATCACCGACCCGAAAGCCAAATACCAACCTGCTGGTCTTCTCTACTGCAACGGGCCCCGAATGCACGAGTTTCTCGGCGAGATGAACGAGGTCCTTGAGCGTTACGGAGCCATCACAGTCGGAGAACTTCCTCATACTCCAGACCTAGAGAAAGTCCTTCGATACGTCAGCGCTAAAGAAAAACAACTCAACATGGTATTCCAATTCGACGTTGTGGATATCGGTTTCGGAAAGACGCATAAATACGAGACGACACCCAAGAATTATACCCTTCCTCAGCTGAAAGACGCTGTTGGTCGAACACAGAGTCTGATTCAGGGAACGGATGCTTGGACAACTGTGTTTATGGAGAATCATGATCAAGCACGTTCCGTGTCACGATTCACAAACGACAGTCCACAGTACCGGACCGCAGGAGCTAAACTTCTTGCCTTGCTGCAGTCTTGTTTGAGTGGTACGCAATATGTCTACCAAGGACAAGAAATCGGGTCCGTCAATGCACCAAAGGAGAGTTATCCATTGGAGAACTACGTCGATATCGAGAGTTACCAGTTCCTCGATTTGGTCAAGGAGAGATCGAATGAGGATGAACAGATTGACAAGGCTTTCAATGCTCTTCAACACTTGGCTCGAGATCATGCTCGCATCCCTATTTGCTGGGGTGATACCAAGTACGGAGGCTTCTCAGAAGCAGCTGAGAAGGCAGGACAGCCTGTCAAGGAACCCTGGATGCAAGCTCATCCTCTGTCACGAGATATCAACGTCGCATCTCAGCTGGAAGATCCACACAGCGTGCTATCATTTTGGAAGAAAGCATTGCACTTCCGAAAGGAATTTTCTGATCTTCTGGTCTATGGTGACTACAAGCTTATCCGAAGGGAGGACCCTGACGTTTATGCTTTTGTTAAGGAGTCCCAGGTTGACGGCTCCAAGGTTGTTGTTGTTCTGAACTTTACTTCTGAGGAGAAGACATTGAGTACTCTGACGGGAGAAGAGCTTGGTGTTACCGATGGGAAGGATGTCAAGTTGGTGCCTATCATGTCAACACATACTGGAAAAGAGCAGAGTGGTGTTTTGTCACCGTTTGAGGGAAGGGTTTACTTGGTGACCTAGTCATGATATAGATCTAAAGAATACAAAGAGCGTGTTTCTAAGCTACTACTGGAGTTATCTGTAACCATCTACCTGTTTATTCTCATCGAATCAAAGGTGATATCTAAATGCCAGAGTTTACTCTGTGTTGATAATAAACGTAGTTTAGGATGGAGACTTATCTATCAGAGGTGAGGTATCCTCTACAAAACTCATCCAAAGCTTGTCCAGGGTTTGTGACCCAAAATTATGCTCTTCCGTTCCCTTGAATCTCAGCTATGAGCTATCCCTATAATTGATTCTCCCTCTGCGCATCTGCAAAGGTCGGTAGATCTTCTTCGGCAGGTGGCCTAATCCATGATGAATCCTGACGCAGCGGTATCCTCTCTCCGGCCTCCAAAACAACATCTTGTGGTTCCTGTTGGACATGGAGTCGATCATCGCTCGGCTTCAAGACCAACAAATCAGATGTTCCCGCTGCATTAAACTTCTCTCCCGCGATTTTACCGTGTACTGACCACTTCAATTGATGTGAAACACGGATATTGTACCTCTGGAATGAGTGCGTAAACTCATATTGTGCGTGGGTCCATTGTTGAGGAAATCCCGTATCCAGTAGACCGATGCGAAGGTTAATCATTTCTCCGATGTCGATGGGTTGCCAACCAGTTGTAAATGGTATTCGTATATTTTTATTGAGCTTGCTGATTGCTTGATCGAGCCCAAGGTCGACCTCTGTGCTTTCTTGTACTTGTAACTCCGCATGACAAAGAATCGTCGTGATGGTGACAATACAGACGTGTGCCGATAAAAGCTTGACGTTCTGTGGTACATCTCTAATTGCATCGCTCGTTTCCTCCCAGTGCGGTGACACCAAGAGTCTGAACGGTATCGGCGTTGGGTTATCCAGCTGAATGACCATTGGCACCTCAACAAGCAAGTCAAACTCCAATGCAGGATCCTTCACGCCATGGAGAGACTGTTTGATCTTCTCTTTCCAAGAGAATTTGACATCTTCCATCCCAGGAATAAGCCGGTAACTCGAAACAACACGCTGGTTGGGATATCGTTCAACTCGAAAGTCTGCAATTGGGGGATCGGGAGTCAAGTCGATGACTTTGAAGGGAAACGTAGCTTCAAGTACTTCAGTCTGACCATGAACGGTCACTATAAGTTTCGCCTTGACGACATATTCAATGACTGCTGCCATACTCTTCGTCTTTCGAAGTGTATATGATGGTGGCATTATATGGTCTATGGCCAAAGGATGATAAGTATTAACGTATTTTGGAAACGGTACAGTAAATGGCCATTTATGTTTGTGTTTCGACGACTCGATATGTAAAGGACCCCGGAAGATGATCTTTGGATGATAGCAGAGGTTGAAAAGTCCTCGGTATTCCTGGGAGTTGCCGATAACTGCCATCGTTCGCCCTCTTCCAAACATGCAAATGCTCACAGATGCGTCTGGGCTTATGGTATGACATTGCCGATATACATGGCCAGTTATGGTATCACCTGGAATGTATGCATCTCTATCCAGGCTGATGCCCAATAATGGGCCGGATCTGAGAGTTGTGTGGATGTTGTGCATTTGAGCGATCGGATATTAGAGGCCAAGGGAGATACTAGAGCTTGCGAGAGGACCTTGATGTACCCAGGTTGAAAAAAATGCCTTAATTCATTCTCAGTTAATTGACAGTGAGGCACAGCATGACTGCCCCGTGAGGCGCAACCAAGACTGAATTGCTGGAGGTGTCTAATCGCAAGCGTGCATGGGTCGCAAATGACCCTCTTTTGGGGGCTAAAGCAATAAGATTGACACTTGGCTCATGCCAAGCAATTCCCCTGGCTTGTTGTGAGTTTCAGTTATTGTCACCTGTTAAAGCCAAAGGCGCCACAGGATGTATCTGAACAAAGTTACTTCAAGAAGAACAAAGCCTTCTCGCAACCCCCTTTTATAGGGGTGCATCTACCAGCTAGAGGATTCACGAGATTGGTTTCAGTAATAGAGGATAGTTTAATATTCCTTCCGCGGGGCAGATAGATCATCCCTGACACCTTGTCCGAGGTCCGGGCTGACCGAAGGTTGAGCGAACTGCCATCTGGTATCACCTAATGCAACAGATTAGTGGCGGCTGAATCAATCAAGCCGCATTAGTTTTAAGCGGCATGCCTTGAAAGCACTTATAATGATTGTAATAATTACTATTCTGACTTTCAAAACACATTAAAAAAGCATTTGCAATTTTCAAAATGTCAACACTTAAGGGCCATTATACAGTTGTAGAGACTTATAGTTTGGTAATAGTCGGGAATAATTAATAATCATAATGACATCCACTTGAGTTTACATAACTTTGCCGACTAGGGTCATACAAGTCGGAAGAAGTGGGTCAGCATAGTCTAGGATCCAAGCCGAAGCCTTGAATGATTATTAAATAGTAAAGAAATTGCTGGGATAGAGACTTGAGCTGGGACAGAGACTTACGTTGAGATAGAGGCTTGCGTTGAGAGGCGTTTGAACAAACCACTACTATCCTTGTTTAGAGCTCTCAACAGTAATCTCAAGTGAACCAAGCAATGTCGAATCGCAGAGCATAAAAAGACAAGTCTCTGGCTTTACCAGCTCATACCAACCACTTCTCATTCGACATCATCACTAAAAGAGAAAATTCAATCACTCTTGCAAACCAAATCCACTCCAACCATGCCTCTCTGGAACATTTACCATACCGAGGGCGCCTTCGAATCCCAGGAGACCCGTAACCGGCTTGCGCAGGACATCACGAAGATCTACTCCAGCGGCTAAAACGGTCTCCCCGCCTTTTGTGTCGTCGTTCAATTCATCCCATTTCCCCCAGGCAACGTCTTTGTCGCCGGTGGAGCCAGAGACCAGAAGCCTTTTGTTCGACTGGTTATCCAGCACATGGCTGTTCACATCCATGAGGGTGATCACATGGACGACTTCCCTAAGCAATTCAGCGATTACATCAATGCTACGATCAAGCCATATATCGCTGATAAAGGCTACGATTGGGAGATCACCGTCAGCGATACCCCACGCGACTTTTGGAGGTTCAACGGAATTGCGCCACCTCCATGGAGAAGTGAAGCCGAGAGGGTTTGGGCTCGAGATGGGCGCCCTTCGGAATGGGAGGAGAAATAAGGAGTAGCCTGGTTTAGGCATGGGCACTGGTGACTACTTGGTCTTCTCAATTTGTACGTAGTCCCTTTTCGAGAGATCTCTAGCCCAACGACTCACTGGATTGGCAAGTGAGAAGCTCTTGAGGCTGCGCCGGGTCTCTATGTAGCTGTGAATACAACACGAAAGGTTGCCTAACAACAGACTTCAAGTTTCCAGTCGGAAGTGATAATTCATTCATAATCTATACCTATCAAGTTCCCCAAGACTATAATTAATCTAAAAAACAGTTTCGAAAAACGGATTTAACACTATGATATCATAACTCCGCCAAATGTATTCCTCCGCACGGAGGCGGACTTTGAAAGTCATAACGTTAAGTACAAAGCCCCGCAGATAAGGTGTACTCATTCCACGAAGTTTATTAGCAATAATTTGGGGCCAATGCAAGCATGTAAGGCTCCGGATGCTTTTCTTCCCGCGCCTCCAAGTGATAAATTCGTCACGTATTTATAATAGCCGGCAGAGCTCACCCCATTTTAAAGCTTTATGCTAGTTAAACTCCGCAAAGATATCAAGTAATAGACTTCCCTTATCTGGAGTTCATAGCTATATAAACATATTTCTTGATGTTGGATATTTCATTGTTACACATCATCTTCTACTCAACTACTAACCCCGGATAAAAATGTCGCTTCCCGAGACCTATCGAGCGTTCAGACGTAGTACGGGCGATCTTCCGAGGACCATTGAACTGTCTATTGAGAAGGTACCACGAGATCTTGGACTAAATGATGTTTTGATCAAAATTCACGCTGTCTCTCTCAACTTCCGCGATGTTGCCATGCTGAACGGGCTGTATCCGGTGGAAGTAGAGGAGCGAGGCATTCCTTGCTCTGACGCTGCCGCCGAGGTTGTCGCAATTGGGTCGGCGGTTAAAGACTTTTCTGCCGGAGATCATGTCTCGGTTATATTTGACCTCAACAATATGACAGGATATGAAGATGAACCCCCTTGCTCCCTTGGTGGAGACACTCCTGGTGTTCTTCGTGAATTCGCCATTTATCAAGACAAGCATCTGGTGCAGCTACCTAAGCATATACCCTGGGAAGAGGTAAGATATAGGGATCCGACAGCCCATCTGGCAATTCCTGCTGACACGTCGTTGATTGAAGGCTGCTACTATCACCTGCGCTGGCGTCACGGCATGGACGTCTCTTGACAGCCTGACTACGGTATCCAGGTCGCGCAGCGTCCTCCTACAAGGTTCGATTCCCGTGACCTTTCTGGCTCCCTATCCCTGAGATTAACCAATGAGATAGGTACGGGAGGCGTCAGCATGTTTGCCCTGCTACTTTGTGTTGCGGCGGGCATCCAACCAATCATCACATCTTCGTCCGACGAGAAGCTTGAAGCCATCAAGAAACTCGGCTCTAAAGTCCGCGGTATCAACTACAAAACTACCCAGGATCAAGCATCAGAAGTCAAACGCCTGACAGACGGCCGGGGCGTCGACTTTGTAATTAACAACACCGGCCCAGCGTCTATTCCCACGGATATTAGCTTCTTGCGTCAGCGAGGCGGTACAGTGTCCCTGGTTGGCTTTCTAGACGGCGTTGGTGGTGATTGGCAGCCTGCTGCTATTATGGCATTGATGGGGAAGTCTGCTAGAATTAAGTGAGTTATTGCTTTCTAAGAATTTGGGATAATTAAGAATACGCACTGACAGCTGATGTTCCAGGGGAATTGCCACTGGCTCTAAGGAGGATTATCTGAACCTGAATCAGTTCCTACAAGAGAAGAAGGTTTCCCTTGCTCCGCTTGTGGATCGTGTTTTCTCGTTCAATGAGTCGCCAGCAGCTTTTGACTATCTTTACTCTGGCAAGCATGTAGGCAAGGTTGTCATCAAAATCTAGCACTGCATTTCACTTTTGTATTTCACGGAGAGCCAATGAGTATTGAAATGCAGACTGTAGCCCTGAACGCGTTGATGAGAGAATTATCTAGTGCTTGATTACATACCACCAGAGAGCCGACAACCATGCAATCGCGATAGGCGCCCTCTACACCGGTGATGACGGCTACCTCAATCTCAAGTAAGGATGTTAGCCATAAGGCCATGTCGCTCGGTTTAAGCAAACCACTTCACGTATGATTTACTGCAAGGATCTCCCGGTTTTAACTTGTCTAGATTCTATAGTCTGTAGTGATATACACGTATATCCCGGCGAACCCGCTGTTGGCCCGAAGGAATCCAATCATGAAACAAGCGGTTAATATGCGCTGATGAAACGCGAAAGAAGAATTCTAGAATAAATCGCGCATAAGATCATGTAGAAGCCAGGATCTAGAATCGGGACGTGCATATGCTCCAACACGAGCATTATCCAATTCGAATTTTTATTACCCCTTGCCAAGTGAACTGATACGAGCATATCAATGTATAATTGGTGGTTGATGTGGTCTTATCGCCGAGACATAGTGATACTCTGAGGCCTTCTCCTATTCCTTGTTTAATGAGGAAGGTTACTGTCAATGATCTGCTGATTGATGTCAGTGCCTCGGGGAAACTTACTCGTGTCTTTATCCGGATTGGTCTGACGTGTAGATCTTTGCCGGAGAGTGGTAAGCTGAAGCGCCACGCAAGCAATGACCAGAAAGACTAGCCGAAAGTATCCTCTTTCGATGCGTGGAATTTCTAGAAGGAATTCAAGTGAGCGGAATGACATAACTCGGCATAGTGGCGTAGATCTACCGTCCGTATGCCGAGGAATGCTTTTGCGATATCTTACAGATCATTGTCGACATTCACGACGCGAGAAACTTATCTCGCCAGATGCCAAGTATGACAGTTCAAATCACGTCTGGGGAATATCCGCCTTCCCCATGGGGCTCGCTCAGAATTCTGGTTCTCATCACTAATGGAAACTCCATGAATCTCGCGACTCCAGACTCGGGGGACCTGATTTTGCACAGCATTTGCATTCGTTGACATTTGTCTGGTGATTAGAGGGGATCAGGGACCTAAAATGTGGGTTATTATGGGGATTTGACTGTGGTGATGGAGTTTGCCAAGGCGAAAATGGAGATACTTTAGTCATAGTATGATGAGCCCATAATATGCCAAGAAATAGGTCAAAGTTTGCCTCGTGTTGTTGAGGGTCCTCTTGATGAACAAGTAGAAAAATAATAGGAAAAATAAAGGGAAAATGGAGGAAAAGAGATAGCTTAAAGGTCACTGACGCTCATCATATCTGGATATTGATCTCGACGTCGTGTTAACGTTGGCGGCTAAATGAGGCTGAAGTTCTTAAACGCGTCAAGACACGGCACTGACGTCAACCCCGGCGATACCGAGCGACAAGAAAGCACAGACTCTATCTAGTTCGGTCAAATTTCCATCACTTGAAGCAGTCCCTCAAAGCCAAGGACCCCAAGTCTTGTTCATTGGAAGAGCAGTGCACGCTTTGGTCAAGATCCGACTGGACCGGACAACTTCCTCTGTGGATATCACATCAACCTCTCACTCTTTGGGTACAAAGTGACCGAGTCTGGCCGAGCGAGTGAATTGCTGGATAGACCGATGTGGAAACGATTCATAAACCCCCATGGGGCTTTGTGCCTGGGGCGATATCCACGCACCGCCCGAGGAATGGAGTCCAATGCAGCCTTGATTTCAGCGGCAACTCTTCGTGCGGATCCTTTACCCCAATCAAGAAACCTTTGCCATGACGTCTCAGCGTCTTTGCCCAGCCCCTATCCTGTCGGACCATCGCTGCGCTATTTTGTACAAGATTCGTGAGGCGAACGGTATAAAGTTGGGGCGAATTCCACTTGTATCTGCTTCTTCAGCTACACAGCCTTTCAGATACATCTACATCATATCTCGTCAATTGTCCTGGTGACAAGCTTCGTCCCGTAACATCGATATAACAGCAACCATGGAGAAGGATAACGTCACAAAAACTGCTGGACAGTTTCATGATCCTAGCTCTGATAGCGATGGCCCAAAGCATGAGATTAGCTCTCATCAAGGTCACAGCCATGACTTTCAGACCGTCCAAGAGTCTGCCGACAACACCAACATTTACTCCCAAGGCGGCAAGAACTTTCGAACACTGAAGCGATGGGATACCATCTTTATACTCTTTGCCAATCAGATCGGCCTTGGCATTTTGTCTCTTCCCTCGACCCTCAAGACCCTCGGCCTCGTCCCCGGTATCATCGCCCTTATCGGCATCGGTGTCATATCATGGTATACAGCCTACGAGTTGCTACAATACTACAGGTTACACCCTCAGGTACTAAACATCGTCGACATGACCAGATTCGTCGGTGGAAGAACCTTGGAGAGCATCACAGGTGTCATGATGATGATCCAGGTCATATTCGTCGCGGCTTCAGCTATGGTCACCCTCTCCATTGCCCTCAACACAATCAGCAGCCACGCAGCTTGCACTGTTGTTTTCATCTTCATCTCTTGCGCCGCCTGTTACATCTTTTGCATCCCCCGCACTACCAAGTTTGTCTCTCATCTTGGAATTCCGAATGCCCTTAGTGTTTTGGCTGCATGTATCCTCGTCATGATTGTTCTTGGTATTCAAGGTCCCAAGGGCGTTGATAACATGGCTGAGTGGAAGAGGGAGATTGTCATTGTTGGAAACCCCAGTTTCAGAGATGGCCTCAATGCTTGCTTGAAGATTGTCTTTGCTTACGCTGCCAATCTAAGCTTTGTTGTAAGTACGATCCAGTTATCGACATGATCTATACTAACAGACGACAGGGCTACCTCGCTGAGATGACCAACCCTCTTGAAGACTTCAAGTTCTGTCTGACTGTTCTCGAATGCGGTTCCATGACTATGTATGTCATTTTCGCCGTCATCTTCTACTGCCTCGGAGCCGAATATACAACCTCTCCCATTCTGGGATCTACCTCGACAACCTTCGCAAAGGCTGCTTTCGGTATCGCCCTTCCCGCCATCTTCGCTACCGGTCTAGCTTATGGTCACATCGGATCCAAGTACATCTTTGTAAATGTCATGAGATGGACTGGTAACCTCAACGAAGTCACTTCAAACTCTGTCAAATCTTGGTCAACCTGGATTGCTTCCGTTACTGGCTTCTGGATCGTCGTCTTCATTCTATCCAACGCTATTCCTGTTTTTGATTCGATCCTTTCTATCACTTCTGCCACAACAATCTCTTGGTTCACTTATGGTTTCAGTGCCGTCTTTTGGTTTCACATGAACCAGGGCCAATACTTCCGTGACTGGAAGAAGATCTGCTTGACAATCGTCAATGCCCTCCTTATTGTCATGTCACTTTTCATGAACGCAGCTGGTCTGTGGGCATCCATCACTGAACTTCTCGACATCTTCAACTCTGATGGTGGCGTTCGTGGTGTTTTCTCTTGTGGAGACAACTCTTGAGATGTTTACCTCTTCTTGTACTATAGATTTCTTCCAAGTAGCGTGTTCTTCAATTGCATGGCAAAATTCCAATGTTTGATCATTTTGTCTTTCAATCGCCTAGGTCTAAATTGGTTGAGTACTAGTAGTCTAAGTATTCGTGACAATTGAATCCGGAAAATAGAACCACGTCTACAATTTTCTTTGACTTTTGATGATTGTAAAAGCAAGCTATAGAGATTGAAGCGGCTAAAAGTGCTTCATAAGGGATGCCTGTCATGTCATCGGATCATTTGCTTTGGAGGCGTCAATGATCATCAGCCCTAGGGAATAGCCCCGTCGCTAACAACAACTATTGATTCAAAGCAAACCAGGAGATATATAATATTAGCAACGACTCCAGATTTTCGGTCTCCCCTTGTTCTCTCTTCTCCCTTTTGGGGATTCTTGATGGCGTCGCTCACTCAGGCATTAGTTCTAGCCATGCGCTGTAGTATCGCTTGTTTGGTAGCGTTGGGGCTTGCATGCGACATCGTAGTCGCCAGCGTTTGCAAGTCCCAATCGTCAGGTGAATTGGACTTCAACTGATCATGTTGTCTTGAACTCATAGTGTTAGCCGTTTTAACTGTGTCAACATTATTTACACCATTAGCAACATCGAGTTCCAGTCTTTTTTCAACATCAACCTCAGCGCTTTCCAGCGATGCTCACACGACCCTAGCAGTCACTACCATTTGATTTGGCGATACAGCTACTATTGATTACAAATTTACCACTGAAAAGAGGTCCTCCATCGATGTAACGACATCGACTGAAGCGACAACCGAAGCGACGGTCATTGCTGAGTCAACCACTACTGCGACGAAACACTCATATCCGATATCACTACGACTTATGATACGACAACCAATGAAGCAAATGTGTCCAGCGATGTAACGGAATCGGCTGAAGCTACAGGTGAGACATCAGTGACTGCTGGTTCAACCTCTACTGTCGAAGAAACACTCACGTCCGACATCTCTTCGACCTTTACGAGTAGGACTGAAGCTTCAACAACTGTAGATATCTCCTCAACCGCCTCGACAACTACCGCAGCACCGCTACCCCCACCGCCAATGTTTAAATTTCTCTCCCTTCTCGGACCTGGTGCTGGTTACAATCTGCTATCAGACAGGACCAAGGGCAGCTTTTTACCTTTCAATCCCACTCACAGCTTTTCTATTGCTTTCTTCACCATCGATTCTAGCAACGGCCATGTCTTGCTCGATAGTATGCCACCTATCTGTGCCTATTTCGAAGGCGGCGCCAAAACCGCCAAGTTCCAGATCTGTCCTGATACTCTCTCCCAACAGGAAGCTTTACTTACTTGCGAGCCACCAGTTGAAAAAAAGCAGTTGAAATGCACTGTGCCGGGAAAGACGTGCAGTCAGGGCTCGAACGGGGTTGAATGTGTAAGCGCCGGTGTTGCGTTTGACATATCAACACCAGACTATGCTTACACAAATAAATACGGTGCACGTATTGGACCTGCTCCAGGAATCAGTCTAGTCCAGTTTCTGATTAGGTACTGATAAGAGAAGAAAATTTGATCTGTATGGACTCTGGATCAAGGAAGGCAAAACATGATACACTCGAATAATATCGATCTCAGATGTGTCTCACTGTGTGTTTTTAAACTGCTAATAGTTAAGAGTTGATTCTAACTGTGATTGAGAGCTGAACCTTATCGCGCCTATCTCGTAGGCTGAAAGCGGTGACCACTTAGACCCAAGTGTTGTTCTGCCAATTTCCAGTCGCTTCTAGGCTCTCAATGCTTCGGTAATAACGCTGTAGTGTCACAGACCAATAAAGTATGGAAAGGTGCGTCTTGGCATGAGTGAAAAAAGTACAGGGCAGAGTTTACCGTGCGCCCTTGATTGACATTAAACGTTGGAAGCTAAAAATGCGCCCTCTGAATGACATTTTGAGATGTCTACCACCGAGAAATACCATGTAAATTGTCAGATTACTTAGATATAAAAGATAGACTTCCCCTCAGAGAATTGAAATGTCGCAATGCCTTCTTCTTCAGCTTCATCCAAAATGACTCGCATTTCGCCTGACCCGCCTTTCACCATTCGCAGCCACCGGCCTGGTGACATGGGCTACATAACATATCGACACGGAGCAGTCTATGCACAAGAATACGGCTTCAACAATCGCTTCGAATCTCTAATCGCAAGAATCACCGCCGACTTTCTCAACAACTTCAAACCCGACCTGGAAGGCTGTTGGATTGCTGAAAAGGATGCCTCATTTCTCGGCTGCATCATGTTGGTGCAAGACAAAAAGCCAAAAACTGCAAAGCTACGACTGCTATTGGTGGATGAAAAGGCGAGAGGTCTTGGTGTTGGGACAGCCTTGATTCAGAAATGCATCGACTTCGCGAGAGAAGCGGGATACGAACATATCGATCTTTGGACTCAGAGCATTTTGGAGGGTGCTCGACGATTATATAAAAAGGCCGGGTTCGAAATGGTTGAGACGCAGAATCACAATGACTGGGGCGTCGAATTGACAGGGGAATTCTGGACACTGACGCTGTGAGGGGCAGAGCCTGTCTGTTTGTTGGGGATTCTCCTTGACGGCCCCTGTCGCCGCCTTGTCTTAGTGTCGGACTGGTTTTGCCTCTGTGAATGTTCTTTCACTTTCAAGCTCCAATTAGGGCCAAACCTGCACTGGAGAGACAAAATGGCAATTTGCGTCTCACCACGATAAAATCAGAAGAGAATATAAATGTGTTAAAGAAAATCTTGACCAGTACTCAAATTTGAGGACAAAGGCCCAGAATACTACCTTGTCGGGGAGCGCTGCGAGCAAAGGCGCCCAATGCTGCCCAGGACAATCATGTGTCAGCTGAATGTGCAATATATGGAACGACAAGACCGCCCAAAAATGAGGCTCTGTTGGCGCAAAGTCAGCGAGTTGGTGGCTGATGTGTCACACTTCTGTCCAATGCCGCATTCGTCGTCCCCAGTAAATTGCGGCTCAGCTCGACTGACTCTAGCAGATCGGGTTGCTGCTCTCATTCTCCACCGCTAAGATCTTGCGGCTCTACCACCTACACACCTGTGATTTGAGATGCGGCTCTGCGGGGGCCATTAGTGAGGCTCTCAATGTATAATAGGAGGCCGACCATAAGGTACATCGCAATGAGCATCAAACACTCAACATGAGTTTTACTCCTCAATCATATCATAGTGGATTAAAGTTTTAGTGTCTACCTATACTCCATAAATATTCATTCATTCCTTTTATCCAAAACCATTCACCACCGTCATGGGTATTCTTCATTTTCGCTCTCGACGAGCAACATCAACGCAAACGCTTCCACTGAGGCCTTCCCAGCTTTCAACACACAGTGGAAATGAACCATGGACCTCTCATTTGCCATATCATCGACACTATTCTCGGGCGCGCGACATTGAGCACAGAGAAAATAGCTACGAAAGTACCAGTGAAAGCTCAGGCGACGAATCTTGTTGTGAGCCCGAGTCTGAGCAATGGAAAAACAGCACATTGCTCAGCGACCCCAGGACCCAACTTGGGAGGCAGCATTTACTACCAGTGGCTCGGGAACAGTTTCAAAAGTTCGTCTCGGAAGTTATCTACACTGAGCCACCGCGAGCACAACAAGAATGCGGAAACGAATCAGTATGGCCGCTTCCGATGGACACAATTACGGAGGGCAATGATCAATATTGCACAAGCGACGACTCTTTTGTTATCATACCAACATTGGAGAGATACTTCCACTACCGCTGCCCATTCCACGCCTCCAACCCAAGGAAATACCAAAGCTGTCTGGTTCATCACGAACTCCATTCGATTGAGAGTGTGATAAAGCACGTAAAACGGCATCACGCTAGGCCGCCTTACTGCCCAAGATGCTCCAAGGTTTTTGAGACCGTGTCAAAATGCGACAGGCATATCCTGGATAGAAGATGCAGAGCCAGGCCTCTTAGAATTCCCGACGGTGTCAATTTCTACCACAAGAGCAGGCTCTCAATGAAAGATAACCATCAACTGTCGGACCAAAGCCGTTGGGAGCGAATTTATAAGAGGATATTCCCAGAGTCAGCACACTGTCCTTCGCCATATTTAGACACTGGGGCCGGGCTAGCAGTATCTATGGTGAGAGATTTCTGGAGACTGCAAGGACAAGATGTCATATCAGAATTTCCAGGAGCCCAGAATTGGGCTACCTCCGACCAAGAGCATATTCTCGTTGCACTTTTTGAGCTGGTCCTGTTTGATCTCATTGGGCAAATTGTAGAGGAAGGTTGAGGTTTAGGGCGACAATGTGATCTACTGATGGGAGTTCTGGACCATATATGCATATCTCATTCTTAATATAAGTATTAGTTATTAAGAGTTTATTAAAATAACTAACACATAATAGCTAGAGTATTCTTATATTTTAGGATATAATATTACCTCTATTGTTAAACTTACTAAGTTCTAATAAAGGTTTATATACATTGAATAAATTGATACTACATCCTCTAATATAAAGATCCTTTGTCCTCTGCGCATCAGTTGTATGGAATACTTCAACGCTTGTCTATTCAATCATGTGAACTTGAAACGGCGACAGTTTATAGATAATTCAGATAAAAGATAGAGTGCTAGCCTGTATAAGCGAGAGTATTCATTCTAGGATGCGCTACTATCTTCAAACTCTTTAAAACACTCTCCATCACCTGAGAAGTTGATCCACCGATCAGCAGCTTCATTAGCGTCATAAAACACCGTGTCAAAAGTCGATAATTCTCCCAAAGTCTGGTGCCAAAGTAATTCCTCCATGTTTCTCTCCTGTGATGCAGAAGGTCTAAACTCCGTTGTTGGAATGACCGGTTGAGCGTTTACAGCGTCAGTACTGGGCCCAAAACACTCACCGGCATTGGTTGAAGGTTCTGGAGCACGGCTGGGGGGCATATTATGAGCCCGTGGTGATGGTCCCGGAATCGGAGATGTTAACTCAGTTGGGGGTTCTCCATTTGCAAGGGAACTGGACGTAGAGATGGGATTGCGAAGCAGACTCAGTATAGCGTTGGTAGTAGCCGAGGTACTAACACTTTCCGGCCTAACGCTTGCATCGCGGAGAAATGACTGTAAAAGACCCGGTAGTTCTCTCTCCAAAGCATGGTACTGAGCTTCTAGCACAGACTCCAGAGACTCAATAAATGGCGAATAAGGAGGTCGGTGTTCTCCAAATAGCTTCTCCCAAGCTCTGTACCACTTTTCCTCGTGAGAACCGTGTAGACCGGTTAGATCATTGTACTCCTCTTCAAGAAGAAGCCCAGTTTCCGTGGTGGTTTTCTTCTGGCAAGTGTCTTGGAGAATATGTTCATTCTTTTCGGCCTCTGCAAACTCGCCCTTAAACTCTTCTCTGCAATTGGGGCAGTGTTCTCTTTGGATAAGGTGTATTCTTTTGAGGTGTTGCAAAACATGGTCCCATTTAGTGAGGTTGTATCCAGCGCAGCATTCGTATTTTCCAGAATCAAGCTTGTAAAATAGACAAGCAAGCTTCTTGATTAGAGGATTCTGAGGACCAAACCCTCGTTTCTTCTTTCCTGGACCCTGGCCGTTTCCCTTGTTGCCTTTGCCATTACTGCCGTTGTTATTTTGCTGGGCAGATCGCTGTTTCTTCTCGCCGGATTGATTGCCAGAGCCTGGTGAGCCAACCCGCTTATATCCGAAGCTTGGTGGTTCAGAGCCATACGATTCTAATGTGAGACAGTGGAGAAACAGCCATCGACAGTGCCTGAAGCTCGCCGGAAACAGTAAGCCGCCCTGAAAAGGCCCATTGTTATAGTGTCGGATAGCCGCACTAATTTGGCCTTTGGCGGGCAAGGGTAAAGCTTCGTCTTGAACCTTGGCAGCCACCTGTTGGGTTTTAATCTTGTTTCTTCGAACTGGCTTATAAAAATCGGCGAAAAGAGTGAGAATACAGAGGTGTCGAATAAAGTTCTCCAGGTTTGTTGGCAGCATTTTCTGTTTCGGTGCAATTGAGTAATAATTGGAACCGTGAAGCACCAAACCAACACCAAATTCGTGGTGGATCTGGAACCCACTTGATATAAGAGTGATGATGCTCATTGTGAAAATCGAGGCTATGGACAAATCAAATAAGAGAATCTGGGGTTACTCGAATGGCGAATTGTAATAGTTGTGAAACTCTCTTTGATAATAAGTTTAAAAAGTCGAGGCTATCACAAGTGAAAAAGAATTGTTCCTCAAACAATGCAAGCCAATTGTCTTAGTTTAGATCTAATGAGTCCGCCACCAATGCCTTCTTCACACCGTTGTGTTGGTAAGGCGGCCAAGGCAACCAGAGCTGAATCTGAGAGAGTGATTATTATGCTTCTTCAGTTTTGACAGTCTCTCAGCTTCAACGATGCAGAGCAACGTGTCTGCTGCTTGGAGGGGGAGGGGTGCATCTTTTCTCCTGTTACGATTGGCCATGTCTACATAAGCTGCAGAAGCGGCTTCAACACAGATGTGTGAAGGAGGGTCGGGACAACACATTTGTCTGCAAATTCAAGCCACAGGAATTATAATTGGTTAATCTATGTTCAATTGGGTTAGAGGTTATCACAGGTCGAGGTAAACCAGAGAGCATGAAATTGCCATGAAACTGCCTGTATGTAGGAAGCACGATACAACGAGCCTCAACTGTATCCATGGATAATTGCCCTTCGTTGAGGCAATGGTTAAACACAATGGTGTTGAGTCCTTTTACCAATGCGTATATATATATAGCATCCTCTAGTTTTCGAAGAATTATCTTCAGATAGTGCTCTTTTAACAAAATGAAAAAAGAGAAAATGCCCCAATGGATACGGAAATTGAAATCTGCCTAGAAATGCCAGGCTTTAAATCAATTTCTCATGTAGCAATAAAGTTCATTCTACACTCTACTATCCCAAGTTCTTATTCTGCATATTAAAGTGCCTTTCATGAAGTACCTGCTGACGCTAGAGCCACTCCCCTCACTGAAAACCCCTGTTTCATAGGCGCTATCTGCTGATAATTGTGCCACATAGTGGAGGACGTCACTCAAGTTTAGCTTTTCATCATGCATCCTATGCTGGCTGCAACCTGATCAATATTTTTTGTTCGTCATATCCTGGAAAGGCGCCCCGCGATAGTCAAAGGCTATGTGAGAATGCCTTGTCAGACTGCTATGAAGACATTGATTCTCATACACCAGCTATCTTTGACCGAGGTACTCCTAGTAGGAATAATTATTTCCTTGATAGCAACATTGCTGGGGTTTATGGAAAACCAAGACTCTTATCCATGGCTCGAGTTATCCCAACCACAAGAAGGAGCCGAGGGGCCAGATAGTGACATGATATTTGAAACCTCGGCAGTGAGTCCAGAGTTCTACATGGCATCACTGACTCAGTCGCAACAACCTTTGATGTACTCGTTCAATTTCGATGTTGAAACAACATGCTCATCACCTATTCCGACATTCTTTCCAATACATGATGCAGGATCTCAAACTCTTAGCTTTGCAGAAGCTGTTCATCTTACTCAAACAGTGGATGATGGAAGGGAGGCATCTAATAGCTACGATGCTGATAATCAACCCCAGTACTGTTCACTCGACATGCTCTCAAACAAGTCTTTTCCGTTAAGACAGAAGCCCATTCATGATACTGAAGGCTCAATTGCTTTTGAATCATCACTGGCCTGCAAATACTTTGACCAGGATTCAAAAAGCAATTTCTCAAATGAAAGGACGATGAAGCTATCTTCTACCTTGCTACTGACGTCCGGTCAAGGTGAGTCAACACATCCTCAAATAGTGGAGGATCCGCTGACCATTATATAGACGATCGATTCGCAACACTAGAATCGGTTGAAAACGATGTACCTTCATCGAGAGAAGACTCAGTGTCCCTCAGTTCAACTGAGACGTGCATTGGCGACGAAGAGGGGAATCGTTGCTACTCAGTGATTGAAAGTGAAGATTCCAGTATAGAGGATCTCGAAGAAAGAAAAGCCTTTGCTTGCCCGTATTTCCGGCTCGATCCAATACGCCATATCGAATGCTTGAGTCGTAAGCTCTATCGCATTCAAGATGTCAAGCAACATCTTTCTCGGCGTCATTATGACAAGCGAGACAAGATGTCAAACACTTCAGACAATACAAAAGGAGTAAATTCAAGAACTCAGAGAGTTCTAAAACTCCGCTTAGACAGAAGGTTATCGCCCGAAAGGCAATGGCATGAGATCTGGAGAACTCTCTTCGATAAGGCTGTACCCAGAGAAGGGCCATATCTCGGAAATACCAAAGAAGAGGTCGTTGGAAGCATGATCGCGATATGTAAGAAGGGAAGCAGTCGAGTCGTTCCGGGAATATTGAGAAGCTTAGGACTGCCCAATGAGAAAGGAAAGGCTGTTCAACAGCTTATGGAACAGCTTTTTATCGGGTTCCAAGCTTTATCTGATAGAGAGTCCCAGGATACGGGGACAGAGAAGACTTCGACATATGATGATATGGGGTCGATACCAGGGACACCCAAAAGCATGGATTTTGACTTTACTTTGCCACTACTTCAATCGCCCGTGTCAAACGGTCAAGTGGACTTCGCAGCTGAAGACAGCACGGAAAGATTAGAGTGCAGTCCGGGCTCAGAAATACAAGCCTGGTCCCCAGACCATGCTAGTTTTGAAGGAAGTGGGGAGAACGATGTTGCCCAATATGAACCTTTGAAGTATTCGACGGCAGTTCAACCTCAGACTGTTCCTGGCACATCAAAGACGTTGCATTGCTCACAGACGCCTCATGTCCCTTCCGATAGGGGTCGATGGAAGCCACTGGGAAGTTGGATTACCGAGCTCGATGATGAGCAGGACTCACACTTATGGGAGTATGCTCGAGGATGGAAATGCCACGAGTGCGGATTTGACTATGTTTTCAGGCCTTTCGGAGTCACAAGTGACAAGATGTGTATCAACTACCCATGCCAGCACCAATTTCGCGAGGATTGCTGTTTAGTTTATAGGGTATTAGTTAGAAGAGAAGTTTGAGGATTTATGTCATATGAAAGGGCTCGGCACGAGAGAGTTGCTTATGGTTCCCGAATACTTGAATGTAATGCTGTCCTTTGCTGCGAAGGCTTGGTTTCATTTCTATTAGCAACTACGAAAGAAACCTCCGATCGGAATCCCAGAATGATTCTGCCCATTTCCATTGATCGGATCCAATTTCAAATATGTGCTCACAAGACACCCATGGATTCCAGCCATGTCTCTCTACTGTTCCAATCTTATAGAGATCAATACCGTGAACCATGAGAATGTTAGGGTATCGACTGTCCAGAATACTCTCAAAATTTGAGAGCACAAACCGTAACTGATCTTGAAGCGCCATACTCTGGAGGTGTGGAAGCATGCCCAGCCCTTGTGATGTGAGGTAATGTATGTACTTGTTCAAGTCGAGTTGTATGCAGTTTTGCAGTCGCCGCTTTTGCCGCTCTCCCGTTGTTTGAGTGGTGTCCTGAGCCGTGCCACTAATGGGTGTTTCGCCTAGTCTCAGGTGGCTGATTATATTCTGTAGCATGGTGCAGTGTTGATCATAGACATAATAGGCAATGGAATAGAAAGTTTTCGTGGCGTAAAGCTCCCCTTGTGCACCACAAAGACACGGAGCAAATAGAAGTCGACGAATGTTCAGGTCCCTCGGAAATAACGGCTTCTCAATGTGGAAGAAGGCTTGAACGTAGCTCTCGAAGCGACAAGCGGCGTTGGTGAACTTTTGGTGCTCCTTGGAGGAAACTTCAGGCAAGTCTTTAGAACGTATTACATATCTGAGTACCTCTGCACGTGCTTGGGAAATATAGCTCGTTGTTATCCATCCAACATCGATGGCGAGAGTCGAAAGCGCGCAAATGGCCGCTAGTGAGGCGCGGTATGAGAAGGGGCGTTGAGTATCAGGGCCGTTAATACAAGACCGAAGAATTGGACTGAGCATTCGCTCACGATGGTGTGGCATGTAACTGTTGAATCCAGGGTCCTTCTTAGCATGGCGGAGTCGAGCTGCTAACAAATAGGCAGTTGAAACATGACCCCCACAAACTTTCAGAAGATTGTTGAGATACGGCTTTATCACTTGTTTCCTGTTGTTGAGAAAGCAGTGCAGCGCCCAAGGATCCGCGTGAATCAAGTCGAGAATACCCTCTGGCGTGTCGACATAGTTCATAATCGCCACTATGAGCTCGACAGGTAGATCTTGAAACCTGGCCATGGCGGGCGCTTGAGAAAAGGATGGTGGAGGATGAAAATGGGGAGAAGAACCGGGATACTTATATATTTAAATAATAAACCTTTCAGAACTTGCCACGCTGTGAATTATGTATAGACTTTCTCTGGGGTTCTTTATAAGCGATTTTTATAAATAAAGTAGATATAAAGAACCTTATTATTATCCCTCAGTGATAGGAAGGTTTTAACACGATGCACAAAACCTTCTTATGAATATGCTCTAACCCTTTCGCGGCTCTCACACTCGATCAAGCCACTTGCGCTCATAGCAGTTAAATCTAAGGACTCAAGCTGGAGATAACATGCTCGCGCCAATAATCAATGCACGCAATCATGGCACCAGGTCCAGCCAGTCCCAAAGCACCGAGTGAGGCCAAGCCTCCAAGCACAGCCTGCTTTGTTCTCACAAAGCCGAGTGAGCGCAGTTCCCAGACAGCGTACAGAGAGTATGCCAGGCCTGACGCTGCGCTTATGATACCTGTGTTTGGACCGAAAGGCGCTACTTGCGACATGGCCGATAGCGCCCAGTCGGCGGATAGATGCGTAGCGGCGGTTGATACGGTTTTCGCGATGACCGGAACAGCCACACAGAGGGCAAGTGCAAAGCCATGAGAGAGTTTAAGGGGCGCTACATCCTCGTTTGTATACAGTTGAAGTGCGGATTGGGGAGCATAGTCGATTGGCCTGTCTTCAACCTTCGTTTCGGCTTCCGGTTGTCCGCTGTTTTCGATCCTCCCGGTGCGGATAGCAGCAAGTCCTTTAGTGAAGACTGCACAAAACAATGGGTATGCCTGCCAAAATTTCCCGACACAATGCCTAAGTTTGGTGTCTCTGATCGGCAACAGTGCTGCCACCGTCGGTGCCACGTAACCTAGGAGAACGCCTGGAACGATGGACTGAGCGATCTTGGGGTCGACAGGTCTGTTTATGATGGACTTTGTGGAGAAAAGGACAGACGACAAACAGAAGCATGGCAGCACCGAGCTCGGACCGATGAGTGTATATATGAGCGAGTAGACCCTTATCCTGTTTCACGTTAGTTACTGTGCCGAGCTATCATGATGACAGAATTGTTTCGAACCATGACAAGGGGTTTAGTGCATTTCCATGCCGAGAGCCCTCGATGAGCCATGCAGAGAGAATGGGGATCAGATTGACTAGGCTTGCCGCCAAGCTCTGGCCAACCAACTTTGCCAAGAGGCCTCCAGCACCCCATCGCTGAAAGGCGCTGTAGAGGACTCCCGTTCTAGCTCCAAGGTCCTGGTTTTTGAGCGCAGCGACGAGCAACAGCCCAAGAGTGCCGGATGTGAGCATCCATGGGACTCGCCTGACAAGGCCGCCCTTGATGGGCTTTGCAGGTAATTCGTCCTCAAATGGGACGAAGTGAGGTCGTTTTGGAACAGGAATACCTTGGATTCTAGTAGCTTCGCAGCAGATCGGGGTGACAATGTCGACAAAGGCGTCCTGGCCGAATAATGGAACAAGAGGCTTGAATAGGAAGCGGGAGAACGGGAACCGCTGGCTGATCATCATTTGAAGCGAGTGCGCTTGCTCAACTAGACGCTTGGCACGCCCGTAGCGGAGCGCGTGGACCTCTGACAGCGCAGTGTCTATCTGAGAGTCCGAAAGGCCTTGGGGGCTCAGTTTCAGTTGACGCACCAGAGCATTGACAAGCAGTGCTGCAGACTCTATGGCTCCATTTCCGCCTTGGCCAGATGCCGGATCAATCTATGAGACGTTTGAGTTCTGCAAGACGAAGTTGTATGTGAGCCAACTTACCTTGTGAGCCGAATCTCCTATCGTGACGATGCGCTCGTAATGCCAACGATCAAAAACATACTCCTCGAGTGGAACCAGCGTCGACATAATTCTTTGGTCATACAACTCGCCAAAGGTGATATCCCGGGTGATATGATCGTCACGGCGCTCCTTTACGAGTCCTTCTTCGTCGGCTTTGGTATATTTAGAAATGTCCCTGCCGTACTTTGTCTCTGGAAGACCATCGAAGAGGAACCAATACGTTCGGTCTCCTGGCGCTGCTATGATTAGATATGCATGGCCTTCGCCAACCACCATCTGTTGGCTTCGGCTACCTAGACCAGATGGCCGTTTCGAAATTCCAAAGATGCACCTAGTCGATACTGGAACTCCTACGGAACATGTGAGCGACGAAGACGATAGTGTGTAGTGATACGTACGAGAGTTTTCGTCCTCGGGGAAGTATCCAGGGCTCTGTTCCTTTCCGAGGCGCCACATTTCGTCTCTTACTGCGCTGTGGATGCCGTCTGCTCCCACGACAATGTCGCCCTCGTATACGGAGCCATCTTGGGCATGAGCCTGGACTCCGCCGTTCACCAATTCAATGCGAGAAACCCGCTTCTTGGTCAACACTCGATTTTTGTGTTTCAGGTTATCGTACAGAATCTGCAACAACATCTGTCGATCGATGAAAATGGAGGGATAGCCGACCCTTGTCTCAGGGTTAGTAAAGCGAGGCTCCGAGAACTATGTCGAGCTTTTTCCTACCTTTTCTCAAAGTGAACCGAAATGCTGGTCGGTGAAGGAGCGGTAAGGGGAAGACCATCAGGCCCATGCATGGCGCCGATGGTGTAGCGGCAATTCCCAGCAATGTCGAGGATGGGCTCGAAGCATCCAAGTTGATCGAGGATGCGGAAGCCGTTGGGTAGGATGCCGATGCTGGCACCTACTTGGGGGGCTATGTGTGGATAGGCTTCGAGAAGGATATAGTCTATGTCGAATTTCTCAAGCATGTTGGCCACAGATAGGCCAGCGACGCTGCCACCTACGATAATGACTTTAAATCCCATGGTTTTGGCTTGTAGGTGCTTAGTTCTTGATGACTTGACTGTTAAATTTGAAACGGCTTGAGATCAACATATATACATAGTATCCAAAGCGCAGAGGAGCCTCGTCACTAGATCTTCGGGTTGGGCTTATAGCCCGAGAAGGATCGGCACAAACAAGGGCCGGAGAGGCAATTTTTCCAAGACCGCCTGAGAGAAATTAGGCAAAGATCTTTCCACTCTATGTTACTAAGCGGAGATATTAACATACGCATTAAATTACAATGTCGCAAGCTTGTTGAGCAATAACAGGGTTAAAGAATACATTCACACCGTCTCATCCGGATGTTTTCTTTATCTGGCTCTCCAATGCTGTCTATGAGCGCTGCGATATGAGCACCCCGTTCATCATCTTCTGGCCGTAAGTCCCTCTGCTCACAGTAACTAAACCTTACCTTAGCCTGACAAACAGCAAGTTACTGGCTCTTTTGCTACACTAGCTATCATCCTGGAGTTGGCCGCTTGGGTACCACTGGGAACCTGGATTGTCTCTGGTTGTCACCGATTTGTTCACGTATTGTCTCGAGCTATGCAAGAGGATCACAGTGGGTTTATGGCCTGTGTTACGCATTACCAGTCAAAGGGACTAACAAACATTATCGCCTATAATGAATATGAAGGGAGGTGTTTTATTCTTGGTTACCTCTCGTAGACTTCTTGGCGTAAGATGTTCCATTACAACGAAGAATACAATCAAGGATGGAATATATACGGCTCCCCGCATCGTCAATATATGGGCAACTCCATCCTGCACAACATCTGCCAGTAATCTACAAGGGAATTTGAACTGCTCCAATCTGAACAAGGATCCCAAATAGATCAGGCAAGCCCTGCTCTTCAATAATCTTCCCCTCTGAAAAGGTAAAGAGGTTCATTCCAACTATTTCGAACTTTTTCCCGGAGGGCGGAAACCCCATGAAAGGACCGGCTTGGGTGCCGCGAGTTTTAGAGCGTAACACCACTTTGTCTCCTTCCGAGATTATCTGCTCTACGCTCCACTGAATATCGGGAAAGGCTGCGCGCATCATGCCTAGCATTTCTAAATATCCACCAACACCCTTTAAGGGTTTGCTGTCAAAAGGGACGTGGAACTCGGCTGACTCGTGGATGACTTCGTTGCCAATAGCGGCATCTGCTGAGTTGATGAACTCGACGAATCGACGAATAGCTTGCGAGTGAGACATGGTTGTATGTAGTCGCGGGGTTTGGCTAGATGGTAGGGTGTAAAGAAGAATCTTGGAAGGGATTCCTCTTTGTGTGTTGTTTGATGAAGTGTTTTAAAATTCTGTATCTATCTACTCAGTGATCTTATATACTGGTCTGGAACTTTATTTAAAAAAGCGGCACTATCACATATCCTGCGCTGGTGACTAAGCGGGTTCTGGCCTGCACAGTCTCAAAACGATGTTGCGTTGTTCAAACGGCGTGAGTAAATCCCCGATCCGCCGAAGTTGAGGCTAACTCCATACGTTCTAAACGCGGATTCGTATTTATTCCACTTGGTAATTCTCTTGGAGATCACTCAGGGGGCCTGCGAGTCGGCCGCCCCTGACCTTTGTAACTTAGGTAGGGGTCGCTTGAGCCATAAAAATGGCCCTGAGATGCAAAAGAAAATACCTACTGGTATGGCTGAAGTTATTTGCAAGGGAAGCATTGATTTGGCCCAGAGCGCCACTCTGTTCTGGATATATAATTAGCTAGGAGTAAGATACCCTTATCTGGGTAGAGGCTGCACTATATATTATATACCCTTGGCCGTTTTTATATCAGAGTCTGTTTGCAGGTTAAGGGAATCCCTACCTAAACCAACTACAAGCGCTCAGGAGGGTAAAGCCCAAAAGGCTGCTTATGTAACTAATCTTTCTAATACAAAGACCTAGAAATCCAACCTAGGACTACTAGGGCTGATAATACTTAATTCTAAGCCTGGTTTGACTTATTCTAATCTTATTTCCTTCCCTGTTATCTTTATTTATTTAGCCATTATCAGGGAGAATGGCAGGAGACGGAATTATCTTCTTCATTTTCCAACTTTTTTTATTAAACCAGATCTTGGGAAGAGTTCCCCGTCCAACAGCTTCATTTGAGGGCAAGACAGTCATAATCACTGGCTTCAATAAGGGATTGGGCTTTGAAGCGGCCAGGCACGTGGTTAAGCCTGGGGCTGCTAGGCTGATCCGCTCGACTGAAAAGGGTGAAGCCGCCGAATGTGTCCTTGAAGAATCTATAGCCTGTGATCGCGCCATCTTGGAAGTCTAGACTTTAGACCTGGCGAACTATGCCAGCGTCAAGACATTTGCCGCGCGGGCAAACACCGAGCTGCCCCGGATCGATACGCTGATCGAGAACGCGGGATCGCTTCTGAAAAATGGTCATGGGCTGAGCATCACGAGAGCATGGTGACGGTCAACGTCATCTCGACCTTTTTGTTGCCTCTGCTTCTCCTACCGAAGCTCATAGAGACTGCTGCCTTTTACAACACGAGACCTAATTTGACTATTGTCTCGAGTGACATGCACTACACAGTCGACTTCAAGGAGAAGGATGCTTCGAGGGCATCTTCAATATCCTAAATAGCGAGAAAGAGGCCGACATGGCCAGTCGTTATCCAACCACCAAGCTCCTCGAGGTATTTATTGTGCGCGAAATGGCCGCTCGGAGGCGCGCAGAGCCGTATCCGATCACTATCAACACCACAAATCCCGGGCTCTGCAACAGCGGACTAGGAGGCGGCGAGGAAGGTCTGCTATTCAAAGTCATTTCCTTCCTATTGCGCGTTTGGCTGAGGTCGGCTCTCGGAACTTGGGTTACAATGCTAGCGTGGGCACTGAGTCTCACGGCCAATACCTCGACAGGTGTAGGATACAAGAGCCTGCCACCGTTATTACGGACGCTGTGGGCATGATCACGCAACAAAGGGTATGGCATGAGCTTATTGCTAAGTTGGAAAAGATCCAGCCGGGAATCGCCGGCAATCTATAGGTCATTAATATGGACTTTAAAAGCAACTATGTTAAGTATAAATTTAATCGAGATATGGAGGAGCCAGCGGATTACTTATGTGACAAGGAAAGAAGAGCCATTGAGAAACAAGTCTTGTCCCTCCACGCACGGCAACCTGTCTTGCTTAGTATTATCAATGACCGTGAAAAATACCTGCCCATAAGAGCAGCTTACTCTCTGACTTTATGATCCTCCTCCTAGTGTGCAAGGTTTATGATAAAGCTCTAATTCTATATGATATGCCTTATAAAACTTGTGGGCAGTGTTGCTTTAAACATCATCAACACTGGACGTGACTTTCACTCTGCTTTTCCAGATCCGCTGAAGAGTATCTACAGCCATCCATCAGCAGCCCCCCCAATTCACAGGTATCTTCAGAGCAGTCACCCGAGCGCAGAGCGACATATTAATCACGAGCTACTCTTTCCCAGGGGATCAGGCAGTGTGGTTGACGACGCATTCCCACGGAATTCTCGAGATATCTCTGGGTGGACAGATTGTTCTTGAGGAACACTCAGGAACCGATTCTATCCGAGTCATCTTCACCGTTCATAATATATGCCCAGCTTGTCTTGATCGAGACGGAGACTTGAAAACCCGCAGCATCAAAGTGGCGACAATAGTGAAATGAACGCTTGCCACTCTCACAGATGATAGTCACTGCATTTACTGTGAATCGAAATTTAGCACAAGACAAAAGCTGTTTGAGACGGATCTGATGACCGACACAAGACGCACTCAGCTTTTCCGTAACGAAGTGGCGGAGCTCAGAATCGCTGTAAGATCAAAACTGCGATGGCCTTTGGGGTTAGAACTCCGCATTAGCGATACGGCTCCTATATTCAATCTCTCACAGCCTCGCTATGGGGACTCCAATGGCCCTACCACGATAGATGACTACATTTGCAAGTCGTTTGAGGACATACTGGCTGGCTTGCCAACCATCTTGAACAAGAACTGGGGCGAAGCGAAAGGTGGCGAGAGCAAGGCAATTTACGAACCTCCTCAGCCAAGGCCTGAAGAGGAAGCTAGCGTGCAGGCGGTCGGCATGTTGATTCATGAATAATGATATGTTTTCCTATTGCCATGTCTTGATTCGTCGCGGTTCAACAGCGGTGCAAGCGTCGAAGCTGTGTACAGGGAAGAGCCCTCGGAACTGGTTTTCCGGGTTGCCTCAGTCAACCAGCACCCCAGGGAGCAAGAAAGCTTCAGACCTCGATAAAGGATGCCAAAATAACATCACCAAAGAACCCCCTAAGCTTACGATAATTCACCCAAGTCTTTTTCTTATTTAGGAGCGAGGCCCTAAGTTTTATTGCCTCCCCTAGCAGCACTCAACGAACTTCTGCCCTTTGTTACTCACGGTATAACAGAAGCTGTCGGCGTAGCGGATGTCTCAGGTTTATCAGATACAAGGCACATGAGAGAGGCAATAGGTCATACTTTCAGTGACATCCTCCCGCATTCAACGATTCTGTGGGACAACCGGTTTTGTCAAGTGGCCCTGGTCTACCCGAGGCAATCCCAAAGTGTCAGATATGGGGCGAGAGGCTGAACATCGAAGAGGACACTGCATCGATAGTAGCATGTCAACGAGGATCCCTCGTGATCGCCGCATCGTGGTTAGACCTCACGGTTGACTTTTCTTCTTGTCGGGCTTTCAGAGCAGAATTCGGCAATGGTCACATCCGCGGGAGTAACAGTGAAGAAGCGGCAATTGAGTTGGAGGGATGTATGAGTGTCGATGCCCCAAAAGATTTCGAGTGATATACACCAAGCAATAAAGAGTTCACTCAGTGGGATGATGGGAAGTACCTAGTTGAGTCGGCCTTGATGTCAAGAGGAGAAGGCCCATACCGTCTCACGATGCTACGATCTGAGTCGTATCGACAGATTATCGATCCATTCGACGCTGTTCTCAGACTCTTTCGATGCTGCTACCCAAAATGTTCTCATCCTCAGCCTATGAAGAAGTATGGTCTGAAAGGTGGCAGAGCTTCACCTGGCTACATTTGACCATGCCGTGGATATGTTTAGTGTGAACCCGATGGACTTCAACGATCTCCCCCGACGGCCCGATACAATCCAGATTACCAAGCTTTCAGACACTACCCTAAAGTTCAACGTGACTCTTGCTTGGGTCTTTGGGGGCGCTGTTGTAGCTGAGCATGCGATGAGCTTGGACGGGTTGAAGGCCAGCCACACATTGCTCGCAGAGTTCATCCCACTTCGGGATCCCGCGAATTGTACAAGGTGGATGGTCCAAAAAGCGATGAGAAAGCGAGATGAGTGTGGAGTACGCAAAGCAACGGGAGCTCCCGGGAGAACGCGGCTGACGGATAATTACTGTAGACCTCTACAAAAGCAAAAGATTCGGCAAATGGCCAATCTGTATCCGCAGTTGTTTCTATGGTGAAGTTCCTGGCATTAGCTCCAAGTCCCCATATATCCACTGCTCCATCGACAACCAATCTTATTCATGACCCCTGTATCTCATTCCTTCCTTTTGCCCACCAGGACTTCTTCTCTCTTTTCTCTTTTCTGGTGATGTTGTTTCGACCGGCAAGAATTTCGGTCCCTCTTCAAGTAACCAGTCATATTTACAGTCAGGCCAATACAACTATGAGATCTGCAATACGAGCTTCAGCTAGCTACCACCCTTGTCAACTACAATGACAATCCTGACGATTTTAAGGCTGGATAAAAAAGTGCATGTTCTTGGCAAACAAATCTAGGCATCAACCACGATGCATAATCATGATTCATTTACCAGCCTTAGCACCATCACGAGACCTTGGCAAATTGGGAGGTGATTAAGAAAAAAACAAGATTCTGCATCTCTGAAGTCGGTGATCTGATCTGAGGCTTGAAAATAAGGGCTTCCACCTCGGAAAGAACTACTGCTGTATCACCATGTCATCACACCGATCTATAGTCTGTCTGTCACTACATTACACAAACTAAAGCCACAAGGTAGTGGCGATCGGCGATCGTTTCGCTCAATACGACCTTGTACAATGGAAAAGATTGATATCGATTTCTGTACGCCGATGAAAGCCATATTGCATCTTGTAGATCTTGGGGTAGCTGAAACATACAGCGATAATCTAGGCAGTGATCTTCAGGAAATTAGATAGTTAAACAAGTGGCTGAACAGGTGCTGTTACCCTATTGGATCCCTTTGTTAGTTAACGAGTAGTAGGGTTATCGAAATGCAGACTATCAGACCGAGTCAGGCCTAACTGTCACATAGTGAGGCTAACGGGCTTTTTAAGCGTAATACAAACTCCGTAAAAACACGGAACTTCTTATCAGAGTATGTAAAATGTAGATCACTCTTGTTTTTACCTCCCTCGGCCATTACCCCTTCATGAACCAAGCCCTTGGTGAACAAGCCCTTCTGAGACATTTCAACGGGTCATTGGCTACCCGTGGCAGGTGTAAAAGCGCATGTCAATATTGCCACATCCAGTAGTTAACGTTTTGGTAGAAATGTTTTAGTTTTTTGGGGCCAAATTGAGGTATCGTTGCGGCACATGCATCAAATCCACTTTCTCTTCCGGACCAACAGAGCCTGTTTGGGGTTCTCTCCCTGTAAGCGTTTACGAGAGCGCTTTACCAAGTTGAGGAGCGATCTTCAATTCGAAAAAGTAAATGCAGAAATAGTCAGTGTCTGGTGCTAAAGTCAGACGCCAAATGTAACGCTCTCTGCCCTCTTTTTGGCCCTTGCGCTCTTCTCCGCCTAATACTCATAACTAATTCTGCCCTTTGGTATTTTCGTCCCATGAAATTGCAATTAAGAGCAATGATCATCGGCGTCAAGCCACCGGGCTGAGACTTCCGGCAATTAGGTCCAATAAAAACCTTGTCTCAGCCTCCCCAACCGGGCTATCGGCAATAAGACATTGAGAGGGTGAGACTCTGGAGGCTAGACTTGCTCTTTTGCCGATCACTGCATGATCCAATGACGGCAACTAAATCAATTGAGTCAGGAACGCATGGTTGTCGTGGCTGTCTCGGTCTCGGGCAGCGGGTCATGAAAAGCAATTATGCCAAGTTTACCGCGGGTTAAAACCCCATTGTAGCTGCATATTAAGCTGCGGCCCCGTTTTGGCATTCTTTTTCTCCAGCCAAGGACCAGGAGGGGAGAACAAATGAGGGCGCTTGATGTGGGTGGTTCAGTTGTCGTTGACGACGTGGCTATCCCGAGACCCTTGTGCCTCACGAGCAATCCACTACACTCAACGTTTTATGCTGTGCAATTTCAGGATTTCAGCTTTTGAGAGAGTGTGTCATGTCTTATGCAGAGTATTGCTTTTGACCGTCGTGGATCACTGCAGTTAGCCGCGGGATTCACGGATCCTCGCCTGATCCATGACGATGCTACGTCTTGTCTCGGAGCGAAGGTCCGGGCAGTCCACGATATGATCTTGTTTGTTTTCTCTGGAAAAATCATTAATTCCTGTTCAATTGAGCTCATTTCGCAGTTGATTTAATAACTACTCTGTACTATTCTTAGCACTTGAACCTGAAATTGCACTTGATGCCCTGAATCCCCATAATGCGGGCGCTAATCAAGATAACGGGGCTATCCGTGGCCTGAAAATTTACGAGCGGACTGTCGCCCTACAATTCTAAAATACTAGCGGCATCGGCAGTTGGAGTCGTACTGTTACGCAAAAAGCATATTGAAACAAAGCAACCATCCCTGTAAGAAATTAGAGACGACAAACAGAAACCAACGTGATCTGAGCAAGGAAACATGGGTCTCTCCCTCGTCCCGGCCAGGTACCGAGTGGATGATGAAGATCACAGACCAAGGGAGAAGAGTTGAGCCCCACCAACAGACCGGTGCAGTGATCGCCCCGAGTTCCGCAATAATACTTACTCAAAGTCTACGGACTAGACTCAGCTGAGATGTGTGATGCGGAATATCGTGACGTAGGATTATGGCTTGGAGTAATCTCGTACTGTCAGGGAGACATGCCCTTGATCAGGGAACTCAACACTTTGGTGTAAACCCTCAAGTATAAAGAGGCCATCATCCTCCCTCTCAGACTCAAAATCCTCATCAACACTCATCAGCATCTCCAACAGCATCCTCAACACCTTCAAACACTCCACTCACTCCCAAAAACCAACTCTTTCAACTCAGCTCAACTCCATTCAAAATGCAGTTCACCAAGATCGCCTCCGTCCTCGCCATGGCCGCTGCTGCCATCGCTGCTCCCGCTCCCGGCAACTACGAGATCGAGCCTCGCACTGGCGGTGGCAACAACCAGCCCGTCTGCGCTGCTCAGAGCCAGCAGGTTTGCTGCAGCGGTCTCCTCAACTGTGTTGTCCAGGTTCTCGGCACCGGCTGCAAGACCAGCTCTTTCTGCTGCAAGACCGATGCCCCTACTGTAAGTAGCCGCCCAGAAAAGGCAGAACAAGACTTGATACTAACTGTTGCAGGGCGCTCTCGTCAACGTCGCCCTCCTCAACTGTGTCGACCTTCTCTAAGCGACACGCCTCTGCGACTTACTCTATGGAGTATTAGTTGGGATGTTGGATATTGGGGCACAAATGGTGTGAGGGATCTGACGGAGAAAGCCTATGCCAGCTACTCCGTATGTCAATAGGCAGTGTTGATGTTTGTATTTACTTCGGTGACCTTAATATTGAGGTTGAATATACATGCAGGGGTTATATACTTGACTTGACTTGACTCTTGACTGTGAATGTGACAAGATAGCAACAAACTCAATTGATCACATGAACTCACTGATAAACAAGCATCCAGGTTCCAGCTGAGCAAATTAACATCAACAGTCAGCTTACCGGTAACTTTGACCTACTGATCATACTCTCGTAAACTTGGACTCATCAATGCCGTTACCGGATGCTGCGGAGTCCAAAACTCAATCACAGAATGTAACCAGGGATCCCTGACAATCGACCCATCCACAACGGTTGAAGAAACAACTTAAATTAGTTTAACTATGACTCTGACCTATAGAAGCAAGTGTACGTTTTGAAAACTATTAAGGTCGTATCCATGCTCAAATAGATCGTTCCAGGCTGTGTCGATGCTCGGCGTAGGATACTCTTGACGAGGCGGGTTCTGACTTTTGACTCCAAACCATGACATGAACTCTGTGTCAATCTCGCCCTCGGCATGTGACGCGTTGTCGAAAATTGCCAACGTTGCATTCCCCAATCTCCGTATGATCTGGGTACTCCTCTCCCCGACCTTCTTGCCGTGTGATATCTTGGAGACGAGCCTCACGCATGTTTCAATATTGGCCTCGACGACTTCTCTTGTTAGTTCAAGACGGACCACGGAACTCGCTCTGATGGAGTACAGCATCGTAACTGCAGCCATAAACAGCGAGTCTAGCGCCACAAAGGTGTAGATTATCTTGTTCTTTGCGTATAACGCGTTGTAGCAGCTAATGAGGCTTATGGATGAATCAGCGCACAAGCGAATGGCGTCCGCGCTGCTCACTGGCGATGCATGAGATGGTCGGTGGAGGTTGATAACGGCTTGATGATAGGCGATTTGGAACCACTCTGGCGTTTGGTACATTGACAGTGGCGCAAGGTATCTCGGGGCGGAGAGAAGCCATGCATTCAGACGGGTGTAGTGCTGTTGGCGTATTGCGTCGAGGTTTCGGCCTTCGAGGTTTAGGCCGCCTGCTGAGTGGAGGGCGGAGTATATTCCTGCGTTGATTTGGCGGAGTTCGACGATGTGACGGAATGCGGACATGTCTCTGACATCGGGGAGGATATTTGCTATGGCTTGATCTGCAGGGCCGGCGATTTGTTCATCTGTGAGAACCAATGGGAGCGGGATCGTGATATCAGCGTCTTGGATCCCCAATGGTCGGCCAAGAGAGATTGAAACACTCCGGTCCATGGTGTACAAACTCCAGAATAACCGTTTTCGCATCTCGGCATCGAGCAACGTCTTGTTCGCAAGGCTCTCCTCCCGATGCATATCAATACCTACTGCAAGCCTCAACGCCATGCCAACGGTGTACCACAAATTGACCGACTGCGGCTCATTGCTGCCGAACAAGCACAGCAAGGAAAGACAACGTATGCAGTCGAGGTCATCAGCTGAAAGTACAGCGTCAAGATCACGCACCGCCGCCTCAAAGAAGTACTCGTGAGAAACAGGTGCATCTGAACTAATTCGTGCTTTTTCCGATGCTCCAATCGCGAGAACCATGTGTACTTCAAACGCTGACAGTCTGCTCCTGACTTGGCCATTGCAGTATGGTATATAATGCTGTTCCATAAAGGTTGGGCGATGAAGAACCGGGTATTGCGGCCATCGTCGGTCGAAGAATACTTCAATCAGGCTGAGGCCGTCTCGGTGAAGAGAAAATGTGTTTGACGTGGCGGTCGGAGGCGTCTCACTTGCTGACAATCCATGCCACAATTGCCAAGGCCCAGTCATAAAACCAGTCTCGGAAGCACCATTGGGTCCCAGTCCTCTGAAAGTTGGCAGAAGCATTCGTCCAACATATCCCCTCTCCAAACTCGCAACCGAGCCATCGGGTTCTTGGCGATCGGTGACAGATCTTATCTGCAGATGACTTTCTTGAGACCGAGTTTCCGATGGGAGTCTCGATTGCATAGCAAGTTGTGTTTGCAGCTCATTCACTCGATCTTTCAATCGCTCTACCTGACCTCTCAGATGCTCGCATTCGCATTCCCTGTCGACTTTGACAACGAGTCGATCTGAGGGGACACAAGGCACATTTGCAGCAGCGCAAGCCCCGCATACGGGATGTCTGCCGTCACACTTGACACCAAGTCAGTCAAGTCTACCCGAGAAATGTGGTAGCACGTACTTTTTGTTTTCTTCGGCGACATCTCTGGCAAGCCGCTGATATCCTCTTGAGACCACGACGCGGCGATCTTATCCGGTCAGTGTCCCTGTCTGAGTGTGTATCGTAAGCTGAAGCCGATTCGAACACGGCGGGAAGTTCTCCGTCATCGGTTGCAGACATTTTTCGGGTTGAGTTTGAGGGATGAAATGTTAATGCGAAAGAGTCAGAAGTGACCCACTCTATCGATAAGGACAGTCGAGTCAATCTCCGGTTCAATGCCGGCATAGCCGAAGCTGAAAAGATGGATCTCCCTTGGAATCGGCCGGATTCGGCCCTTATGCCCGGCCTTATCTCGCATGTCGTGATTGAAGGAGATAATGGTCTTGTTTTATACTGAAAACTACCGATATTCAGGTTTTCCTTGGTGTTTAGATAAGATTCCCTATGTATAGTAGTCCAACTCTGTCAAGCCGGTTAGACCTGGACAAATTGCGGCTCCAATCTTGACGTCATTGACGAACCAGAAATTATGCAGTATTCCTGTGCTTTAAGAACAATCAATGCCTAGATAAGTAGTATCTTGTATCTCTATGGAGCTATCTGAGCAGAGAAATGGACCAGTATGTCATTTATAGGTTTATTATCCAGACACTGTTGTAGACTTACGATCACCCAAGATATGCAGCTAATGACAATCACCGTTACCATCTCAATCAGCCTCAGCTTCAGTCCCAAAGTATAGTCTACAGTACAAGCACAATTCCTCAATCTAATGTTACAATAATATCGTGTTCTGTGATTATTTTTCAACCTGTGGCAGTATAGAAAACAAAAACTCATACTCATGCGGGCTCTAGGGTACGTAGAAACTAAGGATGGCGTCACTTCTTCACAAGGGACTCAGGCAAACGAAGAGGGAAACGTAAAAACGGAGTCAGCACGTGGAACAAACATAATGTTTGACACCGATAAGGCTGAACAGAATGATTAAGCTACTGGCGCAATAGATACAGCAAGAGACTGAAGGACCCTCCCCAAGTGAGTGATTCCAACCAATCGGGCTTCTCGGTATCTCAGTTAGCGAGCCCTGGTCACCATCTCAACATGGTCAAGCTCTTGTTAGCTACAAAACCCCCAACCAGTGAAAACACAGCACTTCTACCCCGCAAACAGCACTATCAGTAGCCTAAACCGAGTCTTCGGGGATGCTTATCACCTACGGAACCCCATCGGAAGCCGGTGGGACGCCTCTCATCGCCCTTATCTCTACGGAATGCCCCCGTCACAAACATCCCCAAACACCACAAATCACAATGCCTCGCCCAATAGTCCCAGCGCATCAACGACAAAGAGCAGCAGAAGCCTGCAATCTATGTCGCGAGACGAAAAAGAGATGCAGCGGTTCAGCACCCTGTACACAATGCGTTCGGCGCGGTCTTGAGTCGCAGTGTTTTATCACCTACGCTCCGAGGGGGTCCAGGACAAGAGCTCGCGCTGAGGCTGCGAAGGCTGCTGCGGCGGGATCGACGACGACGGAGCAGATGAGTGCGAGTTCGCATCAGAGTAGTCAGCCGATGGAGACGGATGAGGGATATAGGCCGCTATCGCCGTCGCACTCGCAGCAGGATGATGAGAAGGACAGTCAGACTGAAGCGTCGAATCCACCACGGATGTTGTTGAACTCGAGAGGTGAAAGAGGTATGAACGCCATTCAAATTTGCCGATGAAATGCTCATTTGTTAGTTTATATCGGAGGCGCAGCATCAATCTCGTTTCTGCAGATTGTGCGAAATTTGGTGTCGCAACAAATTGGACCATCGGCATTTTCTCATAATGAAAAGAGCGACACCATGCTTGAGATTGAGTCGCCGACAGCTACAACACACGACGAGACGAGCGCGATGAGACTAAATCCGGATCAGAAACAGCAATATTTGAGATCGTACTACGTAGTGGTATGTCGACATCTCCAAGCCCTGAATGCGTGCTGATGATAGCAGACCGAAGCATTAACCCACGTCTTTGACGCGTCGGAACTCGAGACTCTCCTCAATCTCGACGACGACACAGGATATTCTCCCTCTCCCAATCTATCACCTCTCAAACAAGCCTCAATCGATCTAGTAATCGCAATCGGAGCTCAATGCGAGTCCCTCTCGAGCGCCCGAACAATAGGACAAGCATATTTCCGCCGAGCTCGCAGCCAAGCATTCGTCGGGTTCCTCGAAGATCCAGACCTAGACATGGTCCGAACATTTCTCCTCATGGCATTCTTCATGCTTGGCGAGTGTCGAAGAAACGCAGCATTCATGTATCTAGGCGTCGCTACAAAAGCAGCTCTTGCTTTAGGTCTGCATAGCAGGGAGTCTTATGCTGCGAAACCAGGACCGGAAGATCAGTCAAAGTAAGTTTGAGCCTTTATAGTGATCGGATATGGCTAATTGGTTAGATTGCGGGTATGGATGAGTGTGTGTATCCTTGATAAGCTTGTTAATTCGCTTCTCGGCCGACCTTCCGCTTCTGCCCAGATCCGATCGAACAGCAGTAGCAAATTGGATGACGTCGCGCAGAATGGCGATAGCATTACCGAGCATTTGATGGCGTCCAACAGAGTTTCCACTATCATCAACGATATTACAGACACATTATACGATCAGAAGAAGGTCACGACTGCAATTGTGGAGCAGTTCCTACAGGATATTGAACGCTGGAAGCGAGAACTTCCTGCTTCCGTCAAGATACCTTCAGCAGATCCCAGTCCAGGAACAGTAACGCAACAACACGGAGCTATTGCCAAGGTTTACGTGTCGTGTCTGTATTATCTGGCTGTCATGTTGGTCTCAAGACCCTTCTTGGTTTCGGCACTTACGTCCAAGGGTCTTGGAAAGGGAGCGCATACTCAATTGGCTGCTGCGTGTCTTGATGCAGCGATGTATCTATCACAAACATGTTCCGAAGCTCTAAACGCTGGGCTATTACAGGGAAACATGTGCATTATGAAGTATGTTTACCGACGATATACAAAGATCAACATGCTAATCGTCTACAGAGCTCTTGTCTTCGCATCAGGATTAATACTCGGTCTGGAGATCTTCGCCAAATACCCCGTTGAATCGGACATCAGCAACGCATTCGAAGGCGCCAAAGATGTTCTCAGACATTTAGCAACGCAAAGTCCACAAGCAGCACATTATCTCGACATTCTGACAAATCTATCTGGGGCTATTGACAAGCGACGATCAAACGAAGCATCTAGTGGAAGAAGCCGCTACGTCTCCAAACTGTTTAGCCTGGATGCACCACCCGAGAATGCAGGCTCACAATCTGCCCAGCAGATGCTAGATACAATGTTTCCATTCACAGATGCTCAAACTGGTCAGATGATGGATGATACAATGCAGGATTGGGTATTTCAGCAGCCTGATGGTGGTGATTTTAGTTTGGACTGGGAGACGTTGAATGTGTCATTATGGGATACGTATCCATTTTTATCATGAGTTAGCTATCTATGTAGAACTGTATGAATTGACGAGCCTGAATGAACAATCACCATATCCCCAATATTGCCGTCCGTGATAACACCGACACTGACACCTCACATATCCAACCTCCGCCATTTGTCGGTACAATTCATCAAGTGACTACCCCAGAAAATCCCCATTCGAAGATCCGCAGATCCGCACTGAGTTTACCGCACTCACGCGGGTGCTATCAGTAAAATGGGTGTAGTGCATTACCCGACGCTAGCGGATATCGCACCACTTCCGTACTGTGGACTTCCGCTATCTGTAGATAACCTATCGTGAATACGGAACTTCCGAAAATTACAGCCGCAGGCGGTTGAAGCATTCGACAGTGGTTGCAGGGCGGGTATGAACTATGAGTGGTTGTTGATCCGGGGTAGATAACGTTTGATCGAGAGGAAGCTAAATAGTGATGGTTGCTCAGCTTCAAATCGATTCAATTCATCATCAACTCATTCAATACAATAACATCTCATCTCATCCTACAACCACTTCTCAAGTCTCGACATCTCAATTCAACTCTTCAGCGTATCCCATATCTTCTCACACCAACTTCACAATGATCAAGGATAACGCCCCTACCATGCCCAATTGGAAGCGCCTCAGCGTTGGTGTTATCGGCGGTGGCATCGGTGGCATGTCAGTAGCAATTGCTCTCCGCCGCGCTGGCCACGACGTCACCATCTACGAGCGATCAGACTTTGCCGGTGAAGTCGGTGCTTCAGTATCCTGCGCCGCCAACGGAACTCGCTGGCTTCATGAGTGGGACGTCGATGTTGCCAAGGGAGACCCCGTCGTTCTCAAGAAGCTCATCAACCGTGACTGGAAGACTGGCGAGCCCGTCAGTGTTTACGATCTCGATGACTACGAGAAGCGATGGGGTTTCGTGTACAACATGTTCCACAGACAATACATGCACGCCATGTTGAAGGATACTGCTATGGGTGAGGGAGAGGGTATCCCCGCAAAGCTACTAGTCAACCACAAGTGCTCCGCTATCGACTTCCCCACAGGCACTATCACCTTTGAGAATGGTGTTACTGCCAAGCACGATCTTATCATTGGTGCTGATGGCATTGGCTCTGCTGTTCGAAGAATCCTCGGTATTAACCCTGAGAAGAAGCCCTCCGACCAGAGCTGCCTTCACTGCAATGTCACAACCGAAGAGGCCGTCAAGGCTGGTCTCGTCGACTACTCACTAAACAGTGCTCTTGAGTACTGGGGCGGTCAAGAAGGAAAGTGGGACAAGATCGTCCTCTCTCCCTGCAACGGTGGCAAGCTTCTCTCATACTACTGCTTCTTCCCCCGCGACCAGGGTGACTACACTACACAGGCTTGGGGATCTGAGGATCTTCCCACTGAGGATCTCCTCAAACCTTATCCTGAGCTCGACCGCCAAGTCTTTGGACACCTTGCCATTGGAAAGGAGATTCAGCCCTGGCGTCTGTGGGTCCACCAGCCTTATCCCTACATCGCCAAGGAGAACGTCTGCCTTCTCGGAGATGCTGGTCACCCCATGATGCCTCATCAGTCTCAGGGTGCATGCATGGCTATTGAGGATGCCGCTGCTCTTGGTATCTTGTTCAGCAAGCGATACTTCAACGGTGATGTCAAGCAGGCCCTTTCTGTTTATGACAAGGTCCGCCTGCCCCGAGCTACCCGTGTCCAAGCTGCTGCTGCCAAGGCTGCCTACAACATCAACGAGCGAATTGGTAAGTCACTCGATGCTTCATAACTATGATTAATGCTAACCTTCTCAGGCTTCTCTGTCAACAAGGACATTTCTACATACAAGGTTGAGAACGAGAAGGAGGTCCTCACCATCGAGGAGATGAACACATATGATATGTACAGGGATATTGAGGAGAAGTTGGCCAAGGCACAAGGAGAGAAGTACTCCGGTGGCTTCCTTAACGGTCTGCCCCTGGGTCTGGAACTACCAAATGGTGTCATTGTCGGTGCATAAACGGGAAAAGAGGAGTTGGGGTCATTTTACATCTTAGCTTTGTCATAGTCGGTTTCAAAAATGTTAAATTGGTTCATTAACCTCTGCAGCCCTCATTCACTTACACCTTGTTTGTTCGCCTCTGATGTCAATATATGGGTGATCAAGCTTGTAGCTAGCTCACAATGCCACATGCTATGAACCTATCAAGGCCCCCCCGTCAATCTTTCGATCATGTTAGCGGATGTACCGGGGCGCTTGATGGCCTTGCCACTTTCCAAGCGTCTCGACTATTGCCGTATCCGGCAAGATCCAGGGGTTCGCAACGGTTGGGATCTGCAAGTCTATCTCAAGTCTACTGAGAAGCGCAGCGGACTAGTCCGGATGCTGACTGGGTGCCATCTTGGTCGGGTCCTTGTTGGCTAGTTGCATATCAGGGCCTGTCTTCTACTTAGGCTTCAAGTTCCCCTTGCCTATCCGCAGGAATATGTGCAGGCAGCTTAGGGACAATCCTTTACGTCGAGCCAGCATCCAACTTCTTCATCTTCTTGCCGCTCTTTTGTGTCAGGCTATATTATATAATTAACATTAAAGGCCCTTGTTGAACTTGCCAGTCTGAAACTTCAAGCTATTGTGATAGGAATAGGCCCTAGCAAGAAGCCAGTCCCTTATGTCGTTTACAAGAGGCTCGATTCTGTACTCGTTCTATTTGGAACGATTAGCCATCGGGTGGACGAGTAGAAGATTATATGAGAATATACAACTGCATCGGGTGACTTGGTATAGATGAAGCTTCACAATCCTTGACCCATTCCCAAGAGAAACTACAGAATCTAGGGGTATTCAGGCGACATTGGACTGCTCTTGTTGCCCGACCCGTGAAGGTCTTCTATTGTGCACTAATAGTTGAGAATACCCTCTTGTATACACCATGCTACCTGAAATTGACTTCAGAACATGAAGGGATTCGGATCTATTCTTCCGATCGCAACACCCGGATTACAGTGGAAGAAATGACTGCTTCAACAGCTCGACTAACCGTCACATAGCTCCAACTAATCTCACCAGCTGCATGTCATAATCGAGCAATATTATATTTCTATAAGTCTATTTCTTATATGCTGCCGCAGCTCCAGTATCCTATCACAAGTTAGCATCGCGACTCTCGTCAGCAGCATCGAGGTCCTTACCAAATACACCTGGTAAAACTTGAGCCGATACTTTCCGTCAGCGGCCGTCTTTTCCAGCTCGGCTCTTCCAGCCCACTCAATCTCTGCCGAGCCGCCATTCTTCAGCTGCAAAGCCACTGAACCATGGAGCATGACCTCGTCTGAACCAGCGCCGAACGGGTACACCTTGTTGAGAGTGTGCTTCCGCGACGCCACAGCCTCCCACATTCCTTGTCTAAATGTGGTGATTTCTACACAGTCAATCATTGTCCATACACTCAATGGAGGACTTACCAGCATGACCTGAAGCCTTCTTCGATGCGAGGACAAATGTCGCGTCCTTTGCAAACATGTCTACATACTTGTCGGTCTCGCCGGGAGTGTCGGAAACAGCGTAGAACGACTGGAGGAACTGGATAACATGCGGTTGAACCGACTGATCCGAAGGACTCTGCACAGAATACGACTGTTCCATTTTGGCGTTTTCTTTTCTGATCTTGTGATGATTCTGATTGCGTTTCTCAAAGCTTGTGCGTAGCAGTTATCTCAATAATGTTTCGCTCCGTGACCCTGCTTCCGACTTCCGATAGTGGACTTCGGATCTTCCTTAGTGAGCGCTCCCACTGTAGTGACGATCTTACCCCGCAGATTGATCGGACCGCGGGCAAATGCCGTTTCTTGTTAAGGTTAGCATTGACGGTGCATTATCCGCTCATCCAAACGGAATCAACGGAATTACGAGGCGGGTGCATTATCCGGAATGGGGTAATGAGGTCTCTATGGTGGTATTATTTGAAGTTGTTAGTTTTGAAGTTGAATATATATCAGAGGTTCAACTCCAGATAACAAAATTATACTCATCATCAATTCACACTCTCACATCAACTTCCCTTCACAAATATCTTATTCATCATGCTCGGCAAGGTTGCTCTTGAGGAAGCTTTCGCTCTCCCCCGTCACAAGGAGCGAACACGATGGTGGGCTGGTCTCTTTGCCATTGACCCTGATAAGCATGCTGCCGAGATCAACGATATCACAGATCAGCGCATCAAGTACATGAATGAGCATGGTGTTGGATATACAATTCTTTCATACACTGCACCTGGTGTGCAAGATGTCTGGGATCCTAAGGAGGCTCAGGCACTAGCTGTTGAGGTCAACGATTATATTGCCGATGCTATCAAGGCTCACCCTGATCGCCTTGGTGCTTTTGCGTAAGTCACAATGCCATATATTCGAGAGCTTCACTAACTAATTCAGTACTCTCTCTATGCACGACCCCAAGGAAGCTGCTGAGGAGCTCCGAAGAGTTGTCACCAAGTACGGCTTCAAGGGTGCTCTGGTCAACGACACCCAAAGAGCTGGTGCTGATGGAGATGATATGGTCTTTTACGATGGCCCAGAGTGGGATGTCTTCTGGTCAACAGTTACAGACTTGGATGTTCCCTTCTACCTGCACCCCCGCAACCCCACAGGCTCCATCCACGAGAAGCTTTGGGCCAAGCGCAGCTGGCTCATTGGGCCCCCTCTGAGCTTCGCCCAAGGTGTCAGCCTTCACGCCCTGGGTATGGTAACCAACGGTGTCTTTGACAGACATCCCAAGCTCCAGATCGTTCTTGGCCATCTTGGCGAGCATATTCCTTTCGATATGTGGCGAATCAACCATTGGTTCGAGGATATCAAGAAGCCGCTTGGTCTGTCTTGCAAGTTGACCATCCGAGAGTACTTTGCCCGCAACCTGTGGATCACCACCAGTGGACACTTCTCTACCTCAACACTACAGTTCTGTCTTGGAGAGGTTGGAGCTGACCGCATCTTGTTCTCTATCGATTATCCTTTCGAGAACTTCTCAGATGCTTGCACGTGGTACGATGGTCTGGCTATTAACGACGTTGATAAGAGAAAGATTGGAAAGGATAACGCTAAGAAGCTGTTTAAACTTCCTCAGTTCTACCAGAGCGAGGACTAAAAGGACAACGAGAATAAATCACAATGAAGTATATAAATGCAATAGAATAACACGATTTTGAGCGTTTCAAAAACTGCTATTGCTCCAAGTGACTCAATCGCAACGTTAACCAACACTCACAACAACAGTACCTTTGATTGATGGCAAAATTGTATAAATACATAGACTTACTTCAATTTGCTATGCAGGTGATATGAGAACTAGAGTGTAACCCAGAACAGGAACCCAAGTCTTTACGACCTCTCGTCCTTACTCTCCATCATGTCATTAGGTAGCAGAGCTGTTGTAATCACACAACCCAGCATAACGCCGCCAGCAAGATACAAAACGCTGTTGATATCTCCCTGTCCATCCTCACCCGTACGTCCATACAGATGCTGTGCAATCAATGGACTCACAATACCAAACAATCGACCCCAAAATCCTGCAATACCGCAAGCCGTCCCACGAATTGGCGCGGGGAAGGCTTCAGGAGTCCAGCCGTAGAGTACAGCGTTGAACATGGACTGGAAGAAGTATTCCATGGTGAAGAGTCCCTCGTTCTTTGCACGCGTGTCGACTGTTGAGAAGAGGATGATGGAGATGCCCATGAGTGCGGCTGATAGCGCCATTGTCCATTTTCGGCCAATACCTGGGATGCGGTAGAGTGTTGCGCCGAGGAGTACTCCGACGATACCGGGTGCATAAGTGTAGATGTATGCAGCATAAGTCGATTTGAGACTGACAGATGCGGCGCCGTTCTTCAGGGCAAGGATACTTGGCAAGTAGAAGCCTAAATATGTTAGAAATGCTACATCAAGTTCACCCTGGACTTACCAGCAACAGTGAATCCCCAATAGTCCATAATATACGTCAACCATACAAGGATTGTGAGACGAGTCATCTTAGGACTAGAAAAGAGCATCTTGTATCGTGAAAGCTCAAGCTTAGCCTTTTGAGACCACGCCATGTTGAGTTGCTTTGTCCCGGCTCCCAAAGCAGGTGTTGCACTATTACCACTTCCAAGAGAACTATCATCTGCCTGGAGTGACTCAAAAAGCTCAAGAGTGAGTCCGCACTGCTTCTTGTTCACCTTTGCCATATGTTGAAGCGTCTCAATTGCCTGGCTGTCACGCCCGCGATAGATGAGATACTTGGGAGTCTCGCGGAAGTTAAAGACGAAGAACCGAAGGATGAAGACCGCAAGAGTGATGCCACCAATTGTGAAGAGAAGATATCGCCATCCCATGTTGTCACCGCGGGAACAGCATGTTTCTCCTGCCTCGGCATTGTTGCATGATACCAGAGGGTCAGGTTCGGAGAAGTTGGGAGAGCATGCGTAGACTGGGATGAAGCCGAAGGCGATGGCACTGCAAAGGACGACTCCAATGGGTTGGAAAACGGACAAGCAGGCCAAAAGGAAGCGTTTGTTCTGTCAAACATTAGTCAAGGTTTATTCGTCGAGGTTGGCCGACATACCTGGGGAATGAACTCGAGGGTAATTGTCGTGTCAATTGGAATATTCCCTCCGACCCCAAAGCCGACAAACGCTGTCAAGACAAGAAATGTGGTGTAATTATTCGATGCACCAAGACATAGTCCGAAAATAGACGATATTAGGCACGTCAAGTTGAACGCCCAGCGACGACCTAACAAGTGTAAGCTAACGTCTCAGCAAAAGGAAAGGAGTCTCCAGGTAGAGGACCTGTTGAGGCAAACGAGCCAAGAGTATCATACCGATAATATCCGCCAAGAACCCCCAAACAAAAGCCCCCGCCGTAAGCCCAGCATTAAAGCTGGTCGAGATGTTTCCCGACTCGTTGTCTCCAAAGCCCAACTCTTGCTGCAGTGGTCCAAGCACCAGACCAAAAGCTTGAGCCCAGAGCAGATCGAGAAGATACCCAAAGCCGCAAAGACCCCAAATATACCACTGGTATTTGCCCATTCCTTGGGCGTCGATCTCGCGGTTGATGAGGACGCATTTCTTCTCGTATAGGGTCAAGCCATCAAGGCCGTAGAGGAGGGGGTTTCGGGAGCCATAGCCTTGCGCGTTTTCGACCTCGGATGATGGTATAGTGTCGCCGTCTACTTTGGACATTTCTTCTGAAGCAGGCATGCTGGAGATTGAGCGAAGTGTCTGCGTAACGTCACGTTTCAGTTGGCGACAGGTGATGGAATGGGAGAATAACGTACGAGATGCTCGCCATCGCTATCTAGTGTTTAAGGGATCTGCAATCTCATGTCACACAAGTACAACCTTGATCAAGTCATCATTGGTTTACACTATCGGGATCGTTGATGTCATTCCGAGTTGGTGAGACGAGACCGGGTGGACTCTGATTGGTTCGGAGTATCTCCTCAGCGATGCAGCCACCATCTAAACTCGGCTGTATCCTTTGTTTGTATCGCGTTGGACCGAAGGCAGCAATTTAGGCTATCACGGGGTGAGCGGTACGAAAGCTAATCTGGTAATCAATAGATTGTTTCCGGTTTAGGTCCGCTTCAAAGATGTAAATGTGACTACTCACATGTTTGTTAGTCAAGGGTAGGTGACGGTAGCACGGGGCAATTGTCATATTCTTGATTTCCTTCGTCTATGTCTGCTGTTGCTGCTCGGGGAGTGATCAAGGTAATAACAGACAAGGTTTGAAGCATGTGCGTATCCGTTATTATTACAGGTTGATCCGTGAGGTAGCTTGTAACTTTAGCCACTTGAGAATTTTACTACTGGACTTTAACTTATTCGTAAATTTCTATGTGCATGTCAAATGCAGCATGAGATATTAAAGCACTCTAATGGCGATTCAATAGAACAAAGGAGGGCATACAAGTAGGTTCAATGGGATAACATATGAGCATTGCGAGCTTGTGATGACGTGCATGATGTTTCATGTCAGTAATGAAATGGAAGAATCTCAGTGGCTCTTACTCATTTACTATGCACACCGGATCAGTATAAGTATAGACAACCCAGAGACTGTGTCATACCACAAAGAACCGGCCATTGAATACCATGCTGATACAGTCAACAGCGCGTTCTGATCAACGCGTCGCGTACGCGACACGACTCTGGATGTGCATCGGATTTTATTAGTCCCGAGATCGATCTCCCCCACCAGATCGAACAATCTCTGTCTCCAAAGATTAGCGTGGAGACAAGATCGCTACTAACCTAACTCTAAGCTCAAATCGGTGCACCCAGACAAGGCTTTCAGGCGAGGCTGTCAATGGCCCACCTGAGTCATTGACGTCAGCAACCAAGTCATGCCCGTCATGACTTGGACTGTATCGTGCATTAATATCAATTGCCCTTGTAAGAAACTCTTGATCTTTTACAGACTTGAGATACTTTTTTATGATTGATCTTGGTATCTATGTCTCAGGAACCTTTTAATACTGATATCGAGCACGACAGCGCTGCACTTATGGCTCAGAACGGAGATAAGAGTAAAGATGGGCGGAAGAAGGTTCTTGTTGTAGGTGCTGGTGCAGCTGGGTAAGTTGAGTCTAACTCACTATCTTTGAAGCATACTGACAAAGATAGCATGTCTACAGCTTACCACTTATCAGAGCACCCAGACAAATTCGACGTGACTCTAATTGATGCAGTTGACTACTGTGGCGGTCAAGCATTCTCCATTCCCATTGACAAAGAGCGACATGGAGCTTCTTGGTGCAATCAAGGCGTTCAAGGAGGATCTTACATCTTCCATCATACTGTCACCATGTTCTCGCGGCAGGGCTATCACGCAGACCCTTGCAACCTGCATGTTTCTTTCGGCAAAGACGACACTTTCTGGAACAACGTATTCCCAACTCAGCTTCTGGTGCGCCATGAGAAGGAAGTTCGTCGTTTGACGACTGTTCTCAAGTTCATGCGCTGGTTCGAGATTTTCTTCGCCCTGCTTCCGTTGAGGCTCGTCTTCAAGCTCTTTTTATTCTCTGAGGAATTCACCAACACCATTGCACTGCCCATGACGGCTTTGTTCCTCGGAACTGGCAATGCTACGCCCGAAGTCCCTGCAATCATGTTTGAGAGGCTGTGTACTTCGCCGACTTATGGAATGTGGTATCCGTCCGACAGAAACACAGTCATAAGCAACAAACCGCCGATGATCGTGTTCCCCAAATTCTCAGAGTTCTACGAGACTTGGAGAAAGGATCTTGTCACTCGCGGAGTCACCGTCCGTCTTTCTACAGAGTTGACTGAGATTGTTCAGCGAAACAAGAAAGGCGTTGTTGTGAAGCTCAAACCGCGAACTCCGATGCCCGATCATCATAATCCCAGTGGTGGAGATCCCGATGCACCCATTGGCGAGGAGAACTACGACGAAATTGTGCTCTGCTGTCTTGCTGACACGGCAAAGAAAGTCCTCGGCAAGACCGCGAGCTGGAAAGAGAAGAAAGTCTTGGGTTCTGCAAAATTCAGTGACGATATCACGATCACCCACAATGATTCTGATTACATGAAGAAGCATTACGAGAATTTCTATCGTGATGATTTGGCTGTTGCTAACATCAACGGAACTGACCAATCGGATCGCTTGGCTTTCGCAAAGACAGAGTATCGACCCATGTACTACATCAAGATGTACCCAGAAGACAAGTCCAAGCTTGAAATGTGCTTTGACTGTACCAATTACCAGAGTCAATTCCCTGAAAAGGTTCCCTTCGAGCAACACATCTTCCAGACAATTTATCTCAACAAGGATCGAGACAGCAAGCTCTGGACTGATCATGAGATTGCCGAGGATAAGATCATCCGAAAGGATTGGTGGCATCAGCTCTGTCACAGCTACACTCACTACTTGTTTGTCATTCCCTGGATGATGTTCTTGAACGCTAAAAACCACACTCGCTTTGCAGCATCTTGGACTCTGGTCAACGCTCACGAAGTCGCTGTCATGTCTGGGATTGCGGCTGCGGTGGATCTAGGCGCGAACTACCCTGAAGACTTGGAGAACGATAACTTTGCGTTCCTGTGTTTCCGACTGTACTATCTGATCGCGTATGGAAAATGGTACAGAAGACATTTCACGTCTAAGAAGTATTTGAAGTCGCAGACTACGGAGAGCCAGGCTGCTGCTGATGGGAAGAGTTGGGCTACTGGACTTTATGGAAGTGTGTACAAGGGACCTGGTGTTTCGGAGGTTGAGAGAAGTGCTTGGAGGGAGGATATCAAGAAGGGATCGAGTACTGGTAATTTGTCTTGAGGGGATGTTACTAGATTGTAGACCGGTAAGATAGGATAGGAGGTGTAACAATGAATCGGCTGTAGCTCTACTCGTTTATTGCAACTGTTATCACATGCAGTATCAAGTTAGCACGTGTTCCCTCGTGTTGGGGTCAGGATTGACTATGCTGTGCCCTATGTTTGCTTGGCAGGGGTATCTGTTGAGCGTCCTATTGCGTGACTTTCAATGGCTTGAGACCCCGGACAATTTCATTAATCACCTTCTCTTTCCTATAATCTCATACAAAATGGCGCTAAGCTCCTGGGACAGAAAGGGACAAACTAGGTAGTCCTATTACTCCGGTCAACAGTCTCGCTGTTCGTTTATTCTCTCAGCTCTGGAACCCTTCATCTCATAACGACCAAACTCACGGCAAATGTCCGCTCGCATGTCAATCGTTACAGCGAATCGTGTATGCATGTGCGTAAACCTTAATAATGGAAGGATTAAGGATTCTAGAAGACTGCTGCATTCACAGTAGCACTCTAGGGTATGATCCTCAACTATGGCAATAAGCGTTGCAGCCGGGGAGTAGAATCGGAGGAACTTTTGTCACCCATGTCGATGTACAAAAGGGAAGGTCAGATCCGAGGCAAGACTGACTAGGAACTAGCCCGAGGAAGCCGTAGGCTGTCATATTCACTACCCAGTTGCTATTCGAGACTATGTGCGCTGTTCCGTCTCTGGTTGGCCAGATCAGTCTGGGTATAAGCTTTGGAAGATTGCAGATCATGGTGGCACCAATCACTTGGGGGTTCTCAGAAGAGCTAGACGTTCGCAATCCCCAATACGCCACTCTCGGTTGGGGGGAGAGCTGCAAGGGTTACTCCAAGTTCTCAAGACGCGGAATTACTGACTTGCCACAAACAGCAGTTGGTTGATGTTGCAGAGGTGAGATCCATGGGGTTCTGGCGCCACTGGCTTGCATGAGTAGTATACTCTATTTCGACAACTCGCCGGTTAACAATTCTTGGACCCCCAGGCAAAGCTTCACTTGCGGGACTTGATTGCAATGACTGTAATCTTTCTGATATCATCAGAATGGGGCAAAAAGATATAAATCACTATCATCACACGATACAGTGCGTTCATATCTAGGTTCGCAATCGCGGATGGGGACCGGCAATCTAGGTGGGTTCAACACGGGAAGGCCGCACCTCTCATCGTTCTCGTTATGGTCTTGAACGATAAATTGGGTGGTCAAGGCTGTCAAGCTAAGCAACATGGGGCTAAACACAAAGCTGGAAATGGTCACATGGGTTGATTTGGTGCCGCAATCACTCGGCGAGAGGTCAAGCAAAAACGACTCGTGCCCTCAATAGGCTTCAATACTTTATTCAGCCCCTGGCTAGGACCCCAAGTTTGCGTGGTGCTGTCCTGTTGAAGATGCTGGATAGTCAGCGTATTCATTGGCAACCGGAAACCCGGCACCAGCTTATCTGCGGGTATGTAAATACCTTCCTAAAGCGGTAGGTCAGGATTCCGTGGTGGTTGTGCGGGGCCTGAGATTTGGAGCTATCAGTGATACGTAGATACGACGTGATTTGCTATCGGGGTTGCAGTAGTAATCCTGAGGAAGTGTTCTAGAACAACCGCCCGCACAAGAGGAAGAATGGCACCATACCTCACTAGTTATGACCGTTTTTGCGACGTAACAGGAGTTTCGGCACAAGATATGGTACACAGTCAGAACTATGATCTAGGCCAAATGGGGCTAATGCTCCTTTTACGAAGGACCCGTCTCCTGACCAGCCTGTCAAGTTTGGAGAGACTCTGGGGTAAAGAGGAGCTGAAGCTTTGCTCGTTGGAGAAAGACTATTCCCCCCTGCAAGTGACCATTCGTCGGGGACTCCAACCCAATAGAATGGCCCAGTAGGCTCTCCCTATCTGTAGAGCTCCAGCGCTATCTGGAACAGGGTGGCGTTGGAGCCAACAAAAGGCCGTGGCGAGCCTGGGGTCATGTCCTTGATAAGAAGGTCGGATGGTCGTATTTTTGTCCGGTTCGTTGGTATGGTGGTCAGATTGTAAACTCCAGAGGCGTTGCTGATCGCCGACGGGGCAGTTTTACCAGTAGATTGGTCCACGCACGAAGCCTCAAATATCTAAAACGAATGCAACGTGATCTGAATGTACTGCAACTCCAATTACACATCGCCAAGATTGACAGTCGATGCCAAGTCGGCAGCCAAGATGCCCAGAGGGAGACACGCGAGAATTGAGTTTGGGTGTGGCCGCTAGGGTAAACACGTCGTCGCATTGGAATGTCTCGTTTTAATTGCAGTGACAGGGTTCTAGACCACCCCCCTCTCGGCGGAGGAGATGATATCGAGCAAGAACCCCGCCGAGCCATCACTGCTAGCGCGCAGGAAAGCTTATCTTAAGCTTGTTCAAAGCTGCCTAGCGTCGCTGGCAGGCTTGGCACATAAAGACACTGAAGCCCAGGTCTTTGAATGCTCTTGAGGTTTGTTTTGAGACAGACATTCTATACTCTCTTCTCTCTTTTACTGTATTGTCGGACAGTAAAGTCACTCAACATGTCTACATCACCGCACAAGGATGAGGTCAAGGACGAGACTACGGTCACGGTACCTCACGATGAGGAGGCGGGCTCGACCACTCAGGGCGAGGGTCACCTCAAGCGTGATCTTCGCAGTCGACACATGCAGATGATTGCCATTGGAGGTGCTATCGGTGCTGGTCTCTTCGTCGGTTCTGGTAGTGCTCTTCACAAGGGAGGTCCCGCGTCGCTGGTAATTGGTGAGCAGCCCTGACAAAATTGATCTGGAATGAATGCTAATTAATTATCGCAGGCTGTAAGATTCCCTCCCGTTCAATCGATGTCGCGCAATAACCAACACAATATGCAGATCTCATCATCGGTGTCATGTTGCTCTGCACCAACTTGGCCCTCGCAGAAATGGCTGTTCTATATCCCGTCAACGGTGCCTTTTACACCTACATTGTCCGCTTCGTCGATCCCTCTTGGGGCTTCGCCTGCGGTTGGGAATATGCTCTGTCCTGGCTCACAGTTCTTCCTTTCGAGTTGATTGCTGCGTCCAAGACTATTGAGTTTTGGCGCACTGACATCCACATGGTTCGTAGATTTGATCTGCCCTGGCATCTACTTGGCGGCTTGGCGATTGCCCGGCCGTCTTGGCATATGCACCTTGCCGTTTGACAGATTCAATTAGCTAACTTTATCGCTAGGCTGTTTGGGTTACTGTCTTCCTTGTCGCTCTCACCATTGTTCAGATCTTTGGTGTCCGTGGTTACGGAGAGGGTAAGCATTCATCATCGTCTCCCCAGTGCCGCCACTAATACGTCGCAGTCGAATTCGTCCTGTCCGCCATCAAGATCTGCGCTTGTTTGGGATTCATCATCCTCGGTATCATCATCAACTGTGGTGGTGTCGGTGATCAGGGCTACCTCGGTACCAAGTACTGGCACGACCCTGGTGCTTTCACCAACTTCAAGGGCTTCTGCGCTGTCTTCACCGTTGCCGGTAAGTCTCTAATACTTAGTTCACCATTACCATGACTAACAACTCTAGCCTTTGCCTTTGGTGGTACCGAAATGGTTGGCCTCGCTGCCGCTGAGACGGCTAACCCCCGAAAGTCTGTCCCCACTGCTTCCAAGCAGGTCTTTTGGCGTATTGCTCTCTTTTACGTCATCAACCTCTTCATTGTCGGCATCATTCTCCGATCTGATGATGAGCGTCTCCTCGGTGCTTCTGGCGCTAACACAAAGGCCTCGCCTTTCGTCCTCGCCATTCAAGATGCAGGCATCAAGGTTCTGCCCTCCATCTTCAACGCCGTCATCACCATCTCCGTCTTGTCCGTCGCCAACTCGTGTACCTTTGGTTCAACCCGTACCATGCAGGCTATGGCTATGCGTGGCCATGCCCCCAAGTTCCTGAACTACATCGATGGCAAGGGACGTCCCATCTACTGTGTCATCATTCAGCTTGCTTTCGGTCTGCTGGCTTATGTCGGAGAGTCCAAGAAGGGAGGTACCATCTTTGACTGGCTTCTGGCTTTGTCGGGTCTTGCTTTCCTCTTTGTTTGGGGCACCATCTGCCTCGCTCACGCCCGTATGCGATCTGGCTTCAAGGCCCAAGGCATTGACCTTAACCTTGTCCCTTACAAGACTCCCTTCGGTGTCTGGGGCAGCTGGCTCGGCGTGTTCCTCAACGTCATTGCTCTTATCGCCACCTTCTACTCTTCCCTCTACGTAAGTTCAGTCACCAACATGAAATTCACTATCGTACTAACATGACACCAGGCTCCCGATGGCTCTCCTCCCAATGCCGAGGCTTTCTTCATGTCTTTCCTCGCTGGTCCCATTATTCTCGTCCTGTACCTTGGTTACAAGGTCTATTCCCGCGACTGGAAGTTGTATGTCAAGGCCATTGATATGGATCTCCAGACTGGCATTGTCCTCCTTGATGAACCCGAGCATGAGGCTCCCTGGACATTGAAGAATGCGCCAAGACGCTTGCTCTCGGCTATTATCTAGATATCTTGGCAGAAATTGTCTTTAATTAGTTTGCTCCGGGCGACAGTAGTTTAAATCTCATTCAATATACCTCCGTCTTACTGTCCTCAATGTCATGTTACCCCAAATCTATTCGACCGGCAACAATGGAAGTGACCGAATGGCTAGGATCGGCTATTATACGAATTCTAATTCCAATCTTCCCCAGCTTTCCCCGCAGATCGACTCGTATTATTTCTCCTTTTGGAATCTTGCCTTACGGCCTTGCATTACTACAGGCGCGCATATTTCACAGTCTTACGTTCCATCAACCCATTCCCCCCTTTAGCCTGAGTTGACATGGTTGCCAAGCGCCTTCAGGCTAAACAGGAATTGTCCCCATGGGGAAAAGCGAGGTTGGCAATGTTTCACTCAGAGTGACAATAATGCACAAAGAAACAAAGCAATCACAAACGCGGCTCAGATATTGGGTAATTTTGTCGCTTCTATTCGGCCCGTTACATCGTGTATGCTGATTGAATTAGCCGAAATTGATTCGCTACTTGTCATGTACTGGTAATACAGACACATGGATGATACAAGGATTTATCCTGCAGCCTCAAACTGCCGGGTGAGATTTCATATATATAGAACCAGATACAACAGCAGGTCGTTGCAGTGATTCTTCTCTGGTACTCCAAGCAGTTGCATCGAGTCCACTGTGACTCTATTCTCTCCCGCCAACACAGCCAAGACGAAACCGAGTCAACATGGGTGTTGCAACGACTACAGTCGGCACTTACGATGCCGCCCTGCAAAGGCGCCAGGCGCTTATGGGTGCCAGTGGCGCGCGAGCCCTCGTCAAGAACTGGAAAGTCGCCCGAATTGCTGCGTTTGCCTGTATCGGAGGTATTCTTTATGGTTACAACCAAGGAATGTTTTCGGGTATTTTGACAATGCCTTCATTTGAGAGACGTATGGCTCCTTTTCCTGTATTGTGGAGATTTTCTGACATCTATAGACATGGGAGATTATATCAAGAACCAGACCAAGAAAGGTTGGCTGACATCTATTCTTGAACTTGGTGCGTGGCTTGGAACTGTTATGTCTGGTGCCATTGCAGAACTGTGCTCCCGTAAATATGGTATCTTGATCGCTACCTGTGTCTTTATCATCGGTGTCGTCATTCAGTCTACTGCCATTCAAGCTGGACATAATGTCATTCTCGCCGGTCGATTCATCACGTATGTAATTCTCAGTATTCTTTGCTCTCAGCTAACATCTGTAGGGGTATGGGAGTTGGTAGTTTGTCCACCATCGTTCCGCTTTACAACTCCGAATGCGCCCCACCGTATGTGACGACCGACTGTACTGATATATGGAGGCTTACAATTTTATAGTGAAGTTCGAGGCGCCTTGGTCGCTCTGCAACAGCTCGCCATTACTTTCGGTATCATGATCAGTTTCTGGATTGACTAGTAAGTCAACATATCCTCGGGACCATCACTATACTGACAATCAACAGTGGCTGCCATTTCATTGGTGGAACTGGCGAGTCTCAAAAGGATGCTGCCTGGCAAATCCCTATCTGCCTTCAGCTCGCCCCTGCTCTTGTCTTGCTTGTCGGCATGGCATGGATGCCCTTCTCACCTCGATGGCTGATCCACCACGGAAGAGAAGAGGAGGCTAGAGAGGTCCTGGCCAACCTTCGAGATCTCCCTACCGACCACGAGCTGATCGAGCTGGAATATCTCGAGATCAAGGCTCAATCACTCTTCGAGAAGCGAAGCTTGGCTGAGAGATTCCCTCATCTTCAAGAGGACACAGCTATGAACACCTTCAAGCTACAATTCGTTGCTATCGGCGCTCTCTTCAAGTCCAAGGCCATGTTCAAGCGTGTCATTGTCGCTACCGTGACTATGTTCTTCCAGCAGTGGACAGGCATCAACGCTGTAAGTTACTCTTATTTCAAAGCGAACTCAAGCAGCTGACATAATGAAGGTTTTGTACTACGCCCCTCAGATCTTTGGACAACTTGGTCTCAGCAGCAATACCACCAGTCTCTTGGCCACCGGTGTCGTTGGTATTGTCATGTTTATCGCCACCGTCCCTGCTGTCTTGTGGATCGATCGACTCGGCCGTAAGCCCGTCTTGGCTGTTGGTGCTCTTGGTATGGGAGCCTGCCATCTTATCATCGCCGTTATTCTTGCCAAGAACATCGACCAATTCGAGACACATAAGGCTGCTGGTTGGGCTGCTATCTGCATGGTTTGGCTGTTTGTTGTCCACTTTGGATGTTAGTTCACACCCACGTCCTTTTATACGGAGTAACGCTAATTATTTTAGACTCCTGGGGTCCTTGTGCCTGGATCATCATCGCTGAGATCTGGCCTCTCAGCACACGACCTTATGGTACTTCTCTTGGTGCCTCAAGTAACTGGATGAACAACTTCATGTATGTGATGTGACGTAGTATTTTCTGTGCTAGCTAACTTTGTCCAGTGTCGGACAAGTTACACCAGACATGTTGGAAAACATTACATATGGAACCTATATCCTGTTCGGTTTGCTAACCTGGATTGGTGCTGCTTTCATCTGGTTCGTTGTCCCAGAGACTAAGCGACTATCCCTTGAGGAGATGGTATGTATTCACTCAGCTTTACTAGGTCGGCTGCTCACTATTCTCAGGACATCATCTTCGGATCTGAAGGAACTGCCCTTGCTGATAATGAGCGCATGGCCGAGATTAACCGTGAAATTGGCCTTGAAAATGTCATCTACCGTGATCAGTCTACCCATCACGCAGAGGTTCCAGAGAAGGAGATGTTGTAATAGGTTGAAGAAGAGGCTGCGGATGCTGGCTGTCAATATTAGTTCGTTGGAGATGACGTTGGTGATGGGCTTTTCGCACAGATTGGAAATTCAGAATAGCTATTGTCAATTGAGTCTTTCACCCGTATCCTAGCTTCCTGTGCCAGCCGTCAATCATAAAGAATGACGGGTCTAGCCTAATTCATGAATCAAAAGTCTGAACAGTATTGCTTGTGAGCCAGAAAGGAGCCATTGTCTCCAGCACGCCGATATCTGTCAATAAATGTGTCCAACCGTCGTGTAGCCATTTCCCGCAACACTGGTACCTATTTTGCCTTCGGCGGGTTACATCATTACTTGCATAAAACTTTATCTGGCATACTGTCAGGAACGAGTTTATGGAAAAGAGAGGGAGAATGCAAGTCACCAACATCACTTAGATGAAATATATTTTCTTTGAGACAAATAAACAAAACAACAAGCATTAATTAGGATCTATAATGATTCAAGATGACTCATTTCTATAAATTTCCCCTTCCATCAAAGAACTGGGCCCCTACTCTACGCTAACTCGACGCTATGACATGCCTTCGCCACTGTTTTTGGGAAAAGTGGCAGCGCCGGACCAATCGGGCTGTCAGTATAACCAAGACGGCGTCGTCACTATATCCGAGCGCGAAAACTCGTTTCGGTTGAAGAGTCATGCAAAATCTCTAACTTTGAGTTCCACTTTGAGTCCACTTGAGATGTCCTTTACAAAGTGCTGGACAAAGGATCTCAATCACTTAATATTGAATTATAAGTCTATAGATTACTGTCTTCTCTCTCATCCATTCAACACTTCATCAAACACTTACAACCAATGGCTCTTCTTTCCTCTCCGCTTGGCCTTGGTGTCTCACTGATAGCCATCCTTATTGGGACTATCATCTTCGCCAATAAGAGACCAAAATTTCCAATTATCAACAAATATCCTAAAGACTTCTTCCACCGTCGAGCCAATCATGAGTATAAGACCAACGCAAGAAAGCTACTTAAAGATGGTGCCGCCAAGTATGGACAGAGTCCTTTTACCATCCTGGTCCCAAACGGCGTGAAGACAATTCTGCCACCTTCTTGTGTAGGCTGGGCCAAGAACAACAAAGACTTGGACCACCAGCAACTCGTCAGAGACGAATACTTTGCTAGCTACCCTGGTTTCGACGTTCAGCATGTCTTACACCACCCGAACAGGATGGTCATCAACATGGTCCAAGGAAAGCTGTCCAAGACCGACAAGACTCTCCCTGTCTTGAATGAACACATAAAAGCAGGTCTGTCTGACATTTGGGGAGAGGACAAGTCTTGGAAGACTCTAAACTGGGAAGATGGAACGACTGGAGTTATTTCTCGTGCAGCAGCATCCATCTTTGTTGGACCGGAACTCGCGGCTGACCCCGAATGGCAAAAGGTTTCGAGGGCTTATGTTCTCGACTACTTCGGCGCTGTAGGAGAAATGCATTTGTGGCCCTCGTGGTTGAGACGGCTGGTTGTTTGGTATCTTCCCGGTGCCTCAGCTTGCCGTGCTGGTCTGAAGCGAGCACGCGAGATGGTGAACAAGGTCGTTCAAAAGCGACGACAAGAAGAACAAGAGGCTAAACTACAAGGAAAGGAGCCTCCCATTTACTACGATGCCCTCGCTTGGACTCTTGAATCGCCACTCGGCAATGAGTTTGAGCCTGCAGATGTTCAGCTAGCTCTGGCTATGGCCGCTCTGTTTACCACCTCAGAGCTCTTTCGACAGATTCTCATTGAGATTGCTCGGCGTCCTGAGATTGTGGAGCATCTGAGACAAGAGATTGAAGATGCTGCACCAGATCACGACTTTACTGCTACTTCGCTCGTCAAGATGCAGTTGCTCGATAGTTTTATGAAGGAGACTCAAAGACAAGTCCCATCATTAGGTAAGTTTTTTCCGAGTGGTTCTTCACAGTTACTAACTACTTTGAGTGATATTGGAGAGATTGGTTATTCGCGACGCCCAGCTTCCTGATGGCACGGTCCTCGAGAAAGGAACTCATATCGCTATCGATTCTCGAGAGATGTACGACCCCGTGAAGTTTGAGAATCCCGAAGAGTTTGATGCTTGGCGTTTCTACAAGCGTCGACAAGCTGGCGACAACACAAGCTTGTTTGTGCAATCAAGCCCGGAGCATGCTCAGTTTGGCATGGGTAAGCACCAATGTCCTGGAAGGTTCTTTGCCGGCAGCGAGTTGAAACTCTGCTTGGCTCAGATCATACTAAACTATGATATTAGACTTAAGGACGGGTGTTCGGGAAAGCCTATGGAGATGGGATTCTTGAGTGTCACTGATCCATACACCCAGTTGGAAGTTCGAAGAAGATAGTATTGTACCCATTGTATTTATATACTTAATCGACTAGTAATTCTTTTTTTGAATTCCATGGACTCTCACTGTTGGCAAAGACTGCTTGCAGGCAAAGTCAAACGGAGTATACTGAGACACTACTTTATTTCACTGTGCCTCGGGGCTTGTTCTTATCTATGGCAGAAAAAGCAAATCTATAGCCACGTCAAGAAGTCTGATTACTTCTTATTCTTCTTCTTTCTTTTCTCCTTACACTTTTCGCACAACTTATCAACCTCGGTATCGATTATCTCAGTCTTTCCGCATGCCCCAACTACACCTCCCGACCTCGTACATGGGAACACGTCATTCCTCCGAATAACCGCAGTGCTGCAGTCTGGGCATACATCCTTCTCTCTACTTTGTAAGCACATCGTACTGGCCTGTAATAATAGGTGAAGTTGTAGACAGTAAGAGTTTATTGTTTAGAATGGTAGATTTAATTAAGTAAAGGTTTCCGAGTTACAGCGACAACGGGGCTATTTATACCCAGAGGAATATGAACAGTTCTATGACCAGTGATTTGTTGTTCACGGCCATAGGGAGCTTAGAATGACATCATTATCAGAACCTCGAATAGCAGAACAGTGACAGCTGGGAACTGCCGTCACAATGACCTACTCAAACAGTCTCACTAACAGTTCACAGACAAGTAAGACATGTACAAGCACCGATAGACTGAATAGAAGTCAGCCACCCGGGCTCACTCTTCGTGATGGTACGTATTGAGTTTCTACTAATTCTTTTTTATGTAAAAGGGCATATTATAATAATACCATATAGAGGCAAATAGATCAGTGAGGTCTAGAGAAAAGATTTACTAAGTCTACCTAGGCTACTAAATATTATTAGACATTATCCCATTTTGCTTAAAGACTTTCCAAGACCTCAAACCACAATTATTGTTTTCATATATACTAGCAAACCTCTCTCATTTCTTCTTACTTTTACTTCTAAATTTAGAACACAGGGTTTTTGTTTTCTCAACCCTCCTCCTGCTGTTGCCACATCTTCCCCAGAAGCCTCGAGACTGGGGACAACACCGGTCAGTCAACTGCTGGGTAAGAAGGAGATCACAGACGCGGCAGACGGTTTGATATGTTATTTCTACACACATAGTGAAGTTATTGAATTGACCACGGTAACAGTGTGTTAACTAAATTGATCGTGGTCCAGATTGAGACACACAATATTGGCACTGAGGAGAGAACCAGTTGCCACTTATATAGAAGAGAAATAAAAGAAAGTTAAGATGCTCTCAATTTATAGTCTGAGATATTGCAGCATAGTAAGATATCTCGTGGTGTTTAATATGCGGTTAAGTTGATGTATAAAGACGAGTACTTTGTTAAGTAACTGAGTACGGCATATCTGATTCACAGGATTGAGTGCTCGAAGAATCCTCACGAATCAACTGAATTATTGAGAACAAACCGATATCTTGTCAAATAATCAGAAAGGAACAGCCTTGCCAAGTTCTGTTGTCAAACTACCCAATTTGGGAGGCTGGTCCTTCAAAGGACCGTCGATCTTGCCTGGGCTACAATATTGAAATAATCGGGGAATGTTTGCAGAAGAAGCCCCAACAGACAGTATTAATTGTGAATAGCTTAACTCTAGTACAAGAAAGGGATAGGGATAGCAGCAATGGACCAAGGATGACAGTTACATGATGCTACCTAGTGAATGATACCGTTGTTCTTGACCTGTTCGAGGTACTTGAAATAGCTGGCAGTACTGTCTCGTCTGAGTTGTTTACCATACTTGATGAACACAAAAGCGAGAGAGAACTGCGCCATTGCAACAAAGGCCGCAATGAGGAAGGCATTCTGATAACCCATTCCTATAACCCAAGGAGTGACGCTGAAAGTGTAAGTAGATGAAAGCTTAAAGGACGGTGAATCACTTACCCATAACAAAGTTCACCCCAGTTTTGGAGTCTCGATGCAATGTCAGACCCAAGGCCTCACGTTGTCGGGGCTGTGAAGCTCCTCAGCTTGAGGAACCAACAAAACAGTGCATCAGGGTCTTTCACTCAAAGCTACGATAGAATAAATGTCGAAAGCGTGCTGTATCAGGGCTTCTTGCTATCTATCAGAAGGCCTTTCAGGCCTGACTTTCGATTAGACTCAGAATTCATCACTCACGCTGAAGATTTGCTTCACTCATACGCCAACTCAAATCCATCTTCCTCAAAACCAAGCATCGTGCTCGGGGTACCTACGTCACTATATCGACTTATACTACGAATAATCGACTCTTGTAATGTCCCTCGAGGCAGTCTTCTAGATCACCTGAAGGGCTTGAAGGCTGAGCTGCAGTACTGGGAGCAGTTGCTACTTGACGACGAAGACAGCCAAAGCCCTCAACATGGTGATTCACGCTTCAACGACCTGATGATAATCGCAACTTCACTCCTCCTGGATTTAATCACGGGAACCCTGACGTCGTGGGACAATACAGATTGGCCTCCTACTTCGGTTCGAGACGGGGATGGAAAGCCTTGGAGATGGCAACTCGATTTGGCTATGAATATTCTTCAATGCCCCGAGGAACACCAAAAATGGAGCGGTTGTTACCTGGGAGCACGGCCATTGCTGATACTCGGTTATGGTGCCAGGTCACTTGAAGAGATTACTCTGGTGAAGGACATCTTGAGAAAGATGCAACAGCGCATAGGATATGGCGAGGTTCAGAGAATACGTGAAGAGTTGGACGAGATTACAACGTATAAAGTTCCAGATGGTCAAGTACGCCAAGAAGTCCTGGGATAAATTGGTCTTCCAGCACATGTAGAAATCTGTAAAAGTCGTAAATACTTGAAATTATACATAATAAGACCGAGGACTTATCTTGCATGCCTTTGCGTAGTCTTAGTTACCTGTGATTTAATATATAGCCACTAAAGCAGGTCATAAACTTAGGAAAGTTTAGGATAGGTTAGGTCAACCTGGAGCAATTATCATTCATCGCCACTGCCTAGTACCAATCACTCTGTACTCGCCAGTGGCCGCTATGAGTCCCGCAATGCATACCTGAGACTGCTATGGGCCATGGAATAATTCCTCTGGAAGTTATGTGATTGACCTTTCTGGATCAATAGTTCCGTATAGAATTACAAAGCTTCAGAGAACGTGTTAGCAAATAGAAGGTTCCTTACTTTACGGGTCTGTTGTGTATACTAAGTGCTAATAAAATCATATTAAGAGTCATATAACTATTTGTACTTCATTTGAAGTTCTTCGGCAGCCTGAATTGCTCTTTTTGCCTGATCTGTATACTTCCTCTGGTTCGCCTGTTGCATACTAAATGTTTGCTGAAACTTATCGACCATGAATGGCTTCAGGACCGTCTTCTTCGCTGTGATGTAGTCATAGATGACGGTGTCGTCGATGCATCGTGCTGCCAAGCGGCGGTATTGTTCCGATAAAATCCATGCTTCCATCTTGAGTGATGTTGACTCATTAGTTGGAGCTTCAAGAAGTCTATACAATACAGTGATGTGGTCTGGGAATTCAAGTGGCTGCATTACAGCGGCTGGTCAGTCCTCATGTCCCTAGAGCTAACAAGGGAGTCATACAAATTTGTATTCCGTCGTAATGCTTCTGAGAATAAGACCAAGGCTACGTGGTGTTGGCAGGTCGTCCCATTGTGACTTTTCGTGCTCTGCGGCATCTTCACTGTGCTGTCGGATGAAATGCACCCGCCCAGTTTCGACATAGCGGTTGTACATCACGTTGTTGACATGGCCTATAATACATCAGACTGATCAGATCTCGAGAGCGATAAAGGTTGTAATGTATCTTACCCTAAAGCTATTAGATTTGGTCCCAGAAAACAACACAGCAGGATCCACTTACCATGCTGTCCTAGACAATAAGAAATGTCAGAAATCATGCACCTATCAGTGAAGAGGAACCGCTTACCATGTCACCCCAAAGGAGCTGGTGGTTATCAAGACCTCGCCATTTCTTATCGGTCAGGAACCCCTGCTGCCCTGCTAAAAGCTGCAACCAATTCTCTTCATTTGACACCAATTGTCTATTGGCTTCTTGAACGCAGCTGGCTGGGTAGTGATCGGTGGTGAATTTCTTCAGCTGAGCTTGTAGGTCAGCAAACCATCGAGAATGAAACGAGGCGACATCGTTGTTCAATTGCGCCTGGCCATTGGACTGCAAACGAAGCTGAGTAATTGGAGGCTTCGCTGCAAGGTTAATTGGTCGCTTGAGAAGACGCAGAGACATGATGCGAGTACAAGGAACTTGGGTTGAGTGATGGAAATAGTGGCAGTGGGAACAGGCTCGGCTGTCCCAAAATAAGAGTTCCGACGGTTTCGGTGGCCTCGGTATTCGGCGAAGATTCTCCGCGGCCCGGAAGATTTAGGCCTGCGCAAGCCGAATCTCGATAAAACCAGCTGTCCCGCAAATCTACTATTACCCTAAAGTTAAAATAAAGGGGATAATCTAACGTTAGAGTTTAACGCAAAAAATTAATAATAAAACAGGCTATTCTGGATTATAATTCTTAGAATTTATAAAAAAGTTAATATAAAAGAGACACTTCTCTTAAATAAAATCCGATTCTGCTATTTAATTTAAATATTTGATTTCTTATCACTTTATAAAGTCAAGATGTTGCAAGAACTTCTACTACAACTGCTCGGGGTAATCAGTTCATGCCTCGTCAGTACCCCTTGCATGTCATTTGTTATATTCGTGCACTTGTCCATATCAAACAGACCATCGAAGTGTGCAATAAACCCCAAAACAACACCATTTAATGTTCTACGCTAAGTTGGCTCGAGGTATATCTCTGCAATTTGACCATGGCACAAAGAGCGATAGTGCCTATCAGTCACTTTGTTGATAATACTGGGAGAATATCATTTTGGTGTCAGGGATGTTTAACAGCATCTGTCGATTTAGCTGCATATCCACGCACAGAGCAACCTCGGCGGGAACTAATGTGAGTCTTAAGGCTATAGCTGGTCTAACAATAATGGCATCATCCCTTTTTTCTGCCAGCGCGTAGGACCCTGAACACACGGACATAACCGCTTATGTAGTATTCCAGGCCTCGTATTTCATCCACAAACTGCTTGGCAGCATCTTGGCGTGGGTCCCGAGAGCCTGGTTTGGCTTAGTTTTGCTTAGGTTAGTGTCAGGTACCGGTAGCTCCACCAGATAGGGGAACATGACAGGGCAGGGAACGATAATTCCTTCCATACAGCCAGGGTTTCTCGGTCTAAACATAGCCACAGCTGAGATCGTGGCTACATGGTTCATTGAGGTAAACTTTAGGCTTGAAACATAAAAGCTTTGTCTGGTCTTCTTTATTCTACTAGCATCAGACAGGACCATTCCTCTCTGCACTCGCTATCCGAGTCTTTCTTTCGTTTTTCCTGTTTCGATATTTGTTTCATTCAGACACTCGTTTATTGCTGGATCGTCATTCGTTTTCTTTTCGTGGTTCTCGATAATCTAATAATTACACAATCCGACTAATAATCCTTCGCTGATTCGACAACTACGACAAACATTCCCTCGTTATCGACATCATACTTCAAACCTCATAACCCAACCAATATGGTTCAACTTCCATTCGTGGCTCTAGCAGCCCTACTAATTACTCCATTCACTTCTGCTGCTCTAACGGAATGCCCATCAAAAGAATCATCATGGACATCGAAAACAGGCACCGAATACACCATTTGCCGCAATACCGACTATCGATACGGTGGAGGTAGTCTCAAGGTCTCCCGGGACGTTAAATCTACCAATGCCTGTGCCGAAATCTGCAGCAAGGACCCGCGATGCGTCAAGGCTGTATACGATAAGCGAAATCGCATCTGTCACGTCAAGGACAATGCCAACGAGGCCCAGATGAACTGGGCATCAGACGCCAAGTTCGACACTATTCGAGTCAAGAACGTCAACGAAGGAGTCTTCATCTCGCGTTGCCCCAACCCAACCAACAACTACCGCTCCAAAGGCGGCAAGACTTTTAACGTTTGCCACAACACCGACTACGTTGGCCCGACCACTCGAATGACCAAGAACTGCGCTTCTCTTGCTGCGTGTGCTGATATCTGCTCTGGTATCAAGACATGCAAGAAGGCCGTTTATGACAAGCAGGAGAAGGTCTGCCATATCAAGGAGACTGAGCCCAAGGCGTCACTCTTTTGGGTGCAGAGCAAGCGATACAGTGTTGTTCATGCCCCGGTCGAGTCTAAGCCTGCAACCCAAGGCAGATGGTCTGATCTCATCCGTCTCCCTGTCATTCCCGTTGCCGCCTATGTTGTTCCTCAATTCCCCCAATCACAGCAGCTTCTCTTCTTCTCATCCTGGGGTGCTGATGCCTTCGGTGGTGCCTCTGGCCGTACCCAGTTTGGTGTTCTCGACCTTCCTACAGGTGCTGTCGGAAAACGAGAGGTCGCTGATACTCATCACGATATGTTCTGCCCTGGAATGAGTCAACTCGCTGATGGACGCATCTTGATTCAGGGTGGTTCCGACGCCGAGGCCGTGACGCTCTACAACCCCAAGACCAACGCATTCACCCGAGGACCTGACATGAAGATGCCTCGTGGTTACCAGACTTCCACCATCCTGTCTGATGGCAGAGTTTTCACAATCGGAGGAGCTTATTCCGGTCCCCGCCAGGGAAAGAATGGCGAGGTCTACGATCCCAAGGCTAACAAGTGGACCATGCTGCCTGGAGCGGATGTCAAGCCTATGCTTACCAAAGATAGAGAAGGTATCTGGCGTGAGGATAACCATGCTTGGCTCTTTGGTTGGAAAGACGGCAGTGTCTTCCAAGCCGGTCCCAGCAAGGAACAGCATTGGTATGGCACGAAGCAAAAGGGATCAGTTGTCAAGTCTGGTAAGAGAGATAACGCTGATGCTATGTGCGGTATCTTTGTCATGTACGATGCTGTTGCTGGCAAGATTCTGTCAGCTGGCGGTGCCCAGGACTACACCGCAAGCGACGCCAACAAGCGTGCTCATATCACTACCATTGGAGCACCTTACAAGCCTGCTTCCGTCAAGCGTGTTGCTGATATGGCTTTCCCGCGTGGCTTCGGTAATGCTGTCGTCCTTCCTGATGGAACCGTTCTTGTGACTGGAGGCCAACGCAAGGCAATGGTCTTTACCAACACTGAAGGTATTCTGGTCCCTGAACTCTACAACCCTGCCACCAACAAGTGGACTCAGCTTGCGCCTCACGCGGTTCCCCGCAACTATCACTCTGTCTCCATCTTGTTACCTGATGCTACAGTATTTATCGGTGGTGGTGGCCTCTGCTATGTTGCTAAGATTGGTGGTTCAACTGCTGGCTGCGACAAGACAGCTGACCATGCTGATGGAGAGATCTTCCAGCCTCCTTACCTGTTCAACAAGGATGGCTCCCTTGCTAAGCGTCCCGTAATCCAGAAACTTGCCCAGAAGCCTGTCAAAGCAGGCGGCAATCTCAAGTTCAGCGTCACCAACACTTCTGGCAAGGTCAAGATGTCTCTTGTTCGTATGGGAAGTGCTACACACTCAGTCAACAGTGACCAGAGGCGTATCCCTCTCACCGACTTCCAAGTCAAGGGCAACCAGTACACCGTCAAGCTGCCCAAGGATAATGGTGTCCTTCTCCCTGGTTATTACTATCTCTTTGTCATGTCACCGCAGGGCACTCCTAGCATGTCAAAGACAGTTCAGATTGCTTTGTAATTAGCCAGCGGGCTGCAGTATTCCGCCCCCATAATAGGGACACTTATTACACTATAATATAAAGTATTCTGTAACCCTTCTAATTGACTATAACTATAATGTCCAGCTTAATAGCATTCGCTTGCCCTGTATTTGCCTCTTTACTGCCAATTGCCTTACCATGTGGATACTCGCCTCCTAACGAAAGTGACATCTATTGCACGATTGACCTTGCCATGTAGTAGACAATACCGTGTTCTAGGAGCTCTGATCCTGTGTGCGCATAAAAGTCATGTTCGCAAATTTAGTTTCATCATATACACAGGCGCTTATGTGTATATTTGCCGTGAAAGCTTTGCAGAGCGATGATTAGCAAGGTCTGAAATGTTAAGATGTCTAGCCCAATCACAACACGCAGCCTACCAGTTCGCCAATTGCAGCCTGTTGCCTGATTGCCACTCCTCATCTAAGATAAAAGTAACAGCCTCTACCCCTCCCAAGTTCTTTCATCACCACCTTCTCGTCAGTTTCTCTACTACACAGAATCCATTGTTATGCTTCCCTGCGTCGTTTGTTTCTACTTATATTTTAACTACAAGATTATTTATCCTTATCGCACGTGTCAAAGCATAGCTGCTGGACTATGACATTGACAAAGGTGCCAAATATAGCTTCGTACTCTATAACCTTTGCTTGAGGTTTATGGCATACTGACATAAAGCAGTTCCGAAATGAACGACCCTGATATTATGCACCCTGTTGAGGAACTGTTCCTTGACATCTCTATTCATGAAGTACTCACTCAGACAATGGTGACCTTTGTCGAGCCATGGAAGACCATGTATATCGATTCAATTCGCGAGCAGCGATATGGCGACGCCATCTGGGCTCGTTACTGCATAGAAGGAGGGGTAGAGAACGGTGTCATCATTGGTCAAGGCCCTAATCCCGACATTACGGTGCTTGATCAGATCAAGGAAGATGCAGTTGAGGCGAAGGCAAATGAGCCAGGACTGTATGCAGAGGCTCTAGAGCTCTACCGAAAGGCTAGTAGTACAGACGGGCACCCAGAAGTCATCAAGATCATCTTTGACACTGATAGGATGGAGCTCCAAGACTGAGGGTGCAGAGACGAAGACAACAAAGCAGAAGACCAGTAGGTCTAGGCGAGCGGGGTAAGCCAGACTGGAGGCCTGAATCACTGGGATGATCTGTATGACCACTTGAGGAGGCAAATCATTGTATGCACAACGGGCCGACTATAAGTCATAGCTTCAATCACCTCGCTCTGGTTCTCTACGCGGGAGGGAAGTGCCTGAGCGACATCTCGAAAGTCAGTGTGAAAGAGTATTAGTTAATTGAGGGAACATGCTAGGAAAGACAACAACTCGGATGTGTCGGCATTTGACAATGGCACGTGTCCAATCCAGCCAATCGGACCAAGTAATAATGGCTTTCGAGGTTAGAACGCAGAGATAACAACCAACACATAATGAGGACCAACAGCGTCTCAGAATGTCGTGGCGTTAATGCAAAGATGGCATGTTAGGTTTCGTATAGACCCTGTCGGTGTGACCAAGTCAAGCCGCCATATCAAAACATCTCAGACGTTACAAGTGCAACATTAAACAAAAACATGCTTAAGATGTTTAATAGTTTACTTTAAAAATGACCCGATGAAGCGGATGAAGGTGCATTCGGATTACATATACGCCTCCAACTATATTCAGTACCCAACCGCGAGCAACCACATTGTATCTCTCCGTGTGCGTGTTTAGTTACCATGCGAAGGACTCTCCCTCATTGAATAGGTTCTCTGCGGGATTTAGTCATCCTTGTTGCTCGACAACCAACAACTAAATCCTGGCCGAAGGATTGCGGCAAAGCCAACAAGCAGCTAGCAACCAACAACATATCGTCACATTCACTACCGTGAAACTTTCTCGTATGACATAAGCAAGCCGAGAAGGGATTGTCATGCTTTCTGGTCAAGAGCTGTCAGGTCAAAGTATAAATATGCTGGAATGGACTGGTTCATGATTTTAACCCAAGTCACCAAACACTCCTCATCGTTCAATTCAACCTTAAGATGCTTTCTCAACTTTTGACTATCTCTCTTATGTTGAGTGCACAGCTTGCTGTTGCGTTGACAAACTCCTCTCAGCTGCCAGAACAGCTCTTTTTAGACATCCCCATCACCGATGTTCTTCAGAACACGTCCATGTTGCCATTGATCGAGCCCTGGTCTAGCAAATATGTTGAAGCTATCCAGAGCAAGAGATATGGTGATGCGATATGGGCAAGATTCCATATAGAGGGAGGCGTCCGGGATGGCATCGCCCAAGGTACAAACGACACCATTTTGGACATAGTCAAGGAAGACGCAGCTGGCTACAAGGTTAATGCCCCTGTTCAATACGCCGAAGCTGTTGCCTTCTACGCGAGTACTAGCAGTGAAGACACCCACTTGGATCTCATCAAGGCCATTGTGGATGCAACTCCGGATGAAAGCCTTTCTAAACGTGCTACGTTTAAGATAAATTGCGACGCCAACAGCAATCTCGCGTTCCAGTCAGACTGCCAGCAACTTATACGTAACATGCTGAGGAGCAAGATAAACATAGGAGACACAAGGCTTGCCGCTATTCATGGCGGTTGCAGACTGAGGGTTGGGCCTTATCGTTCTGCTCCAGATGTCACGTATAACACAGCACGTGCGGTGGCTATTCTGATTGAAGAGAAATGCTCGAGGAGGATTGGATGCTGCCAGTTTGTGTCAGGTTCTTCGCCAAAGAATGGGGGACACCGAAAGGTCTGTTTGAGCTCGAAGCGGAGTGGATGCCGATGAGCAGTTCTTATACCTTAGAAACTGAGTAATGCTGCACCAAGGAGCCTCCACCGCCAGTGGGTCTTCGTGGTGAGAAGATCAACCAGTCTCGAAAGTTCCGGATTGGGAATGTTAGGAAATGGGACATGAAGCACTAGGTCATGGGTACTTAGTAGAATACATACAGAGTTTACCTAGTTATAAACTGAGTTGGTCTTAATTCCCGTACTTCATTTATCCTATCACACCCCTAGTAGCTTAGAGTCTCTTTGGAACTAAAGATAGAAGTTCCAAGTTGAGCCCAAAGCTTCTGGTGTTCGACAGTGTAGTGTGTCCTATCAACTGCCACGACTTCCTGATATTAAAAAACGATGATGAAATACTAAGGTTTGTGTAACTATGGCGCTGAAGATACCTGCGGTTTCTCGATGCCATATATCCGATAATACTCTTCACTAATTGGAATCTGCTTTGCACCAGCTGGCCGAGAGACATTCCGCCCCCATTCCTTTGGCACAGAGTGCTTATCCTGCCACTCATATATCGCATCGAAATCCCTACACTGATGGTTGACAGCAAAGTCTGGAAATGGGTTCGACTGAGTCTCAACCCAGTTGAACGTGATGATGTCCAGATTACCATTACACATCAGGTTTTGCATCAATATGTCCGTGCAATGACTGACATGAATCCAATGCAAGTTGCTAAAAGGCTTCTTCGCTGTACCATTGCGGTTGTACTCGGCCCAAGCCAGATGCCGAAGAAGATTGAGGCAGTGGATTTGATGAAACATGTCGATTTGCGCCATGTAAGCGTTATCACCAAGACCATACTCTGGTGGGAACTTGACGAGGAGTTCTGGATCTTTGCCCAGTCGGCGAACCTCGGCCTCGGTGATAGGGAAAACACGGATGATCTCAAGATCCTCCCACGCCTCATCAACTTCTGGATCAGGCTTGAGAGAGTTGCGCCATTTCGACGGATTCTTCGCCTCGAATAAGCCGCCCTCTGTCTCAATGGGCCCCAGCTTGAAGTTGATTGAATCCAGGACAGGAGCTGCAACCCAAGTTAACAAAGTGAAAACATCGCAATGAGAGAAGGAAGTCTTACAGTAAAAGGAAGTCTTGCGAATGTGATCCATGTCGGACTCTGGGCTGAATCTAAAGGAGGCAGCCATAAAGAGACCCAGAGATATCATGAAGAGAAGAAGGTTAAGAACAACCCAAGCATGTGTTCTCCAATTGCGTCGCTGGTTCGGCGGAGTCCACTCGATCTCGTCACTCTCTCTGTCGCTACCAAGAAGGCTCTCACCAGAACCTTTGTCTTCTTTGAATGACATGATCTTGGCTATGTTCATAGATCCTGTTGACACGAAAACTGATCAGATGCAAACAACTTCAATGACCTTCAGGTTTGCAAAAGGATTGAATATAATGAGAGGTAAGCTGAAACCATAGTATGGCGTACCTTATCACTGATATCCTGTTGCATTCTGTTATCAACATCTTATCTGGGGGCCAAAATGAGCCACCTTCCCCAAGCAGAATATTAGAGGGACTTTTGGTGCAAGATGCCGATCAATCCGGCAAAGCATTCCGAGACAGATCTCGGCTTCCCAAGAGGATCTCCGAGTAGGTACTTTTGAGGTCAGATGCCGAGTTCCGATAGGACGTCTTCCCTTGACGCGATGTATTTGGACTCTGGTATCATCATCCTACACCAAAAAGGTATGAAGTGACGTATCCTCGTGAGAACTTCTGTTGATGCACTCCAATGGATGAATCTTAATGGACATGTAGCCATAATCTACCCCGCAGAGAAATGACCTTCCCCTCTAGGTAGTTACCGATTCGAACAAAGATACGAACGGAATGAGAGTACAGGTAAAGTATTTAATACTGAAATTATCCCACAAAAGATTTATTCCAAGAAGAAACAAGTCGCACAATACTGCAGGTCCTAGCAATCCAAAGATGAAGCTTTCTAACATCTTCAGCACCGCTGCACTATGTACCTTCGCAGTTGCAAGCCCGCTGCCAGGCATGTCCTATTGCACCCGATAAGCAACATCCGTTAACCTTCAGTGTAGGGAATGCCATTGCTGAGCGAGAGGCCAACCCTATTACTCCTCCTGGCTACGGCGCTAAGTACATCTTGGAGGATGATCTTGATAAGCGTGAGCCTCAGAGGAACACTTATGGCAAGGCTTACACTTTGAAGATGAAGGATGACGGATTTAAAAAGCGAGATCCTCAGAACACTTATGGCAAGGCTTACACTTTGAAGATGAAGGATGACGGATTTAAAAAGCGAGATCCTCAAAACACTTATGGCAAGGCTTACACTTTGAAGATGGAGGATGACGGCTTTGAGAAGCGCGAGGCCGAAAGTGAGGCTTGAATGTTTATATCAGGCTATACATATGGCGGTCAAAGACGCATGCAATGTTGGTCTTGTGTATTCAGTAGCAAAGTTAAATCGAGTAAACAACTGCTGCCTACGGAATTCACCAACCATAAAGCAGGTGGCCTAGACCAGTAAATCTCACATACGCGAACGAGCATGTGGACACTATCAGATTAAGGTTCCAAATAAACTTCATTGTAGCCTAGACATTCTTACCTAATAATCGTTCTATATTGCTGTTTAGAAAGTATATCTAAACTCTTATTAATAGTATAAGGTTTCAGGCAACTCTAAGTGTATAATAAACTAACGTTAATTATTACTTGGCTTTCAGCTTTCAAGCTATAAATATACCTTGGCCCATTATTATTTGTATTTTCCCTTTCTTCTCATTCCACCTTCACCTATTCACGACACTATGGCCTCACCATGCTTTCTGAATCCAATGTGCACCAATCCCAGGCGCCAGAACTGCGAAAGCAAAGAATGCGCACTCTTAGCTTCGGATCTCTTATATTGAATGTGTCGGAACCTGGACTGAGGTTTATGGTTCTGTCAACGAGAAACATTTGCGATGCTGCAGTCAGGAAGTTGATTTTGGCGCCAATAAATGATAGTCTATTAATTATACAGTTTCTTTCCTATTATGGAACATCCTCTGAGCTTTGTATCTGAAAGTCATTTCTAAATGTTTTTAACCCCCAGTCTTATGGCAGCGGCTTTGCTAATGGTGATAGCATGATCTGCCACTGTGTAAACCTTTGAGAGCTCTGCCAGTACATGTTCATTCATCTGAAAAGCGTCTGTTGCTTGGAATTGTCCAGAACCTTCAGCCAAATAGACCATCGATGCTGTTAAGATGCATGTAACTGCTGAGCTTGGTAGAAGCTTTTCTAAGTGCTGTTGATGAAGATGTTGGACTATTGTAAATATCTGTGTGGTCGCATCGTATGCCTTTGAAGGAGCCTGGGTTTGACCAGAGGTTCCTCGATGAAGGAAGGCAAGGGCAGTGTAGAATAAGATGTGGAGAAACATCTTCTGCACAGTCATCGACGGTGACTCAGTCGGAAACTGCGCCGACATCCAACAGAAGCCTGACGGCAAAGATATTGCCCATGACATGAGCTCATCATTTACAGCCTCAACTTCGGCATAGTCGATATGACAAGGCTGTTTTGGATAAAACATGGTAGCACCTTGGGCCCCATTCTCCATGGGAGTTACCAGTGAGTACCGAGTTTGGAGTATATCATCGAGACATGTGCAGAGTTCAGCCAATGAGATAAATATGGAAGCACTTTGCCTTTGCATCTCAGGGTTTGCCATGAAAGTAGGTATCTCTGATGAGATGATGCAGGCACCATCCAGTCTCATGATCTCGAAATCTGACTCTAAGAGTAAATCGACGTGAAAACTGATATTGTTGAGTCTTGTCGGCCTGCGACTAGTGAGGGAGAGAAGGCGGTCTTGGACATAGCATGACCACCAAAGGCGTTTCCATTGCCTCTGGTTGGTGTATTCATAAGTCTTGGCCGTTGCTGCAAGACCTTCAAGTGTAGCAATGGCGAGACCTAACCAATGCCATCCGTCCTTTTGGCTATTGGGAGATTCGTACCAATGTGACATAAGAAGCAGCGCTTGTGCCTGGATAAGTTGATCAGGTTCACAGTCCAAGTCATAAAGGAGCTACAAAGAGTTAACAAAGTACGTTATGCTAACCACGGGAACAAGCGAAATTACCCTTGTCTTGTCGAAAAAGTCTTTCGACATAGCCATTCTTGTTGAGTAACCTGCTTCGTATACATACTCAATATCGACGAAGAAGGTAGCGGAGAACATAATAGCCCGATACAGCAGTAAGCTGATTCGTCCATAGTTTCTGTAGAGACCATGGGTTATAGAGATAAACTCATGAAGGTTGAGTATGGGCATATTTGGATGAACGTATTCAATGTATGCTTGTAGTAGGGAGCCCCTGATGGAGCCTGAAGGTATTCTCAAGACCCCTTTCAATGCGAGATATTCAAAATCTTCAGGAGAGAGCGTACTCGGAAGTGAACGAAGGAAGCATGGTAATGTATACTTTAATCTGCAATCAAGTGGAGTCACAAATGGACTCTTAGTGCGGGAGGGCTTCAAGAGTGAAGTGGGGAGGGCAGTATGATTGGAATCGGCCGATTCGGAGGTACATGAAGATTCTGATGTAATCGATTCATTTTCTGGCAACATGAAATTAGCACCCATAAGTAATGTAGTTATATAAGATTGTAATCCTTAAATTATTGAACTGCACATACCCGGGGTCTCGAGGGTCTGGCCTGCTATAACATCTTGCGTAACTGATTCGAATAAGGCATTAACACCCTGATTAGAAGTTACACGAGTCCGACTGGGTACATACGTGAGCGAGACTTCTTATCGACTAGGCAAACAATAGATAACTCACCTTCGCTTAGAAGTATCTGGTAGGTAACACTGTTTTCGAAGGATGAGCTTCAGTATAACCTTGGTCAAGCAAAGCCTCGTACCTCTATACCGTTGTTCTTGCAATTATCACACTGCTCCTCCCCTGTCCTTCTGCATCGTTTTCTGCGCGCATGACACGCTACACATGCTCGTGATGTGCGTGGCCCATACTTCCTCCTCGGTTTTATCGTTGATCCTGGTGAAGTTGGTAACGCCGAATTGACTTCTGCAGGGGCTTCACAATTGACACGATTTTCGACTGATGATGAGGAAGATCCATCTTTGATGGGGCCAGTGGGTTGGTGAGACATTGAAAGCATATTCGGTATGCCAGACATTCTATGGACAAACTTGGTCAGGGTTGAAGTAATATTTCACTGATTGGGATTCTAGCAAAATCACTATCTGCATGGCTTATAGTCAATCTAAGCGTCCTAGTGCCATTGAAACTATAAAACAACAATAGACTTTTCTTATAGTTCCCATGTGGTTCCCGGAACTTCGGGGTGTAGTTGCGGGGCCTATGACCTTGCAAGCGGAGATTCGGTGGGACAGGAAAAAATTCCACAACACCTAGCGGCCTAAGTTGGCGGCTCTGAATAGCTCAGTGGATGCCTTTCATCCTTTGTGAAGTCTTTCTCTGACCTGGCTACACTAGTTACTGATGAGGCTGATGATATTAAGACCGTTTTTCTTTTCTTTTTTTTTCAAATCAAGATAGAGATTCTTGATCATTACAAGGAGCTTCCACCGATTGACATGGTCAAGAAGGTGCTTGCAATCGCCGGAGATTTGGTCATTCCAAAAGTTGAGTAATGCAGAGTATAATCTCAAGGACCCTAAGTATAGAGTTGTTAAGTTAGCTTCTTATAGATTGAAAGATATAACTTACGTCGATGCGCAGGCAAGTCCCAGGGCTGCTTGGAACAATATCTCTCTGGCTAATGGTGCTTGATATGGACCGAGAGCGCTACCCCCTGGCCACCAATCCCGGAACAATCCAAAGCATATAAGGCAGATTACTGACCCAACAGCAATAAAGAAGTCTATGAAGATACGAAATGATATGTAGGCAGGTGGAAAGATCTTAACTAAAGGGTAGAGAATTTCTATAAGTGACCAGCAGAAGGTTGTGACAAACTAATTTGTTAGCACATGGAAGGTCAGAATACAACTATATATATGTTTACTTACAGCTGGTCCCAATATTCCAATTGCGATAAAGTTGTTCGGGGCAGGGATAGAGGAGACTACGATTCCGGCGATTGTGACTCCTAAAACGAGGGCTCGCAGTCCAAGCACCAGTTTGGTGGGCTGCTGTGGCTTTTGTGCTTGTGAAGCTCTGCTGTCATTTTTGGCATTCATATTTATTAATTCGATTCTCGATTCAATTCTTAACACAAATTGTAGATTATAAGTTAGTAAATAAGGTCAGGGCAGGAAACTTTAGATAATGTCTGGCCTTTTATATCCTGCGATGGATATCAGGGTAATAACTATCTAGAGGTCAAAGCCAAGGCTAACAATCCCGCCCCTGCACTAAATAAGTAAATCCGCAGCATTTAGGGAGCAAAGCTTCCGAAATCAGATCAGCAACCTAGACAGCTGGCATGCTCGGCATCGTTAAAGCCAGACTATATTATTCGGCCAAATGCCGAGGTAATACTAATGCATGTGAATATTTTGCTCATGTCCAGAAAACCTAGTGAGACCTCTATAGAGGAACTTAGTTAGCTGTTAATCTAGGTGAAATGGCACTATGTTCTATTCAAGGATTTAAGAAGGCGCCAAAGGCTGTATTTATTAACTGGGAGGCAAAGTCTCTGGCTACTGGGAACAGATAAATGCGAAAACGACTTCTTCTGTTGTAACCTTTTTGTTATATATAATAATAGCTTTGTTTATAAGACTGGATTTAGGCAAAGACTCTATCTTCACTCTATCTGTTAATTGAAATTAATTCAGTTTCTTATAATTTAATAGTAATAGTAGATATTTAAATTACAAAAGCATTATATAAAACCTTAAAGAGGACAAACTGGACTTAATTCACTCAGAACACAAAGTGGTCAACGTGTTATTGGTACTGTGACCAGTAGAATCATACTCCAAAATGGACATAAGGGACCCAATAAAGAGGACTCAAGTCTTCATCGTCGTCACAAGCGGTAATATCCCTACTGCCATCCCTCTCACTATCCTGTAATGCAACCTTCCTACTCCCAGATACATTCTCGGCTTGTTTCCTCTTAGCCACCGCGCGTCCAGCTGAGTTCATTGCCAACCGCTTAGACCATTGATTTCGAAGATGGAGTGCTGCAGCATGTAGGCCACGACTTACAGATTCATCTGTCATAGCCCCATCCCTCATCGTTTCATAGGTGACTCTAGCTACATCAACACAGGATGCATCATTGACTTCCCAAAGAGTGCCGATGACATGACGGAAGCCTGCTAATTGGCATGCGCTAATCAGGTGGATACTCTCATCGGAAAATCGTTCTTCATCAACGCGGCCAGTAGAACAGGCTGAGAGATATGCTAGAAACGGTGGGTTATTGTGTAACTTTGTGTCCAGAAGGGAAGTAACTGTAAAAGGGTCACTTTCCCAATCGTTCAGTAGAAGCTGACTGTTCAATGGCTCGTCTCTATTACTCTTGCCATGGCCTGCAAAATGAAAGACAGTGCAGTTCGGTAAATGCGACACGATATTTTCTTTGCGCTGGTCTGGTTCGATAGGGTTGAGTGACATGGATTTGCAAAGATCTCTTACTAATGAGACCTCCTTACGAGCAAAAGGAAGATGTGAGTAGTACCCTTGGGTGGTTTTCATGCCGACGATCAGAGCATGCTGCGAGCCAACACGGGTAGTCTGACGACGTCGACCCTCAATAATTGACTTGATGGAAGAACTGTATGAGGATATAACCCTATCCAGCACAGTCTCTGTTGTTCCCGGATAGTAGTTCCCGGCCGCATGGATTGGAAACCTACCAAGACTTCCCGTTGGTATCCAGTGTATATGAGGCCACTTGCCATCTATAGGCATGTTTGTAAACTCCAGGGCATTCAAGATAGGCTCTGCGACAGTATCCCATAGCCATTTAAGTACGGCAGGTGAACCCAGGGCATCTTGGGGTTCTTTGGTCAAACCGCCCCATGGTTGCTGGGAAGAGCCCTTTCCCCATTCGTTATCATTCACAACGGCATCCCAAACATTAAAGTTGTTGTTCGAAATTGGCCCTTGTATCTCACGCACTGATGTTTCTGTGTGTTTGATTGAGTAAAGGCCCTCCACATCCACGAGTCTAAGCTTTGGGAGAGAAAGGAGGCGCAGCTGATGAGACTCAATAATGATGGCATCGCACCTAAACTGGCTCACATTGATAACAACGATAGGACCGTTATTGGCCGCTTTTCTCATATCTGCTTCAGATGGCGGAATTAGATAATATTCAAAGCCAGGTTCTTTGCGGATCTTGCAGAGTAGCTCCTGGAGCCGCTTGTCCGCTTCTTGGCGCAGTTGCAAACGGACTTTCAATGAGGGCTCTGAATCCTCAGATTCTTGATCGTATGAAATAGGACTGTCCAAAGCGTTGCGAATATTTGTCAACTCCTGCGCCAAGTCAGGGTGTTTGACTCTCAGGCTACTGGAGTCGGTCCGCATCTCTTCCATCGACTGTGAAAGAACGCCTCGGCCAGCCTCAAGGAGTTGCAGAGGGATATGCAGGTCCTTACCCGCGTTCAAAGCGGTGGCAGCTCCATCAGATGCCAGCCCTGAGACTTGGCCCAATACATATAGCTTGTCTGAGTGATTTAACAAGCGAAAAATGAGTTTGGGGAAAAGAGAAACTGCCTCCTCAACGGCCCCAAAGGCTGTTTGCCAATCTGAAACATCTGCACAATAGGGAAGGGCATCTCGTGCTGCCTTGATTCGATCAATGCTTGGTGACTGCTCTGAACGGATAGCCGCTAGGTGGCACTGTATCACCTCTTCTAGATTTGCATTTGTTCCGTATGAATGATATTGATGGCCGAGATGAGTACCCAGATTCTTCCAGTAACCTGCTGCGGATGGGTGACTTTTAGGCGTGAGCCTGACAGCTTCGCGCGAAACAGCAATGGCCTCCTCTAACAATGCTCGCAATGCGAGGTTCGACCTGTGTCCTCCTCTCCAGTGGAGATGGCCGAGATGAATCCCCAGCGTATTAAGAGATTGTGCCCTTGCCAGATCGTCATCAGAAACTATGGCTACAGCTTGTCGACTGCAATCGATGGCTTCGTCAAGATCCCACTTTACACCCTTCCCCAAGTATCTATCCACCAGTAAAGACCCTAGATCCGAGAAGAGTTTCGGCATTATCGGGTCATCGTCCAGAGAGCTATCGATGGCGTCTCTGGCAATCAGAATAGCCTCGTCAAGATCCGATATGGACTTTTGCCTCGTATACCTCTCACCGAGTTGGAGAGACAAAGCGCTCAGCATCCGGGCCTTCTTAGGGTCATCATCTTCTATGATATCAGTAGCCTCACGTAGCAGTCTGATGCTTTCATCGAGGTAGGATATTCCTCCGATTGTCTTGTATTTCTGGCCTTGTTGTAGTGCAAGTCGCCACAGGTATCTTGCCCGGTCGTCAGGATCGTCTGGAATGGTACTCGAAATATTTTGCATATCTTGGATTGTCACCTCAATAGTCGTCATTACGTCTTATTTAAAACCAAAATTGTCTGACCTGTTAATTTAAATTCTAGGATGACATTGCATGCGTGGCATCTGTGTCAGCGGCAGCGGGGTAAATCAGGCAGCACTGCATTGGTACCTTGCTGGCAGGTTGTCTGTAAGATTATCTGCACATTGTATTTCCACTTTAACTACTCAACCTCTGACGTCGCCGCAATTCTCAACGTCAGCCGTTAATCTCAACCATGGTAGATCCAGCTGTTGCAAGGCCGTAAGAACAGTCAAGTATCCGTTTAAAAACATCTGACACTGATGCCTAACGCACCGCCGGAACGACCTCGTGCAGCGGCGGAGACGCCTCGCTGTTTGACAATTGAAGAACACCGCTTGCAAGCAACAAAATGTCTCGAGATAATGAATAACGACTTGAGAGCCAACATTTGCGGCATAAGATCAGGAGCACATCTATCCACTCTTACAGCAAAACAAGTCAATGAGCATATCCACAACGATCTACGGAATTCTTGTTGCTTCTGGGTTTCGCACCTTGAACAAGCAGGCTGGACTTCAGATGACGAGGGACCCGTTTTCTCATTCCTTAGCCTACATTTTTTCCATTGGATTGAGGTTTTGGCTCTCATTGGTAAGGCTACAGAAAGTATATGCGCCGTTGAAAGGTTGACTGAGCTGTCGAGCGTGAGTTTATGTTTCAGTTTGAGATATGGATAAAAAGATCTAATTGCAGGTAGCACAACAGAAATGAGAGATTTTCGACTTTTCTCAATGAAGGTCTACAACTGTTACGCAATAATATGTCTATAATCGACGCATATCCTTTACAATTGTATTTCTCAGTTTCAATATTCGCCCCAAAAGATAGTCTTGTCGCAAACGCATTTGGGAACGACATCCCTCCAATGCTCTCTCTTCTACCAAGACGCGAGCCTGGATGGGACGATAGCCAGCAGATATTTGAAGGACACCAAAACGCAGTGACCAATGCGGAGGCTTCGCCAGACTCAACTCTCCTGGTATCTAGTTCCGAGGATTGTACGGTGCGGATATGGAGGGTTAAAGATGGAAAATGCCTCTACAAATTTGTTGGCCATAAGGACTGTGTCTTTTCAGCCGCATTCTTTCCAAGTGGGGAGATAGTCGCTTCTGGTTCGCTTGATAGGACCGTAAAGCTATGGTCTATCAAAGATGGCAAGTGTTTACGCACATTGAGAGGGCATAACAGTGCGGTACACCACTTAGCAATCTCACCTAACTCTTCCTGTCTTGCATTTGCTTCCCACATTGACGCCGAGTCTGGTTCAGGCAAGATTTGGCTCTGGTCTATCATTAACAAGAAATACACCCAGGAGCTGCAAGGGCATTGGGGGGGCGTCAATTCGGTTGCCTTTTCGCCTGACTCAAAACTTTTGGTGACAGGCACCGAGGATGGATTCATACGGGTATGGGATATCCAAGACACCAAGTGTCTTTACACTCTCCAGGGACATGAGTCCCCAGTTTACTCAGCTCTATTCGCACCAAACTCTTCTTATATCGCATCAAGCTCTTTTGACGGCACAACGCGAATCTGGGACTTTACTACAGAGATGTGTACACAGACATTCGAAAGTGATACGACTATCACTATTGTTTCAATCTCACCCGACTCAAAACTTGTTGCAACTGCTTCTTCGACTTACGAGATCCAGATTTGGAACGTCGACACAGGATCTTGTGACTATCGCCTGAATGGCCATGTTGAAAGCATATCCTCAGTTGCATTCTCTCCCAACTCACAGCTTTTAGTGTCAGCTTCTGCTGACTTCACAGTTCGAACCTGGAAATTAAACAGTTGTTCCGCTTTAAAGTCTAAGAACAAACATGGGGCAGTCAATGTGGTAGAGCTTTCACCTGACTGCTCAGTCCTCGCATCAGGTGATACAGATGGATTAATCAATTTATTGAGTATGAGTGACGGAAGACGCATTTCTGCCCTTCAGGCCGGTGATCACAGCTTTATGCTCTTCACAGCTCTTACATTCTCAAATGACGGGCAATACCTCTTATCACTTGAATTTAGTGGTGAAGCTTGGCTGTGGAGTGTTCGCGATGGAAAATGCATTCACGATTTCTCTGGTTATGACTGGGGAATAAAAGCAGTGTCATTTTCCCGAGACTCCAAGGTTCTTATCCTCGGATGTGGTGATGGCGTACTTCGACGATGGGAAATTGGTATGCGTTTTCTCGATGACCTAATGGGGCATGAAGCAGCGATATACGTAGTTACAACGTCTTCCTACTCCGAAATTGTTGCATCAGGTGATAGGAGTGGCGTGGTAAGAATCTGGAACATGAGAATGGATACCTGTTTACATGAGCTTAAAGGCCATGAGGATGAGGTGGTTGCAGCTGTATTCTCACCTGACTCAGCTCAGCTTGCAACTTCATCATTGGATAACATAGTCCGTTTATGGAATGTCGGTGATGGAAGCTGCATCAGAATTCTACATCAAAAGGAGACAGCAAACTCGGTGGCATTCTCGCCTGACCTCAGATTTCTTGCAACTGCCAACTCAAACGACACAGTACAGATATGGCGCATTAAGGATGGCGAGAGTCTACTTACCTACAAGTTTCCTCGTGTGGGAAGCTGTGTGATCAAGTTTGATCCCAGTGGTACAAAACTCATATTCGACGCTGCGGTCCTGTCTCTTGAGAACATGGCCCCAGTGGATAGTAATCCCAACTTCGCTGATGAATGCATTGCTGATGGTTTGGCTATCACCCAGGACACCCAGTGGGTGACATGGCGTGGAGAGAAGATTATCTGGCTACCAGTGTCGGTGCGTCCAAAATGCTGGGTCATTCACGGTAGCACTATTGCCATTGGATGCATGTCAGGAAGGGCGGTGATAATGAGACTGGATTGTATAGAGAAATAGGAAAACTTAAACATGCTGAATTAGGGAGGGCAATAAGTGTACAGTCTAGGTGTATTAACATATATACATTACCTTTATTAGGGCCAAAGCTTTCCATAATCACTTGAATCTTAGTCTTAAGTCCCTACCAAGTTACCTTTATTCAAAAGACAGATTTTAGGCAAAGACCCCATATTCGTTTCATCATGCGATCTTAAATAGTTCAGTTTGTCGCAGTTCGATAGTGACAGTACACATTCAAACCACAAAGTCCTAATACGGAACTTAGACAGATGACTTGGCTTATTAGTTAAATCTGAACACTAGTGGTCAATGAGTTACTGGTACTATGACGAGTATTGAAACTTTGATAATTGTGAACTAGGCAGCCATTTTTCGACCTTGGCTAACCCTTGGCCTTTCAAGATGTCCAGACTTCAGATCCCCTGTTATCTCTTGCGCCATCTGAGTCTACAAATAAGACCTTCCTGGCGAGCAAACCAGTATGTCTTGACCACCCATTCAGGGTCTTTGCTTGCCCACTCAATATCAAAGTTGCGCAATATAGCCGGTACAAGCTTCCCCATTTCCATGATAGAAATATTCTTACCAATGCAGGTTCGTGAGCCGTAGCCAAACTGGGGCGCCAAGTTAGAAAATAAGATTCAAGGTCTACAATGACTTATCTCACTGTCATAAGATGTCGGTCCATCTTCTTGATATTCTCCGTGTCAGAACCTAACCAGCGTTCTGGGTTGAATGCATCCGCATCTGGGCCAAAGATGGAGCGATCACGGTGGATTACTGCTGGGTTAATCCCAACGACCGTCCCTTCTTGTATGTGGACGCCACAGAGCTGTGCGCCTCCAGCTGGAACTATGCGCTCAAGGGGGAACGAGACGCCCGGGCAGCATCGCATGGCTTCTTTCATCACTGCCTGTCTGTAAAGATATAAGTGGCTGCTGCTATTATTCGCTTGAGCACTTACAGATATGGGAGTTGGAGACATTCTGCATAGGAAATATGATCTGACAACTTGCCCTCCTGATCTGCCTGGTCCACTTCGGCTTGGGCTTTAGCAAAACAATCAGGATTCTTGATCAAGTAGTAGATGGTGGCTCGTAAGGATATGCCCGTTGTGTCACTACCTGCGAGACTTCAAGCGGTTATGTTAGCCTATTGAACCAGTGAACTTCGTCAAGATGAAGAGAGCTTGAGAAGCATACAGGTTGTTTGACAAATGATTCACCAAGTCTTTCTGAGACATTTGCTCACCCTTGGCATTTTCTTGTCGCAACCATCCGAGGAAGTCAGGTCGATCTTGTTCTGGTGGGTTCTTGTCGTATTGTTCGATACAGTCTTCAGTAAACTAGGTCAACTCATTAGAGAGATACAAGTCAATGAGGTCATGTGTATTACCTTGACTACGGTTCGCATAGGATCTGGGACTCGAATAAACGGTTGCCACGCCAGGAGCTTGGCGACGTAGTTATTTCCGATCGTCCAGGGATAAATCGCAGGTACTTGAGCAATCATAGCTGCGGCTTCAAGGGAGGAACTAATGTCACTGATCATAGATTCGACATCTTTCCTCTGTTCCATAAAGCCGAAACGTCGCTGAAATGTAATGGCAGAGATGACGTCAAAAGCGTACCACTGAAGCCACTCACCCAAATCAACGTCTTGTCCTTCCAGCTGCTTCATGCAAGATATGAAGATATCACTACAGTCATCGGCAAAGACTTCCATGGCCTTGATAGAGGACATGGAGAACTTCTGGGCAACCGGGCGGCGAAGAGCTTGATGATGCGAGGGGTCTCTGACGGAAAACATGCTAGGCATAGGACTGTCTTTGTAAAACACATCAAAGACATTATAAAAGGACGACTAAGATGCCATTAGCGGGCCTGATGCACCATGTGCTAGTTCAGATGTGTACCTTCAGAAACTTGCTCCCAATTGAGTAAATCGGCGCAATAGCGCTTGGGTCTGAGATTGATACAATGTTTGGTCCGGTCCTGACAATTGGGCCATATTTTTTATGTAGCTCGTGGTAGAACTCTGGTGCATTTCCTTTATACAGTCTTAATGGTCTGTAGAGGCCCGTCAGCCGAGCTGGTAACGGACCAGGAATCGATCGTAGGTCTGATCTGAAGGTCTGGCGCATCCATTGGGCGATATTCAGAACAAGGAGCAATAAGAAGAGCCAAAGTATAACATATGTCGGGTGAGAGAAAAGATACTGTATGGCGTCACTTGCGTGCATCTCGTGGGAGTTCATTGTGTTTCTGACTGAAAAAGAAGTCATGATGGAAGAGAGCAACAGATGAGAAAACCACTTTGAACATGCACTCTTCAAGAGCGACCTTGGTTACCCATATACCTAAGCTTTATTGAGACTGGCGCCTTTCATCTCCCCACAACGTCTTTCTCACACCCCGTGGGGAACTTGCGGGGAAAGCTTGTGTGGCGGCGGGACTACAAAAATGACTCTTGGTACAATTGTTGCATTTCCAATTTGTAGTTCAGAGAAACGGCACTCGGTACTCAGAAAACCTCCGTCTCATTTTCTACAAGTGAAAGCAAGGTTGAAGCCAGATTGCGGCTTAACTGCCAGTGAATAGCCCGTTGCAATAGGTGTATGATCCTGAACAGTAGACTAGCACCAGCCTTGATGTCCTTGAACACAGCATTCTGAAGTAGGGAGATCCCACCATGACTGCTGATAGCCTGTAATTCAGGGATCGTGAGATCTTCCGCGGCACGTAGTGTTGCCTTGTCCACAAAGGTAATGTAGCAGTACCAAGCAATGCCGCAACGATACAAACAAAGAGTAAAGTGGATAGGAGGTTCCGATCCCATAGGCAGACGCTCAAAGTGTCTTATGACATGCATGGCATGGATTACGCAGGACGTGCCGTCGCGAGAGTTTGCCCAGCTTTTGACTGCTTCGCGATGCGTCTCAGCAACATCTTGACCTTCTCGTCCGCAGAAACATTCTAGAATATCGAGATTCATGTGTAGGAGCATGAACATAGAGTGCCAAAGCATCATCAGACTTGATTCCTGCTTTTGAAAAGCAACGGAACTGCGGTATCGCTTGTACCATGAGATGAGAGCGTCTCGGCGCTGACTCACAGCATTGTTTCGCGTGGGCAGAAAAGTGTGCTGTTCTAAAGGGATAGCGCCTATACAACGTAGCATGACCAGCAACTCAAAGTCGCTAGAGACCAAAGGAAAGCTGGACAGGCTCGTGGTATCCTCGTTAGTGTGTCCCTCTTGGAAGGAAGACGACGATGCTTCGCTGATTACAATAGTCTTCCAGGTCTCGGCATCAGGTGCACAAAAGGCCTCCTTAGAAGCGGCCCGGGGAATTGTGTCAAGCGAGTGACGCATCAATGGATCGTGATGAAGCAGAGAGGCGATTTCGGCGTCTTGCAAGAGAAGTGCAAGCACAAGGCTTTGTAGTTCAGCCTCAGACAATCTAGCAGGGTGGCTGTAGGTCTTACCGTGTTCTCTCTTCACTCTTTGCCCACTTTCTCCATGCTACTTCCAAGTCCTGTCCCTCAAGCTGGGCAAGCCGAGTGACATCTAATTCTGGTTCTGCTGATTGAAACAGCTTAAGCTGCCGAGTCCACTTGGATTTGTGAGCTAGATTCAGTCTTGCATCGTGTTGGAAACTTACTGCGACCAAGCTTCCATGAAAAAAGTCAATTTGAACGAGATCCTTTGGCCGCTACGTTGTTCATAACAGTTAGCTTCTGCGCGTCGATCTCAATTACAAGACGTACCCCCATTAGTAGACCGAACACCTGACCTATTATACACGCTTGAAAGCTGCGGATGCTGGCATTACTTCGTCGTGACTCTGCCAGGTGTGTATCCCACTAAATCAATGTCAGAAATGGAGATTCGCATTGAAGATGTGGAGACATACCGAGGATAATAAGGCCTTGTGTAGCCTTTCGTATATACTTATACCATATGACACTGCCCGTGTGGAACCTAAATACAGACTTCCCACCGAGCATATTGAGAGTATCAACAGCCCATTTCTGCTATGAGGCCGAAATGAATGTGCGTGCACTATGGGAAAAATAGGCTGAAAGTTTGACATGTATGCCTGTACGGCGAGGTTCTAGCTACAGTCAGCTTGAAAGCCTGGAAAAGACACGGGCAGACGCACAAGAAATGCTATCGATGGGACAGGCCCCTCTTGGACCTGCTGGCGTAACCTATCCGCCAATGTTCGATGACACGCTTCATCGACTTGATGATGATCATCGTTTGATGCATCAGGCGTGTCATATCCCGACGGTGGGGGATCTGTATAGGTGTGCCATCTCTTTTGCACAGACTTTCTACAACTAGGACGGGGCTCGGGCTCTGAAGTTGTTGTAGTGTCAGCGTTCGCAGGTGCCTGGCCAGGAATTGCTTGACAAAGCCCTGTCGTGTATGGGCTGATGTCTGACACGGAATCCAGTAGTGGAGATGCTAACCAATTGGCATTAGGTTGGTCTCCGGTAAGCTCTGCTAACCAGTCTGTGCTGAGATTCATTTCGGCATCCCATTGAGGCAGCCAAGCATATCGCTGCTCTGTAAGGAACATTGGACTGGTATCGGAGAGTATGTTGTCTAGATAAGAGTTCCCTGATGTCATCGGCTCATATGGTACGTTCATTGATCCGGGCACTGGTATGCTATTTGTGGCATGGTGTTGCGATACTGGGAGTATTTCTTCTTGGGCTTCATTCGGTATGTGGATGGTTTCCATGATCATGCTGCCACTATCCTGCGTCCGAGACGGTGGTGAGGTCTCGTCGGTGAGCGTGCGTTGGGGAGTCTGGTGAGACCTGGAATGTCGCAGAAGCGTATCCCTGGAAAGGAGTCAGTAAGTTGAGGACTTTTGACACGTGCCGGGCATGCCGTACTGTCTAGTGAACTTCTTCTCGCATACTGGGCATGTGAACGGCTTCTCCTTTGTGTGGGATCTAAAATGGCGATGCAGATGTTCCGCTTTGGCAAAGTGCTGTGAGCATATGGAACAGACGCGCTCTTCTTTTGTGGTTTTACGTCTGCGCTGCATGTTGACAGGCCATTGGTGTAATCAGAAACCCGAGATCCACGCGCTTCGTTTTTCTTCGCCTCGGAGGTTTGATGAAGGAGGAGAAAGGGCGAGACCCGTGATCCCCTGTATGAGAAAGTGTCTTCCCCGCACTTTAGCGTCTGGGGTTTGCTTGGAGTATGATCATTGGCCAGCTTCCGAGATTGAGTCGATGGCTAGTGCCGATTCACCAAGTACCGGGTAAGGTATAGTCAGGCATATTCATTTAAACTTTGAATTATATAGAGGGTAAGAATAAGTCAGAGGAAAGATAAATATTAAATAAATATATATACTGCATTTATTGTCTACCCGTAGCACGTTCCAGGTGGTTAAACTACTCTGAGATGTTGAGGGCTTTAACTTGCGTAAAAAGGTCTAATCGGAATGCGAGATGACATTCCTAATTTTGCCCACTCCTTCAATCTCGACTTCTACGACGTCACCACCCTTGAGAAACTCGTTACGAAAGTATCCCACGCCTGAAGGCGTTCCAGTCATGATGACTGTTCCCTTTCGCAAAGTAGTACCCCTTGATAAATGACTAATCAGCTGCCTGACGCCAAAGATCAAGTCATTCGTGTTGGAATCTTGTTTTATCTCGCCGTTGACCTTTGCTGTAATTCGGCTGGCAATAGGGTCTGGAAATTCGCTCGGGTGGACGATCGTGTGGCCGATGGGGGCAAACTTGTCGAAAGACTTGGCGTAGCAGAACTGACCTCCAGAAGCTTCAGGTATTTGGAAGTTGCGCGCCGAGACGTCGTTGCATGCCGTGTAGCCTAGCACATAATCCAACGCCGCTGCTTCTGTGACGTTTTTTGCATCCTTGCCAATTACTACCCCGAGTTCGGCCTCATAATCGAGCATGGGTCGGGCGTCTACATGGACGGGGATTGTATCGGTAGGACCAGCGAGGGCGTCTGCTGGCTTAACGAAAACCGCAGGATATTTGGGAACCGTAAGCTGATATAGGAGTGAGTATTGACCAGCACCTCAAGTATTTGTTTCTTCTCACCTTGGCCTCTTCGGCATGGCTCTTGTAGTTTAATCCAATGCAAATTATAATTGGGGTAGACTCCAGAGGACACAGGAGCTGGTTTGTAGTCGTTAGTACAATTCGGTCAACGATGGATTGGATTTACCAACCTGTTCTGTCTTGATGACCTCTCGAGTTGCTTCTAGTTTGTCAAATGGGCTACCAAGAAGCTTCTTTACTGTGTAAACGCTGCCATCGTGCTCCAGAAGCTCGCCAAAATACTTTGCTTCACCCTGGGCAAAGCGTACTAAGCGATTGAATGCGGCCATGGTGTAGTTTCACGTCTAAAAGTAGGATAATAGATGAGTAAATGTAGCAGCTTGTATTTAGGTTTCTGCTTAAATTATGTGTCTACACTTTTGTAGCGGCTTGGACAGATATGTCCCTCTTTGGAGATTTCGATGTGGGGAGGTTTCTATAGGCACCACCTTATCAAGATCATGTTAGGTGGGACCAATTAACGCAGTCCCCAAGTATAGTGATCACAATAATGGCACTTGGGAAATATCAAGACCCTCAAAGGTTTGTAATACTTTGACTGCTTGTCCTGAAACTTTGTCCCCTCAATAAGACCCGCCGATGCCCTTAGTGACCCTATTTTCATTATCCTACAAGCCCCGCCGCTCAATGCGACATCCAACACTCATATCACTTTAGTACCCAATGAACCTTGTAAGTCCCTATCACCATGGACAACCTTAATAACGACTATTAACCTTCCTTCAGTCTCAACATTTGAATAAGGGCTCAAATTCACGAATGTTACCCTGTCGCAGATATGACTGTCCATGTAGAGACTACCCAGGTTGTGATCTGCGGATGCGGTCCCACCGGAGCAATGCTCTCAAGCTTTCTCGGGAAATACAACATTCCCAATATTATTTTAGAGAAGGAAAGCGACATCACGACCGATCCGCGTGGTATTGCCCTTGATGACGACGGTATTCGCCTGCTGCAAGCCCTTGGACTTTACGATGCAGTATTTACTGACATTGGATCTTGTAAGTGCTGACAGTCTCAATATCAGAGGCTTGGTGCGATAGCTAACATAATGAGACGTTCCTGGGGCGCGCTTCATCAGTGGTGTCCATACAGACCTACATCGAAAGCCATTTCTCTACTTCAACACAGGCTCCGTGAGTGACACCATTCTCAGCAATGTGAAGCTAGGCGATGCAACGTAAAAGGCTAATTCTAGATGTAGACGGCCGGAAATACAGCCCATGTCGGGGCTATTTGCCACAAGCAACCTATCCTCGAAAAACACCTACGATCCGTCATCTCATCTTTGAGTTGCTCGACTTTGAGAAGCAATTGTACCTTGTCATCTATATCAGAAGACGAAGACTGGGTTTATGCGACATATAAAGATGGGACGGGAGTCGAAAAGCAGATCCGAGCAAAGTTCTTAGTTGGGGCGGATGGAAAGACTGGCTATACAAGGAAAAAGTACCTTGAGCCCAAGGGAGTCTTCATGCAGTGGGCAGAGCAGTAAGTTGGCATAGTTGAGGATACGTTACACCACTAACATTGTAAAGAACAAAGTATCAAGAGTCATGGGTCGCTTTGAACTGGAAAATCAACCCCCCAACAAAGGAAACGCATCCCAACTTTCCTCTGTGGGAAAAGGGTTACACCTCACAGGAAGTCTATGAAGCATTCTTCCCCAGGCCATTCTCGTTTCTCTGTAACCCCGACCGACCTGCTGTGTGTGGGAGATTTGGCCTACAATCTGATCGTCTATGGCGTTTTGAGTTTGTTGTTCAGCCTGGAGAAGACGAGGATGAGATGGCTAAGCCTGGCATGATTCGCAAGGTTGTGTTTCCATATCTGACACATCCCGGAAGCCGTTATGGGTAAGAGTCCTTGAAACGCTCAAATAAGCTCTAACACAATTTCAATAGGCTTTCGAAAGACATCGAGTTTCCTGAGGATTGCATAGAGGTCTTGAGATGTCGACCATTCCGCTTCTATGCGAGGAGTTGCAACAAATGGGCTCTTGGACGAGTCATACTCGCCGGAGATGCGGCTCATGTATTTCCGCCATGTAAGTAGCACTCATATTACAATGCCGGAAGCTGAGAAACTGACTCGACATAGTTGGCGGCCAGGGAATCGCATCAGGCTTCAGAGACGCTGTATCGTTGAGCTGGCGTCTCGCTCTTATATACAAGTCAAATTCTCATATCGATCATGAAAAGCTGTTAGAAGGGTGGTTCCTTGAAAGAAAGCAACAACTCGAAATGTCCCTCGCATCCACTGTCCGAAATGGGGACATGGTCAACAGCAAGAACCCCTTGATGATCTTTCTTCGAGACTGGGGCTTTTGGTTGGCTCAGCTGATACCCAGAGTGAGACAACAGCTTGAGCTTGGCCCGAGAGCTCCTGGCCCTGTCAGGTATCAACACTCGGATGGTATGGGATTCATTCCCCAGCTGGGCGGAGGAGTCTCATTCTCTCAGTCCTTCTGCATCAGACTTGGGGTCCCCAAAGCACAAGTAAAGTTCACCGACGACATTATCTTTGCTCCGCAGAAGAAGAGTCTGTTTCAGATTGTTGTTTTGCTTAACGAGCCTGACGAGGTTGATAATGCACAAGCCCAGCTTAGTGGGTTATCGTCGATTTGCTCGCACTTATCACCAGAAGAGGCAACCTATTTTGTTCCGCGAAACCTCCCAGGTTTGAACACGGCGGTAACGAAAGAACTGGAGAAAAGTGGTCGAATATTCCGAATAGCATCTGCCGCTGAGTTTTCTAATTCTGATCTTAGTGCTGGAAGGCCGGAACCAGAAGGATATAGAGAGAAGGATATGTGGAATGTGGTGAAGCACAAGACTTTTGTCATTCTGAGGGCTGACAGGTTTGTATTTGCAGCCTGCAATAAGAGGACAGAGCTTGAGATGGTGGCGAGAAAAATGGCGGAGCTTTTCCATTCTGGCTAAGGTGAACTCTTTGTAGTATAGATATTTCAAAGATAATAGAGCTTTCTGTTTGACCATTCGCTTTCTAGAGCCATCTAGTTATATTTTTGATGTTATTGTTTTGTTAATTGCTAATGGGCTTTGCTTAGTTGGATAACCTCATAGTAATGGTAGGATAAAATCAATATAACAAAGAGACTTGACAAAAATACAATAAATCCATTCAATGCATTTCTTGATATGCCTTTGAGACATCTCTAGATCCCCAGTACATGGAGACTTTGTTGAAATTAACTCGCCCAAGGCCCCCACGTTCATGTTTGGTGATGTCAAGAAGTAATAGCCTCGGCCCTCGGGTAAGTTGTGAAGCATGCCGCGGCTTATTTAAATTTGCAGAATTATTCATGGGAAACTGAACAGGCTAGTGAGATGATTTGTAAATTGGCTTTCTCCTGCCCCTGATGCGTTTACTCCGTCGAAGCGTCTCACTGTCAAAATAATGCACAGTGGCGGGACCAAAATAGACCCCACAATTTGCCATACGCACCACCATTAGCCGCTCTATCACTAGCACATAACCAAGCTGTAGCACTTTAGAGGTCTATCGTGATCTTTCTGTATCTCAGAAACTTTCATCAAAGATTTAATATCCTTTCTCAACGCATATCACTCTCTTCAAGACACCATCCAAGGCCAGACTGCATCCTCACTTCCCGCCATGTCACTGCAAACCCCTCGAAAGTTATGGGAACATCCCAGCCCTGAGACAACCAATATGGGCCGTTTCAAAAAGGCATTAGAGAGCTATTGCGGGGAAACCTTCAAGGTGATTGTTCACCGATTTGCGATATCAAATTAGACAATTGGCTAACAGCAAGCAGTCATTCCACAATATGCATCAATATTCTGTTACCAAGCGATCTAACTTCTGGGCTTTCCTCTGGGACTACTCTGGTCTTATCCATGAAGGCAACTATATACAAGTCGTCGACGAATCCGCAAGGATGGATAGTGTGCCTATTTGGTTCGACGGCATCAAGCTCAACTTTGCCGAAAACATACTCCTCCCGCTCAGAAGTCAGTCAGGCAAAGAGGATAATACGATTGCTGTGTCCGAGTTCAACGAGTTGGGACTTGCATCGAGGGTAACCTTGACGTGGGGTGCGCTCCGTCGACGGGTTGGGCTACTTGCGAATGCTATGAGAGCTCAAGGCGTCGTCAAAGGTGACAGGATTGCTTCATGCTCATGCAATAACATCGACACCTTGATTGTCTTCTTGGCTACAACAGCTCTCGGTGCCATTTTCTCTTCAAGCTCCACCGACATTGGTGTTTCCGGTATTCTTCAAAGACTACAGCAAATTGAACCTCGCTGGGTCTTCATGGACGACACGGCTCTATATAACGGGAAGCGTATTGATCTGCTGGGTAAGATGACCGAGGTGACTGTAGGTCTGCAGAAGACACCTGGCTTTAGAGGTCTCATTTCCCTGGCACGGTTCAAGTCGCAACAGAAAGACGTGTCAGGGATTCCAATGGTACAAACGTTTGCTGAGTTTGTCTCAAAGTCTAATGGTCGAAGCGAGTTATTCTTCGAAAGAGTCGACTTTCGAGACCCATTCTTGATTGTCTACTCCTCTGGAACTACCGGTGCACCAAAGTGTATCGTACACTCTGTCGGTGGTGCACTGCTGAATAGCTTCAAAGAGGGAGGATTGCATCAAGAGTTTGGCCCTCGGAGCGTTTCACTGCAGTATACGACAACGAGCTGGATTATGTATTTTGCCACTATTTCCTCACTTCTTTTGGGCACCCAAGTTGTCTTATATGATGGGAGTCCATTTCTCCCAAACTCGACAGTTTTGCTTGAGCTAGCGGCTCATGAGCGGTTAAGTCACGGGACCGGGAACCCGGCACCCCGGGAACCCGGCACCCCACTTTCAGCCTCAACACCATAACTTCAATATCTTTATCTATATAAAAATCAATAAAAATAAGCTTAATTTTCATCCAGTTTTTTCCTACTAGTAAAAGAAGCTTATATCTATTTAATAATAGATAAAATAAGCTTATTCCTTTCCTGTTTTAACTATAATAGTATCTCTTGTTTTATAGACTTCCTTTAAGGTAAATACCTTCTGATTTGGATCCAATTTAAGTTTCTTTCTCTTTAAGACCTGTGATTGGTCGATCATCTCGCTTAATATCCTATTTTTATCTGTTACCAAAGCTAATTCAACGGCCCGTTCATCAAGGCCCTTTCCAATCGTCCGAAATAGGTGCCGTTTAGTTGGTGTAAGTGCATTATTGCCTAATTCGGCTCTTGCAAGCTGCATCACATCAGATAGCTTATGTGGTGTATTGAGATAAGGTAATTGAGGGCTCGTATTGGCTAGTGGTGTAGATGGATTACCTAATTCAGCAGCTTGAGCCTCAATTTCGTCCGGTATCACATACTTGCTTGATAACGGTCTCATAACGTTGACAGGCCACAAGCCGGATGCAAGCCAACCGGCCCGGACCTTCTCTTCGGTAAAGGCAGCGGCCCGAGCCTTAAAATAACACCTTAAAAAGGCAGCCTTAGCTGTATTTCCTTGTTCAATGAGTGGGGCTTCCATCTCGAGTTCACGGCGATATATCATCTTTAACAAGCTAAAATTAGCTAAATCAAGAGGCTGAAGGACATGTGATGTATGTGGGGGAAGGTAACAGGGGTGTATATTATGCTTAAAGCAGTTAAAGATGAATTCATCCGTTAAATGGGTATCATGCCCATCTAGGAAAAGAAGCCTCTTTTCCCCTTCCTTTTTGGGCAATGCGAACGGGATGAAAACCTCCTGCAGCCATAGGGCTGTGATCTCGTTAGTGGTCCATCCCCTTGGTGACGTTGCAAAGCGCCAATTGCCTAAAAAGGAAGGATCCCTCGGAAACCACTGTTGTTGCGGCTGATCCCCTTTAAAGATAACAAAGGGAATAAGGCTCGTGCCGTCGGCACAGATAGCTTCCGTTATTGTGACCCAGCTGCGGCTGTGAGGGCTTCGTTTTAAGGTCTTCCGCTTCTCTGATTGGCCAACCACTAAACCGTTGATACCGACCCCTTGGAAGATACCCGTTTCATCCATATTCCAACGGTTGCAGCCGCGGATAATTGTAACCTCGGGATCCTTCAATTGGTCAAACCAAGACCGGATGATAATTGCTTTTGCACCTTCAATACGCTTATATTCAACTCTAATTGCTTTAAGCGTTTTGATTTGCTTAGAGCGTGCGAGAAATCGGGTAACCCAATGCTTGCCGAGAGGTTTGTTATCGCCTTGTAAGCTTAAAATACGGATAACAAGTTGCCGGATTTGGAAATGAGTTAATGGAGTACAAAGGGTATCTTGAAGCCTTAAAAATTGGATGAGATCGGCTTCAACGGTCGGGCCGAGCCGCTGTTGATCTGTATGAGCCTCTTTTTTAGGCATAATGCCTTGAAGTCGGTCCTGTAAGCTTGATCGGGGTACGGAAGCTTCTTTAGCAGCCTTGACTTGTGATTGGCCATTTTGAACAAGGTTAATTGCTTTAAGCATATCTTCTTCTGTATAAGAAGGCATATTGGATTAAGACCAGATGAAAATCAGGGTATTATATCGACTTTTTGGGTAATTGAATTGATGAAAGTTATGGTGTTGAGGCTGAAAGCGGGGTGCCGGGTTCCCGGGGTGCCGGGTTCCCGGTCCCGTGACTTAGTCAGTGACGCGGATTCAACTTGTTCAGGTTGACTAATGTTAATTCTAGTGTAACTCATTTTGGGACTTCACCAAAATACCTCGAGACACTAAGGCGAGCAGGTACCCGGCCACGAGATTTGTTCAATCTCGAAGCCTTGCAGGTTGTCAGTGGCACTGGAATGATCTTCCCAGAAACCTTGTTTGAGTGGTTCTATGACGAAGGGTTCCCAAAACATGTACGAGTGAACAATATGTCAGGCGGGACGGACATTGCCGGATGCTTTGGCCTTGGCAACACTCTAACCCCCGTGTACTCCGGTGGTTGCTCTGGTCTTAGTCTAGGAACCCCAGTCGAGGTCTATGACAGCGAAGTACGAGAAGGTAATAACACGGGACGTCCGGTGCCTGATGGTATTCCTGGAGAGTTGGTGGCAACGGCAGCGTTTCCCAACATGCCAGTTAGTTTCTGGGGTCCAGGAGCAGCCAAGAAGTATCACGAAGCTTACTTTGCCCACTTCGATGGTGAGTTCTTAACACAAATAGGCAAAGCTTTTCTAACCAGGCCTTCAGATGTCTGGACTCATGGTGACTTCATCATGATTCATCCTGTAACAAAGCAGTTGTTCTTTCTCGGTCGATCTGATGGAATTCTGAATCCATCTGGAATTCGCTTTGGCTCAGCAGAGATCTACAACATCATCGAAGAACAGTTTATGGCGGAGGTTGAAGAGTCGCTTTGTGTAGGACAACGACGACCGACAGACAACGATGAGCGTGTCTTCCTGTTCCTCAAACTGAGGAAAGGAAAGAGCCTTACAAATGAACTTGTCAACAGGGTCAGGGACGCTATTCGCGAGGGACTCAGTGCTCGTCATGTCCCAAAGTTCGTCTTCTCAACGCCGCAGATTCCAGTAAGTACCGCCTTGCTAATGTTTCGATCGATGATTTTAATCAAGCTATTTGTCTAGGTAACAATAAATGGTAAAAAGGTTGAGATGCCAGTGAAAAGGATCATTTCGGGAGAGAGGATTCAACCGTCTGGAACTTTGGCTAATCCAGAAAGCCTGGAATACTTTTATCAATTTGCAGAGGTTGGTAACGAGAAGGGGAGTAAATTGTAAAGCTATCTGGAAGCATAAGCTCTATAACCTGTATTTGATATTCCCTTTCGGAACATAGTATAGTTGTGCAACTTTCAGACAATATAAACCGGGATGCGACTTGCATAAGCATCACTTTTGCTGATTTGAATATCCATTTTGTGAAAATCATGCAATTGTAACCAGCACAGCATACGGAACAGAAGAATGCACCAAGCCTCGTTGACCTCGTTATCTCCAAACCTTCCGACAGGCTTGGGGCGACTCGTGCTTATATCATCTTCCGAGACAAAGGAATCTTGTCTTGCTTTCACGCGCTTGCTTAGCAGGCCCTGTTTGCCGATGTTCCGGACGACGTTCTGTCGAACGCGGTCAAAGTACATTTGAATCAGAAGAGTCTCCTTGTCTTCGCCTGATGCCGAATCAATGTCGTGAATAGTAATAGGTGCGTCGTCAAAGGCTTCATCAGTGCCGTCCTTCTTCGTGTTATCGTCGGTTTCATTCTTTTCGTGTAGAATGCCCATAACCTCTTGAATATGCATGCGCACAACTCTCTTAATCATGGACAATCCCGGTTTCTTCATCCTGCCAAAGTACTCATCACATAATTCGACTCCGGCACGTAGATTGTTGAGATGGTTGACCAGATTTACTCCGTTGATGTCTTCGCCAAAAACATCTAGTGTTGATCCTTCAGTTCGCAGGAGCGGAAACTTTTCGTCCGATTGTGCCCACTTGAGTATTCTGCTTATTTGCTCGCTATCCTTTAGTGTGTTCTCATGGAGACTCCTCAAACAGGTGATGTATGCTGTCATTAGTGCTGACAGAGAAAAAGAGCTGGGATCCCAGTAGAAAACGGTCGGGTTTGGGAGCATACGGAAGACGGTGCCCTTTATATGAAACATTTCCCCAACCATGCCAAGGATCTCGAATGGAACTGTTCATGGTCATTTTTCTCTTCGACTAACTCATTGGAGGGCAACTTACCAGCAAACAGATGGCTATGGCGTGCTTGATCAGCATGCTTCCGGAAATAGTTGACTGTGTTGATATCACATCCCAGAACCACCAGCGTCTTCGCAATTTCAGTCAAACTTCCCAACTGAAGACTCTCAGCTCCTTTGGCCTCGTCGGCATACACCTTCTTCTCCTGGTTGAAGATCGTTGGGGCCATGCCAAAGCAGAGCTGCTTGACGTTGTAGTGGGGGATCACCCGGTTCTTCTCGAACCAGGTTGGTCCTTGCTTCTGAAAGTTGAAGGTGATACCAAGACCGTCCGTGTATGAGCCATATAGAACAAACCCGTTGCCTTGACCGCGATACTGGTCGTTATTGAGGTCAAATTTCCTCCAATGAATGCCCAGCATTCCAGCAATCTCTACAAGATGCGATATTGTAGTTGTAGCATAAGGTTTTGCAAAGTCTTTGGGCATGCTATCCCACGTGCGCCTCTTTCTCTGCATGCAGACGAGAAGCGAGTGGTGAGCATGAGGCTCTTCTGTGTCAATTGGTGGGCGTGGACCAGCCGCTTTGAGCCACTCAGCTGACTTCTTGCTCTGCCACTCACGAGATTCTTTCTCCATCCTCACAATAGCCATGAGCAAGGCATACCAGGTGGCCTTCTCATTATCAGCCGTGTGAATGATGCGCTGCGTGCTCTGCTTGTACTCGTTGTCAAATTCCTTGACAGTATCTGTGTACTTGAAGTTATCATTACCGCCATCGAGGCGAATGATCTTTTTGCTTTCGTCCTTGGCGAGAGCATCATCTCCCAACGGTCCCCTGGTGTTGCTGGGTTTGGCGACGAAGATAACTGGGGCCTCGAACTGGACCTCGAAGCGGAACTCGGACCAGATCATCCGGCGCCGAGTAAACTGTGCCCATTTTCCTATGACGGCTTCACTGCACGATGAAAAGCCAGTTGCTGTGGCGAGATACTGCTGCAGTGCCTGGAGAATCGCAATGACAAAGGCCAAGACGGAGATGACCAGCGCAACCACGGCAATAATGAGCTCCGTATTGCCGCCACTGCTTCCGCCAGAGCTCGGATCTGGTACAGCTGTTGAGGACATTTAGAGAGCCACAGCAAGTACCTTCTTGTGGATAATTCGAATAAGAGGCTTGTGAGGTCTCGAGGACTTGATTTTTCTTGACGCTCAGCTTGGGTTCTCAAAAAGCGATGGCTGGAGAGTCTGACTGACGCGCTAAAAAGGGGCAACATTGTCCAATTACAATCAGATTCACAAGATGTACAGGGGTTCTGGCGGGGAAGAGCTAAATATAGACTGGCTTCGCGCGCTTAGCCTGCCTAGGGTAAGAAAACTCAGGACGTCCATAAGTCGATCCTATCGACAAAAAGATTTGGGTAAGTTGGCATAAGCTTAAAAGGTTTTTTAATGAGTTAATTTAACTACCTATCTCAAAGTCCGAAGTTTTCTTACTCCCCCGGGGTCGCATACCAGGGGGCGTTGCATAATCCAAATTCCAATTCATCCTCACCTTACATTTCTATCAACGCAAGTATCTATATTTTGGGTTTCCAGACAATGTTTCACCTCCCCTAACCTTTACAGTAACAGCTTCGCCGGGAATTAGATCTATACAGTTGTCTTCCAAAGAAACACCAGCCAGCTCTTCAAAGACCAAGCCTTTGGTGGGTTTGCTGGCCGTGAGCTGATACCCATCTGGCCCGGCCTGAATCTCAACGCCTCTGTTGGAGAAGTCAAGATACTTGAGAGGTTGAGGCCAATCGACGTCTTGGGAAACACAAACGCCACCCTCCAGAACCCTGACTGAAATAACATGCGGCTCGTCTTGTGCATTGTCAATCTGCCCATTGAGGATATCAGTCGTACCATTCGGGACCAGGACCGTATCGGTCTTCACGATTTTCTCCCTGATATCCCTTCCAGTCTTGATAGAAATGAAGCGAATCTCAACAGTGACAGTTACCTCCTGCTGCTTGCTGCTTGCAACCCAAACTTCAAATGAAGAAGTCTTCGCTGGCCTGGCATGTACGACACTCCAGTCGTGGTGTTGCCGTTGGACTCCTGCAGCGATGGGCTTGAGGGCTCTGCGAATAGAATAGTAAGCTGGCTTCTTGGTGAGGAAATAGTCTACGATGGACCATGAGATGGCGGGCCAGCAATCGTTCATCTGCCAGACGAGAACACCGCCGCATCGGCGATCATCGCCCCATTGGCGACGCCAGCTGCGGTACGCATAAGTCATGGCTTCGCTCTGGCAAAGCTGCGTCAAATATATGTGAGACTGATGAGGGGTTAACAAGAGAACTCGAATTCCAATATTAGGAGCATGCATACCTCTAAATCTGGAAGAGGACGGAAGTTCTCCACCACGTAAGTAGCAATGCGTCGTTCGTGGCCGTCGGCCTTGTTGTGGAAATCCATCATCTGAGACTGTGGGAAACGGTCATAATCTTCCGTGATGCAGTGCTTAATCGTCGACAAGGCTGGGAAAGCCTCCATGCCGAACTCGCTGTTGAATCTGCCACCCAGCGTATCAAAGACCTGGTATTTCTCCTGCGTACCATGCCAAACTGGGACAATATCAGCACATGAGCAGACAGAGGGGGAAAGCAGTCACATACCATTCCATTGGTGGAGATCTCCAGTAGTCTTGTCTGCAGTGTCTTTACCTCCAGAGAACGGTGACCCAGGCCAGTATATCATCCCTGGAGATATCTCAGAGACTACCTCTGGTAAAAGATACTCGTAGTAGTACCGAGCAGGAAAAGAAGACTTGAGCCAAGAAGCAGGGTCCTTGTCGTCTGGATCGTAGTCAAGACCTGCTTGTTCTTGAACCTGGTAATCCTCATTATTGCCGGCGTATACGACGACAGAAGGGTGGTGATGCAGTCGGCTGACGTTCTGCACTGCCTCCTCGCGAATCGATCTTATGAGTGATGGCCCTACAGGATAGTTTCCGCACCCAAACATGAAATCCTGCCAAACAAGAATGCCCATCTCATCGCAGCAGTCATAGAAAGCATCGTCTTCGTAGATGCCACCGCCCCAAACTCTGAATCCTATTGTCAGTGATTCCATATTAAGCGCAAAGACTTATCGATGGTCTCTCACCTCGTCATGATCTGATTGCCTTGTATCATAAGCTTCAGCCAATTTCGGTACTTGGCGGTGGTGATTCGAGGTAGAAAGTTGTCAGCCGGAATCCAGCACGAGCCGCCGCAGAATATGTCGATGTTATTAATCCTGAAAAAGAAGGATTTTCCATGAGAGTCGTCATTTTGAACAAGCTCACTTCGCCGGAAACCAGTCTTCTTGGTCTTTACATCAAGCTCCTGACTGTCTTTGGCGATACTGACACTCACGCTGTACTGAGACTGATGGCCGTATCCAGCAGGGTACCACAGCTTGGGGTGATCTAGTCGGCGCCTGTTAATATTTCGACCTTGAAAGGAAGTCTATGGCTGAGTACCTATAGCAAAAGGGATAACCAGACGGCCGTCGGAAGACTTCGCTGCCGCCGTAGTGTAAACGACGTCGTCTTGAAAGCGGATAGAGACATTTGCCCTGTCATACAGCCCCTCAATGTCGACTTCCACCGTGCCCTGGACCTTTTCGAGATCTGGAGAGACACTATAATTGAGGATGAAGTCATTGATGTGGGCAGATGAGACTTCAAGCCAGACTGGTCTCCATGGACCAGCGGTGTTGAGCACTGGACCCCAGTCCCATCCCTGCGTATTTCATTAGCAAAATGTCTCTTGTCTTCCATTCATTGTCCATACCCAGTGGTATTGAGCCTTCCTCACGACCAAGCGTCCGGCCTCTCCATTGAAGAGTTCCCATCGATGATCAGGATATTGCTTTTTGATTTCCCGGGCCTTGAGTAGTGCACTTTCAAAGGTGATGCTCAGCACGTTAGCCCCCTCATCCGCAAGCTTGTTAGTAATATCTACACGATGGCTGAGGAACATGTTGTCGCTCTCGAGTATGACGACATCGTTAAGCTTGACTTGAGCAAAGGCATCAAGACCCTCGAAGACAAGATACACTGATCTACTGTTGGTAGACGGCGAGTCAAAAGTAGTGCGGTAGGTCCAAGCTGCCTCTCCAACCCACTCGACTTCCAGCTCGTTCATATTGAGAAATGGGTCAGGAATGCTGCAGGGCTCACTCGTTAGTACCTAGGAGAATGTAGAACGTCGTATACTAACATTCCATTGTCAATCAAGTCCATATGGGCAACTGTGGGCACTCTAGCCACAGGCTTCCATGCATCATGGCCGTCTGCTGCTTTCTTGAATGACCACCCCTTCTCAAGCAGGGTTCTTTGTGCAATGGGAGGCATCATGATCAGGGTAGTAAATATCACTGGCTGGATTCATTTGTCGACAAATACCAGTGCCAAAGGTGTATGAATGATCTTTCGTATTCAAGTCGTGACAGTGACTTTGGATACCGGGAACGACGATGTCTTATTTTAATGATCTGTTCGCGAACTGCTTATAACACATTACATGGCCGACTTTAGTTGTGGGTATGACCCGACTGGTGGCCGTCAATCTCCGTGCTTGTTTCCGAATTTTGACACGGGACATGGGCATTCATGGGCCGCGGAACGAGACCTTCCGTGGCCGTTTCAGGTCTTGGTCCGGACTACTCACGCCACACCCCACAGAACGACTACACTAACAATTAGCGCTATCGTATCAGATGCCACTTCACTGTCATTCCAGTCAGCAGCTCCGCAGGTACTTACGTCCTGCCTTATTATCACTTAGTCTAGATCATGATGAGACCCGCAATTCACATGATGCCACCGGACTGGTGTATTATCGACACATTTATCTGATGCCGCGACAGTCCCCTTTAATTAAAGTATAAAATGGGAACTCACTTATTTGTCTCTGCAGCACTGTCCCAAGTCTAAGCTTGCGAGATAAGCTATCAATTCCAATTCCTCACATCCAGCAATACCTCTTTGACAAGGCTCCTTTGTTGTCAAGGTTACGCCTGGCATTAACGAACTAATCTTGGGAAACGCTGTAATGGAAGACAAGATCCAGACACACATCCACAATGAAGACGGCACGGTACAATTATTTCCTTGATGATGCCCTCTCGGGTTTGCTCATTTAATAGAGGCTGATTCATCGCTTGACAGGATCTCAAAGAAGTGAAGGAGACCAAAGTGGTCGCGGGTAACGAAGCGTTCGCCAAAGCGATGATTGAGGATCCTCCCTCGGCATGGAATCGGGGTCAGATCTTGATCTATTGCTTCTCTTTCGTCGGCTTCCTCTGCAGCACAATGAACGGTTACGACGGAAGCTTGATCAACAACCTCCTGCAGAACCCCTGGTTTCGCGAGAAATACGGTGTTGAGAGCAGCGGCATCTGGGCAGGCATCGTCTCAGCCATGTACCAGATCGGTGGTGTTGTTGCGCTGCCCTTTGTCGGCCCCGTCCTCGACGGCTTCGGCCGTAGAGTTGGAATGCTCTCTGGATCTGCCCTCATTGTTGTTGGTACCATTATTCAAGGTTTGTCCCATTCCTCGGGCCAGTTCATGGGAGGACGCTTCTTGTTGGGATTCGGCGTATCACTTGCAGCTTCTGCGGGACCCATGTACGTCATTGAGATTAACCATCCAGCATACCGTGGACGGGTTGGAGGTAAGTGGTTGTCCTATGGCTCGTCTTCTTCGTCTCTGACATTTCCATGTACCAGCCATGTACAACACCTTATGGTTCTCAGGAGCTATCATCGCCGCCGGGTCTGCTAGAGCTGGATTGAATACAGGAGGAGACTACTCGTGGCGGCTCATTACCTGGCTCCAAGCCCTGTGCTCTGGCCTCATCGTCATCTTTAGTCTACTTCTACCCGAGTCCCCACGATGGCTGTACGTCCACAACAAGAGAGAGGCTGCCGAAGCCATCTTGACACGGTACCATGGCCATGGAAATCCAGAGTCACCCTGGGTTCTGCTTCAAATTGCCGAATATGAAGAGTCGTTGAACTTGGATGGCAGCGACAAGCGATGGTGGGACTACCGCGCTCTCTTTCGCGATAGACCTGCTGTCTATCGTCTTTCGTGCAACTTGGCCATCTCCATCTTCAGTCAATGGGCAGGAAACGCTGTGCTTTCCTACTTTCTTGGTGCAGTGCTCGAGACGGCTGGCTACACTGGAACGATTGAGCAGGCCAACATTACGTTGCTCAACTATTGCCAACAGTTCATCTGGGCTGTCCTCGGTGCTTGCCTCGTTGACAAGATCGGACGTCGCCCTCTTCTTTTGTTCTCCTTCTCTGCCTGCACTGTTGTCTGGTTGGGCATGACCATCGCCTCGTCCGAGTTCGCCAAGTCCTACGTAGGTACTGATGGGGATGGAAAGGCAATCTACTCCAACACTACAGCATCCAAGGCTTCTTTAGCAATGGTCTTCATCTTTGGCGCCGTCTTCTCGTTTGGAATCACGCCCCTCCAGGCTCTTTACCCCGTCGAAGTGCTCTCTTTCGAGATGCGTGCCAAGGGAATGGCCTTTTCCAACCTTGCTGTTAATGCTGCCGGCCTGCTGAACCAGTTTGCTTGGCCTGTGGCCATGAAGGAAATCGGTTGGAAGACATACATTATTTTTACTATATGGGATCTCATCCAAGTTGCTCTGATCTATGTCTTCATCCCTGAGACCAAAGGTCGAACTGTAAGTCGTCCCCAGCACCATCTTTCGGTTCATTTGGCTAATCGAGTATGTAGCTTGAGGAACTTGATGAGATATTTGAGGCCCAAAGCCCGGTGAAAATGTCAACCCAAAAGAAAACAATTGCAATCGATAGTCAAGGGGCAGTATTGAAGGTTGAGAAGGTTTAGTCTTTTTGCATTGTTTCATCTTGCCGGCAAGAGTAACTGTGTCTCGGAGGAACAGATCTGTGATGGTTGAGATGCTTTGGATATGAGCATTTCTGGGGACTCTGGTAACAGGCCTTTTTGTTTCGGTAGTGTAGTATGCTTTCAAGCGAGCTTGATGTATCATCTGACCAAGAAAACCCGTTTTCAAACATAAGGGATTTTACATTGCATGTCTCTCGGGTAAGTGGAGAGCCCCTGATGGAGATCCATGTCGTAACCGAGGCTATGAGCAGTTGACTAGTCCCAATCCAGCCACGGATGCTCTTGTGCCGCTCCTGTCAAGGCTAGCAGCCTTTGCCCCCTCAACCTCAGTGGATGTTGGAGTGCAGTTTCTTCCCCGGATTTTCAAAATCACCCCAGACACCCGGTACTGCGCACTTGTACCACGTGCTTGTGATGAGATTGGACCACGCTCGTAAGACATGCAATCTTGCCACTTCACGGCTGATAATTAGCATCTCCTCACATCCAGGCTGGCAGCTTTAACTTCACGTTTATCCCATCGAACCTATGCAAGTAAAGGGCCCAGCGCTGTCCCGCATCCGAGCCCACCATGTTTTGTACCTGTAAGTTCAGTTGTCTTTGATCATGATCCTCTGACTAACTATCGCGTTTCACAAGTCCAGGGCACCGCTGAGCCGTCTGACTCGGGTACACTTAGAGAATCAAAGCCCACGCGAGGTCTGCACGCATGCGGCAACTGTAAACGTCGAAAGATACGTTGCGATGGCCGACAGCCTTGTAACCAATGCGAGTCGAGGGATTTACAGGCAAGATGCGTCTACACCCAACAGATCCAACGTGTTGTGCCTTCAAAAAGGTCCGCCTTTTACTAAAATTGACAAGAGCTGTGCTGTCCATGATAAGAACCTAACGATCGTGACAGAACACTTGAAAGCTTATCCAAAAGCCTCAAAGAACGCGACGCCATCTTGAACCGGCTTTTCCCGAATCACAATATTTCAGACTTGGCTTCGTTATCAGACCAGGAACTTCGTGAAGCCGTGTTACATAGAGGCTCGACTGATAAAGTCCTACCATCTCCCTCTGACAGCACCCCTCAAAGGTCTGTTACTCAGGACTCACAATGGGACGAAGACCGACGTGAGCGAGACCCGTTGCCTGCTGAGGCTGATGATGTCAACGCCTTATCCCTGCCGTTCGATCGGCAGGCATCCTATCTCGGTATTTCATCCATCAGAGCGGCCCTTGCAGCTATGCTTCAGGTACGGCCTCAGCTACGTGGCTTGCTAGCCTCTCGCCAGGCAAACATTAACAACAACATCACCAAACATGATGAGGTTCGGCCTTGTTACCATGCCTCCCAGCCCTTGTTAGAATATCCTCGAATAAAATGGAGCAGCAAGGGCCAAGCACTGGTTGATGCATACTTCCAGCGCATCCATATATTCACCCCGATGCTCGATGAAACCTCGTTTAGAACAAATTATCTCAGTAGTCAACGTCAGGATTCGCCTTGGCTTTCTCTCCTAAACATGGTCTTGGCCATGGGCAGCATCGTAGCTAGCAAGTCGAGTGATCGAGATCACTGCAAGTACTATACTGAGGCTATGAGACACCTCGACCTCGGGGCTTTTGGCAGCAGCCGCATAGAAACATTACAGGCCCTTGCTCTTGCCGGAGGTTACTATCTTCACTACATCAACCGACCCAATAGAGGCAATGCTATTCTTGGTGCGGCCTTTCGGATGGCGAGTGCACTTGGTTTCCATCGAGAGCCTTCAGAACAGGACGGAGAGGGCGATCAACTTGAAGCAGCAGAAGTGAGGCGACGCACTTGGTGGTCTTTGGTCTGTCTGGATACTTGGACAACAACGACCCTGGGTCGGCCCTCCTTCGGCCGTTTCTCTCCTTCGATTGATATTCAACTCCCTAAACTCGACCTTGACGGAGAAGAAGACTTTGGACAGGATATGGGAATGACGACGCTTGTTGAGAACATTCGGTTTTGCAGGATTGCGACTGAGATACAGGATAGCCTAGCTGTAACTCCTGTTCTCAACCCTGCAGATCGCGATCGTTTTGATGAGTCATTGATCAATTGGCATAGCCACCTGCCTTCCATTCTTTCTAATAACCAAGACTGCGACGAACCGGTTCATCTTGCTCGGTGCGTCATGAGATGGCGATACTGGAACTTGCGCATGCTTCTGTATCGTCCAGCACTCTTGGACGCTACAACTAACATTCAAACGAACCATGAAGTTGACCACGACGCCATCGAGAAGTGCCAACAGCTTTCAAAGACAACCATTGAAGATATAGCCAAGACGTGGCTGAGTCATCAGATGTCAGGGTGGAACGCAGTATGGTTTCTTTACCAAGCCACCATGATACCCCTGCTGAGCATGCTGTGGCAGCCTCAGAGCGCTGCTGTTGCTGAGTGGCGTGACCAGGTCCAGATGGCTCTTGGGCTCTTTGAGGAAATGCAGGATTGGTCATTGACCGCACGTTGCAGCAAGGGAGTTGTCAGCCAAATCTTTGAAACGAGTTGCGACTTGATGCGCCAAGGAGAGCAGTCTTGCCTTGAATCAGACATGAACCACCTTAAGGGCTTAGATAAAGACTCATACTTGTGGGCAGATGGATTGGAGGTGGATGATGTATTGAATATGCTGTGTCAAGATTGGTCATGGGATGCCAATTGTACCTGGACTGAAGATGAATTTGTTGATGTATGATATTAATAGTCACCAGCATAAATATAAGCAAGCCGTTATTAATTATATACAGATGCCAACTACCTAGTTATCTATGACTTTAACTATGCATATAGAACTACTGCAATATGTGCTTCCGAGCGCGGGTGGGGCTATCTTTAACCCTACAGTTTATCATATTTCCGCATAAGAGCACAGCGACAGTGGACCTGTTACAGCCATATCACACCCTCTTGACTGCATGAGGTTACAAGTAAAATGCTGTAGTTAGGCGCCAAGGCAGAATTGGGCTGCATGCTACAGGGGTACAGAACGCCTCAGTTTCAACCAGAACTACGCCAAGGCAACAAACGTGGTTCGCCCAAGAGCCAGGCTGCACAGTTGCAAGTAATATCAATATGTGCTCGATTCCCTCACCGTTCCATGGCCAAAATAGTTCCACCTGGAGGCTATTGCTGCAACGTCCCAACTAAACAATGACAAATGTTTCCGCTCCCCCCAAAACGGCGGCAACGGAGCCGACAATCGGTTCTGCGGCCGACCCGCAGCCGGCCCCGCCCATCTCCATCGCCGATAACATGTCTGAGTTTTCCGACTTCCACGAAATAGGCAGTATGCCCATGTGTATCGCCCTCGATAAATCGGGCAGCACGTACGGCGCAACCATCGCCGCGGAGCTGGACGTGGTGCACCAGTTCTGCACCTTCCGCCAGGCTCAGCAACATGCAGACTCCAACAGCGCCTCCGTCCAGGTTCTCCCATGGTGCCACACGGCCCTGGAGCCCGTCATCTTCCCCAATAGCTATGAGGCCCGGCGCAGGATCGGGTCCGGCGGCGGCACGGATCCATCGTCGCTGTACCAGTCGCCGACGTGTCTCGCGTCGCTGCGGTCGGCGGGCATATGGGTCCTGATGACGGATGGCCAGATCGAGAACAAGCTGGTGGAAAATTTCGCGAAGGAGACGCTCGAGATGTCGATTCACAACAAGCCGTGCGTAATCATTGTCTTTGGCGACTCCAGCTACGGCCGCCCGGCCGCCTGCGACATCTCGGTGGGCATTGCCGTCTACGCCAACGTTCCGCACTGCCTGCTGCTCTTTCATGACATCCCAACGGGCATCGTCCGGATCCTGCAGGCCAAGGGTAACTTCCAAGGGTTGCTGCCGCTGTCTGCTGTTGGAAGCAGCGAGAGGATCAAGCTGCGTGTCAACCAGTACACGGCCTGGCCAGAACTTCCTCGGGTCACGTACAAGGACTTGTTCTCTCTCGAGCTCTCCGTCATACGCGACCTCGAGCCCGACGAAATGGCCCTGCAAGACGGATTGATCGTCAACATTCCCGACATGCTCGCCGGTAACGTCGACGAAGCGACGATTGAGAAGATCATCCACAACAGCGACAACGTCAGGAGCCTGGCCCTCGCCGCTCAGACGAAAGGCACCGGGAAGAAAGTGGCCGACTGGCTCATCTCACACCAGCTCCCAGCCTCAGCACGGGCAAAGAAGCCCGTGGATGTTGACCACAGAGCCCACAAGGCAATCTCAGCACTTCTGGAGGCTCTCGGCTCTGCCAGCTCAAACGAATCCGTGGCAGGTCTGCGGCGACAAGTTCGACAGGCGCACGCCATGAACCTCAAGCTGCACAGGCGCAAACTCAAGGGTGACGCCGATGAATCCGAGGACGAAGCAAGGAAGACCAACCAGCGTCTTTACAATGCCGCCAGGGCCAGTGCTAGACGCTTGCCAAAACGCCGCAAACAGACGCCAAAGGATGCCGCGCCGGCAGTCCAAGATCGGTCTCCGTCTCCCGGGCTCGATAACTGGAACGTCGGCAACTGCGCCTATGCGTCCGACATGGAATCGCCCCGAGACAACAACTCTCCCGTGGACTCCCCGCAGATGGCACCCACGGTCCCTGTCCTTGAGCCAGCCTATGCTTCTCAGCCTCTCCCGAATCCATTCTTGTATCCCCCTCTGTTCTCGTCCTCGTCCGAGACTTATACCCCTTTCTCCGACGGAGACTACGCTCTCACAGCAGGCGGCGGGATGATGGGTCAAGAAAGCTCGGCATCAGACCCCTTCAGCTCTACTTTGCCAAGAGACCCTGTCTTCAACAGCATTGACGTAAGTTATGGTTTGGACAGCGAGAAAGCACCGGCTCTGGGGCCTTCGTGCCCCTCTAGTGATGAGGAGTTAATACTGAATAACTCGGTCTCGGTCACCCAAGGCAGTAACAGTTTCCGGAGGTCAAGGAGTAGGAAGCTGCCAGGCAAGAGACGCTCCTATACCAGGAGCCGATCGCCCTCTCTCCGACGCTCCACGCGTGACCCGATCCTCATCCCGGGCTTCGAGCGGTTCAAGTCCTTAGACAAGGCCGGCAACGAGCTACGCGGTCGATGCGCGCTCTGCCACTACGACGGCGCTGTGCTTACCATGCTCTTGCGGGCGCCGCCGACAGGCCGGCCAACGGTAGGCTTCCCACGCGAAGGTGACAATGCACAGATCACGTTCCCTTTTGCCATAGGTAGCTTTGCAGAGACCCGTGCCCTGTCTACGTTTGTCTGCTGCGACTCTTGTGCCTTCCACCTGGTACGCGTAGGCACATCGCCGCTGGGCGACACCGTCATCGCCGCGGTGCCGATGGTGTCTCTCCGTCAGAACCAGGCGTCAGTCCTTGAAGCGCTGGACCTTGCCATGCGCGGGCGGATTGACTCAGATGACTTGCTGGCTGTGTTTATGGCTATGTTAGATGCCGAGTTGAACGACGCGGATCGCCATATCAGCAGCGGCCAAGCCCACGCCGACATTGCTCTGTTCCAAAGGAGCGCAGAATGGCTTCAACACAATCTGAATACCCTCATCGAGGTCCCGGCTACGCTTAGCCTCGAATTCCAGCCCCATAGCTCCCGGCCTCAGGAGAAGAAGGTCCTCTACGAGCTGCTGGATTTGCCAGAGTTCCGGGACCCGGCTCATCCGAACAACTATGACTTGCTGTTGCTCCGATATCCCATTCCCGGGTTCCTGGTCCTCCTTCGCCAGATAAGCCTCCTCTATCCCATCTCGGAACACGGACAGACCTTGGCGTTCCACAAGCTCATGCTCCTCATCCTCGAGACGCTCAACGGCCCTCGCGCCTCGGCAAAGTCCCAGCTTGCAGTCGGCGACATTCTGCGGCACGTTGAAGCAGCAAAAATGCCCATATCTGCCCTTGAACTGGAACACAGGGGTCTTCTTGAGCCAGGCACACTGGAGGCTTTCAAACGATGGCTGCACTTCGAGAGCTTCGCCCAAAGATGCGGTCCGGCGCTGACCGTCTTCCTTCGCCACTGGCTTCGTGCCGGTTTCAGACAACAGTCTGCTGTGTCAGTTTTCAATTTGCTCAAGAGGGACGAGACTATTAGAGATATTTTCGTCGCGCCATTGACAATGAGTGCTAATGATCGGATGGATTCGTAGAGCTTGTAATCTACTGTCTTTGTAATTAAATCATTGGCGCAACGAAGCTTTATATCTAACTCCTAAACCTATATATTAACTTTTCAGCAAAAGGCATAGTTATAGGCAGCAAGAATGGCACTGAACTATATTGCCTACATGTGAATTTTTGTGTTATTTACCATAATGCTGGGACTTGAAGCTTTTTTAGACCTCCAGCCTTATAAACCTCTTGTAATGTATCATGATTGGCTACGGCCGCGAATTGGAAGATGTATTGATTTTTTCATTAAAAGTGTACTTGATTATGCCGGCCTTGTAGCCCTAGTATTTTGCGTCGACGTGGAATAGACTGAGTATGCATCAGAAACTGGCAGCCTCGAATGCGGCTCGTCAGCATCTCCCGACGCATCCGACCCGTTGTTGAACCACTGTGAACGTTTCACTCTCTTGAACGATTCCCTGTCCGGTGTCGACTGCAGCCAGCAATCTATCAGCTCTCGCTGGGTTGGCCTCTCCTTGAGCTCCCACAGATACTCGTCACCAATGCGGGAGGGATCCGAAGGCTCAGCTATCCAAGTCGCGGATCCCGATCTTGATCCCGATCCTGGTCCTGATCCTAGAAGTGTATGTCTCCGAATCGAAGTCTTCGCAGGCGCATCTTGATAGGCATCGCTGATGGCCCTCGGGGGCGGAGGCATCATGGTCATATTTATATTCTCAGCGGAACGCAAAGGTGATGGGTTCGAGGGGGCCATCGCAGAGTGCATCGATGTAGACATCCGGCTCCGTCCCTTGCCCCTAGGGTGTGGCAACGCTTGGTTGCGTTTAAGAACCGGCGTGCTCGTGCTCGTGTCCGTGCTACGAACAATCCAGGACGACGGGAACACGGTCGGTGCGTCCTGTTCTTGTCCAAGACCTGTGAATGGGCTCTGCTTTGGCAGCGCCTTTGCTGCTTGCCATAGCAGCGCTACTCCCTCTTCCCTCTCCATGACGTTGTGTTCATCGTCGTAGATAAGGCAATCCATGCTGAGAAAAGAGCTGGGATGTAGCTCGTCGCCGCAGCACCCAGGTCGTCCGCACGGTCCGTTTGGCAGAACCGCATCGTCCATATCGTGGAAGTGCGAGCTGTCTGAGCAGGAGAAGACGAGCGAGTCGCAGAGCGAATGGGGAGAGCTGGGAGGTGAATCATAGCGCTTGGCGAAGGAAAAAGAACCATCAGCGCGGCTGAGGAGTGTCCCTGCTGGCGGTAAGCGACGGGTTGGGGTTGTGAATAACGACGGAGGTGGAGGTGGACGCGTGAAGAGTGCCGCATGCGGTTTTGGTTTCGCTGGCGGGGCTGGCGATGGCGATTTACGTCGCTTTGGTGTTGTGGTTGGGGATGATAGGGCTTGCGGTGGATTTGATTTATTTACAATCCATGACGATGGAAATGATGCCATTTGTACGTGAGCGAGATGATGGAACACGATACACTGCGAGCGAAGATTTTGGTGTTGTCAATAGGTGATGAAGTCAGTGGCAGCCCTGCTGGACGCTGTGAGGCCGCCCCGGCGCCAGACCAATTCATGTGGTTGGATCCAGCGAACTCTGGCTGACAAGCTGACGAAAGCGCCTACAAATTATGTCTACGAGTACGCCTCACCTGCCTGTTGAAGAAGGCAACCACGCTAATAAATTAGAGGCGGCTGTGGTGGTGGCGGTGTAGACAGCCTCACCACTGCAACCTGACGGGGAGATGATTAAAGAATAATGTCCCGTCTAGTCTGTTCCGTAAATCAGCCGCGTCAATCCCACGAGTTCTTCCCATTTACAGGATAGGCTGTTTTCTGAGAATTAACTACTTCTCTTGTGCTTGTCTTTCAATTCGTACTAAGAGCTATGAGTCGAGCAACTATGGACAGCATGCGGGGGTCGCCACAGGGTAGCCCATTTGAAGTGGGTGATGATATTCGACGTCCAACTCTGTGAGTGTTTCCTGTCCTCCATGGCGGCCCTTCTTCTGTGCCACTTGTTCAAAGGCTTAGAGGTGGAGTACCGCAAGATAGAACACCGCGATGATACTTACCCTATACTCCAATATACGCATGCTGATAAGTATCTTAGTGAAGATATCCAGAGCGATCCGTCCAACATCGCCGTCTTTGCATCCACGCTGCTAGCTTCCGATACATCGGTGCGAGTCCTTGGTTTTGGACCTGGTGAATGTAGGCTTTCTACACAACAATTCAGTATCATGTATTAAACCTTGTCTCATAATCATAAATTACAGCTCTTTTGGAAAGGACGTTGGACGAAGATCAACTCACAACGTGCTTCAAGGTCATTCTCTCCTACTCCCATCAATACCCAAGGTTCATCGAAGCTTCGACGGACTGACAGCAATTATCAAAAACAGGATTCTCAAGGGATTGAAATGGTTACATTGTTAGTGCTTTATGGAACAGCTTGACTTCAAATTTTGGTCCTCTTTCAAAGCTAACATCCATACGTTGCAAAAGCTTCATAAACCGCTATCTCGTGCGTGCAGATGAGGAAAGCCCACCAGATGCCAATAGGTTGAGGCTGTCTAATAGTGCATTTAAACTCCTCCGGCGTCATTGCCATTTGTCAGTATCCTTCACCAATGCCCTGGCTAATATCGAGTATCCTTCTCCCATGTGCTTCCCCAGCCAAGCCACCCACAACAATTTGAGCTTTTGGTTTTTCTTGCCTACCCGAGTTCAGGTGAAGTGCCGTGACCCAAAGGCACACGTCAAGGGAAAGAGCCAAATGAACCCCATCAACTACCTTCACTTGGACGGTCCGAACGTCGATGTCAGGGGGTCAAAGATTGCGTTGCACTTTTGGGCCGATGGGGGCGACCGAGGAAGCCCCAAGGCGGTCGTCTTCAACTTCCAAGATGGCCGGTGGAAGAAAGTCGTGGAGGAGCCGATATTTCGCCTCCGAGATTCTTTTCAGGATTGCCAATCTCGACGCCTCGGACGCGATCCAATCCACCTTCAGATGTCCGTCTTCAACAGCGCTCTGAGATGGTGGAACAACTCTCTGAGCAGCGTCGACGATCAGTTGATCACATACGTAAGCTCAAGCCTACTTACTTATAGGAGCTCTACCGTAGGTAGATTCTAATCGATTGCAGGAAGAAGCGTTGCTTCGACAAGACTTGGCGGCCGGTGGCGACCTGCTCCAGCTGAATGCCAAAACTAACAGATCTCTGCATTGTATTGCAGCCCATCTTCAGCGATATGATTCTGAGCTGCAACTATTTTCCAACATCTTAGAGCAGGCAAGGTCATATAATCTGACCTGCCACCGTTATTTTGTTCGTCTCCTCGCTAGAAGATCCGAGCAAGACCTCGACTGGGTCCTCACAGCTCTTGGCCGAGCTGAGTCGATGCTAACGGCATTGCGCACCTTTCGAGAGGAACTACAACAAAAGGCTTCCAACGTCATGGGCTTGGTAAGTAATCAACCCCCCCAACTCCATTAGACAAGCCTCAATTTGACTCAAGATACTAGCTCGTGGACAACAACAAGGCGATCAGCGACCAACTTGTCGTCCAGACCGGAATAATGATGCACAAGATCCTGGAGACTAGTCGTGACCAGGCGAAAGAGTCGCTGAATATCGCAGCGCAGACGAAGCACCTGACCGAGCAGACGGCAAAGGTGCTCCACGAAACACAGAAGGAAACGGAAGCTTCCCGACAACTGGCAATTCAGTCACAAAGACTTAGCGAGGAGATGATGAAAGACAGTGTCGCCATGAAAACAGTACGTCTCGTATCCTGCGGCCTTGACCGTGTGTTGCAGTCAATCAATCTAGGCCATGCGCATGAGCTCGATTACTGACTCGCCCTTTGTTTACAGGTGGCTCTTGTAACTGTTCTATTTCTTCCGGGAACATCATTTGCTGTAAGTAAATGCCTCCACAGCAGGGCGAGCATAGCGGCTCATGCTAAGTTTGTCTTCGGGGCACTTTCGACGAGCTGACAGATGGGAATGTGTAGGCCATCTTAGCCATGCCTTTTTTTACAGGGGAATCATCGCCATTTAATAGGCCCGATCTCATCTGGGTCTGGGTCGCCCTGACTGTACCTGCCACTATTATCTGCTTTGGCTTCTACTTGGCTTGGAAACAACGAGAGACGCGGAGACGAGAGAAGCGTGTTTCCTCGGAAGATGCAGAATTATCCATGATCGCGCAGACAAATCAGAGCTAAAGGTGTGTCCCATCTTTGGAAAGCGATCGGTCTTGTCTTGACCAAGGACTTGGATGAATCGATCTGCCAATGGTCCAGCTTTCTTAGCAATAGTTTGTTAACTTGCACTTAATGCTTAACTTAATATAATTTCTTTAAAAAAACCCTGCTTTTATTTAATAATATCTTTATTAAATAAGATATAAAAAGAAATATAAAATATTTAATATAATTATTAAATATATAAATATATAAATATAATAAAATTTAATATACTTAAGTTAATCCCTTTCTAAATAGAAATAAGAAGTAAAAACTAGTATTATATTTAACCATAGTAGCCTGTATGTGCATCGGTATTAGGGTTGTTAAGTCCGATAATCTTTAGTTTCGGGTTCTTGCTTCAACCCGTAGAAACTTTATAACAAGTATAATAACTCTTATTGGCTCTGCATTCCTCAGATAGGTCCACAGTAAAGAAGGGCAATTAGGTTAATAATTCAATAAGAATACCTATATATGGGATGTAAAATGTTCCCTGAGGTAGCATGGCAGCAAGCCTTCTTTCTTTGTTTATCCTTAACTATAGTACCAATCTTGTCTTGAAATAAGGTATAGGAACCCCTCCAATATGTCTAATAATATTGTACCTCTTCGCAGACTTGGCCGGCATGGGCCGATGGTCCCAGCATTAGGTCTCGGTCTCATGGGTATGTCTACGTTTTACGGAACCCCGCCCAGTGACGAAGAGCGATTCGCAGTGCTCGACCGGGCGTTGGAACTGGGTGCCACAAACTGGGACAGTTCCGAGTAAGTATCCCTCTATTCCTTACGGATGCCATCACTAAGACTGAGTTTCTATCAGTATGTACGGCGACAATGAAGAACTTCTGGGTAAATGGTTTAAGCGGACTGGGAAGAGAGACCGGATCTTTCTTGCGACCAAGTTCGGGTTTGCCAAAGGCATGGCCGACCTGAGCGTTATTGACAGCTCGGGAGAGTACTGCAAAAAGGCCTGTGCAGAAAGCTTGAAGAGACTTGGCACGGACTGCATTGATATCTACTACATGCATCGTGCAAACCCCAAGACCCCCATTGAAGAGACCATGCGTGCTATGGCTGAGCTGAAAGCGTAAGTAGTGACGCTGTTGATCTTAGGATATGAGACTGATTAAAGAATATCTTTTAGACAGGGAAAGATCAAGTACATTGGCTTGTCTGAAGTAAGCTCCACGACACTACGTCGCGCATGCAAGATCGCCCACGTAGATGCCGTCCAGATTGAATATTCGCCATTTGTATTGGATATCGAGGGTCCGGCGGGAACCAGCCTTCTCGTAACCTGCCGTGAGCTCGGCGTCGCTGTCGTTGCCTACTCGCCACTGGGCCGAGGTCTACTGACTGGAGCCTACACTACAAAGGAGTCTCTCACCAGTGAAGGTGACTGGCGTACTATGATGCCACAATTTGCCGGTGATAACTTGGACGCCAACGTAAAGCAAGTCAGAGAATTCCAGGCACTGGCTAATAAGACGGGGTGCACGCCGGCCCAGCTGGCGATCGCTTGGCTCCTGAAGCAAGGCGACGACATTATTCCTATCCCTGGTACTAAAAGAATTAAGTATCTTGAGGAGAACTGGGATGCTCTCGGGGTCCAACTGACAGACAGCGATGAGGCAGAGATTAGAGAGTTCGTCAGCAGAGCTAAGCTTGCAGGTGGCCGAGCTGGGGCACAGCAAGGATTTGCCGATACAATTGCAGAACCATAATAAGCTAAATTTTATAAAAGTATTAATAAATATAATTTCTTTTTTTTTTCTCTTACCTTTAGCCTTATATAAGGCCGTTAAGCCTTTTAGCCTTTCTATTAATAGTTTAAATAATAAGACCCCTATAGCAGGCCATTATTATAGAAGTTAGAATTAAATAAGGTTTATCTGCCTTAATAATGTAATTACTGCCTTAACTAAGTAATATAAATCCTAGCTATAGGTTTACCTCTTAGTAGTTAAATTAACCTTCTTTTTATATATATCTAAAGGACTATATCTTAGTTAACTTTTATAATATATTATACTTAATTTATTTATTATAAACTATATTATCTAACCTAACTTTCCCTTTTAACCCTTTTTACTAATAGTATAATAACTATATTATTTTAAAACCTATTATATAAATAGCCTATAGCTATATAATTATACCTATTATATAATTAATTATAATCTTAATCTAGCTATTAGGCCTGCCTTAAAGGTAATAATAAAAAAAAAAGATATTTTATTAATTTACTTAATTTAAATTAAGTTAATAATAAACTATTAAGTTTTAAAGACTTAAAAATAGCCTTAAAGGAAGATTATTTTCTTTAGTTAAATAAGATAGCTTTCCTTACTGTGTTACGATTTGTGCCCGTAACAGCGCTGTAAGGCTCTATAAGGCAGCTATAGCACACCTATAATTGCTTGCATAGCGACTATGGCCCGATCTTTTGCCCTGTGGCTTAACGGCTTGTGTAACCATTACATACTGCCTTTATAAGCTTAGCTATATATAAAAAGTAGGTTTTTAATATATTTATAAGGGCAGCTAATATTACTAAAAAGCTACTTTTAAATTAATAAAAAGTTTTAAATTAAATATAAAATAAAGGCAGGGTTTTATAAAGGAATTATATTAAGTTTATTTATATAAATTAATTAATATAAAAGCAGTAATTTAAACTTAGAAAAATATAATTTATATACTTAAAGTAATTATTAAGTAATTATAAGAATTACTTAATAATTTTATAAATTATATATAATTCTTTTATTTTTATTATAATTATATTTTAATAATTATATATAATTAATAAAAGACTTAAAATATATATATTATAATTACTAAGGTTATAATATAATTTTTCTCTTTCTTTAGTTTTACCTTTAAGATCTTACTTATATATTATTATTAGTTTTATTTTATATAAGTATTAACTTAACCTTATAATTATTTCTAATAAGGTAATTATATTTTTTATAGTTATTTAATATTATTTTACTTAAACTAATCTTATTATATATAAAGGTTATAAAATTATATTATCTTTAATTTAAATTATTAATTTTATATTAATTTTACTTTATTTATTTATATATATAAGGTTACTTTAGTAAGTTAATTTAGCAAATAGAAGCCTAAGTCCAGGTTGCCTGATTTAACGATATCGAAACTCCAGTTTAAGCCAATTCCATACATGTTCCAGCCTTAGGATATCAATGAAAATAATGACTTTCTTACAGGACTTAAGATTCTTCTTAATATTAGAAATCCGTCCATGAGGAAAGGGCTAACATACTATGTTTATGCTGGTGGCAAAAGCATGCCAGACAACCAAGCGTTTGGTACCTCTGACGGAGACTTATGCCTAGGTTTGTGTTCACCATTTGCTTGCTTCGTTAGCTAATTCTCGACTTTTTCAGTACCCCAGAAAGGTTCCATCGACATCAAGACGGAGATAGGCCCGATCAGACTCCGCCCTGGTGAGATTGCGGTTATCCCTTATGCAGTTCGCTTTTATATAGCAGTAGTTAAGGGACCGATCTGCAGATATATAGTCGAGACCTTTATAAACCATTTTAAATTGCCAGAACTAGAGATTATTAATAGCAGTGGTCTGGTAAATGCTTAGGATTTCCAGATTCCCTAGCTCTAGCTATCTTAGCTAGGACCTGATACTGAAGTTATCTAGAAGTATTGCAGTAAACTCTTCTCTACTATAATAAAGGAAAATATCTTTAACATAGTTGGGTTGCATGGCACCTTCTTTCTTTTCAAGTATGACCTAGGTGAGTAAACACTAACAGGGTTTTTAAGCCGTTATTACTGATACTTATGACTAGGCAAATACTGTACAATAGGTGCTATTTCATACGACCATGCAGTGAGTAACTTGTGCACGCAGCACATGTTCAGTTTGACCAGCCGATGCTAACGCGCGCATATAGGACCCTTGCATCTAGACCATCCCGACTGTTAAAAGTGACGTTAAAGGCACGCCGGCCGTCAACATCCTCGCCATTCCCCCAAGATAGGTAGTCCACGAGGACACATTTAGGCCGCCTATATTTTACCGTAATATTGCTTCCAAGTTTATTACCAGTATTAAAGGATCTCTCGATAGTATGAATAATGGAAGCGGGATCTGCACCCTCTACAACGGCATGACTCCCCATGGACCTCTTCAATCAGAGTGGGAAACAGGAATATCAGAGAAACAAGTGCCTCTTCGCATCAGCAACGATAATATGCTCGTCATGTTTGAAAGTAGGTAAGCTACGCTAGGCTTGCGGCGTGTTTGAAGGTACTAACAGATGCTTAGCTATGCACCGGGTGTTGCGGACTGGGCGACAGGGGGTAAGAGAGTTCCGATCGGTGATAGATATAATGAGTTCGAGCCAACTCAACTTTGAGATTAAGATATGCAAGATCAAGATTACGATGTTATTTACTTTCGCTATAAATATATATACGCATTTCATGGTGTTAACCCTCCTCCAGATACATTTAAGCTGGGTAGGCTTGAACTCCATGGGCGCTAAGCTGTACTCTGTAGATCTTGTCTCGGCCAGCGATATACAGCCAATCATCCTTCCATTGCATGTTAACCGCAACGTCGCCCTCCGCAACTTTGATAATACCCAGGTGCTTCCCAGTAGAGTCGAAAACAGTCACTCCCCCAGTGATTCCCCCGTACACTCTACCCTCACGATCTAGTTTAATGCCGTCCGGAAACCCAGCGTCAACATATGCAAAGACATCGCCTCCCTTGAGCGGCATTCCGTTTGAGTGAGACAACTGGAACTCGTAGATTGTTCGTCCGCCTGCAGGGTTATCCGACGAGTTACCGCGGTTGGTGACATACAGCTTGTCCTCTTCAAAGTTGAGTGCTACTCCGTTAGGATTCGTGAAGGGTCCCCCGCCAGCACCAGAAACCATCCTCAGATCATTTGAGTTCATGTCCCATCGCCACAGGCCGTTAGCTAACTCTGGCTTGAGAGTGTCGTTGAAGTTGTCATAGCCGTAGTACCCGTCAGTGAAGTATGCTACGCCGTCTCGAGTGATGACCACGTCATTTGGACTGTTGAACCGGTGCCCATAAAAGTTGTTGAGAACGACCTCTGTCTTCAAGGTCAATGGATCCATACGGGTAATACCGCCAGGTACAGTATAGTTGCCCTCTTGTGCATAGTAAATACCGCCTTTATGATAATAAGCCCCGTTGGGTACGGTCAGTTGAGGCGAGGGGTACACTTTTTCAGTCGTTGGTGGAGTGTTGTTTAGGTTCACGCGCCATACCCATGGCATGGCATCGGCAGAAAAGCCAGTCTTGGGAGGATGTAGCTCTGCCATGAAGATGCAATTGCATTCTGGGGAGTAAACGGTGCCATCGTGCATCATGCGCTTTGCAAAAGACGGGCCAGGCGGGAATTCGAAGATGGTTTCGACGTTTTTCTTAACTGTATGGTCTTTGACGCCAAGCAACTATACACAACGTCGAAGGTAAGCTAATCTGACGTCTATAGACAAGTTTCACTCTCTTACCTTGTACATGTCTTTGTTGAGAACAATGAACGATGCATCTTTGAGGGCCTTTTTCAGGCTCGTAGCATTTTGGCTTGCGTCCCCGTCGAGTACGTCGGTCTGCCACCATGTTGTTGTCACATTTCCATTGAAGTCTTTAGCTGGGAAGACGTTCCTGTATGCGCCCCTAACTTCGACGATAGACGGCCCTCTCAAAGGCAATGACTCATCACTGTTGAATCCAGTCGTGGCGGCAGCTGGCCGAGCCGCAACCTCACCGCTCAGCAGGGCGATGGTGCAAAGGCCGGTACGGAGAGAAGATAAAAGCATCCTGAAAGATTCTTGAGGCAGGAGAAAAGAAAAGGCTTTGCTGGATGTTGCTCCTTCTGGGGAGATTATCTAACAGGCCCAAGCTGTCAATAATGTTTATATACCTTCCAGCAACCTTCATTTCACCCCGCAGATGCTATAAACTTGACTTCCCTATGGGGAAGCTCATCAAACTACCTCCACAAAGCCAAGAAACAAGCTTGGTGGAAATGCCGACATGGCCAACACCAGGTCGTCAAGTCGGTGTACATGGAATTCTCCGAAATTATAAGGGTCTCGGTATTGCACCCGAGGGCGCTGTTGAGCAGGTGAAGTGCCGCCTGCCAGCTGAGGTAGGTAATATCAGGGTCGGGATGAATCCGAACATACCGAGCAATCAACAACTCTTGCTCGGCATCTGCCCCGCCATCATCTCGCCCCAAACTCGCTAGATATGCGGGATTATTCCAGGTACATCAATTAATCCTTGATCATTTTATATTACCCCAGCTTCCTGCACCCTCTTTTCCTCGTTATCGGTTCAAATCCAACTCATGGCATTCTTTTACCGCCAAAATGACTGTACCCGAATTTAACATCCTTACGCCCAATGCCATGCTCGGCTACGGCTACAATGTCGAGCATTTCTGGTACGGCATTCAAAAGTTCCAGCCGGCAGCCATCATCGTCGATAGTGGCTCGACAGATGGCGGGCCATACAAGCTTGGCATGAACAAAATGACCTGCGGACGAGGCTCCTACATCCGAGACCTCGAGCCCATCCTCACAGCTTGCTTTCATCATAAGGTCAAGGTCTTGATCGGCTCAGTGGGTGGAGATGGCAGCAATAAGCATGTTGAGGAAATGTTTGAAATTGTTTCTTCGATATCGCAACGTCTGGGATTCACTTTCAAGGTTGCTACTATCAACGCTGGCATGGAACGGGAGTTGATCAAGACCAGAATCCAGGACCGCAAGGTTGGTCCTTGCGGGCCAGTGGAAGATTTGCTCCCGGAGGTTGTTGATGGCGCTGTAGACGTCGTTGCGCAAATGGGCGCTGAGCCGTAAGTTAGCCTTCTCCCCCTACGCGACCACATGAGCTAAAGACCATCAGATTTATCGAAGCCCTCAAAGGCGACCCCGACATCATTCTAGGTGGCAGATGCTATGACCCAGCACCTTTTGCAGCATTCTGCCTCTCAAGAGGTATCTCCAGTGGCGTCGCTTGGCATATGGGCAAGATCATGGAATGTGGTGGCATCTGTGCGATCCCCAAGGGCCGATCTATGATTGCCACCATGCGCTACGAGTCTTTTGATCTGACACCACTGGCACCTGAGGAAAGATGTACACCGTTATCTGTCGCAGCTCACACCTTGTACGAGAAGACTCGCCCAGATCGTCTCCCGGGCCCAGGTGGTATCCTCAATCTCAAGAATGCCAAGTACGAGCAGATTACCGAGAAGACGACGCGTGTTTCTGGTGCTGAGTTTCAGGAGACACCATATCAAGTGAAGCTCGAGGGCGTCACATTCTTGGGATATCGCACTATTTTCATCGGCGGCATAAGAGATCCAATCCTCATCAGCCAGATAGACGATTTTCTCGAGCGCGTGCGCAAGTACACTCAGAATCTCTTCCCTGAACTCGACAAGTCGGACAGCTGCCGCCTGATTTATCACGTCTACGGTAAGAACGGTGTGATGGGCCCACTGGAGACACAGGCTGTATCGAATCCTCACGAAATTGCTGTTCTGGGCGAAGTCGTCGCGCCTACGCAGGACATGGCGTACACCATCGCCAACAATGCCCGAGCATCTATTCTGCATTTCTCGTATCCCGGTCAGATCGCCACCACGGGGAACTTTGCCAGCCCACTTTCGCCGCATGAGCAGGAAGCCGGTGCGGTGTTCAAGTTTAGCTTGTACCACCTTGTTGATCTCGAAGAGGGCGAGTCTTCGTCGCTTTTCCCTATTAGTTTCAGGAGCATTGAAGCGACCGCGAGTCCATCACCTTCAGGCTCTGTATCTACTGAGCGTCTGGCGGCTATTGAGAATGGAACTCTCGCGCCCATTGGTATGTACACATCATGGATCACATGTTGAATCAAGGCTAACACCCATCTTACAGAGAAGAAGCAAGTTCCAGCCAGAAGGGCACGAATGGAAGAGCTCGCCCGCATCATTCGGTCCAAGAACTCAGGCCCCTTCGAGCTCACCTTTGACATCATGTTTGACGACGAAGCCGTGTACAACCGAGTCCGGGGAGCGAATGTCCTCACGAACGATGTGATCAAGTCACTGTATTGTGTCCAAGATGACGAGATCTTGACGAATATGTTTTTTGAGCCTGCGCTGGCGTGGAAATGTACTATCAAGAGACCGTGGGCCCAAGGTAGTGTTGGTGAGAGAGATACATTGGGGACACAGCAACATGCCCTGCTTTTGGGGATCGAGGTTCCTGAAGCGAGCAGCAACAATACCAAGTCGTCCAAGGGCGAGACAGTCTATGTCAACGGCATCAACGGAGTCAACGGGATCAATGGTACCAATGGCACTACCCATGTCAATGGTAATGGGCTTACAATCCAGCAACACCTGTCGAATGGAGACGCCGCGCCAACTAGCAAACTTGGCTTCGATCGCACAAGCTTCCTTTCTTACGATGTCGTACGCGACATATGGAACGGCCTTTCTCTCCCACAAAGTGCTCTAAAGTCCTTGGAACTCCCAGGCGACGACGGAACACCAGGGCTCCCCTCATCTTTCAAGATCGCGTCTCTCGCCCAGGGCACCATCGCCTTGTCCGGTCTACTAGCGGCTCTCATCCACTCCCAGCGAAACCAAATCCCTGTGCCGAAGGTTACTGTTCCTCGAAAGCACGCTACTGTGGAGTTCAAGTCTGAGAGGCTCTATGTCCTGGATGGTAAACCGGCACCATCTCCTTGGGGTCCCATCGGAGGTCTGCACAAGACTTCAGATGGGCATGTTCGTATACACGACTCGTTCCCTAATCACGGATATGGAACGCTGGAGCTGCTGGGTCTGCCTCTGACGGCTGACCGGATCGATGTGACCAAGAAGACGCAGGAATGGGCCAGCATTGATCTGGAGTCTGTCGGTTTGGACCATCGCCTGGCTATTTATGCACTTCGATCTTACCGCCAGTGGGACATGCTGCCTCAGTCCAAGGCTATTGACGACTTCCCCATTTCTCTAATGAGAATCACGTCAGGACCAACAGGGCTTCCTCCTCGTCTCTCACCAGGCAACGACAAATGCCTTCGAGGCCTACGAGTAGTCGAGATGAGCCGGGTCATCGCTGCGCCTCTGGCTGGTAAGACTCTAGCAGCTCATGGCGCCGATGTCATCTGGGTCACCAGCCCAGGGCTCCCAGATCTGCCAACCATGGACCGCGACTTTGGCCGGGGAAAGCGCACGGTGCACATCGACATCAACAACACCGAGGACCGCCAGAAGCTGAAAGAGCTGATCAAATCATGCGACGTTTTCATCCAGGGATTCCGCCCTGGCAGTCTGGCCGCCAAGGGATTTGGACCCGATGAGGTTGCATCTCTGAACCCGGGGATTATCTACGGCTGCATGTCTGCATTCGGTCCCAAAGGGCCTTGGGCTGAGAGGCGGGGCTACGATTCGCTTGTCCAGACATGCTCGGGCATGAATGTCTCAGAGGCCGAGCACCACGGCGCTGGTGAAGTTGCTCGTCCGACGCCCTGCCAAGCGCTGGACCATGCAGGTGGCTACTTGCTAGCTTCTGGTGTTATGGCGGCTTTGTATCGGCGATCTGTTGAAGGAGGTTCGTACCGCGTTGATGTGTCGCTTGCTGGGGCGATGAAGTATCTTCGCAGCATGGGACAATATCCTGGCAAGTCTGGTTTTGAGGCTGAGGACTTTGAGAGCGCGTCTGATGTGGAGGAGTTTTTGGAAACGCGCCAGACTGGATTTGGAGAGATGAGAGCGATTAGACATAGTGTCAGTGTAGAAGGCGCTCAAACCTCATGGGATGTTATGCCAAAGCCACTTGGTAGCGATCAAGCTGAGTGGTTGTGAATTAGGCAATATTGTGCTACTTAGAAATTGTTACTTGAGTGTATATTGACTAGATAATTGATTGTGGTATCATTTTTTGACGTGTTCCTTAGATGGCTCTCGCGGAAATATTGATAGCCTTGACTAAACTCTTCTATTCCTGGTCGAATTTGATGGTCCTACCCTATAGACCTCTCTACAGTCCGCCTCGCTCGGTATCATGCCGGACCCCGCCCTCACGCTACTCGGTTAGCGCTGACTGACCAGGATTTGAATGATTACATACGAGACTGCGCTCGGTATTTACCGACTGTCTCGGTCTCAGACGCGGGGAGAACATCAGTTACTGTGGCAGATCTTTTCGACGCTACCTATTCATTGCTGTCTGACGGAATGATAATGCCATAATGGACAGAACTGCAGAAGATGAAGATATGCTATCTCGAGTGAGCCCGAGTCCTTCGGAAACAGCTTCATCGCAGCGACGTCGTCCCAATCGGCGCGATCCTCGGCGTTATGGTTTGTGAGTGCCCGTCTTTAGAATCGGCAAGATGCCGCTGCTGGAACATGCCCCTGCTAACGATACCAGCGCGTGCCAAGTCCGTCTCCTCTGCCTCCTTATCGCGCACGGGCTAATCATAGTGTACATGTTTCAGAGCTGCAAGTCTAGAAAGATCAAGTGTACTGGAGAACAACCCACCTGTCGCGCGTGTCAGAGGTCCGGCAACACCTGTATCTGGCCTGCAAACAGCCAGACGAGAAATGACCAGGCTGCTGATGCGCGTATTCAAGAGCTTGAATCAGCTCTTCGAGAGAGCCAAAGACAGAACCAACGGCTGAGTAGCCAGCAACGCGAATCGACTATCCACGCGGCGAGCTCCATCGATGAGACTATATCGCCTGCTGCTTCATTGCCCTCCCTTGCACAACAACACTTGGCGCAGCCTTCACCCAGCGATGCCCGCTCGAATACTATCGATGCCACGATTTGGTCACAGGTCGGTATAGGAGAAGACGGTGCGATAACTTACAACGGTCCCACGAGTCGTTTCCATGCTGCACCTTTGACTGGAAGTGGTCCATCGCCATCTACGACTCAAGGTCCTCCTGGGTCGGCTCAGGACGTGGCATCGAACTCGGCTCATGTAGAGCGCTTGAGGTCTCAGTATGACTTGCTTGATACAGTATGGGTCCCCTTGGCCAAATCCAAGTCTATGGCTGCGTTTGGGATATCGGATGAGACGGGTTGGCAGTTGCTTGACATGTACTGGACTTGGCTTCATCCATTACACAATTGCATTTATCGACCAGGTAAGTAGCCCGCCTCCTATTGAAGGCTGTTCTTTAGTAATGGGGATACATGGCAGTCTTCCTGATGGACATGGCACTCAACGGCACATACTATTCCGACTTTTTGCTCATGGCAATCTTTGCTCTGGCTGCCCGGCATCTCAGTCGCCAAGAGGGCGATTCTATGGACTCCAATATGGGCGAAAAGTTCTTCTCTCGAGCTAAGATGCTACTCATGGACGAGCTGGATAATACTAAGCCGCGCATACCCACGATCCAAGGACTTCTTATCCTCGGAGGGCGGCAATGTGCCATTGGTAGAAGCTCCCAAGGATGGCTTTTTACAGGTATGGTAAGTCTATCTGGCTTTGCAACTGTTTGCTGCAACGGCTAATCGAGTGTTGGTTATGCTACAGGCAATCAGAATGATGGTCGATATCGGGGTCCATCTCAATGCGAATCGAATCGCCGAACTGGAGAATTTGACTCCTTCTGAGATCGAGACTAGGAAGCGACTGTATAACTCGGCTTTTATATGGGATAAGACGCTCAGCCTTGCACTTGGACGGCCGCCCTCATTGTCAGGGTCGCCTTATGGACCAGATGAAATTTGTGAGTTATGATGAGAAAGTCCATGCGCCATCGTCCAGCATTGACATTAACCTTTGAGCACAGTCGACCACTACGACAATCAACGCAGTTGGCAGCCCAATGATGTTGACATTACTAACGCTGCCTATAACCCGACACCAATGTACAACACGGCAACATTCTGCGCATTCTGTCAACTACATGTGGTATGTAGACTACCAATCTGCTGCTAACTAGACAAGATGTTAATACGTGTAAATTGCTAGATAACGACCGATATGATGATGCTACTCTTCGATCGCGGACATACAGAGAATATCTATCCTGAAATCGAGAGCATGTCAAATAGACTTACAGCATGGTATAGCGAGCTACCCTCTTCTCTCAAGATCGAAGAAGGTATGTCACAATGCTCACCGCCCCATATCGCCTCTCTAAAGTAAGTCCCAGAACTCTTTCAGTTAACCAAGCAACTCACTGGTTATAGCTTTCTATATCACGCACTCCACATCCTCCTTCTCCGACCGCTCCTCCACTCTCCCAACGCCTCGCTCCGCAAATTGTCCCTCGACACATGCGTCAACCACTCCAAAAAGATACACGCGATCCACGACCTTTATACTAAAAGCTTTCCTCATCGCTTGATGACGTATCAAGTAAGCTACTGCGTATATACAGCGGCTACGGTGGATGTACTCGATATGCGGCGCTCTGAAGCCGGGGCTCGGATTGAAGCTGCGAGACGACTTGGAATGGCGGTTCGGACGCTGCAGGAAGAAGCTAAGCATACCCCTGGAAGTGGTCGAAGTCTGGATACGATCAGAAGGCAGCTTACAGTCTGGGAAGTAAGCGGCACTTCTAATGCGTCCGCGAATGGAACGTTGGGAACATTTGGTGGCAATGCAGCTTTTGAGGCACAGCAGTCCGGACTAGAAAGGAGAGAACAGTCGTCCACAAACGTGGCCACGCCGCAGCCGCTGCACGCGTCCCAGATTCCACTCGCTTCAGACTTTGGGGTTGTTGGACCGCCGGGTGTAAATGAAGGGGTGTCTGGTTTCATGTCGAGGTACCAGAGCCCGTTCAGCTTTGGAATGGTTGATACTGGAGCCGGATTCCATCCTGATTCGTTCCCATGGGATATGACCGAGATATTCGGCAATTCACAGGGACATGGGGCTATGGAGCATAATGAATAGCTTTTATGAGAAGTAAATAATATTGAACCAAATGCCTATATAATGTTCCTTGGTGAGACAGATCAATGATAGATGAACTAGATAAGCGAATTTACCTCGGCTAAGGTCACACTGTTGGCTAACGATTGAGGTTCAGTGGGAAACCAAGCCTTCACCACAACGCTCAACTCTAAATAACACCATCAGGTTACAACATGGACATTATATGCCTCAAAGGTTCATGTCAAGATGGAATAATATATCTTGCCAAGGCATCAGCTAAATCCTTGTTTTCTATGGATCGTTTTGCGTAAGAGAGTTATAGACCTATATCCTAACCCTGTAGACCTTGGCTGATGCCTAACTGAACTTCAAATATAAGTCAAATTAACCTGTACTCCCCACTTAATATAATAATATTTACTACACCCCAGTAACCATGTCACAAATTGCCCTGCCTCATATTCCCTCTATTGTTCCTATCTCCGAGCGCGATTTCCCAATATTAACGGAATTCATCTACTCCTCCAAACTCAGTCTCGCGATTAATAGCTTCCTTTATGAAGACTGGCCTAACGAAGCTACCCAGAAGCCAATTTACAGACAAGCTGTAGAGTCGTCGTTCAGCAACCTGGCATCCCTCTGCCTCAAAGCTGTTCATCAAGAGTCCGGTGATATCATTGGATATCTCGTCCTCACGCGCAAACGCCCTGGAGAAGGCAGCTCTCCGGAGGAAGAAAGCACCGCTGGCCAAGACGTCCTAGAAATGATGAACGCAGAAGTCTTTTCTACAGTTGCACAAGCAGCGAATAAGATTAGTGAGGAGACAGATCAGCTTGACCGCCTTGGTTAGTAACTCATTTTGACTAGATTTCCTGCTAATAGGACGTTAGAATTGGCATTTATTTACATCAAACCTTCGCATCGCAAGCAAGGCATTGGCCTACTGCTAATGCGGGACGCTTTGTCGAGGGCGAAGCAGAAGGCGGAGTCCTGTATATTTGCTCTGAGCCGACTGTCTATGAATTCTACAACAAGACAGGATTCCAAGATGTAGTACATGTCGATATCGACCTCAACAAGTGGGCGCCATCTTGCAGTGGCTTTAGCGTGTACAGATGGAGTGGAATGATATGGACTCCGGAAAGAGACCTTTGAAACAAGGTGGAATCTATCAAAACATTGGTGGCAGGTTCATTTATTGTCTTAGTAATTAACAATAAGATCAATTGTCAACTAAAAAAAAAAAGATTAAACCGTAACCTAGCTATTTGGTTCAACCATATGATGCTTATTGCATCTTCATTCCAACTCCATGCCATCATAACTACTTGGACTAATGCAAACCACTGAGGCCTGCAAACGAATGCCAATAGATGATTGATGGCGGGATCAGAAGCTCCAATGAACCATCACGAACAACCTAACCCACAGAACATTAAGCGCTTACGGGACAAATCGGTACATGGGGTGAGCATCGCCCCTCTCGGCAATATCAGCAGGAACATGATCAGGGTCACTTTTGCCATGGACCTTGTCACGGTGTCGATTCTGCATGCGAAGGCATGCGCTCAGAATGATGGCCATAAGAGCTGCGGCAAGGAGTACGCCTGCACAAACCCACATTCCCTTATGATAGAATGGCCCATCTGACTTGGGAAACAATCGAGCACCAAGGATAGGTCCGCATTGTCCAAACATGCCGAAGATGGCAAGGCCTGCACCACGCTTGGAGCTGGAGCCTTGGTTGTCTGTGACCCATGTGAAAGTCAGGGCGACGGCTGGGAAGACACCGGCACAAACAAGGAATGTTGCGAAGTAGCGAATGGCGGTGGTACGGATGAGGGACAGGAGGATGTAGCCAACCGCACCGATGCAGCAGAAGACAAAGACGAAGGGACCTCGCTGGCCAACACGGTCGGAAATCATGCTCATGCCCACGCAGACAAAGTATGCGGTAATATATGGGCAGGCAGAGAGACCTTGTGCGTTTATAGAAGTATATCCCATATCCTTCAGAATAGTAGGGAGATAAGCCGGCAGCGAGCCAAACGCGGTGTTGAGGCAAAAGATGATAAATGCCTGCATGTAGTTCTTGTAGTCGTAGAACGCAGCAAAGACTTGAGCGAAATTGAGCTTTCTCTCAGTATCTTCTCCGCGGCCCTTGATGGCGCGTTGGCTGATGATTTCGTTTTGTCGCGGGGTGAGGAATCGGCATTGTGAGGGTGATGCTGGGAGGTAGAAGTAGGCAAGGATCGCCAGAAACAAGGTAGGAATACCCTCTGAAGGAGCAATTAGCAATGGATTGATGGTATCAGGTTGAGTGGAATAACTACTTACCGACAATGAACAAAAGCTGCCAGTTGTGGATGCTCGTCTTTGCCTGCACGATTCCGTACGCGAGGGCCGAAGCGAAGCAGTTGGCCAGCGGCGAGAAGGAGATAAACAGACCATAGCGCAGGCCCATTTCGCGTCGGTGGTAAAAGAATGTCAGATACAGCGCAACTGCAGGGACGAAACCAGCCTCGAATGCGCCGATCAGGACTCGGAGAGCCATGATGCCAGCAAAGTTGGTTGTGGCGGCTTGCAAGATACTAGCAACGCCCCAGCCAAAGGCCATACAAAACGTCCAGAGCTATGGGGTTTAGTATTAGTTTCGGTTTGTGGGGGATGCTGGGGCGGTGGAATTACCGGCAGGGGCATGAACTTCCAGACGAGAATAAGCTGAAGACATACTGTTAGCTGTGTGCACGTGTAGGGTCATGTATAGAACTACTTACCCAGTGGAAGCAAATGTAGGCAATGTAGTATGCGGTCACGATCCAGGAATAGTCGTTAGATGTGATGCCCCATTGCTTTCCCATACCAGCCGTGTACGCGTTGCCAATATTGCCACGATCGATATAAGACACGAGATACAGTGAGCCGACTCTGTTTCACAGCTTGTTAGCGCACATCTTACTTGTTCACTGGAAAGGTTGCTCACAAGGGAATCAGGCACCAGTCAAGTTTGCGAAGGGCCTTCTGCTCCTCCTCAGGCGTCCAGCGGCTCTCCACGTTGCCGCCCTCCATCTTGGCATCCTCCTCTGCGAGAGTCATGGTCTCAACATGCTGCGACTGCTGAGTCTGCTGAGTCGACTTGACTGGAGAGTCATTTGCGGTCATGGTTTGACGAACAAGTTGCAACTCTGCGTTTTCAAGGTATCGTGTGGCTTTCCGATCAGAGTCTGAAGGGAAGTTGGCTGTTGACTTTGACGAAGGGTCAAGGCATCGTTTTTATAAATGTCAATTCGATTGGGAGTTCGGAGTTCCCCAGAGTTGCAGGGTAAAGTTCTGGGGTAGAGGTCGGCTAGTCATGCAATGTTGGGGTAACCGGAATCTGTGTCAAGTGGCCTCGGGAAGATACCGAGTACGCAAAAGGATGTCGGCATGTCGGCGTCTAAACAAACATGCCGAGCGGGTATCCAAATCCGAGGATAGCCATTGCTATATTGCCAATAATTTGAGTAATGTCCTCTTTCGATGTTTTTACACAGTCTACAGTCTTATAGCAAAAGCCTAGGCAACAATATGGGCAGCATTGAGAATAACCGAACACGGCCAGAATTCCGCCAATTGCCTTTGCGGAGTGGCGACCCAAAGTATTCAGCATGGGGTCTCTGGGGCGAGAATGATGAGTTGGGAACACTCAATCTTCTGACACCTGCCATCGTCAAAGATGCCTCCAAGGAGATTATTACTGGCACGCAGATTGTTCTCAAGTAAGTCTCTGCCTCCTCAAGACATCCTTGGCCTGTGATTCTGACCTCGGTAGTCTATCTGTTGATGCATTCAGCCAACCTATGAATCCGGTGAGGAAGCCATGCAGTCATAGAATCATTGCTAAAGGTCATGCCAATGACGATGAGGTAAGTACTTTGTGCAAGTCAACCGTTTTATGTTATTCACACGCATGTCAAAAGCTCGACATGAACACCCAAGGGTCCAGTCACTGGGATGGCCTACGACATTACCCGTACCAAGACAGTCTGCTGTACTACAATGGGGTGACTCAAGATGATATCTCGGGATCTAACCCTAAGACAAAGATTGGCATCCAAAGTGAGCAATTTCTTGTACAAGCCTCGACTGACTGCTGACCGGTCGTCGCGTATCAGACCTTTCGAAGCGAGGTATCGTCGGACGAGGAGTACTGCTAGATTGGGCTACATATGCCGACGACATGTGCATCAACACAACATCCCCATTTGAGTCTTTCAAAATCCCCCTCTCGCAATTAAAAGCAGTCGCTTCACAACAAGGAACCACCTTTTGCAGCGGCGATATCCTCTTTATCCGCACCGGATGGTTGAAGGCGTATCGGAGCCTAAGCCTTGAAGAGCAAGCCGCACTACCTCACAGAAAAGCGCGGACATCTTGTGGCGTAGAGGCATCTGAAGAGATGATGGAATGGCATTGGGAGAACCAATTCGCTGCTGTCGCAAGTGACACAGTGGCCTATGAGGCTTGGCCCAGTCGTCGGCCAGCTGGTGTCGCCCTCCACGAGGTGTTTCTTAGTGGCTGGGGTATGCCTATTGGCGAAAGTTTTGATCTGGAGAGATTGGCTGAAAAGTGTAAAGAGAATAGCCGTTGGTCGTTCTTCTTGACGAGTGTTCCTCTTGACATACCAGGTGGTGTTGCAAGCCCACCAGGTGCTATAGCGATACTATAATGGATATTAAATAAATTGAAGTTTGTCTTGCTTCATGGTAGCGTAGTTAGTATGCTGCGTGAAGTGTGTTTTGAGATGTGTTGTTTAGAGTTGAATCTGGCCAAGAGCCGCCGCACCCCGCGCGCCTTACCTCGAATGTGAGTCAGAGATAGATCGCATCTGGCCTTTTGTAAGGTTTAGTGTCGATAGGTAAGGTGTTGGTTGTTCAGTTCCGTCTTCTGAAACATTACCACTATCGCCTTATTATTGAGTCAACTTGTTGTTATATTGTGGAGATTAACAAACACACTCAGTCTAGACAAGCTTTTCGACCACGCTCGTGAAATCACCTCATGATGCAAGCTCTACTAAAGCGGAATCTAATCGAGCTTGGCCCAATTAAATGTAATCAGCTGAGTTGTAACATAATTGATGACGGCCTTGGAAATAAACCGCACGACAGTCTAATTTATCTGCCGTCAGATACCGGTATTGGTTTGTATGAAATCATCAGAGAATGGCTTCACATCAAAGATCACTTGCGTATTCACACTATTTATTGGTGTCAGATAATAGTCTTTATTCTCCCTATTTTCAGTGCGTTCTACCTAAAAGCTCTGCATCGGAGGTCTTCACTACCCGTGCTGGAACTTGAATCATGTGGTCATCTACCCTTTCCAAATGCTCGACTGTCACATCCAAGCTTTCATGACGTCGAATAGCTTCAAAATCCACTACGCTTCACCTCCGTACCTGACTCTATATCTGACTGCCGGGCCTGCTAAAAGGAAGCGGATAATTCTGTTCCATCTTATACTAATTTAGCTTATCTAGTATAGTCTTAAAGTTATCTAGAATAATTATGTTAGTAAAGCATTTAAAGATAAATATAAACTTCTAGAAGGGATTAATATATTTAATTTAGATAACTAGGGTAACTAAGAGAATATTAATAGTAATAAAGATTATATTAAGGGATATGCTTAAAAGTAAGACACTAAAATAAGGAGATATATGGATAAGTTCTAAAGGATTAAACTTATAATAGAATTTAATATTCTAGAAAAGATTAATAGCCATAAAGATTTACTAAAGGTTATTAGGCTTATTAATTAAATTATCTAATATCTTTTAATAGTAATATATACTAGCAGATAGCCTTAAGTAGTTAGGTTAAGATAAAAAGGTAATTACTAGGAGAATTAAAGTAAGTAAAGTTAGTATATATTTTAAGCACCTAGTAATGCTAAACTAATATAATAGTACTAATATATATAGTATTATTTTACTTAAATAGGAAGGGCTTGTTTTCTATCTAAGTAATAATATTATATAGATTCTATAAGATATTAAGAAGAATAATAGTTAAGGAAAAATACTATCCTTAGGTTAGAGGGTTAAAAAAGGTAAAGGATCTATTTGGCATAGCTAGAAGGAGCTTATTATATTTATAAGATAATTGTATATTAACGCGACATTGAGGGGAGTACTCACCTCAGCCAAGATAAGTTTATATAGCATTACTCCACGGCGCATGTTAGCCAGGGTGATGCCAATTATTAATAATCAAAGCCCCAATCATACAGCCCTGCAACCAAGCCTCTAGGGTGAGTTTCGCTAGGCTCGAGGGCCATGCCTCAGGGACTGACATTGCGTCACAGAAATGAGCGAGCCAGAAACATCCGAGTGTTCTACGGATCCGAGAAGAAGAGAAGGGCAGGGTGGAGACAGGATTAATGTAGAGATCAACGGGCGAACGCAACCGTTACTCTACCCCGCCTTTGCTAAAGAACTGACTAACATTCGTCTCCCTCCCTCAGCGTGATGGTGGTCGCCAACTTGGGTTCGTCAGGCTTAGGTGCAGGTTTAGTAGGGACTAAGCAGGGGCGAGGTTAGGTGGCTTCACTAGATAGTCAGTCATGCGGGGTGAATAAACTTGGTCATGGTTACAGTAGATCAAGGAGGGCGCGCCACTTATTTGGTATGGTCAACAATATTACTTGATTAAGAGCTCACTCAAAGCTGCATTGTTTCCTGTCAAAGTACACCAAAACGACCGATACAAGTGTGAGAAAAACCATGTCACCCTTATTGATAGCCTGTATAGCTATATATCACTCAAAATACACATGAATTCGTGAAAGATGTTTCAGTCCTGTATTTTACTAACATCAGCTGGAGCCCAATGGCGTCAGTGAAACTGACTCAACAGCCAACATACCACCACTCGCGACTATGCTGATATCCTGCGACTCCTAATACGTCGGAAAGATAGCAGCTAAAAATATAGTTCTATTGCCAATACAAATCTCAAGGATAGACCTATTAAGGAAAATATCTAGGCTTAGCTTTCTATTATTAATAGCATTAATAAAAGCCTTCTACTTACCTGCCTATCCATAACTAGTATTAGTAGTATTAAGCATAAGACTTAAATCCCCCTTATTAAATATTAATATAATAGATTTAGCACTAGACTTAAAGAGTAAGATAGCAAAGGATGTAGTATTAGAGGATGTGAGATTAATAATAAGGGTAAGTCAAGCACTCTTAGACCTACTAATATGCAGACCCTTATAAGTAACCTTTATAGCTCCTACATTCTTGGCAGGGCCAGAAGTAAGGGCCTTTAGCTCTGAGATAGGATAATAGCCTAAATTACTATTTTTATAAATAAATAGTTTGTAAGTAATTAACTACTGCCCTGCCTATCTATTAATATCACTTAGCTACTTAGGACTAGGCTAATTACCTATCTAGGTAATAATTAGATTATAACCTGCCTTATCCTTATATTATTATATAATATAACTAAAAGGGCCTGTATTAAGAAGACTATGCTTCTTGCTCTTAAAGATAATATTATTATATATATTAATTTTATACTAGTTAAGAGAATTACCCTTATAAAAGAAAACCTATTTATCCTCTAATAAAAAGAAACTAAGGCACTTTTATAGCTTGCCAGTGCTGCTATTGCCGGTATATAAAATGCCAATATATAACTAGGAATTAAAGTTATTAAACTTGTATAGTTATATCTATTTACTTTTGCTATTAGTAGTGCTAATAGCTATTTTCTATTTCTTATTAGTTAGATTATAAAAGACCTTAAGGTCTTAAAAGAATATATCTTCTCCTTTTAGAAGACTAGTAATAATAGGCTTCTTAGTAAAATTAAACTTAATTCTTTGCCTACTTAATGCTATAATTATACTCTCCTAAACTGCATTAGGATAATAGGTAAGATTAATATAATTAGTTAAGAAAAGGCATAGCTTATTCTTTATCTTATTAATAACTCTACTCCTAGTAAAGTGCCTAGAATTATTACTTAAGTTACTTGCTTTGGCTAAATATAAGGAAACTGGTTAATTTCGCTAATAAACTGTATTATTACTCGTGGCATGTGCCTAATGCATTAGGCCCTATAGCAGAGCATCTGGGTAGTATTAACTAAAGAGGTAGTAAGCCTTATAGAACTTAGCTAAACCCGCTGGGTCGTTGATCTATCCCTGATAAGGTATGTAATAGTACTGGGGCCTGATAGGGTCTGCAGCGTAGGAGGAACAAGCGTTGGAGCTCTCAGGCTCTTGGTTTGCTTGGCTAAGAATGTTGAATGAGAGCCAGAAAATGGTCACCTGCCTATCTGTTATATTTCCATTACCTTCTCAGAAATAATACCATATGAGCAGTTACGCCTTGAATTAACACAAAGAATTATAATAACCTTGCACACTTGGACAGCGAAGTTGACTCAAAATTTATATTAATCCTCTATTGTTTTGCAGAGCAATACGGGTCTATACCTCAGAAACCTCGCAAAAATGACCAGGTCGAGATTCAGAGGTTGATATATGTTGCCACGATCTCTTTAAGACTCCTTCTGCTGATTTAGGAGTCAAGGAAAACTCAAATTGTAACAAGGTGAAGAGGGCATAACAAATCTTCTAAAGTAGGCAGGGCGGGGTCAGAAAACATCGATTCGGGCCGTATGTAGTAATAATGCAGTGAGATTGGATAATTAGTGTCGGTTACAAATCAACTAGGTCGCCGCTTACTTCGACTGAATTAATATGTTATTAATGGTGACTTGCCTGATTTCTCTTTTTCATTTACTCATATACAATACCAATATTAGTGTCATTTACTACACCGCAATCATGGAGCGCGCAGTCCCGCAAGGAACAGCAGAAACTGGCGCCATTGTAACCGGAGACGGTGTCAGCTTAACCTACAGCCAACAAGGTCCTGACAACGGCAAGCAGATACTCTTTATCCCCGGTTGGAGTCAGACTGCTGCAGAATGGAAGAAGCAGGTGTTATATTTCACCGAAGCCGGCTATAGAGTGACAACATACGATATGCGCGGCCACGGTGAATCCGCAAAGCCAACCTTTGGCTATCGCATCAGCCGTTTCGCAGCAGACTTGAACGACCTTTTGATAAAGCTTCACCTCAAAGACCTCACTATTGTCGCTCACTCTATGGGTTGTTGCGTCACATGGGCATGGTGGGACCAGTACCCAGAGTCTCACAAGCTTATTCAGAAACTTGTGCTGGTCGATCAGTCAGCGGATTTCGTGATTGACCCGAACTGGCCCGACGGCAAGGCCAACGAGCTCGCCGCAATTTTTACTCCAGACGCTGTCTACAATACTGCACACAACATGTCAGCCGCGACGCCACCTTTGGTCAGGAGCATGTTTACTAGTTCTGTCTCCCAAGAAGATTACGATTGGATTTTGGAGCAGAACCGAAAGATAAGCGATGAAAACGCTGGGAAGCTGCTTATTGATCATGCGTTCAATGATTGGCGTGACGTTCTCCCTCGGATCAACGTTCCTACACTAGTTATCGCAGGGGCATTGAGCATTTTCCCGGCTGTTGGAGTCGAGTGGGTTGCTTCGCAGATACCTGGTGCAAAGCATTATACCTTCTCGGCTGAAGAGAAGGGAAGCCACTTGATGTTTTGGGAGAATTCTAGGAAATTCAATTCGGTGGTTGCGGTTTTTCTTACTGAGTAGCTGCCCAACGCTTGGTGACTCCATATTATATGCAAATATATAGATTAGGCTAGTTATAGCCTTAGACTTTAAGAGCGTAGCTAGGATAGGGAGTCTGCGTATAGAGTTCTAGGATAAACGCGGGGTAAAGGCAGGGTTTAGAAATTCTAGTAAAGTCAGAATGTACTGAAGGAATTATGTTAAGTTTACTTTATATAAGTTAGTTGGCGAAAGTCAAATCGACCTTAATTAATTAAATACACGTGGTGGGGCACGTGATTAATTGACCTTGCGTATGAGAACAGATAAAATAAAATTAGTAAAAAAGCAGTAGTCTAAACAGGGGCTATTTTAAGTTATAAGGTCTTTTTATTTATATATTATTATTACAAAAAGCTAATAATTTCTAAAAGTTATTTTAAAGAGGAAATTAACTTATTATAAAAGTAAAGTAATTATAAGGTTTTTTAGGAAAATAAAAAAAATACATTAAGTTTTATATAAGTTTAATTACCTAAAGTTAAAGATATTTAATACTAGCAGTAAAAAGAGAATTAAATAAGTTATAAGATATATTATATAACTAAATAAGCAAATTAGCTATATTATTAATATACTGGTAATATTAACAGGGGCTAGTATTATTATATTAAGTATATTTACTATTAAATTTACTATTATTTTTTATATAAGTATTTATAACTTCTAAAGCTAAAATAAGAATACTTATATATTAAAAACTAAGCTAGCTAACCTCTAAGAGGCTTTATAATTATTTACTAAAATATTTAATAATAATAATAATAATATTAACTTAAATACTTTAAAACTTCCTTTACTTTATTATAAAAAGACTTATAAGAAATATTATAATCTTATTGCTTAATATATAAAGTATTTTAGCTTATTATAATTAGGCTTATAAGATTAGGTTAACTAGCAATATCTTAAAGGTAATATAATTAATATTTAAGAAATACTTATTAAATATAAAGCTATAATTAATAATATACTAGTAAGTATAAATATATAAAAAATAAATTCTAAATTTATAATAATATAATTAATTAATTAATATTAAGAGTCTTATAAGTATATAACTATTATAATAATATCTAATATACTTAAAGATTATAAAGATATAATATATAATATAATAAATAATTTATAAGAGTATATAAACTAGTTAAATAAGAGGCTATATATATTAACTAGTTTTAAGGCTAAATCTTCTAGTTAAGATAAGCCTAGGTAAATTATTATATTAAAAGAAAAATAAAGTATTTAAGAAAGGTTAAAAATCTATTTATAATTATTTACTTAAATTAAGAAACTTAAATTAACCTTTAAGAAATACCTAAAGTTCTTATAATAGCCTTTAGCTTATAAGTATATTAAGAATAGCTTAGGTATTATTAACGGCTTTACTTAATTTCTTATATTATACCCTTAAGCTTATAAGTATAATATTAATTATAAAATAAAAGCTATAAAGTCTATAATAATCTTATTTAAGTAAGAAGTTACCTAATTTATATAAAATATTCTTTTATTTATATATTCTCTTTATATAATAAACCTTCTAATTAATAAAGCCTTTTTTAATTTTAAGATATAAAGCTTTATAGACCTAGAAGGAAAGCTATATAGAGGGATATAGCTAAGTAAGAGGGAGAGGAAATTTCTTAAGGTATTTAGCCTAGGCAGTTTATATAATAAGTAGCTTAAAAATATTTAATAGCAGGCTATAGAGGTATTAAAGAAGACCAAGAACCTATAATATAGAGACTAAGCTAGTTATAATCTTAGACTAAGAGAGCATAATATAATATTTACTATAGATAGAAGTAGGGTAATTATAGGGTTTTAGGACTAGGAAAATAAAAGAAATATATTAAGTTTTATATAAGTTTAGTTACCTAATGTTAAAAACCTAAAGTTATAAATTTAATATTAATAGCAAAAAGAGGATTAAATAAGTTATAAAATAGATTATATAACTAAATAAATAAATTAGCTATAATATTAATATATTATTAATATAAATAAGGGATAAAGTTATTATATTAATTCTTTTAGCCTTTAATATAAGATTTAACATAAAATTATAAAAAAAGCTTATTTTTATAAGGTTTTTAATATTAATTAGCTTTCAGTTAAGGCTATATTATATATATTGCCTTAAATTTATAAGCTGCTTTAAGCCTATTTTCTTAAAAGTATTACTTAGAAAAATAAAAAGCTATTACCTTACTTATAATTTATTAATATAAAATATTCCTCTTATAATAATTAAACATTAATACTTATTTAATATTCCTTATAGAACATAATATTATTTCCTTTCTTTATACTTACTTCTCTAATTCTAAATCTTTCCTAACCGGACTAGTCCGACAGCCTGGCCTCCTTAACTCTTTTTAATTTCCCACCCAGATAGCTTATATATTTCCTGTAGGGATCCCTTCACACAGGAATACCATGTGCTATGCATAAGACGGAGTTCATCCGGGGTAGCTGGATGCAATGAATCCACAATCATCATCCGAAAAGCTCGCCCAGCTATAGCATTCTCCTCCCAGTTATCCGCCAGAATAGCTGGGGACGATCCGATGCGGTGAGGGGAGTCCCAGTCATCCTTCTCATCAACGATCCAAAACTCCCCGCGCTCAATGGCTCCCTTTAGCAGTGTCCACCTGCTAGTACGATCCCTGAGTGTGGACATTAAATAATAAACAAAACCCTATGAAAACAGACGTACAGTTAGCTCCTTGTAATTTAGAGGACGCGCAGCATACATACCTCAGGCGATTTGCAGGATTCGACAAGTAGATGGTGTTTGTCTCCAAAGATGTTGGTAAACCGGATGTAACGCGCATCCCAGTGTTCACCTATAAGTCTGTGAATAGGCTTGATCATCTGCGCCAATTCCTGCAAGATATCGTTATTCTTTTTTTGGCTCAGGATAGTTGCCTCAGCCATGTCCCTCTCTGTGGGGACTTTTTTTCGCTTGAGGAAGCATCGTGGAGACCTCTTAACAGAGTATATCCTACTCTCTAGAGTGGGAAGACACTCTTCGCCATATGCTAAGGTAGCGCCCGCCGTAATCGCTCTAGGAGGACGCTTCGGCCCCTCAGGCCCCTCAGATATGTTCCTCGGTATGTGGACGTGTTTTTGTTCTCGCTGGGCGAAGCATGGTGTAGGCCTCTCAACAGAGTATATCCTTCTCTCTGCAGTGGAAAGACACTCTCCGCCATATGCCGAGGCAGCACCTGCCGTAATCGCTGTAGGAGGACCCTTTAGGCGTTCAAGCGCCTCAGTGTCTTGGCGAAGCGAGTCGACAATTAATTGTACGTCCGGAAGGGCGTTTCGGCGTTCGTATCGGTATGTGAAGTATATATACATATATTCAGTAAGCTTCCAGAGCACCATAAGAATGGCGATCTTGTCCCCTAGCTGGACGGTCATCTTGTAGACTGACGATCTGACTCGTAGTGTATAGTCTGTACAAATATATTGTTTCGATTTGTGGTTAAGGATTCGTTCTCAATAAAGCTAGAGACTAACCATGCTTATACTCTAGGCAGTTCATATTCATAGTACTTATTACCTTTATGTAGTCTACGAGATCCTTGTCGAAACAGGTCAGACGCCTCCCGCTTTGACCTATCCTTCCTCTCTCACGACCGGCCACGCACACTGCCCCAAACTCATTCGTTGCGTCCAACTAATCTAGGGCCATGCCTTAAAGCCAGAACTACGATTCGGGGGAGACCAGGTGGACATCCAAACTTAGAATTATCCATGCCTTGATCCCGTTGAAGTGGCTGATTCTAGGCCTATGCTTTGTTGGTTCTTCCAGAAGTCTTAGTTGCAGCCTAACGACTTGCATTTGTGCATATCCTTCGGGCAGAGGTTATGAGCCGTTTGAGATTGCAGTCGAATCGTCCTGCCCGTTTCGGATTCAACTCGGGAACTTGACTGAGATTCGCGAATCTGATTCGATTAAGCTAGCGTCTGGGAGGTTTGGTATATGGATACTCTCTGATAGCCATGCGCTAGTCGCTTGCTGCTGACTTTGGAGGATGATTGTGGCCAAACATCCCGGACGCAAAAGACTGAGCCGCGCGATAAGCCGTGGTGTTCACTGCATATTTCACCGCTCTTGTGGCGTTCCTAGGACGAACATTTTGTATAGCATTGAAATTACAATCCAGTAATCTCTCTCAGAAGATTATGCACCACTTTTACCAGCGTCCAATCTCCTCAGGACTTTCAAGCCAATATAGCCATCAGCCCTAGGATGAGAAAGTATGTTTCTCTTAGCGTTGGTACCGTGACTTATAGCGTTTTGCGAGTAGGTTCCCTTTTTTCCTTGCTTCCGAATGGGCTTTATGTGGCGCTGGCTGTGACTCTGGCTGTGACATGGCCCTGTGAACATGGCGTTTTAAGGACAAATGACACCGGGTGAATGTCACTCCAAAGATTGCGAATTCATACTGGGAGCCCAGCTCTATGTAGTGGCATTTGAAAAGTAAAATCAGGGGTCGAAACAGCCTCTCAGCACATGCTATGCTGTACAATACATGTGAGGTCGATTGTCGCAACGGTTGTCGAACGGAGAAGGTGATCTCCTTCAAATGCCATCGTGTCTTACATTCGTATTACAGAAGGCGTGGCATTAATGGCACCTCGGAAACGTTGACACGCGTGACATTGCACAGCGCCTGACGATATGGCGTTCTCTTGTGGGCCTGCATAGTACCTCCGTTAATATTCGGAAGACGAAAGCTAACAGAAATACAGCTAAGTATACTAATTAACCTCTCCTGCTTACTTATAGTTAAGAAGCATTTTACTTATAAAAGAATTCTGGCTTACAGTCTAGACTTAATATTCTTATAGCTAAGATGGGTTATAAAATATTTTATAAGATTCTTAAATAAAGGTAATAATATTATTATTAGTAATGTTAAAAAAATATAAAAAAAAGTATTTATATTTAAAATTATAACTTATAATAGGATTTAAGTGCTTTTTTAATTAAACTTTTTATATTAAAATATATAAATTAGCCTTAAACGGTATATCTAAGTATTTCTAAAATCTAATATAATTTAAATATTTATTACTCCTATAGCTAGTAAAGCATTATTATTATTAACCTTTATAATATATTATACATTACACATCCTCATAGCATGACTTTTGCGTCCCTAATGCCGTTAATAGGTAGTCCATAGTACTTTCGAAAGACTATAAACTTCTCATATCAGCAGAAAATATGCGAGGAGGCGCCTCGATCCAAGCCATAGATTCATTCAAAGGCCCGAGCTTGGAGGGATGCCTGGAGACCAGACGGTCGGAATGACGAGCCAATCAATCCAAGGTGGCCTTAGAAGTCATTTTGCCAGAGAGCCAGTCGAGCTTAATTAGGTTGAAAGTATACAGGAGTTGTATATATGGAAGATTCCAGTTTATTAGCTGTCTTCTCCCTTTCCTTTTCCTGACTCTGTATTTTCCGTTATTATCTCTCGTAACCAGCTTTGCTATGATCTCTTCTGAGTTCGGGGTTAAGCTTCTAGCAAGTTGACTTGTCATGCCCTTTTCTTCCACAGTGCCCACAGCATGGGGTGCCCTGGGCCACCATGGCTCTATGCAATCCTTGCAGTGGCTTGTCTTTGTCTGTCCTCTTCCTGAGATGCGGCAAAGATGACCGTTTTGGATGTCACGGTCTCTTTGAGACCAAGGTTACGATGGTTTGGCTCTCGGATAGGAATGTTATGATTCTGATTTAATACAGTGAGGAAGACTCCATAGCCTGGGCCAAGTCCGCAGAGGAACTCGTTGACGAAGTGTGGTTCCCTGATCTGGCAGAATTCATCTATCTCCAAGAGTTCCGCCCCGCGCCGTCTGGGTCCCCGTGGTAAACACTCGGGCGTTGTAGCCGAGCTGACTTCGAACGGTGCCGCAAGCTCGATCCCGACGACTCCTCCAGGCCTCAATCTGAGTCGCGAGATCATTCCCTTCAGTTAGTGGTTGAGTGTTCCTAGTCAAAAGGTCTCCATATCCACACATGCCCAGAAGGTCAAGCATTTCTCTCTTCCAGATCAGCCACTGGCTGGTTTGCTCCAGCTTTGGAATAGTGCCGAACTGCCTACAAGGTTAAAAAATTCCTTAGAGAATGACATAATGGATTTTCGGGGAGGCTGATAATAAAGATACAGAGGGACAGACGGCTATTAATAAGTCTTAGGTCGAGGCTTGGCGAGGAGTCTTATCTTCATCAGGTAATATAATAATGTCGCATTGATAGGGGTTATCTGAACCAGATAGAGACTATCTGAAGGGTGAAATGCATAGCAGTCTCAGTTATTTATACTATTATAGCTGTCTGGAGAAAAGACGATGATCTGATGTTAAGTATGTTACAAATCATGTTTCAGGCGGTCTTGGTCACCTGACCAAGGAGCTTCAACAAGCTAAGCTGAGGGACCGGTCTGGTTTAGCAAGTTTATCAGCCAGACTGCAATCTGAAGTCTTAGTTATTTGAGATTGATGATTATAATTTGCTGTCTTGGATAGAGGGTTAAAGGGTCCTTCTGGAAAGGTTTCTAGATATATCCTAATAGCTAATTTCTAAGCTTATAAAATATCAAATAAAGGAAAAATAGCTCTAGGTAAGCTAAATATATATATATAGTAAAAGGAAGCCTTTTAACTTTTTATGCTATTTAGGAAAAATAGAAAAGAAAATGGAAAATAATTAGCTTTATAATTAGAGAAAAGTAGTGCCTTTCGGGCATATAACTTATTAAGGTAAAAAGGTTTAAGTATATTATTACTAGTTCTAACTAATTAAGTTTTATATAATAACTATAAGCTCTTAGCTATAAATCTTAACTATAAATAATATATCTAGCTTATTATTTATATATTATATTATAATACCTAATTAATTATTATATTATAAAAACTAATAAAAATATAGCCTAGATTATAACTCTTTTACTTAACTTTAAGGAATATAAGAAGATTTAATAAGTTTATTAAGATAATCTAACTTAATATTATAAAACCTAAGGTTTTTATAAAATAATAAAAAAGTAAAATAATAGCTTTTATATTAATAAGAAAAGTCTTTTATTAATATTATATAAATTAAACTTATATTAATAATTATATTAATAAAGTTATAATTATATTATAACTTATAATATTATATAAAATAACCATTTAAATTTAAAGATATTATAAGGCTTTTTAATAATAATATAATATTATAAATTATATTATTAATATAAAGAAATATAATTAGCTTAATAGTTATATCTTTATTTAACTAATAGCTATTTGTTATAAGGCCTTAATTTATATAGCTAATAGAAAAATGTTTTATTTAACAGTCCTTAAAGTTACCTAATAAAAAATAATAGCTTTAAATAACTTTAATAAATTATATAAGGAAAAGAAGAAAAAGCTATATAGCTAATTAGGAAGAATATACCTTAATTAAGTTACTAATTGCCTTATAGATAGAAGTCTGCTTATAAGTTAATTAAAGACTATATTATAAGGGAAAGTCTAGCTATCTTATTATATAAGTTAGTTAAAGGTTATATATATAATACATATTTAACTTTAAGGTAGGGCATATAGCTATTAGATTTATTAAGAAATACTAATATATAAAAAAAGTTTAATTTAAAAAAGGATTTAAGATTATATATATATTAGTATTATATAAGAGGGAGACTTAGGAAGAAGGTTTAAACTAATTAGAAGTTTATAGTAGTATTAAGTTTATAAGTTAATTATAAGGTTAGTAAATATACTTCTGGTTTAATATAATACGGTTGTTGGTTCTAAGTTATAATATAATCGAGAGGAGCACAGCTTTCTGTATAGTATCTATATCCTAGCAACCAGCAGATCGGACCATTTTAGTCATACAGGTCTCAACATGCAGATGCGCCGCCCATTTCATAAACTGCACCCACCTGGACTCATTGTTGACGCCTCCCGGTGCCTCGACCTTTCTTCCTGCGTTCCGCTCCCTGAACTCTCTCTCACAGCTTTTCACAAGCCTCAGCAGCCCGGCTTCCACACCCGTATTTACCTCTGCAGAGTTGTCTTGTGGGCTACTGCTCCTTCTGCTGCGACTGCCTCGGCGGGTTTCGGCCGGCTCGACGATCCGATATCTTGCGTGTGGTGCCCTCCGTAGTGGCTGAAGCCTCACGGATACCCAACTGCACTCTCCGTCCTTGCCATCACCTCGGGCCTGGTGCTTTGCACGGGTCTGATGCGTCACCAACAGCGACCATTGATATTAAGTCCGGAAACCAAGCGCCTAGCTCTAAAAGATTGTTACATGGGTGAAACTCTCTCGCAAGTAAACTCAATCTGAATGACCCGAGCGGAACCAAAATGAACACAAAAGGCAATTTTTCATGAGGCTCTGGAACCTCAGATGTTCAATTTAGAGCCAGTAGGGATATCTAAAGTATCTATAAACCTGATCCTATCTAGGCTAGGGGCTCGATAAAATAAGATCGAAAGAAGCCTGACTTCAGTCATTGCAAATTCTATGTAGAGAGAAAGCCGATTAACCTGAATACTGAATGGCTCTTGGCTTATACGCATATATCGATTCTATGGTAAGTCTACCTCTGTAAATTTAAAGAGAGGAGGTAAGGTTATAAACCATAAATAATATCTAAGCTAACTCTGAATGGCATTAAAAGAATTGGTCCCCTCCGCTCTATGCCCTGTCGCTTTATTCTTGAAGGGCTGTTTGGCTAAGCTTAAGTTGGAGTTACTCGATAAAGGTAGACATTTCCTGCTCTTAAGCGGATAGGGCGCCTAACTCTGCCGTTTTATATATCGTTGTTTATCTCTAAACCTCACAAGCATATCTTGCATCATGCTTTCAACCACAGATCAGAACGAATCCGCCTGTATAGTGGTCATCCACTTAGCATCAGGTATAGTCTACTTTTCGCAGAGGCGGCCATAAGTTTATAATACCATATATCTACCGTGCTTGCATATAAAGAGATAATAGAGATAGCACGCTGACTTGCTATATCTAATTGCGCGCGGTGCCAGCTTATATAATTGCTTTTCTAAGTAAATAATCTGCTAAACCTCTGCATGCATGAAGCAACGTTACTACATCCTGGTCGGCTTATTGCTAAAGGGGACTTTAGCGGAGTAATGTCGATATGGCTGAATAGACGCATATATAGGTTTCCTGGCAACCCTGGCTAGATCTCTGTACGTAAAAAGGTCACCTGGCTAGTTTATCAATTTATCGGATTCCTAGACTTTTCGAAATTGATTCTGGAATCCCTAAGAATCTCAAATATTCCTCGGCTAACTTTATGGTTCCTAAGCGTGCTATATCTATATATTTACTGATAATTATTTTAAGAGCGCCAGGCACGGCAGCAATTTCTACCCTCTTATTAATAACGTGTAGATCTTCCATTAAAGCGCTTAACAATCCAACAACCTGCGCAATTTGCGGAAATAGCTATGAAATACCTCGGATTTATTCTGTATATTTCCGTATTTGACTTCGCAAAAAAGGCTGTAGCGTCTTAATATGTTAAGGTCGCGCCACCCACGGTGGGTATAGCCGAGAAAGAATCCGCTTATGGCTAAGGCGTAGCACTAGATCGAGTAGTTCCTCTTGACTAGTGTGTTTGTTCGTACGGGGGTGGCGCCCAAGCAGCTTCAACGGCGACGTCGTTCCATGTATTACGATCGCCACGGACGTCATTGGAGGCAAGAGGTAAAGCAACAGCCATTATGGAGCTTGTGAAGACGAACCTCTTGACTGAATTCTCCCTTGTAGTACTCTTCAGGATAGATTCATCGCCAGCGACTGCATGAGGAACATTGTTGTTCGGGTTTGGATCAAAGTCAGTACTAGCAGCGACGTGGGCAACGGCTGTGACTGCCTTGACTGCTTCATCAAGAGCGCCATCAACCGCCATGTCTGGTACTTCGACGAGTTCAAGGTCGCCCTTTTCTGCGTATGACTTAAAGTGATCATCAATAAGCCGCGAGGCTTTCTCGGTGTCGCGGACCGTACCGCGGACTTTGTAGCCACGTTGAAGGAGCTGCCTGATGACATGGCCAGCAACGAAGCCTGTAGCGCCGGTCACAAGGACCCATAAGCCCTTGGGAATACTTAAGGCTAGGGCAGACATGTTAATGAAGTATGATGCGTATGGAATGAAGGAATACGAGTAGAGTATGAGAGTTGTTGGAGTTGTAAGAAAGGATGCATCTTGAACAAGGACCTTTAGGCCTTTTATACCCAGACCGTCCGAACTACCCGCCTGTAAGCTAGATGCCGGTAGTCCTCAATCGACAGCGGTATGACCAGCTGACAAACCACAAACATGATATCGGCCCTTGCATAATGAACTAAAAACGAACAAACGTGGCAGTTGATAGATCTTTGACTTTATCCATAGTAAGTGACGGACAAAGCTGGCTTTGTGCTCTTAGACTCTTGGCTCAATCAGGAAGTCTGAAGTCTTGGCGTTGTGGACCATTAGAGTGAAGTGGATTGTGGATTACGATATGCATGTGTCTTGCTGTTTCCATTACCGAATACCGTAACGCTGCTATGATTGTGAGACAAGGCTATAAGATTGCGTTTTATAACATCCTTCTAGTAAGAGGGACTCTTAGAGTTTATCTCTAAGCCTTCGCCGTCTCACACATTTGGTATATATCCGCTCCAGTAAGCCCGTAATGCCAAGGTGTTGCGGACCACCACTAAGCTCAATCATTCCAGATACACCTTCTAGATGGTGTCTTGCTATTTCCATATCACCAAAGTTCTCCTAAGATTACTAATATTAATCATGCATCTCATGGCAATATAATTTTGCATGCTATCCATGAATCTGACTCTTACCTCGTCCAATGCCAGTGCAAGAGCATGAGCGAACATCACTCTGCTTAGTGATAATATAGGGCTACTGACGGCTTGTCGTAGTGTATAGAGACCTTTCTGCTTGTATTCGATAGCCTTTTGCATCAGGACTCTATTATCTGGGTTGTAGCGTAGCAGGTTCTGACACGTGCTGAGAAAAATGGCAGTTTCGAGAAGGTTCGGGTCAGTGATAGCGAGTCCAACCTAGTCTCGTAAGAGTTGCTCTTGGTTGTCTCCGTGCAGGTCGAAGATTCCACAGTTAAATGCAGAGAACGGTACCACTATACGAACATCTATTACTATGTCAGAAGTAGACCCAAGGAATTGGTAGTCCACATGACGTAGATTACAAGAATCACGACCCAGGGTGCATAGATCTAGAATAGAGACGAATGGTACGTATATTGATCAAGCAGGTAGTATGCCCACGAGTTCAACGGTTTGCTTAAGACAGAAAAAGGGTCCTTGCAGTAGCTGAGCATCCTGCTTTGGAAGAGAGATCCGAATCCTTCAATAGTCTGATCCTGGAATCGTTGACTTTGCCTCTTTTCCTGTTGATATGCTTGAGTTCGTGATAGTCTTTTCTTGGCATGTCTCTCGTAGAGCGTGTGAGTGGGTGCTATTTAGTCAGTTCTGCCAAGACTTTGAATTTCCTATCTGGGATAAGTTAAATGTCTAGTCGTTGGCCCAAGCTTTTCACCAACGTCTCAAATATGGAGCACTATCAGGTGCTGGCATGATAAAGCTGGTAACCGATCCTCAAATGGGCTCATCAAGAACCAATGCTGATTTTCATAGCTTCTTGTTACCATCGAGAGCCACTTCTGACATTCCACATCAATATGACTTAACTGTCTTTTGTAAAAATATCCACTTGTCTTGGAAGATCGCGGGTTAGTGAAAACATCAGCTTTCTATTTCGCCCAAAAAATACTAACCAAGCAATTGAAGCCATATCAAAACGAGACTTTGTGATGATTTTAACAATAATCACGTCAACATAAGAACTTACATAATAATTCTCTTCTTGCAAAACTCTATTATTCTAGTAACTAACTGCGTTGTGGTAGAAATGAATTCACTTCTACTCGCAGGAGAGCATTTATACCCTATAGTCCGTTTAAGGAAGTTCTCTAAATTAGGAATGTCGTTCTTCCTGACCCAAAATACCCAAAACCTCGAGACAGCTATTTAATCATTATGAATAAGAAATAAAGCTCTTTCCCCTACCTTTTATGACATTCCAATGTAGAATAAAGCTGTATCTCAAATTTGCTTCGAGCACTCGTTAGACGAAAGTTCTTAGTAAATAGCTGTTCTGGCCAAGCCAGGAGGAATCTGGCAGCTATGCCGAGCAACAGAAGCAGGGGTATATTATCAGGGAGCCAAGGGCCATCTACATTAATTTGGAAGACAGGCGATGAGTTAAAAGCATTGATACAGATCTTTTGTAATTTATCCAAGGTCTGTTTAGTAGAATAGACACTATAGGCGCTCTGGAATAGACAAAGTGTTGTGCGCATCCATATGTTCCTCCTCTAAAGAACCCTCACGTCTTGTCCGGACTTCTTCGCGAGAACAATTCCCTCAGAATCCAGGTTGTTCAATCAAAAGTTGATGGACCTCGCCCTCGGTGCTCGCAAGTGGATGGAAGTGGGACCTACTGAGTATCAGCGTCTACGCGCGGCTGGGAAAAAGGCTCTTCCTGGCCTAAATCTCCTCGCATCTGCAACTGTTCTAGATACGTTCACGTGACTCCGGTTGTTTTCTTTCATTCCGAGTCCGCAGGCCGCAGAACAAGAAGCCTTCGTGCCCCGTTTTAATTCACATCCACGGTGGCGGCTGGGTACTCCAGGACTTAACATACCAAGACCCTTGCTTACAGGCTATAGCAGATGACCACGGCCTACTCTGTATCTCGGTCGGCTACCGGCTCGCACCAGAACATCCCTTCCCAGCGGGGCCCAAGGATTGCGAGGATGCGGCGGAATGGCTGGTAGGCAACTCTGAGAGTACCTTGGGGACGCCGTGACTTTCATCGGTGGGGAATTTGCTGGCGCGCACATGTCGTTGCTCGTAACCATCCATTTGCTACAGTATGACAAGGCTGAATTTTCCAATTTTCGCCTCAGAGGAATAATGCTTCATTTCAGCTGCTATAGGTTGGACTGGACGACGAGAACCGCTGAGGGGAGCACTGTATTGTTCTGGACCGGGACAGTACCTAATTGAAACCCCTTGCAAGCCAGATAAACTGATTCCCCCCCCCCCCCCTAGTTGCTGATAGCTCAATCAAACTCGAGTAGAGTTGTTTTTAGCAACCCACTTCGACCTAGTGAAAGGGGCAGAACTCATAGGGAGCGTCAGACCCCCGGTAGATCTAAGTTAGCCCTAAAAGTCTTAACTAGGCATTTTTAGGCACCTTGTTAGGACGGTCTGGGCAAATCATGGCGCAGTACAGAGTACTGAGTACTGCCTGCAAGATTCGGGGGAATCATGTGCCACCAATCGAATATCTTTTCGTCCCTGCAAGGGTACGAGTAATGTGACTTTGCTACAAATCCCATCGTTCTATCCCCCATCTGACATGGGAGGAAGCTGATCCTCGACCCTGTCATTCTTAGTCAGTATTATTGTAGTATTGGGCTTGTGCGAAAAGGGGACGATCGGTGATGAGGCAAGGAGAGCACTTTTCGATAAAGAGTGGGAGGATTTCTGTGGCAGCTGTCGGAAGTAGAGAAGCTACATGATAGGAAATAATATTCGACTGGCATGACGAAAGCTTTCCGCCAGTACAGTAACCGTTGCTCTGCATCTCATACCTCAAGGAGAAAAGAGAGTAGTGCTCCGAATAACATGGCGTTATTCGGGACACTCGTCAACCGGCAATTGCGCTTACGCAAAAAACAGTTTTCCAGTGGGAGATTAACATATACCCTATCCTGATCTGCCGATGGGTATTGATGACCAGAGCCGAAGAAATTGCAGGGTGTGGTAGACAGGCGCTAGCGTCTCACCACTCTAAAATAGGATATGACAGAGGCATTTATTTGAAGATCTTGGGCTTTTTAATCTCTTTCCAATTCTCTGGTATGGCAGCTTATAGTAAGACGGGATAATAGAAAGCCCTCTTGTGATGATCTTGATCTGAATTTTCTGAGACTAGAACGAGTTGTCGGGAGGGGAAAGGGTGCTTAAGATAGCTATAAAGTGCTTCTAAATGCCCAAGAACGGAGCAATGACAGGAACACGTTCACTGCCAATACACAAAAACCTTCAATCACACTGTTAAACAAACCCCAATCACTACTTCAAAATGAGACTCTTTTCAGCCCTCATAACCTTGGTCATAATTGGTCTTGCACAAGCCTGGTCTATCAACTTCTTTGCCCAAAAAGGCGACAAAATGAAACGCGTTCATGCCAATGGAACCAAGCGAGGCAACTGCATCAACCTTCGCTCGGATTACGACTGGGTTACAACTTCCATCACCTTTTATCCTCAGACGCCTGCATGGCCAGACCCAAACGGATACACAGCGTACAGCAAGGCCAACTGCAAGGGCACGGCATACTATGGAGTAGAGGGACAGCAGAATCCAAAGAGGAGGTTCAGGAGTTATAGGGTGAAATAATCCCAGCACTTGTACTAGAGAGCTGATACTAGGCTATCCTGTCAGGTCATATGTGGACATCTACCTGGTAACGATTTGGAGCTAGGGGTGGAGAGCAGAAAAAGACAGCTTGAGGGATTTAATATGTCAAAACTTCGCACCTTATATTTCTTCGGCTTCAGTGAAACATGTTTATTTAGGTAATAGCTACGGTACAGCCTGTTTACAGTGAACCTCCACTACACCGAAGAGAGAGAAGCTCGAGCAGAGGCCCAATGCCAATAGTCTCATCCTGAAGAGCAAGCGAATCTTGATAATGATAATACACCGACTGATATGTAATATGCCATGGGATAGTTTATCAGTATTTCCTGGTCGGAATTCTTATTTATAGCGCCCAGAAGCATCGTGAAAACCTTGTAACGACCCATCCTGCAGTAATAGAGCCGTCATTGGCGACTCGGTTACCCAAAAAACCACTTCAGCGTGCTGAATATCCTCCTGTTTCAGAGCCCTTTGCGTATTGGCCGACTGGGAGTAATAGAGTTGTGTGTGTGATGCACAGTGGAATGCAAGGCCTGCATTCAGCTGAAAGGTTCAGCATGCCTCGAAAGGCAGGCCTCTGTAGATGGATTTAGTAGTATCGAATGTTATTTGCCGTCTGAATAGAGTGTGACCCCTATCCTGATTTTGGCATGTCAATTCCTGGCCTTATTTCCCCTAGACATATGATGTAATCGTACATGAGTAACCGCCCAACCGGGCAAAGGTGCGACCTGCATGCCTGAGCAACCTCAGAAAGGACAGGGTGCTTGAGGGCTCAACACCAAGTGCAAGAAGGTAAGTATACCGGGAGGGGCATATGAGAAGACACCGTGCAGTTGCATTTCACCATCATTCACTTCAAGTCTTTTGATACGCACGACTGTAGCTCGTGAACAGTCATGGCCGAGTTTAGATCTTATCGAGCAGGACAGGGGTTGTCTGCGACAGGAACACATCAGTAGATCCAGACAAAGACTAAGGTCCCTGATTGAATGTTGCCATTTTGGCTGGTCCAAGAGCTACCGATTTTCATTCACGACCTCCACCACAACATCCCGCAGGGCGCGATTCTCATCTATCATCAATGTGTAAAACTACTTAATAGCGTGCAAGAAGCCATTACTCTGCCAATAGTGCTGGGCTTCTACATGGAATATATTCAGGGCCATTCCTTCGCGGGCACTGACATCATATTTCTCTCCCAAGTCATAGACCTTGGCGCGTAGACAGAGATTCGTAGTTGGCGAGACAGGTTCAGGCATTTGTGACTCCGGTTGAGCAAGGCGTCTCAACTCCTTCTCCTTCATCTTCTTCTGGTCCTCCTTTTTAGATAGCTGCGCATGGCCAGAACCTGTGGGCATTAGGAGCGCCTCGATAAGGATAGCTGATGGAGAATCGTTTCAGGCAACGCGAAAGAGCGCTGCCCGGCTCTTGGGATCCGTCTAGCGCTATTCCTGAATGTGAAGAACGGTGATCTCCGGGTGGTGCTGGAATTGTTGATGGTAGTAATGGGGGAAGGATCAAGTATGTCCCGACGCGATCGTCATTTGCGTCATTGACCTTTAGCACATAAACATGCATCTCAATGGCATAACAGCAACGTTCACATTTAATAACAAGATAATACTATTTTCTCTATTAATAAGCTATTATTTTTAAGAATAGGGAAGTAAATATAATACTATTTTCTTAACTAATAATAAACTATATTAAGCTGATTTGTATTTTAGTCCCTTTATATTAGTTTTAAGCGTATTTATGTAATTTTAGGTAACAGTCTTTCCAAGGCTTCAGGCTCGCTATTATCCTGGTTCAATACGCGGTGATCCAACACTGGCGACTTATAGATTCACAGACAAGCCTCCAAGCTCATCCATACAACTTGCATATTGTTCTATTTCTAAGCGCATCTACATAGTTTGCGTATCGGCCCAAGCGTGTCTTTGTTTCTTGCATAGGTATCTAAGCGTCAGACATAGACGTAAGCTGACTTTTCCAGATTCAGAGCTCTTCATCGCGAACTTCCATAAATTTGTCTTATCAAATGCTCAAGACTTCTGTATATAAACCGTCACATATGTACCTTTGCGATAGCTATGTTTTAGCATTATAGTTCATCCTTGTTTTACAGCAGCTCTATCATCCACTCCGACTCACTTTAAGAAGAACATTTTCACTATTCACAATATTTTATTCCACTCTTCTTCTAGCCTCCGCTGCTCTTTTCCAAGGCGCTCTTTCAGCCAAAATCTCGACCCTGTACAGGCGCGCAGAAGGGCATTCAATTTTATGACGATGCTTCCATCCTTAATATCCACCAGTTTCAGTCTTATATGGAAAATGGCTAGGGCTCCCATGGACAAAGAATTGGTTTCTTTACCGAGGGTGGGCTCGCGGGAACTTGCGTTGGTGCTAAGATCTGTGACACCTGGGCCTACAATGGCGGCTACTTCTACTCTCACCAGTGCTATAATCTCATTGATCATAAGCCCGACAAACACGGAGTTGCTACATGCGTAGAATCTGTCTATAAACTCTAAAGCCTGAGTTGACCCAATATATAGATATATATATATATATATATTTACAATATATTCCATCGCTACTTGGATCCTGGTTTTAATTCAATCCATAATGGCCTAATTGTAAACATAGATTGCTACACCCTCGTTTTGTTTATGACTACACATTCTGGTTGGCAAGTCATTGAACATCATCAAATGTCGATCCCTTTCTTGGACGCCCACCCTTTGCTCAAGCCAGGCCTTTTCTTAGTATGTGCCATTTGACATTTATTTGTTGCTTATGATTACCTTACCTCGACCTTTTGTACCTCGGCGGCGTCTTGCTTTGTCACCTCATCGATAGGCTTCCGTGGAACCTCCCCTGCCCCTTGCAAAAATATATGTTGTTTGTCGTGTACACTCTGAGTGGTTGCTGCAGCACTGCCTCACAAGAAGTCCATCCAAGGGAGAGGACATCGACGATCTAGAGCCGTGGGAAAGCATATACGAAGAAAAATCGACCATGTCTATAGGGGCCTTAAATCCCCTTGCCTAACATGCAAAGATGTCAAACAAGGGCAGCCCTGACTACGTAAGAAGTGGAATGCAGAAGGAAGCTATCTATAGCCGATAACATAAGATAAAAAAAGCAAGCAACGAAGGAAGCAGAGCCGATACGGCTGCAACGTTTGAGAGGTAGCGATTCGTAACAAGTAAATCTGCTGGGACTTCTACTCCCCGTCACCATACAAATTAGTATTAAGCAAGTACGACTAGTTTGAGATATTCTGATTGATCCTATATCCTTTGTTGTGACCTCACTGGGGCCTTTGCCACTCAAATAGATAACTAATCAGCCTGTAGATGAAGGGAACCTGCCCAGACAGAAACGTATACTTTATTAATTGATGTTCTTACCCCACCTTTCCCTATCATCTTACTTTCTTAGCACGCAAATGTTAAGGAAGCGGGAGTCTTAGCACAGTCGAGAGGATGATCTTGGTCACTCATATTCTCTATGGGCTAGAAGAGAGTAAGAGTTATGAAGAGGAACCGACCAAGACAGTCCTAATGGCTGCCTCCCCGTCTTTATCGCCACCGAGATCCTAATTCCTAAAGTAGGGAATGATCGACCAGTAGTTGGTACTGTGTTTGTCCCTGGTTTTAAGTTTTAGGGTTCAAACGCCCCTCATTCACTTGTTCATTGCCCATCCCGGCCCCGCGCAGTAAAACTCCTTGTAGCGACCCCAAACACATCGTTTCATCGTGGAATAACAACCAAAGTTCCCGTGTTGTGTTGCACACAGACGCCTTTTCAACTGAATTTGACCTTTCAAAGCTTGCGGTCGTCACTGGGGCACTAGCATGTGCTTCATCAACCTGGGTACGCTCATCTGTCAAACATGCGGGCAGCGCATAGGCGAGCAGCCCGTGGGGACGGTGTCCTGCGCCACCGTATGTGGCAAATTCGTAACCAAGATGACGAGCGAGGTGGTTTCGGGCGAGTGCAATGTTTGCCGCGACGCAAGGGAGAAGAGGACTGATCTGGCGCGGAAAGTGACCCAGGCGCCCAAGAAATAGTAGAGAGGAAGGCGTGGCGGTGTTTGTGATGCTGATGATAATGACTTTACGGCAGTTTGAGGTTTTATTTTGAGGATCAGAGAAAAGAGCGGAGATGAAAAATGAGAATCTGAATTGTCAAGTTGGGTCATTGTTGATGACGGATATAAAAAGGGACAGGGTTTCCCTACAGACCTTCGCTTGGACATGCCTTCATGCACTGTTTGCTTAATTTATTTCCCCTTTTATTCTGAGTTTTACACTCTTTGTTATGTCTTTTAAGACACTAATTAAGTGATTATTTAACTCTCTGTCTTTCAAAGAAGTTCCTGTCCTAGCTGAATCTGTACTGCCAGTAGGAATTAGATCTTGGTAGGAAGATACTTGGAATTGTTGCATTGAATTACCTGTCTTTTCTAATGTGCGTTTACTACACCTTCAGAGTATGTTAAGGTATAGTAGTTTAAATTTAATATAAATGAAGTGATTGGTAGAAAATTGCTTGGCTGGTTTCTGGGTTATTATAAGAGGGCCAGAGTCGGCCAGAGGCGAACGCGGAGACAGCTTTTGCTTTTGCTGGCAGTAACAGAGCTCTTTCTGTTTGACAGTTAACAAAAACCCCAGAGGTTGTCCCCGTTCAAGATGGCGGTTACGGCATATATATGATCGTGTTAATAAGTCATTTTCAATGGGAAAGAAAATTGACATAAAGCTAACTGGTCATAACTGATGTTATAGTTTATTCTCGTCGGAAATGCTATCCCAAGGCCCAGAAGAACTCTTAAGGCACTAACTTCATGCTTCTAGGAAGATGTTCCTCCCTGAAGAAGAAACGCATGGCTGTACCGCGCGTCTTTGTCTGCGCCTATTCTTTGAAAGTCTGCCTAATTCTGCGCAGTTTGGCTCTAGATGCATAACTATTCCAGCATCCACTCCCATTTTCTTTTAGTCCAATAGGGCTTAGGATATGTATTCTAAGATGGAATGTCGCATGCCGCCTAGATGAAGTTGGTAAGTTGTTGCAGCTAGGGGTGTTAGACAGCTTCTATTTTTTGCATATTTTCCAAGCCTTAGCTCGGGAATACTAATTATATGCTTAAGAATTATATAGCTGGGTTTTTACATTATAGTACTATAGCCGTATTACAAAGTTCTAGAATAAGTAATGTATGCAAATTGGTCGTGATCCTTGGTAAATAACTGGTCTCTGGCTGTTAATAGAAATGTTTATTAATCTCTTAGATAAATAAAGTTTAGTTTTAGCCCTCAATTCCGGGGAATTCTACTATAGTTAACTCTAGTCTCCCATTCTAGGCCGTATATACTGTGCTAATTATTGTCATTAAACCACCTATTATAACGTATTATGTTTTTTCCTTGATGATTGTAGTAGTTCCGAGGAGATAGACACATAGAAGAGAGGACGGGATACTGGTGAGACGCACTGAAGGACGGAAACGGTCTAGTCGGGATGTGTGTGATGCTACCTTGTGGATGAAGCTAGACAAGGAAGAGGTCATGAACCCTAGTACTTTCGCGAGTAGACCGCGGTCTAGAACCTCGCCATTGTACTAAGAGTTGAAACCAGTTTCAAGGGTAGAAGACTGTCTCCACAGGGGAGGACGGTTTCATGTGGGCCAGATCCTGTGGCATAGACCGCGCCGTATGTAGCGCCATTAAGCACCAGCAAATGGCTGTGGAGGCCAACTTGATGGAATGGAGGTGTAGCGAGTTATCACAAAATGCGAATAGATATTAATCGTGGAAAGGCCCAGTGTTTGCTCTATTGGGCCAGGGGAATCAGCGGCTATTACCGCACAACAAGCCCCTCACCTCACAACTTACGCCACATTTTGCCACCGAAGCAACAAACTTAATTTACCTTGGGGCGGCAATTTCTCACGTAAATATAAAGCTACTAACGCTGACATTAGTGGCCCCCACCTACTAACTGGCTAACCGCTCGGCAATTAGAAATATCACTAACAACTAGCTGTAATTAGCCACTTAATAACCAGGGCACAGCTAATGGCAATATGTTATCTTTTCGACCAGCCCTATATATTGTAAAGGGCAATATATGTGTTAATAATATAACCCTAAATGGTTTATTTTTATTTTTGCAGGAGGTTAAAGCTTAGCTAGTTTTATTATACCTAGCTATAAGTTTCTTACTAACTAGGCCGAAAAGCGTAGTTGGTGTAGTTGATCAGAACCTTGACCGTATTAAACGGTTTCCAGTGTTGCTTGCACTGAAGGGGGGTATAAAAATACTGTGCAGGCAACACGATATCAAATATCATATCGTCTTATTTACGGCCGCACTATTTACTTCACTGCCTCCGTCTTGCAGCATTTGCTCATTGCAGTTTGGATGCTCTGTCGCAATCAAACCATGGTTTGTGAGTTCTCTCTGCTAAAGAAAGATGGCCTTGGCAATAGCTTCTCAACATATTCTAAACTCATATTTCCGAATCAATCTGCTGTCATATTGACCAGACTTTCACCTAGCTAAAGCCTCTAGATTTTGCTGTAGAGTAGCGTACAAGCACGATTCAAGAATGTTAACCTCTCACCACCCGCCACCTATCCACCGGCTAGGGCAACACCCTTTCCTTTGCTTGACCACCGCTCTCACTTTTCTTTTTTTCTTTCCTACCCTCAAATGTCAAATCTGCCCAGTTACAATCTTCCCTGCCTTGATAATAATAACATGTTCATTGCTCTCGACCATAAATTCCGGTTCTGATTCAATCTGTTTTCCGTCACTCTGTCTCCCTCTCCAATTCTGCACCGGCTTCCTCCAGAAATGCATAACGATTGAAGGAGTGGCACCGTGATACCACGGGAATAGCGAGTAAACATAGGGGAGAAATCGATAAAACTATTCAAACTGAAATGTGCGGCACTTACGCCTCAGCGACTTATTTCGCAACACCAACGTAGGCGAAGCAATGCTTAAATGCCTCTGTCTCCATAGCAAATAGGCCTCCATGGTCAAGCAGGGAAGCTGGGTGCCACAAGTTGGGGTCGAGGCGCTCAAGAAGCCCTGGGTAACTGTTCAATCCGATCGGCTCAGTGACACCCCATGGGTTGCGGAGAACAAGGTATTGCTTGTCACCAAGGATGGTGTAGCCAAGGATAGAGTAGGCATGGTTAGCAACGACGTTGCTGCCTCTGTACATGTTGCCAGTGGCGTAGGTCCAGGCAGTCATGGGGTTAATTGTCTTGAAGTTGACGCAGTTGGAGCGGACCAGCCCCAACATGTCGTAAGCTGAATGGTTCTCGGTCCTGTAGTAGTGGGGTTCCCGGCTATTGATCTGCGCCATGGCCTTCACAGGGTCGCCGGAATGCGTCTGGGTGATATCGGGGTGCTCCGATGAGCTACCGGTGATCCATTTGGCAAACGCCTTCTCATACAATGATGGCCATATGTCAGCTCCGTCGCTGGAGCGGCAGTACAGGGGCCCATTGTTCGAGTTGTTGATGGGAATTTCATAATTAACCTCAACAGTCTCAGTTTTGCCGTTATTGTCACCGCCCTTGTCGTGAAACTTGATGGAGAGGCGTTTCTTCTCGTTCTTGTCGTAGTGGACTCGAGTAGCGCGGTTAATGATAACAGGGTCGGACCAGAAGACCGAAAACAAGGCTGCAATCAGCCAGCTGTTGCTAGCACAACCCTGCGTGGGATCATCAAAGAAGCGCATGGTCTCTCGTTTCTGCCCAATCTCAAACATGGTAAGATCGCCAATTAGACGCTTGTTGACGCTCTGGAAGAAATAGTCGTACATATCGCGCCACGAGGTGTTAGGTGGTGTCCAGTGACCCTTCTGCATCCTGAATGGACTGAGTAGCTCGTTGATTGACATTGTCACCTCATGGTTGGAAACCGTCTTTCCCAATGAGTGAGCGTGGAGCATCAAGTGAAGCTTGCCATTCTGCATACGAGCAATCTTAACCTTCGTCTTACCCAGATCCTTCAGCCCGATCTTCTCAAGGTCGTCCAGCTTCTGAACCCGTGATAGATCAGGAGTCATGAGATCCCGCTCCTTTAAGACTTTCATGTCTTTCTCAGACAACTTCTCTGCCTTCCTCTCCTTCTCGTTGAGCTTTAGCCCGGCGAAAAGCACTGAGCCGTGCTTCATGTCAAAGAGTTCATCGTAGTCCGTCTGCAGGACGCTGGATATGATTTTTGCCGAGTTTACCGAAGACTTGTCAATATTCCGGCCGAGGAGGGCTTCGACGAGTGAGTACGGGTTGGCAGCACCGACTCTGACATCCTTAGGGGGCGAATCGGGACGCATGTGCTCATCCCTGGAGTGTCTAGCCTCAATTTTCATGTCAAGGTCATCGTAGTCCGACTGAAGGCTGTCGGAGCCAACAGGTGCAGGCTTGTTAACTTTCTGGCCAAGAAGGGCTTCGGCTAAGGCATATGGGTCGATGGAAAGGACATTGGAGCCCTTGGATGCGGAATCAGAGACAAGGAATTGCATGTCACCCATGTTGTTTGAAAATAGAAAGAGTAATACAAGATGGTTAGAGTATTGAATAAATGTAGCAAGTGGCCAGGCAAATAACACGTTACTGGGTGTTGTGAACAAGACACCAAGAAGTGCCGTTGCAAAGGACTTTATACCTTTCCTCCACACCGGATTCTCAATATTACTTGGTCTTTTGGCCGCTCTCGCGCTTCTGGGGATGATTCACGACAGCGTCAACATCAAACCTAAACCTGCACACTTCTACCACCGTCGTCAAGTTCTGTAACGATCTCACATCATCGACTGCAGATGCTCTTTGCGGGGAAACCTTCCCATCGTGCCATGAATTTCCGGTCAAGAAGGCAAACTTTGTTTATGCTGAAGCCACGGCCCAGATATGATACGTTGAGAACAATGCCATCGTTATGACGTGTGCTTCCAGAAAATAAAATCATCGTATCAGTGTTGATGCAGAGTTGATGATAGATGAAGGTTTGATATTCAGCCCAATGCTGGGTGCGGCATAATTAACTTTAGAGGTTGCGTGCAACATGTAGACCTAACCTTGGTAGTCTATAAAGGGTTTCGTAGCAGACCCGGCGGATAGCAACGGATATGTGCTCCCAACAAACTCTGATCTGCATTTGCGAAGCTTATTGCAGAGTACCATTAGTAAAATACAACATCAGATTGAAGTTAAATTAAGTGGCCCAGTTTCAAAGTGCGCATTGGTTCTGACCCAAAAAGCCCTTGAAGCGTCAGATCTATGAGGTGCTTTTACACTTCAAAACCCTAGGGGATGTTAAGAAGTTAGTCAGTCAAGAGATGCCTCACTGAACTATTGGAATGTGGATTGCGATAGGGCGGGTAATATTGCAGGCAATGGAGATAAAATGTACCAATAATAAGGCTTTTCTCAAGCGTCCCGAGCGAGCGACATGGCGCTTTGACTTTGCGTTGAGACGTGATAAATACTTCCGTAAGAAGTGACGCAGAACAGCGTCAGCGCTGTTACAAGGATTGTTTACTCCGCATTAAATGCCTTTATGGACATGATAGAAGCCGACTGGTTGCGGCAGGCAGATGCTAAGCTTACCAGAGAACAAATTCAAACCATGCAATGGCTAGATAGATAGGGTGCGTTGGCCTGGAGTAACCTCTTCCTAATAGAGCCCCACCCTTATTTATATATATAAGAATCTAGGTACGGCAAATGCAGTTTCACAGAAACAAGGGAGGACGCTGATCCCCGGAAAAGTCGTCAAGGACCAAGGCATTTTAGGGACATCATGATGTCGTAATAAGACATTCATGCATAGTGACATGTCGATGAGGGGTTGTGATCCCCGCATTCTTGCTGCAGGAATTGTAGTTTACTATATCCTGGACTGAAGTCTAACCCTTCAATCGTGGAAAGCCTCTAGCAGGGTCACTCCGGGGGTCTTCGCCAATAGAAATATGCCAAATGAGAGGCACTTGTCTTTCCACTTGTCGTCTCTTGCAATGAAAGTTCTCCCGGCCTACTAATGTAGATAGTGTTAGTTGTATTATGTCGAAATACCACTTTTCTGGTCCGTGCACGCGTTATGCCTATTATATTTTATTAAATTCTTACTTTATATCTTTATAGAATAAGATTTTATATAAAAAGTAAAATAGTAAAGAATTTATAAAAATATATTTAAGTATAATTAACTATAATAGGCCTAAAAGTACCTTTTATATAGTTTTAGCTATTTTATTTAAGTTATAAAATATTTTAAAATTAGCTTTTTTTAGCTATAAAATATATTATTTAATTTACTTATTATATATATTATTAGTATTTTTACAAAAAGATATAATATTATTTAAGTTTCTTAAGATTTAATAACTCTTTAAAACTTATAATATATAAATTATATTATCTTACTTATTATTATTTTTATTTTTTTATATTTATATAATAATAAACTTATATTTTTTAAGATTTACTTTCCTTAATATTAAATTATAATAAGTTATTACTTATATTTATAATATAAAAAAAGGTTAATCTAGCTATTAAGATATAATTAGTATTTATATTAGTTAGTTAAGGCAGTATATAATAGTTGGGTTTTCTAAACAGGTAAACTAGTCCGTACTAGGTTTATGTTTGCAGATTGCATAAGGCATAGTACTAAGCATTGCAAAGTATTATATCTCTTAATAATCTAGTAATGTATATTAGGCTTATTAATATAAAGATGCTTTATTAATAGCTAGTAAGCTAAGTTCTATAAAAGTGCTAATAAATGTGTTTTTATATACTAAAGGTAGCCTAATAGCTTAGTAAGGAATAATAGTAATCTATAGGTTAGATCTCTAGGGATTGTTAGTGATTTATAGTGATCTAGTCTTGGAGCATCGTGATCTAAGTGATTTAATGGAAGAGGATCATTACTAGGAGAAGTGATCCTTCTGTAATAGGTAGAAATTGTAGGGGCTACGTAATGTAGCTATATGGGCCGTAATATAGTAATTATATTATTAAGGCAGATAAACCTTATTTAATTCTAACCTTAATACTAATAGCCTATTAAAGGGGTCTTACTATTTAAATTATAAAATAAAAAGCTAAAAAGCTTAATAGGCTTATATAAGGCTAAAAGTAAAGGAAATATATATATATACTAAAATATTTTATATTTCTTTTTATTAAATATTAAGCTTGTAATTAAATATAAGTATTAAAAATATAATAAGTTTTATAAAAATATTATCTTATAAAGTAAAGATATAATAAGTAAAGTAAAGTTATAAAAATAAGATATTAACTTTACTTAAATTATATATAATTTTAATAAAAATATTTTTAAATATATTATAAATTAATAAAATCTTAATTTTACATAATAATTAAGTTTAATTATATTAAACTAAGCTATATTAAGTTTATTATTAATAAATAATATAAAGTATATATTAAGTATTATTAAAGTATTATATCTTTTAATAATAAATTTAATATATATTAAGCTTAATTAATATAAAAAAGTTATATTAATAGCTAGTAAGCTAAGTTTTACTTATTATTAAATAAATAAATATATATATATATATATATAATTTTTTTTTTCCCTTACTTTTAGCCTTATATAAAGCTATTAAGCTTTTTAGCTTTTTATTAATAGTTTAAATAGTAAGACCCCTATAACAGGCTATTATTATAGAAGTTAGAATTAAATAAAGTTTATCTGCCTTAATAATGCAATTACTGCCTTAACTAAGCAGTACTAATACTAGTTATATCTTAATAGCTAAATTAACCTTCTTCCTTTAACCTATTTAAAAAAACCTTAATTAACCTTTATAACATACTATACCTAATTTATTTATTATAAAGTATATTATCTAACCTAAATACCTTCTAACCCTTCTTACTAATAATATAATAACTATACTGCCTTAATACCTATATAAAATAGCTTATAGCTATATAATTATACCTATTATATAACTAGCTATAATCTTAATCTAGCTATTAGGCCTGCCCTAAAGGCAGCTAAGAAAGAAGAACTCTATATAATATATATAATAATTACTGCTATTATAAAGAACTTCTTATTAAAAGGCAGATCTAACCTTATTAAGATAGCTATTTTTAATTATAGCCTAATTTAGTTAATTAATTATATAAAAGAGAGGCATTATATTAATTTAATTAATCTAAACTAGGTTAATAATAAGCTATTAAGCCTTAAAGACCTAGAAATAGCCCTAAGGGAAGGTTATCCTCTTTAATTAAATAAGGCAGCTTTCCTTACTGCCTTTATAAGCCTAAACTTAGCTGCATATAAAGAGTGGCTCCTTAGTGTATCTGTAAGGGCAGCTGACGTTGCTAGAGAGCTGCTCTTAAATTAGTAAAGAGTTAGATAAACGCGGGGTAAAGGCAGGGTTTAGAAATTCTATTAAAGTCAGAATTAAAGGAATTATATTAAGTTTACTTTATATAAGTTAGTTAGTAAAAGTTAAATTAACCTAAAGTTATAACTAGCTTAATTAATTAAATATATATAATAAGGCATATAATTAATTAACCTTATATATAAGAATAAATAAAGTAAAATTAGTAAAAAAGTAATAATTTAAATTAAAGAAATATATATATATAATTAGTAGCTTATAATACTTTAAGCTTAACTTATAATAATTTATAAATTTATATTATAAGCTAAGTTATAAGGCTTATAAACTATTTTAAGGTAAGGTATAAGTTATTATATAATTAATAAAAATAAAGTAAGGTATGTATAATATAAGTGCCTTTTTTTATTTAGGTTATAATATTATAAAAGATTATTAAATCTTTATTTTTAGCATTTTAATAATTATATTTATAAATAAATATTAATTATTCTTTTTATAAAATATAATTATAAGAAAAATCCTTATAAATTTAAATTAAAAATAAAATACATTTTTTTTATTTTTAAATTTAATAGCTTTTATAATATTAAAATAAACTTATATAATATATATTATTTTTATATTATATTATATAATATAATATAATATAATATATTATAATATATAATATAATATAATATAATATAATATATTATAATATATATTTATATATATTATATACTTTTTATATATATTACCTTAGTTACTCCTATTTACCTTACTAAATACACTTTCCACCCTCTTAAATATACCTTAATTTTATGCAAACCCACTATTGCCCGCTTTTAATACAATCTGGATAACTTTCAGAGCTGATCCTAAGTCTTACTTTAAAGGCCAACACCTCATCCCCTTACCCGGCTGCAAGAACGTTGTTGCCTGCCTTGTGTTCCATGTCTGCAAAGCCTAGCTCCCCACGCTCTCAGAATTAGGCAGCTCAACTGCTGGTTCCTCGAGTCTTTGCCCAGGCAACTCAGCTGACGCGACAGGTTCTTCCTTTGGTGGTAGAGGCGGAGGGCGAGTTGTGAGGTCATTGGAGTTAGGGACGCTAGATTTGTTTGCAATTATCCCACAGGGCTGGATTAGGGCAGAGGGGTCATACTAGTTTGTGTTCAAGCTGCTCCTGTCTTGCGACATCATCCTTGTAACATCCAGCGGGAAATTGTGGGAAGGCGTAATCGGTGGGCTAGTGCCGTGACTCTGACCGGAGCTGCTAGCTATTGGACTCATAGGCTTGTACACCCAGTAACCCGGGGCCGTACTATTCGGCGAGCCGACCCCAGGTTCAACCACAGGTAGTGTTCCGTTCAGGTTGCTAGGCATGGCGTTGCTGCCGAAGGCTTTGCGATATGCCTCGTTGAAGCCACCACGTCTGCCGCAGAGGTAGATAACGCCAATTGTGAGAAGAAGGACAGCCGCGCTACCGATTACAATGCCAGCAATTGCGCCGCCGCCGAGACTGTTCCCATTAGCGGGGTGGTAAGATGAACTGCCGGTTTGGCCTGAGGTGGTCGGTTCGGGTATTGCAGATGCTGTCGGTTCGGGTATTGCAGATGTAGTTGAGGTGTTGAAGCCTTCTTCCTTTGGGAAAGGTTCGCCGGGCCTAAGTTGGTAATCCACATCATCTGCCTTTTTAAGCCAGTCTTTCAAGGTCTCATTCTTTAACTATACTTATTGTCAGCAGGTCGGGTGTATGACAAATTTTTGTCAAGCTTACGGGATTGACAACGCCCATCATATGGTACCTGACACAAGATCCAGGAGCACCGCAGTAATAAAAGATGGGTTCAGTATTATTGACTCTTACCCGGAATCGGGGAGCCTGGCAGCATTAGTACTGCTAATTCAGGGTATTAGACCGCTTAGCCACTTACATCGTTGGTAATAGCCTTGACGGGCTGGAGGCCACTTGAGAAGCCTGTCCTATCTACATCAACGTACTCGTATGGGATGCATGGGTAGCCAAAGTCTCCTCGAATTACCCAGTGCGCATCGGGATAGAAACGATATTCGAGTATATCTCCGACATCCGCTTTAATATCATTAGGAGTAAACTTATGTCCAGCCTATACCATAGGTTAGTGCAGGCTAAGTACTTGATTTTCGAATCAACTAACTGCACCAACGTTAATCGTGTGTGTCGTGATTGCCGTTGGAGTAGCAGTATTTGTCGTCGATGAGGGGGCCTTGGTGATCTCCGGTTCCACGGTCTCAGGGGCCTTCTGGGCCCAGGATCCCACGAAGATGGAAGATAGTGCCAGGAACTGCTTTGGCAACATGGTCACAGGCTCTCGCCGTTCTCACATAACACAATTTTCATACACAAAGAAGCGAAACTTATTTAAGAAGTCAAAGAGGAGAAAGAGTCGGAGTGAGGGAAAATATGCGAGACCTGAGTTGCGGGTTAATGATAAAAACAGGCCGCGGGAAGTAGGGGATGTGAAGAGAGGGAAGCGTCCAAGATAACTGCCACCAGGCACACCTGACACTTCGGGGCTGAGAACAAACATGCTAGGGGCTGGTTATGCGGTACTTGTGTACACAATGGGAACTAAGACCTGTGTGGGCAGCGCGGTGCTGAACATGCTTGCGGCGAGACGGACATCCCCGTCAAGCGACAGCTGGCGACATGCAGCAAGTTTCTGCTGGCCACAAAGAAGTTTAAACGTGATCTTACCAGCTGGCTTCCCTCACCGGGAAGCATCGAACCTTTAGAAGGGTGGACATTTATTAAGGAAAGCCATCAGAGATGTCAGGTTACAGAGTCAATGTAAAGAGGAGTGACGAATAGAATCGAAGCACTATGACGCTGGTTTAATGTGGCTATGAAATGTCTCTAACAAAGAGGTTTGGAGGCTTGTTCTGGATCCAAGAACTAAAGAGCCACAATCACTCCTGGCTTCGAAAAGAGTCGTAATAGCCATTTTGACCAATGATATAAGCCAAAAAGATAACAACGTCAGCCTCAGGCAGTGCTTCTTGCACCTTCATGAGCCCTTGATTTCCTTGACTAGAATTCGCTTGTTCATACCCGTGTGTGGAAGCGAATATTACTGAAATACACAGATTGAGATGATGGTGTATTGCGTCGAGATGCAGAGATGATTTATAGGCAACTCGTCCACAGCTGTTCTAGATGAAGTTGTGGCTGATAATTGAATTTATTGCTATCTAAGCACTCTGGATGGAATTTAATGGGGATGTGCAGTTGCTTATTAAACACGTCAATAGGAAGATCTATAATCCTTTAAAGTAGAAAAAAAGGGTCCGACATGTGCCTACTCTATTCATAAGTTGGCATGCCACATTGGCAGGCTGATAGGGCAAGCTGGGAGTTTATTCCCCTTCGGAACTTCCCCTGTAGCCACCGCACTCCATGAATCTGCAATGTTGTAACCAACACGTCATTATGCACCAACCTATGTTGCGAACTCTTAATCTCTCTGTGCTGGTTTAGTGTTAGGGTTCGCTCATCTAGCTTGCTTACTGGCACTGAACTGACCACCATGGCATCGTCGGCGTTTGTGACGGGGGCAGATGTGCTGTCGATATGGTTGTTGCTTCCTTTAGAGGTTGTTCCGCGGGTGGCACATTTGCTATAGTGGGAAGAGACCGAGGTTAGCGGGGCCACATCTCGCAGTAGCAGAGACTGGCAGTGTTATGTCGGCTTGCAGGATGTCTGCTTTAATACCTCAGTATCCTAATGTAGTTAGACCCTGCACCGCAGATGTTGTCGATCCAAGCCATGGCGTTATAGGTTCCATAATCACATGCAGCCTCCCACTAAACCTAGAATAACATTACATACTGCCGTCTTGATTGTAATAGTTGCTGCACCGACCGGATTTGCGTGGACGGTGTGTAACCTAAAGAAATTAAATACAGACTTTATTTTGCTTATTGAAATACTAATAAAACTGGTTGTAACTATCTGGCAAAAACCCATCGCTACACTAAGACACTACATACTGTACGAGGCTTATCATCTTGCAGCCTCAGCGGCCAGATATTCTTAGCATTTATTGGCTAGACATGGCCGTTTAAATGCTTTCTCATGGAGGGCAATTAGGGTCTGTCTTCCTGATGACTCCAGTCGAACAACCCCGGAGTGGCGCAAATGCGAGTGCGTCAAGTACACTGTTTATATCTATAGTAAGCTACTGACCAACAGATTTGTGTTTCTAATCCCCAGGCAAGGGATTGATTGGCCACTTGAAGTCCTTCACAGTATGTACCTTTCGAAGTCACCCTTCACCCTGCCACCGTAAGCATGTACTGTATAAAGCAAGTTGTTGTTCAAGCTAGCAGCGAGGATGTACTCAACGAAAGGGGCTCAGACAATGAGGGAGACAATGGCATAGTTAAGGTTACAGTATGATTTTAACTATTGGATGGCGATTGGCGAGGCGAAGTACTACACATGCTCGGGTAGGTTTAGAGCTACGTATGGACCCAGGCATGTGAAATGTGTTAAATCGACGCAGTCTAGAAACAGAGGCTTTTTGAGCCTCAAGCCACCCTTGCAATGTAGTGTAGATCCGGCTAGCGTCCGGTCACTGGGCCAAGGCTTTCGTAACTGCTCAGCTCCTGGGACAGAGCTGGCTCCAAGACCAATCAGCCCAATCAATATGAGCCCAGCCCTATACCGGCGACGTAACCCAGACTGCCAGAGCTGTCTGCCAGCTAATCGTGCTCGTGCTCGTGCAAGCAGCTCTTAGAATATACTTAGTAATATACTAAGGGCTAAGGCTATATTAATATAATATATCTTATAACTTTAAAGTTGTTATATAGTTACTAAGAGTAATATAATAGTCCTTGGTTTTAATATTTAAAATAACCTTAACCTCTTATATAAAGAGGATTAGACTTTTACTTCCTAACTTAGCATAGTTATTATAGTCTTTTCTTCCTGCTGCTTATTACAATCCAAGCAGTTACATCACGTATACTCTACATTTTTTTCACCAACTACATGCAGTTACTACAGACTAAGAGATTCTATCTGTAACTGCCAAGATATCGTTATAACAAAACTTCTAGAATTACTAGTAACTCCTATAATTACTTAGTAATTCCCATAATTACTCTATAACTATATCTAGTATATAAGTTATATTTAATAGCACTTTAATAAATTCTAGCTTATTAGCTATTAATAAGACTTCTTTATATTAATAAGCTTAATATATATTACTTAATTATTAAAAAATATAATACTTATAATACTTAGTATTATGCCTTATATTATCTGCTAATATATACCTAATATAGACTAGTTTATCCCTTAAATAACTTAAACTATTATATAAAAGCCTTTCTAATAAAGGTAAATAAATTATTAGCTTTAATATTACTAAATAACTAGGCTATTTTTTAAATAATATTATTAACCTTATATAATAAGGTATTATTATATAAGCTATCTTTATTATTAATTTCCTTAAAGGCAGCTTATAAGATATTATTATTAAAAATAATAAGATATTAATAAATAATTAAATAAAGTTATAAAGGGATATAATACTTAGTAATAATATATATACCTCTAAGGCTAATATAATTAAGCCTAATTTCTAATAGTCCTTTTATAATATTACTAAGTATAAGAAGTGTTTTACTATTAAAGATAAAGTTAATTCTAATAATCTATTTTATGCGCTCTAGGGTGTTAGTAGCAAGCAATAGTATATTATATTAAGTCCCTGGTATGCCTACCTAGAATAGTTATCTCTGCCAGGTATATACTAAAAGTTATTTTATATTATAAAAGTCACTAGAAGGATTAATCTAACCTATCCCCTTGTATTCTTGTAGTCGGGAAGATGGGGTTGTATTTGATCCGAGAGACTGGCTGACTAATTCCGACACAAACAATCGGGCCCTCTGTGACCTCAAAACTTGCTTGTTAATATTTTAATTAAGTGCACTCATAACAGTTAACATAATGTGGACAGGAGAACTTCCTATAATAACTACATTACAAAAGCATCTATATTTACATAATGATAGATATATAATTAACCCTTAACTAGTAAGGAAGTCTTTCTTTAAATATGTAATAACTATCTAGTCCTGTTAAGTTCTTAGCACAAAATAACACTTAACATACCCTAGACACTTATGCTTCAGGACGGGGAAAACACGCTAAGATCGGAGATTACTGCACCCTCATACTAACTTGACCCGCGGAAGTTCGGTTCCCCGGGATCTACTTAATTTCTCCACGTCCGCATCTTCTGTAACCTTCTCCACGCCTTCTAACCTCGCCATCGCCAACGCTGCCTGTAAGTGACTGTAATCAGCTTGCGCTGCTGTAAGAGGCTATCATGCCGAGACATGACGTACGAACCCGCCAGCAGCGATCAGCTTTGACATGTACCATCTGTCACAGGACATACTCTAAAGCAGAACATTTACAGGTCAGCCTTGCTTGCCTACCTGAGTCATTCGCCTATCTTTGGACTATTATCTGAATGTTGTACTGGATTACTGATATGAGCAGCGACACGAAAGGACGCGTGAGTCCATTCCCTCTGATACCTCTGCTTTCCGTATCCCGTCAGAAAAGCACTAAGTGACCTACCCCTGTAGATACTGGTGCAAAACCTTTTGCTTGTCAAGTCTGTGGACGCCAGTTCAGCAGGCCTGATTCTGTGATGAGACACCACCAAAGAACCCATGCGCAAGTTGAGAAACAGTAACAACAAGCACAAGGTCAAGATGAAGAACAACAGCAGCAACAACCGCAAGATGTCTGGCCATTATCCCCCAGCATGTCGGACTATACGAGTATCCAAAGTGCTATGGAGCAAAATCAGAGTATCACATATGAGCCAGTGCCAGATATAAACGGAGACATATTCACGGATCCCGCGTTATCTAATCCAGAGCTCGATATACACTTGGAATGGCCTGATTCGGAAGCTCTCTTGCATAGCATTATCACGTTCGACTGGGGCTCACTGACTTTGCCGCCTGGCAGCGTGCCAACACCTCAGACACTCCAACAATTGCTACCACAGGCCAACGTTTCCTCTGACATCCAGTTAGTAGATGCCGAGGAGAACCAGGATGATCAATTATCACCCGTCAACGGCTCCCGAGATGCAATTCAAAGCCTCAGTCATATGGTTACATGCCTTGTATGGCCTCTCCTGTCAAGCATTTTCTTGCACTGACAAGGAAACAGTCACAGAATGTCGCCTCCGCCGCGAGGTCTCTACCAGAACTTAACCCTGCCTTTCTTGATAGCTGTCTTCAAGCATACTTCTCTCACTTCAATATCTACTTCCCTATTCTCCACCGGCCAACATTCGTATATCGTGATTGCTCGCCGAGCTTGATTCTTAATGCTATAGCGCTTGGGTCATTGTTCATCGGCACAAATGATGCGGTTCACGGGGTAAGTTCACACTCGTCGGATAATACGACAATAAGCTGACTTAGTAAGGGAGAGGTATTATGAAGACTGGCTCACACCGCCGTGGCCACTGCTGTATGTAGTCAATAGTCGGACAGTTTATCATGTGTTTGCTGATTTGAGCTATATAGTGGACCGCGCTGTTACGCCATCGAGGACCCTACGATTCGCATAGGGGCGCCCAGCTTGTGCTGACTGCTCTCCTTGGCCAATGCTATGCAATAATGTCCGAGGTGACTTACCAGATCCTCTCCTATAAAATATATTCTTGCTGACTGTTGTAGAAAACAGACCTTAAACTTATCAGCCAGGTCATCCATAGCCTAGGTTTTAACTAGGCAAACCAAAACAATTTATCTAGAGCCTTATCACAACAACCTGACCAAGAAGTCAACGAGGAGCGCGCCTGGAAGGAATGGGCTGCTGAAGAAGTTTATCACCGCGCGCTTGTTGGCCACTACATTCTCGACGGCCAACTAAGCTATCTCTCAGGTCAACCAGGAGCTGCTACGCTACATGCAACAAATACTCTCAGGCTTTCCACTTGTTCAAAGGCTTTTGAAGCGCGGGGTGCTCAGGAGTGGCGCCGAGTGATGGGCCAAGAGCAATCCGAAGGGCCTGTGTTCTCTTTCAGTGATATTTATCACGAGCTCTTCACCACTAAGGATACCGACAGCGAGGTCAGTCTATGTTTGCGCAGCGGAAAAGCACCACTCGATGTACGTGTTGTACTTGAATGTCTACACACGTTGGTCCGAGAGAACCGCGAGACAATCTTCAAAGTCGATCGTCAAAATACCAACACTCCGCGAGGTGAAGCAAGCTCTAGTGCGGGTGTTCCAGCTTTTAAACAACACATGGTCCTTTGATGAGACCGAGCGCCTAGAGTTAATGATTCGATGGCACTTTATCTGCCTTGACCTGCTCTGCGACTCCATTGAGCTTTTTAACCAAATCTGTCGACATCTTCAGATTGACCAGCACATTTTCAAGTCAAGAAACAGCGGTAAAGAGCTTAAGGACTCCATGGAATGTATCAGAGGATCTACTGATGCCAGATGTGCCCTTTTACACGCCGTTGCTATACAGGATAGCGTCAATCGACTCCCATTCAACCGCACAAACACCTTCTGGATGCCTATGTCTATATTCGCCTCCTCAGTCATTTATTCGCTTAGTCGCCTAAATGGTATGACATCTGTGTCTGTGCCTGCATCGGTACACTGGGAGTCTACACTGATTGATCAAACAAACACCGGGAGCTCAGCGCAAGATGTCTCTTGGAAAAAGACCCAGGCTTTTATGACGTCAAATCTCAAAAAGACAAACTACGGTATAGGACCAGCCCGAAATCTGCCTTTTGAGATGAAGAAGATGCAGACTATGATGCATGGGCTTGCTAGCCAATGGGGCGTGGCTGTCGAGATAGTAACCATTTTGTCACAAATAGAAACCTTGAAGCCGATGGAAGATTAAGCAAGAACCCATCAAATTCTTCGTCCTCCGCAAAGAGGAGATAGACTGCAATGCTATATATGTATTTGTGAAATAGCTATGTGTTTGTGAAGAAGATACATCGTCATTCGGCGCCAAGGAACTTTTACGCATGGGCGCAAGAGTCCTTAACATGGCGAAGCATAGCCTGGAGATTCAGACCAGTGTCGCCGTGACAGATTGCGTCACCGATGCTGTTTAACTGTCAGATCTAGGCGTTATCAAATGGGGGTCATGTTGAACTTACTGTGAGCTGCACTTGTCACGAATATAGCCGACAACCCAAGCTGCCTCGCTCATCTTGAGGTGAGTATTCTGGGCGGCCCAGTACTCATTCGCTATACAGATCTTGGCCTGGCCCCATGTATATTCAAACATCCATTGCTGGCCGCTGGTTTGGAAATGGAGAAGGAATGTGTTATCGCCAATCTTGTAAAGTTGATCAATCAGTCCTTGAATGTCCTGCGAAGGAATGGATCGCCAGCCGCTGTTATTGCTGTTCGTGTTATAGCAATAGTCGCCTCTTTTGAAAATTGCTTTGGGTTCATGCTCAGGTTTCGATATGGCGGCGGCCATGGCGGCTGGAAGGCCGGCGATTAGGGTTAAGACTGAGGGGAGATGCATGATGTTTTGAGATGGAAGATTAATGAACGCAGAGAATGCTGAGAAGTAAAAAAGCACATTCAAGATGCGTTTATATATAAGGACTATATGGTTTAAACCTCGGCCAGCTGTGTAGAGTATCATATCACATATCACATGTGTTCAATAGGTGGATAAATTACAGCTGACTAAGTGGATATGTAATGACTTGTGATGCTTATGAAAGCCTTTGGTTATATAAAAATAAAGAAAAAAGAGACAAAGCTCAGGTAACACTAATGCATGTAGTATGGTAAACGAAATTTCCTCGTATTTCGGCGGGTTTTTTGGCGGGCCAAAGTGGGCTTTGACCCATTTTGTTCCTTTTCCAGCGCCGGCACTCAAGTGGCACGACGAAAAAGGCCCGAAGCGGCCGCCAAAACCTAACTTCCTTTTAAAGTTAATTAAGTATGTAAATGGTCCCGTAAGTAACATTGTCATTGGTGGAATACAGTCAAACGATGTTGTTCACTTTAGCTTCCAGGTATTGGCGCCATACTATGGCGGCCATAGGACTGTGACAAACGCCCTGAATCAAATTCCCAATCCCTACTGATCTCTATATTCATACTCTAGCATGTCATTTCGAACTCATCATCGGAGCCCATAGGCAATACTCATCAATGTTCTTTAGCAGAACATTCATTGGCTTCGCTCATTAACTTGTTCTCGTTATCTTCCTGAGACACCTTCTTTGCATCCCATCTAAGTAAGTCCTCGTTGTTCTTGTGCGTGGATAGGTCAGCCTGTGGGTCATCTGTTGAAATCAGTCTCCATGGGATTGCAACGTTTGTGAGAAAGTTACAAGACTACTTTTAAATACCCTAATTAAGTATAAAGACCAGAAATGCGCCACATTTCTACTTCTGCACTAATTAGAATCTCCATTTTCTTACCCCGAATTTCCTCCTTAGAAATATAATATATTTCTATCTAGGCCTATAAACTAAAAATATAAAATATACTGCATTTCTTCTATAAAGGCCTATACTAATTATATAAATAACTATACCCTAAGACTTTATAATATATAATAATATTTATTATATTAATTAAATAGAAATAAGTAGTAATTAAGCTCTCTTTTTATTTTTGCTAAATATAACTTTATAAAAAGTATTAAATCTACTTAATACCTTCTTAACTTTAGTAATATAATAAACCTTATAATATATATAAATATTATTATTTTATTATAGCTAAGTTAGCTTTAAAAGCTGAAGAGTCTTAGCTTATATTATAATTTACTAATGCTAATAATAATTTATATTAAATATAGCTTTATTATTAACCTTATATATATATTATATTACCTAGAAAATAAGTATTATATACCTAAGTCTGCCTATTATAATTTAAAGTTATTAAATTTTAATTTTTTTTAATTTTTTAAACCTAAAGATACTTTTATTATAATTAAATAGCTTACTACCTTACTTATACCTTATAATATATAAGGGTTTAAGCTATAAATATTATAATTTTTACTTTATTAATAAAAAGGTCTTATTAGTTTATAAAAAGATAAAAGATAATAAAGATATTAAGCTTATAGCTTAATAATAAAAGTAATACTAATTATATAATTATATTTAACTCTAACTGTTACACGTTAATAGCTCTTATTTAGACCATACCGCATAACGCTAAGCAATACTAATACAATAGCACCTACTACTCTAAGCCAGCCTTCTAACTCGGGACATACCTAGCACTACCTGTAATAAGAGATGCCCCCTAACCTAGAAGATATTCTTATAGAAACTAATAATAAAAATAAAAAAGATATTACCCTTATTTACTTAAGTACTTATAAAAGGAAAGTTATAAAACTTAAATATAAACTTAAATAGCTTAGCTAGTAATATAATAACTTCTTAAAGATTATAAAAAATAACTTTAATATAGCTAAAAATAAAATTAAAAACTTAAAAAAGAAAGTAATTAACCTTATTAAGATTATAAAGGTATTTAGAAAAGAAGTAGAAAATAGTTAAAAACTTTATAAAAAGTATATTAAATATATTATAGGCTTTATAATAATTAAAAAAAACCTTAAAGAAATCCTTTAACCTTATTAGCTTAAACTATTTAATAATAATATTAATAAACTTTAAGGATTCCTTATTAGCCTTTAAAGCTATTAAATATATTATTTTATTTAGTTTATTATTAATAAATTAAAAGTTTAATATAATATAAGATTTCTTAAAGATAAAATATTATAATTAATAAAACCTATTATTTAAAATTATATTAGTAAATTATATAAAAAATAATAAGAAATAATAAAGTATATTTATAAAAAATATAAGAATTTTAAGTTAAAACTTAAAAATGCCTTTAAAGTAATAAATAAAAAATATATTATAAAAATAAAGATTTAATAACTTTAATAAAGAGGATTTATTATAAACTATTTAGCTAAATATTATTATTAAGTAGTTAAGCTAAACTATGGTAAAGAAGCTTATATAATATAAATATATTTAAAACTAAAGTTAGAAGTTAAAGATATAATAATAAATATTAAACTTAAATTAAAAAACCTAAATAAACTAATAAACATTATTATAAAAATTAATAATTAATAATATAAATAATATAAGGAAAAATAAGTTATAAAATAAGGAAACTTTTATAACCTTAATTAAAACTAAAATAATAATACTAATTAAGGAAGGAAGAGATATATAAATATATAATATAAAACTAAACCAAGACTTATAATACTTAAGGCAATATAATATAGTAATAATAAAAAGCCTTATAATATATTTAAGGTTAAATATTATAATTATAATTAATTTAAATATATTATTAATAAATATCTTTAATTAAAAAAGCCTAAAGACCTTAATTAAGATAAGTAAATATTAAAAGTAATTAATAAATAAAAGCTTTAAATTACTATATAAACCTAAATATTAAAAATAATATAAAGCTTATATAATATAATAGCTTTATATAAAGGCATTATACTAAAATATAAATAATATTTATATTTAATAGTTTAATTTATAAATTATAAGAAAAGTTTTTAATAAAAGAAAATACTAAAGTAAGAAATATATCTTAAATCCTAATATTATATAAGATAAAGATAATTAAATACTAAAAGAAATAATAAAAAAACCTAAAAAACTAATAATAAAAAAAGGAAAAAGATTATATTTACTACCTTAAGAAAAAGGAAAAAAAGAAATATAAGAAAATAAAATAAACTAAAATCCTTAAAATAATAAAGAAAGAAAGACCTTTAAAATAAGAAATTAAAAAATACCTAAAAGACTTATAAGGGATAAAAACTACCTTTAATGTAGGAAAATAACCTAAAGTATTTAAAGTAATTAATACTATCCTAATTTAAATAACTATTTAAGAAAAAGAAGAAATAGTAAAAAAAAAATATAAAGTAAGGAATTAGGTCTATATATACTATTAATAATACTTCTAAAATATAAAATATAAAAGAGAAGTAATATAAAATACTATATAATACCTCTATAAGAAAGATAAATAAATTAAAAATAAATAGAAATAACTTTATAAATTACTATTTAATAAAAATAATAATAAGATATATACCTTAATAGAAAATATATACTTATAAAGAGCTAGGAAATATAGTAATATTAATAAACTTAAAAGCTTATATATTTAGGCTTATTATATAATAAATACTATAAACCCTTATTATAAGGAGTTAAAATTTAATACTAAAAATACTATAAAAATATTTTTAATATATTTAAAATATAATAAGTTATTATAGCTATTATATAAATACTATTAATATAAAAACTGTAAATAATATAAAAAAGATAATAATTACTTTTTTATTATAATTCTTAATATGCCTAATAATAATCCTTATTAAAAAATAGAGATAAAGGGATACTTAATATATTATTAATATAAGAATCTTAAAGTAATAAAACTATAATTTAATATATCTTATTATTAATAAATCTATAAAATAAAGGAATTATATAAAGGAATTTAATAATCTTAATTACTAATTAAGGAAGTAAAGAAAGAATATAAAGATATAATTTAAATAAAATAATAAAGAACTTATAATTTAATTAATTTTAAGTATATTAATGGGGATATAAATAATAAAGGACTATTAGAGTTTAAAATATATAAACCTAAAGACTTTAATATATATATTAACCTATAATACTTTTATAATTATAATAGCTATAAGAAATAAAAAGAAAAGAAATAATAAAAGTTAACTAAAAGAGGCAATAAGTTTAAGAATATAAAAGAAAAATACCTCTTTAAACTTATTAACCTAAAAGAAAGATTTAATTAAGTTTTAATTAATAATAAATAATTTAAGTCAGGAATTATATTAAATAAATAAGATATAAAACTAGAGAAATACTTTTAATAATAACTATATAATAAAGAATTTATAAATAACTTTAAGGATAAAAAAGAGTTACTATATTATAAGTATTACTAAAAGTATTTTATGAAAAGTTAAATTAAAACATCCTTAAATAATAAGGATAATAAAGAGTATATTAAAGATTATTATAAAGGAGTTAATTATAATAATAAAAATTATAAATTACTTTACTAAATAAGTTTAAGAAAAGTAATATACCTTTTATAATAATAAAGCTATAAAAAAGCAATAAATAAAAATAAGAAAGACTTAAACTTATAAGTACTTTAAGAGCTATATAAGATAATAAACTAGACTGCCTAATACTATAAACTTAAATTAAGGGAAAATAGCTAAATATATAAATTAATAATAAAGTAAAGAAGAACTTTATTAATTTAAAAATAGTTATAAAGTTAGGAATATTATAAAGGAAAAAATAGCTATTATAATAACTTATTAATATAAAAAGGTAATACTTTAATTATAATAATAATATAATAAATTAAGAAATTAATTACCTTAAGGTCTTTATTAAAAGAAGAAATTAAGGAATAAGTTTTAATATTATTTCTTTAGGAAAGAAGATAAATATTTTACTTAAA